TTTTAAATTAATTTTTTTATTTTATAAAATTATAAAGATTATTATAATTTAAAAGAATAATAATAAGTTTTTAAGTTTTTTAAAATATTATTATTAATATTTAAAGTTATTAATAATAGTATTTAATTTTTATTATAAATTATTTAATTAAGTTTTATATTAATAAATTTTTTAATTAAAAATAATAAGATATTATTAAAATATATTTTTAATAATATATTTTTAAAAGATTATTAAAATAGCTATTTTATTAAAATATTATATTTAATTTAAATATAAAATATTAAATTATAATATTAAAATAAAAATATTTATTAGAATTTAGTTTTAAGTTTTTAAAAGTTTTTAAGTCTTTAAGTTTTTAAATATAAATAGATTAACTTTATTAAACTTTTAATTCTATTTTATATTAAATAGTTATTTATTAAAAGGTTAAATAATTTTAAAATATTTTTAATAAACCTTTAATAGAAATTATAAAACTTTAAAAACTAAATATTATAATAGGTAGTAAGAATAGGTTATTTTTAAATAATTTTAATTTAATTAAAATTTATTTAAATTCTTTTTTAATTAGAATTTTAAGAATTTAATCTTTTTTAAAAGAAGTTATACTTTTAAAATTTTTATAAAATTTAATTAATAATAGTTAATTTATAATTATTTAAATATATCTTTTATATTTTTTTATTTTTAAAAATTAAAATATTATTTAAATAAATAATTATATAAATATTAATATAATTATTTAAAACTTTTATAATAAATAATTAGAATATAATAAAGGTATTAATTAATTTAAATAATATTACTTTAAATTTATAATAACTATAATATATATAAAATACTATTTTTATTTATTCTTTTTTAAATATAAATTTAATAATAAATATTTATTAAATTAACTTTTAAAAATACTTTATATTTAATAATTAATTTAAAATTTTAAAATTAATAATAAAAGTAATAATTTTTAATTATTATTTTATTAAAAGTTTAATAATTAATATAAAGCTAAAAATATTATTTTTTTAAAAGTAAATAAGATTAAAGCTTTTATTAAACTCTTATTAAAAGTAATTTATTTAATTTTAAACTCTTTTAATTATTTCTTTAAGATTTTTAATTCCTTTAATAATAATAAGTAAAAGGTAAAAAGATAATAATATCCTTTCTTTTAATTTAATTATATAATTTACCTTTTAAAATAAAAGCTTTTTACCTTAATTTTTATAAAAACTTTTAAACTTTTAATTATAAATATAACTAAAAGAAATTAAAAGTAATTTTTCTTTTTATTTATTTTTTAATTTTATTACTTTTTTATTATTTAAATTAAAAATTATTAATTAAAAATAATATAATAATAAATATTTTATTTTTAATTTCTTATAAAAGATTTTATAGTTTATTAAATAATATATAAATTATTTTATTAAAGTTATTAATTTTAAATAATTTTTAACTTTATTTAAAAATATTATAAACTTAAAATTCTAATAATAAAATAAATTTAAAATACTTTTAATTAATAATAAATATTTTAAGTTTTTTTTAGTTTTTAAAATAATCCTAAATTAAAAAAGAACTTAAAAGACTTTATAAATAAATATTAAAATATAATTAATCCTTTTAATAAATATTAAGGATTTTTAATTCTTTTAAATTAAATTTTTTATAAAAAATACTAATTAAATCTATTTAGGCCTAAATATTAAAGTTAATTTTAATATATTTCTAACTCTATATTATAATTACTTTTAGAATTATAAAATATTACTAACCTTTATTATTTTCTTTTCTTTTTTAATTTTAATTATTAATTTTATTTTTTACTTTAAATATTATTTTAATAGATAATTAAAATAATTTTTAACTTTTTTATTTTAATTTTACCTTTAATAACCTTTTAATTAATAGTTATTATAGCTTTAAAGTTAATTTATAAATATTATAGCTTTTATTAATATTAAATAATTTAAAATATAATAGTAAATATTATTATAATAATAATAAATAGTTAACTTTTATTATTATTAAAAATTAAATTTTAAAATAGTTTTAAAATTATTTTTTAAATATTTTAATTAAATTAAATATATAAACTCTATTTTAAAATCCCTAACTTTAACCTTTTATATATAATAAACTTTAAACTTTTTAAAAGTTATAATATTACTTTAAAAGCTTCTTTTATTCTTTTTATTAAAGGTTTTATTATTTTTTTATACTTTATTTTTAATTCTTTATACTTTCTCTTTAATTTATTTAAATATATTAATTTAAATTATTTAAATAACTCTAACTATTTTATCTTTAATATTTAATAAATTTAAAATATATTTAATTTAATTTTTAAAAGATTTAACTTTATAATTTAAAAAAACTTAACTTTAAAATTATTATTTTTAACCTTTTATTTTAATTTTAAAGTTTTAAAATATTAATAAAAATTAAAGGTTTTAATTTTCTTATTAATAAATAAAATTAATTAAGTTTTAAATAATTTTAAAAATATTTTAAAGGTTTTTTAAAGTTATTATTAAAGTTTTTAAATTTATTTTATTTATAATAATTAAATATAAATTTATTTTTTTCCTTTTAGATTTTATATAAATATTTTAATAGTTTTAATATTTTTATTAATATAATTAAATATATAAATTATTTTTATTTTATTATTATAAAGGATTATAATTAAGAAATATAAACTTTTTAAGGTTTATTATTTAATTATTATATTATTATAAAATATAAATTATAAATAGTAAAGTAATATTAATTAATTTTAAATTTTTAATTTAATTTTTAAAATAATTTTAATTATTTTAAGGATATTTATTTTTATTAAAAATTTAATTTTATTTCTATTTTTAAATAAGGGTATTATTTATTAAAGGGTATTTAAACTTTTTTATTATTATTTAGACTTATTTAAAACCTTTCTTTTTAGTTATTTATTTTTAATAGTATTATAGGTAATATAAGGAGAAAAATTAGAATTATAGTGGATTATAATATTAAATATAATAGTATAAGTTAAAAAAGGTTTAAAGGTTTATTAAATTTAAGTTTAATATAAGATTAATTCTTATTTTTTTTAAAAAAGAGGTAAGTAGGTGTTGTTTACTTTTTAATAGGTTTAGAAAGGGGTATAGTTAGGTACTAGGGTACCTTTAAGGTGCTTCCTTATAACTTCTATTTAACTATTATAATATTAAAAGTATTAAAAATTAAAAAAGGAAATTATATTATAAAGTTTTTTAGTATTAATTTAAAAGGTATTTATAAATATAAGGGAGTTATTTAAAAAATTAATATTAAGTAAGTAGTTAGTAAGAATTAAGTAAGTAAATATAATTATTAAATAAGTGGATATTAGCTTTCTTTATATAATAATAAGTATTTAAAATTTAATATTTAAAAGAATATAATATTAATAATAATAGTTATAATATAATAAGTATTTTTAACTTTAATTTTATAATATATTAATAAAGTTAAAGAGTATTATTTTAATAATAATATTAATTATTATAAAGAAGTTATATAGTAAAATTAAGTTTAAAGATAGTTATTATATAAATAAATTATATTAAAGGAAGTTTAATTAAAATTTATCTTTTAAATATATATATATATATATTATAATAAAACTTTTATTAAATAAACTTATAAAATTAATATTATAACCTTTATTTAAGTATATAATTATTAACTTTAAAAGAATTTAAAATAAAGAAATAATTTATAATATATTACCTTTAAGACTTTTATAATAAAGTATTAAAACTTTTAAAAAAGTTTAAAAGTTATTTATAGGAAAAAATATAATAAGTTTATTCTTCTTTAAGTTTATATTTTTATTATTAATAATTATTTATTTCTTAATAATATAAAAAGTATAATAAAATAAAGGAAAGAGAGAATTTAAAATTCCTCTATAAAAGATTATAAAAATATATATAAAGTTATTAAAAACTTTATATATAAACTTTAAATTAAAAAAGAAATAAGTAATTATATAGTATAAAGGAAAAATATAGTATAGTTAAAGCCCTTTTTAAGTATATACATAAATTCTTTATTAAATGTAGGATTAAAGAACTAATAAAATATATATAAGGATTAAAAATGAAACTACTTAGGAGGAGTGTGAGTGAAAGACGACTTAGTTAGTATAGATGTTAGCTCTACCTTCTGTTCTGTGAGATGTGTAGACTGCTGACATGAAGCTTGGCTATGGCTAGTAACTGAGTCCAGTTAGACTTCGAAGGAGGTGCTTGGGTTGGCTGAAAAGAGTTTCTTTCAATCTATATCAACGGGGCGTGCCGCCAGGATATGTTTTGCCTCCCCGAAGAGTTTGGGGCATGTCAAACGGACAACCCTACATTCAAAGCATGTATCTATCCAAAGTATGCTACCGATTGATTGCAATCACAAGATACCGTCGACCTGTGGGCATTAAATCGCCATGAATTGTTCTCTGTCGTATTTGACTGGCTCCATCAGTCTGATACCAATAATGGTTTGCGTCTCCAACAAGGTGACGGGGAAAGAGTCACGACAAACGCTGCAGACTGGCTTTACCGACGGCCAATGGCAAATTTTGCTATGAGGCCATCAATGGTATGCCAGTATGGTTTCCTCCGGTTTGAGTGGTCGCGAAGAAGTCATGTGCGGGGCCTACTGCTGCCTTCCGTGACATCCTTCGTATTCCAACATACCTTGCTGTCGTTAGGCTGTTGGTGACGTAACTTTGTTTTGAATCTGTTTGTTCCCTTCAATTTGTTTTCTTTTTTAAATATTTGAAAGGGGCAGGCCCCCCACCTGAAGGGACGCAATTATTCTTGCTTCTCTTTCGACTGCGAGTCTTCTGAAACGTCGCTGAAATTAACATTAATACCTGAGGAGTCCGCACGTCTACCTTTTCCCGTTCTACGTCCTTCCAGTTCTGAAGCATCCTGTGGCGTAGTCACTTATGCCTGCAAAGCATAACGATGGATTTTCAGCCCATTTGCGCCAACTGGAAACCTGAGAGCACCACTTGCAAGAAGATCGGCACCTCCGCTTGCAAAAATTGTCAACTCATCACGGTATGTGCCCATTTCGTCTTTCTGACCTGCTTAGGCGGCTAAAGAATTCGTACTACAGTATTGTGGTCCACAATGCCAAAAGCTCCACTGGAGCCTTCACAAGCGCGATTGCAAGTCATTCCTTGGAATGGACATTTGGAAGCCTGACTGGGTACTGGAGGGCCGAACACCAGCGTTTGTTGGTAATGGACCACCGCAAGTACATTTTGGCGGTCGAAAGTACCTTTGGGGCAACGTTCCCGCCTACGATGTCCTACGACTCGGATCCAATGAGGGAGAATCTTACGGCAAGAACTTACAGCTCTTGTTTGCTGGTAAGCACCTGCTTTCTTTTATTAGCTGCTCGTGATTAGGTTGGAAACCAGTTGACCTTTGGGCACAGCTTCTGGAGACCTGAGAAACGTCATCACGACCATTGCCCGGCTTCCCAATAGCTACAAGAATTCCATCGAGTTGACGATCAATGACAACGATTTTGATGTTGTGGCACGCAATGTCATAGTACTTATGGTTGCTCTCGTCGTCGAAAACATCGACCAAGCCGCCGACTGCATGATTCATATATGGTATTCGGCCTTGATCCGCAAGTCGGATCTTGATGTGATCGAGCAACATGTCCGTCCACTCATAGAATCTGTCTGTCGAAAGACTGAAGGGAAGACTGCCAGCAGCCTTTTGGCGAAGACCTGGACATTTGGACATCGCTCACTGAGGCTTGTGTTGCAAAAGAGCATGTGGGATGCGCTGCAGAGGTTCGTACACTGTCAGAATGGATTCACGGCTGATGAAGCCCATGCCATTCGAAAGTCTGTCACGCTCGCCGAAGGCAGGAAGGACTACCGAGATCGCTATCTGTCGTTTCAAAAGAATTTCCATCGAGTCGCTCTGACACGATTCCGTGAAGACGGACTGTTGCTTCCATTCGGAACACCGCGCGACGACTTCAAACATCCTAACCCGCAAGTGCCTCAACCGAATCGTCAAGAATCATATGCTAACTATTGTCAGTACTTTCTTTCACGGTACTCAGACCTGGCCTATGACGGATAATGCCGATCCACTCTCCGGGTGGTCCTCAAAAGCAGTTCACCAGACCCACATTGGACACGCGAAGGCGGATATCTATGGCAAACTATTCGCCTACCTCCGCAAACTGTTTCGATCTTTCCTGCACCGTCTCTCCTGCCAGCAGCAGTTCTCGTTCCGTATGCACCAGGTCAACGCGTCCGCTCTCGGTGAATTTCTTGAGATGGGCTCGTACAGTCGGATTGAGGTAAGAGCAACAAACCACGTCTTTTTCCACGTCTTCTCTTCTTTCTTTTTTTCCCTTCGGGTTTAATCTTTACTTCTTTCTCCGAGAATCCAGGCTTACATTTACTCTCCAGGTTTCCAACATCGCGGACACTGGGTACCTAGGTATCCACAAGACCCTCGATTGCATGATCCCTCTCCTGCAGAGCACAGCCACAAACCCCCACGCAACTCTGATCACTTTGTTCATGAATGCTGTGGACGAGACTCAACATTTCGACTCTAAAGGGGGTCCCCGCAATAGCCCACATGACCCAGCGATCAAGCGTGCCATGGCTTATTTATCTGTCTCCCCGGCGTCGCTCACTGCTAACAATCCCATGATCTTCAAACTCTTGCTTGCCCGGGATAGCGTCTCAAACCATGACAACACATTCGACCGGTAAGTGAAAGGAGACAATGACACAATTGAGGCATCCGAATTGGCCCCTGATTCACGGATCGAGACTAAAGCATCTTGCCAGGTACGTGAAGAACTCTGGATTTGCCGAAGCTGCTGAGCGTGCGGGAGCCACAAGGAAGAAGAAAAATACCGTGGTTGAGGATTGGCCGTTCAAGTTGAAGCTCCGGCCTGGACAGCCTGGAGCTCAAGACGAGTTTGACCGTCTCATTTGCGGGGCAGTTTCAAGCAAAGAGCGTTATGTGGAGTGGAAGAAGGTGTGAAGGGTCGATAGGAATTGAACCCTGGGAATTCTGCTGAAGCCGGAAAGTCTTTGCAGAGTAGTGCACTCATTAATTTTCTAGTCTGATCGCCGCAGTTACAATGAAATGTCTCCTCCAGCGGCTTCCACCTGCGCATAACAAATCCTCCAGAAGAACTTGAGGGGCTGCCAGCCCGATCTACCATCCCTCTATTACGATTCACGATTGTGAGATCTATAAAGCACATTTTCAGTTGAAATAGTTCATGTCCTCTAAAAGACTGAAAAGTATGACATCCCGAGGTCAGACTTAGTCGATCCGCATGTACGCATCACCCTTCTCTGTATGATAGATTTTTAACAACCACTTAATACCTGAAATTCTTATAAACTTCTTTAAGCGTTTACCACCGTGTGAAAGGGCCCGTACGCCTTTGAGATGTGTAATCATTATGAATTATGAATGAAACTAGCCAGGGGACTACGTACTTAAAAAATCCAAAAATACCAAAATAGTGCATATCAGGTCCTCATCCGAAACTCTGATATGTTACCTGACCTAACCCCCTTCTATCTTCTGTACCGGACAGACTGGTTGTGAAGGAAAGGACATCGGGGTCGAAAATTAGTGTTGGCGATGACTAAAGTGCTTCTTTCACCCAGGCTTCTCCTCAGTCCATCTGTTTTGACCCCGGTGTTTCCTAGACGACGAACCTTCCCCCATGGCTATCTCGCCCGTATTTCTTGTTCTAGCTGCCTTCGCCATTACCACGTCCACCACTGCCGCCTCCACCACCACCAGCGCCGCCATCTATATCTGTCAGAACGCGTATCATGAAAGGAGACTCTAATGGAATATGGGGAATCATTTACCTCAGGCTGTGCAACTGCTGCATTTCATATGGATGCAGGTCACCATTGTCCGTCCCTGGTTGCGGCACCGCCCCACACAAGACGCAGTCTCGTTGCCACCGTGCCCGCATTGACAGCACCTCCACTTGCCTCCGTCCGGGTCCCATGAACAGAAAGGGTTAGGGCACTTCCCGTTCGCTTCAACTTCACGACCGAGATTAACCACGTTTCTACATTTGATAGATTGGTTCGTGGCAAGGTCAAACTTAGAGAGGTGGCAGTAATGGGTTGTCGGACTGGTGTGTTTGCAGTCGTACTTGTTGTAGAGGTCCTCGCACATCTTGAGAAGACCGAGAGAGTCGGTGAGGTTATTCCTGTTGTTGAGGTGATTGTCTGCATCTGTCGATGGCGATTCTCTTCGCGGTTTTCAGGACCTGGTCGTGCGGATCCACCTGTGTGTGGAAACTGAACAGCTCCTTTCTTGCTTCGAGGCCTCGTTTTTATACTTGAGTTCTGGTCACCAAGTCACTCAGTCTTGCAGTGAAACTATATAATGTGCTCCTCACTTGAGCTCGTTGCACGAGTGGGCTGGTGACGGAGAACTGATTTCCTATGGGCAAAACCATTGTCAGGACATGCCCGTGAGTGGTTGCAGTTGTGGTTCATTCAACTGGTCCATAGGCAGATCTAAACTGCATCTTGTGGGATTTCCATGTCCGATTCGCTTCGAGTAGTGAGTCACTAGGTGTTTGTGAATGGGGTACGTTAGGCCGGATGCCATGGGCTGGCGGAGCGGATCATGGCAGCCATACGTCTCCCTGAATACGAACTGCGCAGTTCTAATAACATGCCTGCCTGATCCCAAGCCCCAGGAAGCACGTCTACGATTCTAATTAGTTGTATGATAGGCTAAATTTACAGTGGCAGGTCACGAATTCTCAGACATTTCCTTCATCATGGCCACGTCGAAGTATACAACTTGAAATGAGAGTTGATAAGTACGAAGGCCACAGGGAAGTAGCAGCCCTAGAGTTGTTTTCATCAAGTCAGCACCGCGGGCCGCGTCAGAGGTATTATTACAGCGTGCTGCGGCAGTCACTCGCAAGTGTTCGAAACCCCATTTTGCTGCCTTTGCCAGTTTCACTTGGGCTGCACCTAAGAACAAGCTCACGTCACTGGATCACCAGAACAGAAGCTATGGCGAAGAAGGGCTATCGGTGGGTATACAAAGTATTCATTTCTAGACTATGCAAGACACATCAACACCAGAATCGTCGTGAGACACGGGCCCCTAGTCCGCGACACGACCCCTCTCCCTCCTCCCACTCGGAAGCGGGCCGGAACCAACGGCCTCTTCGTCGCTCGAGAAAGACAGCCTGACCTGGCCTCCACTGCCATCACCGCCGTCATCCGACCTAACAGGCTCAAAGACCTCCTCCGACAGCCTGCCGACCGAGCCCCCCGGCGACGCGTGCTGGCCGGGCTCGTGCTTGTACAGCTGGATGTTGATAAAGGCCACGAACAGGCCGACGTCGTAGGAGAGGCGCAGGGCGCCGCCGACGACGAAGGCGATCCAGAAGCGGCCGCTGTCGGCGAGCAGGCCGGTGAAGCTGGGGCCGGTGACGTTGGCGAGGGTCCGCAAGGTGCTGGTGATGCCCATAACAGCAGTGCGCTCCTCGGGCCGGACGACGGCGGCGATCAGGGCGGCGCGCGGGGCCTGGTCCATGTTGTTTAGCCCGACGCGCAGGATCAGCAGGGCAAAGGTCAGCCACCTGCTCTGGGCGGCGGGGAAGAGCAGGACCGCGGTCGAGGAGGGGATGTGGGTGAAGACCATGGTGTTGACCAGCCCGATGTGTCGGGCCAGCGGCCCGGCGAAGACGGTCGACAGCGCGGCGAAGAAGTAGCTGGCGGAGATGACATCGCCTAGGGTTGACTTTGGTGGGTGGAACTTCTCGTCGACGTAATATGTGGTTAGGGACATGCTGACCATGCCGTCTGCCAGGGAGTCAACCATGAGCAGGAACCACAGGGCGTACATGATCGACCGGGTTTCTTTGGAGATACGGGCGATCTTGCTGGTGCTGGGGGCAGGCTTGGGCTCTTCCTGGACGCCGTCCAGGGCATGGTGGCTCTCATCGACAGGGTTGAGCTCTTGGTTGTTCAGCAACCCCTCGGCGGCCTCACCGGTCTCTTGCTCCTTTGTGACGGCCGAAGGCTTCAGCTCGCACTTTTTTGAAAGGCAAAATGCGGACAGGGACGCAGCCAAGCCCATGAGTGAGTAGACGGCGAAACAAGCGTGGTAGGCTTGCAGAAGAGTCCAGCCGTCCCTGTCCTTGAGCGAGTCGATCATCCTACCAGCAAAAGCAACTCCACATGCTGACCCGACGGCAGCGGTGGTGATGTACCACGACAGGACGTCTGACCGGGTGGCGGGGGTGGTCAGCTCTGACAAGGTGGACTCCTCGATGGCGCGGAAGGGTCCGGTATCACCGCCGGTGGCGCTCAGCACGCCGACGACGGCGGCGGGCAGGAGGACCCAGTAATTATCGCTGAGGGCAAAAGTGGCACCTGACAGGATCATGAGCAGGGCGCCGAACTGGAGAGTGCGGCGGCGCCCTATGCGGTCGGCGACGAGGGCGATGGCCAGGGAGAGGACGACATCGCCGACGAGGGTGAGGGTCAAGAACAGGCCGATGCGCGAGTCGGAAACTTGCAGCTCGTTGAAGAAGAGAGCGAGGATCAGCGAGCTGGCGCCGTAGGCAAACATACGGCAGCAGCGAGCGAAGATGATAAGCCAGGCGTCGCGGCCGGTGGACCACAGCGAAGCTAAGCCGGACTCGTGGTATGCATATTTCCTGAGGAATGCTGATACAGAGACCATCGTCTTCGTCTTGGTGGTGAAGAACGGAAGCCCGCCGGTATGGATCGGGAGGCGAGGCCCTGTGTTGGAGTTGGGGAGAGATGTATGGATGATAGTATAATAGGGAGAAGAGGAGGGGAGAGAGAGTACCTAGGTAGTAGTAGGATATAGGAGTAGCAGGCGTAGTGTGAAGGGACAGAGTTGGTGGCACCGTCCTCGTCTGGTATTAGGTGAAAAAGGTTGCTGGTTATTGACGGAGGAGAGAAACGGACGGAGGTCCAGCCGGAAGGAGGCTGATTGATCGATGGTCGGTCATGTCATGCACATGCTCTCACTCTTCCACTTGTGCTCATGGCAGTTGCGGCAACACTAACGACTAATAACGAACGGACTGGGTCTGATTCGCCCTTTCCTTGTCGTCGGCGCCGGTGTCGGCCAAGTTGGAGGTGTGTTCCCCGCAGGTTCTCTTCCGAGGCCGAACGGGGGTGGCCGGCAATCACGGAGTTGACCCCGTTTAGATGCGACTCCCATGTCGGGTGGGTAAGGTGAACTAGGTTAAGCTTTCCGTCTCAGGGATGCAATTCTTCAATCTTGATAAACATTGGCATGGGTCTCGTCTGAGGGAACAGCCAGCTCAGGAACCCTTCCATTTGTTATGAAAACAGGCATATGTACTAGCATCGATCATTATCATGAAGTGAATTGCTGCATGATTACGGTATGCCGTCTGTCTGCACGTCGATGCATTTCCTCTCCGTAATCCCTTTGTTGCAGCAGTGTGGTGTTCGGGTTGTTTGTTGTCTTACAACATAATTATATCCAGCAATGTGGAGCTTCGTTCCGGCCGCAGTGACGTCTTGGTTACACATGAGATCAGCCCCTTCCCTCTCGTTCCTGCATCTGGTGGGTCAACCAGGCTACGTCATCCCAGCTCCCACACACTGCAACTTGAACCAATTCATTGGACTCAACATTGGACTTGCTCTCTCACATGTGAACATTGGAACCTTGGAACGTACCAAACAAGCAACACATCACGAGAGCACCAAACATTTGAACCCAACTTCTGAGCAGTGGCCAACGACTCGGACTGAGCATCAACGACCAACGTTCCATCCCCCACAGAGAACATGGCTGAGATCGCAGCAGGAGCACTTGCCGTCGAGCAGGTCGTCTCCACAGGTGTCCAGGCTGGCGCAGCTGTCGCCGTCGCCAAACCAGCCCAGCCTTACAAGGCATCGCTGAGCCGCATAGCCACCTCTCCAGCTGAGGACACCACGTATGCCATCAAATCAGCTGAACTTGCCTGTCATCCTGACCTCTCACTGAGCACCCGCTGACATGGATCCTTCCCCAGACTAGCTCTCGCGAGGTCCAACCACACCGTCACAGTCATCGGGGACAAGGCCTACATCTTTGGTGGCGAGACCTCGGACGGGAAGCTCTGCAACACCGACGTGCACGCCATCTCCCTCCCGTCCGACACCAAACCCAACTCCGACTATGCCTGCTACCCAGCCTTTCCCCTCAAGGAGGCCTCGACCGGCGAGCTGTTGGTCCCTTCACCCCGCCGGGGCCACGCCGCCTGCGCCCGGGGCAAATACGTCCTCATCCACGGGGGCAGCGACGAGGCTGGCAACCCTATCGACGAGGACGCCTGTCTGTGGCTGTGGGACTCGGAGACGTTGAGGTGGGCCAAGGTGCACGCCACCACCCAGATCGGAAAGGCACTGGCACCAAGAGAGGGACACAGCATATTCGTCGACGAGAAGCAGGATTTCCTCATCCTCCACGGTGGCAGAACGTCGGCCTCGTCGGGCCCGGTCGGAGAGACGTGGCTCTACGACTTCGATGCGGTCGCCTGGACCCAGCTGCCGTCTTCCCCGGTGCCGCCCTCGAGCTCGGCCTTCGTGAACAACACCCTGTACACCCTCACGAGTGATACGGCCCTGAGCGGGTCCATACACTTCCTGAACCTGGGGCCCAACGCAACAGAGCGAGCCAAGCCAGACGCGCTGAGGTGGGACAAGGTCGATTTCCCAGTCAACCCGCTTGTCCCAGGGCCGAGCCCGAGAGTGGGGGCTGCCTTGGTCCCCATCTCGACCGGCTACGGGCGTCACTTCTTGGTCTACCTGCTGGGCAGAAGCGAGGGAAACGGCAAGGAGAACGAGGCCCACCCATATCACTCGGACATCTGGTCCCTGCAGCTCCCCTCCCAGGGCTTCAGCCTGACCACTGTCAAGGATGCGATTCGCGACCACCTGCCCGGACACGTGGACTCGGGCGCGTTCAGCTGGGCTGAGGTGGACATTGTGCCGACGGAGCAGGTGGAACACGAGGGCAAGGTCCACCCCGGGCCGAGGGGCTTCTTTGGTGCCGGGCCATGTCTGGACGGCAAGGGAGTTGTGTTCTGGGGAGGGGTCAACGCGAAGGGTGAGAAGGAGTCTGATGGTTGGATTCTCCGGGTTCAGTGAGACCTGTCCAACAACGGTCGATGGGGGGGGGCCATGTTGCCAGCAGAGATTATGTTGGGCGGAGCGAGCAAATAACGTTAGTACGTTGTTCTCTTCAAGTTAAATTACCTGTTATACACGGGCTCACTTTTCTGGTATTGCCAGCAGTGGAATTCTCACGAGGAACAATGTGCAAAGAGCTATTCCAACATGCCATTCTCGCTTGGTCATTCCGCGCTTGGCAGCCGGCGATGCTTCCGTGTATAAAGCTCATCGTCGGTGGCCGAGGGCTGACGCCGATGGTTGAGTCCAAACATGGCACACTACCCCTAACCCTGATGTCAATTTTCCAGACTTCATGAAGACTCTGTTTTCCACGAAACATTGAACAATTTCGTGTTTCTAAAGTTAACAGCGTGGACCGACGTGACGCCAAATTCCAATCGCCAGGACTCCCAGCTCCCACATACTATTCGATTGATGCGAATCCGCGCGTGGCGATGGCCGTTACACGGTCAAAGCCTTGGATGGTGGTTTGACACTCGTGCATCCGCTCGATGCCAGAGGCTTCAACAACGAGCAATGTCAAGGACCGGCGCATCCCTCACAGAGCACCATGCGCACAAGCAGCAGTCCGGGCAGACGGGCTCAGCACTGGGCGAGGCCGAGACGGGTCTCAGCCTCGACGAACCACCGGGGCGGGATGAGAGTGGCTTGCCCGAGCCCGATTGGACCCTCGAAGAAACCAAATTAACAATTCCAGAACAAGAAGCAAGGTTCACACTGCATGAGAACGGCAGGTACACGACCAAAATCGTAAGGGAATGCCCAGCCTGTGGTATGCGACACTGTCTGAGCCTCTGCCCATTCGTCTTCCCAGACAACCCGAAGGGCATCCCCAAACTTGAGAAGTACAGACTTGGGTTTGAGAGAAAAATGCGTAAATACCCGGCATTCCACGAAGCAGTGGTATATGTGAGAAACAAGTTCACGTCGAGGACCCCGTATGGACGTCATGTTCCAGTGCCGCCGTCTCAAACCCAAGACGCTCCGCGTCGGGCGAGAGGTGCGAAATTTGTCATTTATCTTCATCGTCCCAACGCCCACGTTATCAGTCCCGTCCTCGAAGCAGCGTCCATCGTACTGATTCAATGTTGTGACAGGGTGGCTTTCGGACTTTGACGACCGCGTGCATTACCATGGGGCGCCGAAGGCCGGCCGGACTCCCGTTAGGGATGTTTACAACGTACCCAGGTACACGTTCTTTTCGGGCTATTACGCAACTACAGATGACGACGGAAGACCCTTCCTCATCCTTTTTACTAACACTGCTCATATGGATGAGACAATGGCACTCGGTATGTCTTGTGACTAGTTCTCCGCTCCCGTTGCCTAGTTGCTTCAATGCCGACCACACACACCCTGTTTTCGTTTATCCCCAGGAGTCTTCCGACACCCGGAGGTGGCTTGACATTCAAAGCTGCCACTGGAGGATATTCAAGACACGTCCTCAGGCCGACCACGCAATGAATCACTAACATGGCAGCTAGAGATCAACATGATACGTACTTTTGTAACAGAGTACAACAGGGGAGAGAAGGTACTAACCTCCCGAGATCCTGGAGTCGCGTGTCGGACCAGGGACTTGAGCTGACCCAAGCCCCGCAGACACTCTACAACAGGGAGCCCGAGCCTGATTGCCGGCCCATCGGCGTAGTGTTGGTCACGTATGTCCCCCGCTTCACCATCTGCAGAACCTGTGCTTGGTTCGCTTCACCTCTAGGCTACCAAAACGAGCACTTGAGGTTCAAACCCGTACAAAAAGGCGTCACCTTTAGTTGACACACACTGATCGGATATAAGTTACCGATGGCACAAGCCCAAATCAAGCGGCACGGCGAGTGCCCCCTCCATAACCGTCGGTATCGCCAGTGAATATACCTGGACACATGGGTACGCCCGATGGGGCATCCACCTCAAGGCCAAGGCCGACAAGCTCGAGAACGGGTACTGGGCGTGGAGCTCCGGGCGCCCGAAGGTCTCCGGGGCACATGCGTACATCGACTGGGATGCCGACACCGCCAGGGGATTCGACAGCGACAGCAGGGGCTGGGTCGTCGGGCTCGGCTATGCCCTCCTCAGGGACGTGAGGGACCCGGTCGAGCTGATCGTGGGCCTGGAGGAGTCGGCCCTGCGCTGGGACCGGATCCTCAACAGCCGACAGTGGCTTCTCCACCGTGCGGCGACCTTGTATGGCACGGGTAGCCCCCAGTACAGGCTGTTGTATCATTTTGCCCGGGACTCGGGGCCCCGGGACCTCCCCAGGGCCGACGGGCTGCCGCAGTGGAAGCACTTTCAGTCGAGGATAGATATGGCTGGGAAGCCATACGAGGAAGAAGTCATATGGAGGAGTGTTTTCCATTAAGTTGGATGGAGACGGAAAGGTAAGGGGCCGCCGTTTGTGGGCCCGGACGTCTGGTTTACCGGAATAGAAAGAGTGTTATGAAACAGCGATGTAAGATGCAGGTGATGAGCACATTGCAACGCATTTTCCGCAGCATGTCGTGGAAGAGAGATACAAACACTGCTCGCGACGCACAGACGGTGCTCCAGTATATCTTATTTCTTTGAGCTCAGCCATGCGATCAATTACGATATGAGACAGGTACCACCCCCTAAATGAGTCTTGGTTACATGTCGAGAATTTCATAAACAATATGTGCCCAAGCCATGCCCCGTCATGTTGGTAATTGGATCGATTCAACCCTTCGACCCTTGAACTCACAATTCATGAGGAATGCGCTCCCATCTTTCGACACCAACAATCATCCTAAATACGGATCTTCTGGAAGGCTTCTGAAATATCTCGAGAGGAATAACAAACCGCTAATAGCGAGCGCAAACGTATAACATTTTAATCCAAAATATACAAGTGCTTATAACTATCAGGCATATTACAGCCTAACTTTAGCTACATTATACTTTTTTATTTAATTATTTATCTATTTATTATCTTTTTAACTTTTAAATTAACTATTACTTTATACTTGAAATATAAAGTTAATAATTATTTAATATATATTCTTAAATCTATTTATATAAAAACTTATTAACTTTCTTTATAAAGCTCTTTTTTATTAAATTCCTTATATATTATATAAAAATAAATAAATTTTTAATAGTAGAATAATATATTTAAAAGAAATTTATTTTAAATATTTAAATTTCTACTTTTTTACAAAGTATTTATTTAATAAAAGTAAATATAAATAATTATTAAATATTATATAACTACTTTATTAACTTATTATAATTAATTAACCTTTAAACTATTTATATTAATAATATAATATTATTAAAAGTAATACTTTCTAACTTTATTTATATAATATAAAGCTTAATTTCTAACTTAATAATAAAATTAAAAATTATAAATAGTTTATATAAAGCTTAATTATATACTTATAAATATCCTTTTAAATATAAGACTAAAAACCTATAATTATAATTTTATAACTAATTTTTATTTAATTATATTATATTATTATAACCTTATTTAACTTTATTTAAACTTTTTTAAATTTTTAACTTTAATATTTCTAAAAAGTTAAAGCTTTATATTCCTTAATCTTAAATTTAAGATTCTTATAAATCTTAATATACTTTAACTTAAACTTATAATCCCTTAACTTCTTTAAAAATATATTAACTATCTTAAATATTAATAACTTCTCTTTAAAATAAAAGTCTACCTTTATATAGTTATAAACTTAATTATTAATAATTTTTTTTATAAAGCTATTAAAACTATAAACCTAAATACTATATATAATAATAAAGTATAGTTACTTTACCTAATTATCTCTTAATTTAATAGGTTAGTTAAGTAACTACTTTTAAGTAGTTTTACTTAATAGGTATTTTCTTATAAAGTAGAGTTAAAACTTTAATTAAGGGAATAGTAGCTTTATCTTTACCTATTTTAACTAACTTATTTAAATTATATAGTAACCTTATATATAATACTTAACGGTATTAAAACTAAGTAGCTTATAATTTATAATAACTTTAACCTTTAATAAATTAATAATACTAACTTAAATAAACTAAATATAACCTAATATACTAATATAAAAGGTATCTTCTAATAATAAATAGTGTTATAAATAATTATAAAGTTATTATAAAAAGTCTTATATAATAAACTTAATTAAGTTAATTTTTAAAAAATATATTATATTTTATCCCTTTAAAACCTTAATCATTTACTTTTAACTTAATAGTAAAACTAAAAAAATATAAATAGTTTATACTTATAAATATATTATATTCTCTTTTTATTAATAATAATATTATATTTCTTTAAAAACTAGACTTTAAGTATTTATTACTATATAAAGACGCTATATATACATTATATATATATATATAGGGATTAAAAACGAAACCACCACCCATAGTATAGCCTTAAGACCTACTACTTGGGCGCATAAGATTATCGCGCTTATTGGCATCACCCTTAGATCCGGGCAATGTTCGAATTCAATTGAGACGTTGACTACATGTGAGCGGTAAAGGGCCACGGGGGGCCGTCAAGAGAAACCAACACTGATCAGGTGTGAGACAAAACACCGATTGACCGTCTAAGTCAGTGGACACCCTCCCGCACAGCCCCCTTCACGCACACGTGTTTCTCACCAAAAAGACCAATTTTAAGCCCTCTCTAATTACTTATATAATTATTAGATTGAGAAGAACATCATGGTGATAGCTTTGAAGGGAGAGAAGTAGTGTAGTAATTGAGAGGTTGCTAGAAAGTCATGAGTGTTCATGGCGACCCTCTCTAGTGCGCACTAACGCACGGTATGGATGTTTTTTAAACTCTGGGTCTTAAGCGTTTACCAACGTATGAAGGCGCCATGTATTTTCCTTGGACGTGTGCAAAATAGAAGCGAAACCATTGAAGACCCAGTTTTTACATGAGGCATTTCCAAGCACCCTTCAGTAAATGGTTTGTAGACAAAGACAAAGAAAGTCTTTTGTTGAGTGGACAAAACTAATGAGTTAATAACATTGTTTTTCGGGACCACATTCACGTCTGAACAACCATGCTTCGCAAAGTCCAACGGCTACCGGCCGAGGGCCATTGTGTCTGCGGCTCCTGCAATGACTGTGATTGTGCTCGATGCGGGCCCAACCAAACCTTGGAAAGAAAGATTTCAACTCACAGGGAGGTAATTGAGAGAATGGCGATACTACTGAACGATTTGAGGCCGAACTATATATATATTTCCTTGCCCGTGAAATTCTGATGAGTGAAAAAAACTGCAAACACCAGCACAACATCCAGCCGCCCAAAAGACCAGTTGACCCATTTTCATCCAGGACGACTCAACGCAAGCCCAACATACTCCATCTACCTAGGTAAGATGTCTGAGAACATGGCACCCACCCCCACTATTCAAAATTCCATCCCCGTCCGGTATGATCCACGAGTTGTGGTCAAACCTTGCGAGCCTGACCGCGTTCCACATCTGCCCGGAGATATCCTCTATATGATTGCCCAGGCACTCCCTCAGCCGAAGCAGGTCTTCAATCTGGCACTGGCGAGTAAAGATACATGGTATCACCTACAGCCCGCATTGTATGAGTGCGAAGTGACCTATGAGGCCAGGCTTGCACACAGATACGGTGATAGGTCTTCGGCCGACGTGATTGAGTACCACAAATCTCCGCGCGAGTGGACGTACGTAGAAGAATCCGAATCCGAATCCGAAGACGAAGAGGAATGGGATGAAGACGAAGACGAAGAACAAGACGGTGAGGAAGACCAGGATGAAGACCAGGACCAAGAAGAGGACCAAGAAGAAGACCAGGAACAAGACCACGACCAAGAAGAAGACCACGACCAAGAAGAAGACCAAGACCAAGACCAAGACCAGGACCAAGACCAAGACGAAGGCGAATGGTTAAATGGTATCGCTTCTGTTTTTGGAACGTCCGAAGACGAACTGTCAAGTGACGAAGACGACTCCCTTGACGACTACAGCTCCATCGGCACCTGGAGTCCCTGCGCGAGTGTAAGCGACATCAGTGAAGGCACCTGGAAAAAACGGGAGGAGACAAGGGATGCAAAAGCCAGCCTCCAGCTGGCAGCCATGCTTGCCAAGGAAAAGCACGAAAGAATGCAAAGGGGTAACTGTGAATGTCCCCAATGCACCAGGCGCATAGATATTGAATTCAGGGTATTCAAAGCCACAGTTCCCGTACGGTATAAACCATACCACATTGCTGGGGCGATGACGGCCCTGCACTGGGCGTCCACCCGCGGCGCCTCGGCGCTGCCTGTCGCCCAGAGGGCAATACAGGCAGCCTTGGTGCACCAGCCATCCTACATCAACGGCCTGGACCTGATCCGACGCGCTTATTACCTACAGGAGGATATCCCACGGCGCACCAGGCGAACATTCGGAGACCACCCGCCCCCCTTGTTCATCGCCCTGGCACACGGCAACCTCGAGCTGTTCCAGGCGCTGGTCGACGCCGGCGCCGACCTCAGCCTCACCCTGGGGCGGATGGAGTATTATCATTGCAGCCGTGATATATCCAAGATACACTCGCGGTGCGCCGCCTCCTGGCCCTTCGAAACGGTACCGGGCGCCTGCATGTTTGGTGATCCGATTGCCGGCTATGAAGAGCCTCACTACCCTACCGTGTGCCAGACGATAGGCCACCTCGCGATAGAGCTCGGGCAGACGGAAGTGCTGGAGATGCTGCTCCGGAAGGGGCTGGATCACCAGCAGACGGTGTGCCCCCTATTGCATCACGCAGTGCTGCATGGGAGCCTGCCTGCCATGAAAGCCATCCTGGCCCGCGACCCGGGTGCTGTTCATGGTTATTACAGGGACAAGACGGTCCTGCACATGCTGCCTTGGACGAAACCTATGGCCGATGCCGAAATCTATGAAAGGAAACTTGAAAGTATGGCTTCGTGTCTTTTCGAACACGGTATCAGTCCAGGGGCTCCAGCGAGGAGATACGAATCAGCCGGGTTCAGAAACATTGGAGGCGACACAGCCCTAGATGAGGCTCTCAAGTGCCTCGCGAGCTTTGAGGCCAAGGAATGTGGGCACCGTGCCGCCATAGGTCAATGGTCAGTCAACATCCTCGTCGGGCATGGTTCGAGCTGGCTGCCGGGCGATGCAGCGAACGCACACTTAGAACATGTCAGACGCGGTATCCTGTTTGCCTGTATCAAGAATATTGTTTTGGTAAAATGTTGGCCCGGGTGGTATCATAACAATAGCGCCCTTTGGAATTCGGACTTTGATGCCACGCGGATTCGTAACAACCGGATGTTTTGGGGACGGACGTGCCAGGCCCTTATCAGACAGGCGTCCGAGGCCTTGGCACGGGATGCCGGTGGCCACGGCACGGAAGCCATCCGAGAGATACTTCACACGGGGTTCCGCGTCATGGTTGATACGGTGGATCAAAAATGGCAGCAAGCGGGCATCGTCGGCTGGTGGGCACTAGAGGCCTTGGGCAATTTGTTCCTGTCCACTGGGATGGAGCTATGTGGTGAAACAAAGCGTGCGTGGGATAGGATCTTGAAGAGAGATTACAAGGATCCGGCCGATTTGCCCGAGTGGATGCGGCCGGGCGTCGGATTGCCCGGGTCGATTAAGAAATGCGAAGAACTGGACGGAGACAAGAGCGACTGGGCCTTTCTCCTGGAAGGCACTACCTTCAAGAATCCTGAGGGCACCTTTCCTCCTTGTGACCATGACCACATGTACACTTTCTAGGCTGAGTTTTTTAAGTCCACCTCTTCCGCTCGGGATTGTTGGTCATCTGAATTTCATAGGGGCACAAAAATATGTGTGGCGTGTGGTGTTACAACTCGAGAATGTCCAAATGGCCCGAGTAAATAGTAGAATGCAACCCCAAATAAAGTATGAATTGAGCCGCGTTGATTGTGGTGCTATATTTGCTGTTTCCGTAGGGCCTGCCATATCCTCCATGGCAACTTCCAGCTGCTCCTGACCTGGAACGGGTCAAAGTTGGCCTTCTCGATCCTCTCGAGATAGTCTTCGGCGGGTTTAGCCTCCAGCAGGACCCCAAAGCCACGTTTCAGGTCCCGCTGTGTGGTGTCTCCCTCCTCCTGGCCATACGAGTGCTCCACCTCGCCGGCGTGCTCGTACTCGTGGCCAGGATCCGCCCCCTGGCGCATGTTCTTCAACATCTCGCGCGCGGTGATGAGGTGGTCGTTGGCACGGGTGGCCACCTTGAAGATGGCATCCTGCAGGCCATCCGCGTTGGGCCCGTGGCGGAAGACGTCCTCTTCCCGCAGGCCGACCTCGGCCATGACGTCGAGGGGCAGCAGGAGGGCCTGGCTCCTGCTGTTGCCTGCCTCCACCCCGCCGGGGATCTGTACCGGCCGCGGCGGAGCGGCCAGGACGGGGACACCGCGGAGGGTGGCGACGATGCCGCAGGCCTTGCCGATGTGGCTGGCCAGGTGGTCGACGTGCACGGAGCGGACGTCCATGGCGGCCAGGGTCATGTACATCAGCGTGGCATATGTGTTCTCTGCGTAGTCCTCCAGGGCGGCCAGGCTCGAGAAGGGCCTGTTGTCCATGTACTTCTCGCGGGTGTTGATGAGGCGAAGCAGCCAGAACTTGATGGAGCTGGCGCTGGCGGTGGAGCCCGTCCTCTCGGCGAGGTCGGTGATGGCCCTGTGCAGGAGGATGGAGATGGGCTCCTTGGGCGGGCTGCCGGCAAAGGTCTTGTTGATGGAGTCGCGCCAGAACTGCATGCGCATCATGCCTATCGTGGGGTTCGAGACGGTCTCGGGGAGGCGGGCGAGTTCGAGGTTGAGGGTTCGCAGGGCGTCGTAGGCATTCTGGGCGGAGCGAGGGACGAATTGGCGGATGAGATAGGCATCGTAGTCGCCTTGCCTAGGAAGCAAGACATGTGAGAAGAGATGCGCAGGCGACAGGCTCGTGCTGGAGTTGGGATTGGGGCATTGCGGACCTCAACTGATTTACACAGTATTTTCGAGCGCTCTCAATGTCTGCTTCTGTCGCAATTCCCCTTGCTCTTGTTGTTCTCCGAACACTGCCCAGTGCTCGGACAAGTGGCCTCCCTGGGCCATGTCTGAGGCTGTGGGAGAGAAACATGTTGTTCAGGAGAAGTCAGAAACGAATTGCCCCATTTTTAGAACTGCATCGTGCCCACCCGTTAGACAGCTTCGACCTAAGATACGTAGATGACGGCATGCGGGTACCCATTTAGCTGGACCCCTGCCCCTGCACGCCCCACCTTTCTGACAAAGGTCGAAGCGTTGAGTGGCTGCAGGTCCAGACGCCAAAAGTCGCGCCCTCAAAGAGCAGGCGCGTCTCACCAGCACATTGTTCCAGCAAGCGTCGGGTCGTCGAGGCACCTTCAGGTTGTCTTCGCCACCGACTTCCACTCCAACGACTTTCCCCATTCGTTCCATGACGACTCACAACATGGAACCTCATGCGGATGGCGAGCCTCCGGCCAAGAAGAGGCGTTTCTTCACGGATCCGGACGAAAATGTCGCCCCATCGGACGCGTCCGGCCCTGCAGCACCTGCCGCTGCATCGCCGCCTCCTAAAGAAAAGCCACGCTTCTTCAAAGATGCCGACGACGTTACGAACGTACGCCCTCGTGACTCAGCACCTGGCGCTCGAGGTTCTGTGAAACACCACGAGCAAACTGCTGCCAACAATGTGCCCTCGACCCCGCAGGCTGGCCCATCAAACAACGGCGATGCGTCTTTGGCCTTCGATCGAGAAACATTCGAGAGTTTTGTCGGGGACAAGGTCCCATCTGATGTTCTCGAGATCATCCGTAAAAACTGTGGCGATAACATCGAGAGAGCAGTCAACATGTACTTTGATGGGACCTGGAAGAAGTTTAAGAGCAGAACGATCCCCGCAAGTTCTCACACGACGATACCGAGGAATCCGAAACCACAGGAATTCAAGCCACCTGACAACAAGTCTCATGAACCCCGTCAGATCCCGCCCGACGCCCGCTATATAGGCTCGTTCGGTGTGGAAGGCTGGGCAACGAGAAGCGGGTCGAATATTCTCAAGTACGGAGACAATCTCAGGATCGAGCGGCAGAAGACTCAGCAGCCATTGAAAAGGAACCGAGTCGATGTCCTCGTCAGGTTCACCAACGATAAGGGCATGGAGATTGGTCGCTTGGCCAAGGACAGCGCCAACTGGATCTCCACGTTGATGGACCAGAAATGCTGCACCTTTGATGCGACATGCGTCTACGCTCCCGAACGCCTGCGGACAAATGACACCGTCTTCATCCAGCTGCGTTGCTTTTTTCTCAATTCCGCCTTCCACAGGCCGGGCTTGAAACTGCCCGATAACCGCTCAACTGGCCTCTATGAAGAGAAGGAGACCACTGAGGAGCGGGATCTTCGCCTGAGGCAGGTTGCTTTGGTCAGGCTGTTTCAGGAGATAAACTTGAATCCTACCAAGCTCAGTACTGCTGCGGCTCGGCACTCCCGTGAGGGCCTGCTTGAGGCTGCCGAACTGGCCGAGAAGCAGGAGAAGGAAGCTGCCAAGGCTAAGAAGCCTGTCAAGACCGACAAATCGGGCTCGTCGACGCCGTCTGAAGATGAAGATGGGACCGAGCTCGAGCAGGACCAGCTCGACTCTCTCTACAAAAAAGCCCAGTCCTTCGACTTTGACACTCCCGAGGCAGAGCCGGCCAGTACTTTCGCCATGACCCTTCGTCCCTACCAGAAACAAGCCCTCCACTGGATGCTGTCGAAAGAGAAGAACGAGAAGGAGAAGCGGCGTGAAGTATCGATGCACCCGCTGTGGGAGGAATACTCGTGGCCGATCAAGGATGCCGACGACAAGGATCTCCCACGTGTCGCCGACCAGCCCTGTTTTTACATGAACCCCTACTCCGGAGACTTGTCTCTGGACTTCCCAGTGCAAGAACAGCATTGCCTTGGAGGCATACTTGCCGACGAGATGGGCCTCGGGAAGACCATACAGATGCTCAGCTTGGTTCACTCGCACCGCTCGGAAGCGGCGGTCCAGGCCAGGAGCAGCCACGGTAACGGTGCTGGTTCCGTCAACAACCTCCCTCGATTGCCCTCGTCTGCGGCTGGGGTTGTTTCGGCCCCCTGCACTACTCTGGTTGTAGCTCCAATGTCTTTGCTGGCCCAGTGGCAGAGCGAGGCGGAGAACGCATCCAAAGAAGGCACTTTGAAGTCAATGGTGTACTATGGTAGCGACAAAGTCGCCGATCTCCGAACCCTCTGCTGTGAAGCCAACGCATCCACGGCTCCTGATGTGATCATCACCAGTTATGGCATTGTGCTGTCTGAATTCACGCAGATAGCGTCCAAAGGTGGCAGTATGGATGGCCAGCGCGGGCTGTTCTCCCTGAACTTCTTCCGAGTCATTCTCGACGAGGCACACAACATCAAGAACCGCCAGTCCAAGACGGCCAGGGCATGCTATGAATTGGCTGCCGAGCATCGGTGGGTGCTGACCGGAACACCCATCGTGAATAAGCTCGAAGACTTGTTCAGTCTCGTTCGTTTCTTACGAGTTGAACCATGGAACAACTTCTCCTTCTGGCGTACGTTCATTACAGTGCCATTCGAGGCTGGCAACTTCGTCAAAGCGTTGGACGTCGTACAGACCGTGCTGGAACCTCTGGTGATGCGACGCACCAAGGATATGAAAACCCCAGATGGCACGCTGCTCGTGGAACTGCCGCCAAAAAGCATTGAAGTCGTCGACATTGAACTATCAGAAAACGAAAGACAGATTTACGATTACGTGTACCTTCGAGCGAAGAGGACTTTCCAGGAAAACGTTCAGGCGGGCACCGTCATGAAAGCCTTTACCACCATTTTCGCGCAGCTCTTGCGGCTGAGGCAGTCCTGCTGTCACCCGACCCTAGTCCGGAACAAGGATATTGTGGCAGACGAGGAGGAGGCCGGGGCTGCGGCCGATGCCGCGGCAGGTCTTGCTGACGATATGGATCTCTCGGCGCTGATCGAGCGATTTACTGCTGACACGGATGACGAGAAGGACGCTAATGCATTTGGTGCACATGTGCTCAAGCAGATCCGAGATGAGGCCGCCAACGAGTGCCCCATCTGCTGCGAGGAGCCAATGATCGACCAGACGGTCACGGGCTGCTGGCACTCTGCGTGCGAAAAGTGTCTCCTGGACTACATCAATCACCAGACGGAGCGCCACGAAGTACCAAAGTGCTTCAACTGTCGCGAGGTCATCAACTCCCGGGATCTCTTCGAGGTCGTGCGCCACGATGACGACCCCGAGCCCAGGCCGGACCAAGGCGCACCGCGCATCAGCCTCCAACGCGTCGGTGTCAACACCTCCTCGGCCAAGGTGGTCGCCCTCATCAAGCACCTCCGAGCCCTGCGGCGGCAGAGCCCCAGGGTGAAGTCGGTCGTCTTCAGCCAGTTCACGTCCTTCATGACGCTCATCGAGCCGGCGCTGGAGAAGGCGAACATGCAGTTCCTGCGGCTGGACGGCTCGATGGCGCAGAAGGCCCGCGCGGCCGTGCTGGACAGGTTCCGGGACAGCAACAAGTTCACGGTGCTGCTCCTCAGCCTCAAGGCGGGCGGCGTCGGGCTGAACCTGACGAGCGCCAAGAGGGTGTTCATGATGGACCCGTGGTGGAGCTTTGCCATCGAGGCGCAGGCCATCGACCGGGTGCACCGGATGGGGCAGGAGGACGAGGTCAAGGTGTACCGCTTCATCGTGAAGAACAGCGTTGAGGAGAGGATGCTGAAGGTGCAGGAGAGGAAGAAGTTTATGTGAGTGCCACCCCCGCCGTAACTCTTTTCGTGTGTCTTGTTTTGGTGTCGCTGACCCCCGGTCCACCTGCAGTGCTACGTCTTTGGGCATGATGAACGACGAGGAAAAGAAGACGCAGCGCATCGAGGACATCAGGGAGCTTTTGAGCTGAGCGGGCGCAAGCATTTCTGGCAATATTTTGGGCGGGGGCGCTGTTACGGACTCATTGCTTGGAGTTGGGTTGATATACACTTACCTCGAAAGGGAGTCAGGTCATGGCATCGGCAACAAATTTGCTACACATCTTTACATCCATTGACGGAGGACAACATTGAGCTTCGTATTGTACAATATCAAGTATGTACTTCACCCGCTCAACTTACTTGTGCTTCAACAATCGGAGACTGATTTTCCCGTCTCGTGAGTGTGGAACCTGGGCTACAGCTGGCTCATCCCCTGCTGGACAATCCCACACCAAACACACAGATTAATCACTGTACTCGTTCACACAACGGCTGGCAAGTCACATACAACGCATTCTTGACCAAATTAAACGCAATGCTAGTTGTTACAACGGCCCCCACAACAAAAAGGTATCTCACACAGAAACAGCAGCCTGCAGCTCCCTAACCTCCTCACTAACAGCCCCCTTGCCCTCAGCCTTGGCCGGCGCCGCGGCCGCCTCCTGCCCCTCGCCAAAGTTCTCCCGCCCCTCGGCAAAGACCCGGTCGAACTCGTACTCGCCCCAGCGGATGTCCGGGCAGAGCCCGGCGAACTTCCACACGCCCTCCACCTTGCGGTACCAGTGCATGTTGTAGCTGTGGGCGTGGCCTTTAACCTTGACCTCGGCCAGCGTGGCGTCCGTGTAGACCTGGTGCGGCACGCGCAGCTGGTGGTGGCCGATGACCTCGGTGTCGGACACCTTCTCCCAGCGCGACGCGCCGACGAAGTGCTGCGTGCGCAGGAGGGGGCTGCCCAGCACCGCGGGGGAGGAGATCATGGCTATGAAGTCCTCGGCGGGCATGGCGGGCCAGTGCTTGTCCAGGAAGGAGCGGTAGTCGATCTGTTGGGTTGGTGTTAGTGGGTGGGTGGGTGGATGAGCCGGTGAGGGAGGGCGGGCGGGCTGTAAGTGGCTTTGCTTGGCTACACTGGGGATCTATCTGATCTACGTGTGGCGGTTGCGGGGTGTGTGTGTGTGTATGTGCCGTGTGTTGGTGTGCTGGCTGTGCTTACACGGAGGGTCGGGGCGATGCATCTGCTCAGCCGCTTCCAGTCCTTGGCGTCGTAGCTGTCTGCCCACTCGAACAGGGCGGCATTGAGGCCCAGGTAGTCTGGTGGTTTGACATGGTTAGTCGGCTGTCGTCTGAAAACGAAAACGAGCCTTGTTGTCTGTGGGGCCTGGCGTACCTGAGAAGGTGATCTCATCTGTAGTTGCCGAGTTGGAGCCCATTGTGAAGGAAGGGAGGGGATATTCGTTGTCCGCTATAAAAACGTGGGGTATAAGTCGATCTCGAACGGAAGAGGCGTGTGTGCTTATGGAAATCTTGTCGACAATCACGAAGATAAGGTTGGCAACCGACAATACCCCTCCGCCACCCCGTTCGAGATCGAGGGCGGGGATCTGGCATTTATCAATCTCCCAAGCCCGATATTAAGCCACCATCGAACTCCTGTTGTGAGGGTGGTGTCCGACCCGGCGCATCAACAACCACGCTCGGTGGACCCCCTGTTCCGGCCCGTGTGCGCGGACGTCCGGACGTGGTTGGGGAAATGCGGGTGGGCGGCGCCGACACAAACCCCTGAACCACACCTTACACCCTATACACTGGGGCCGCACACCCCCCAATGGGTTCGCTTAATCACTTGCATACTCCCGTAGGATCCGTTGGCTGGATCGTTCTTTCACATGTGCTGGCTGGGGGGTGCAGTAGTACATGCCCTTATGCTGCGTACTTTTCACTGGCACTGACTGCATGAAGGAAGGATCACAGTAGTTCTACACTATGCTATTCTGACCGGGGCAGTGGTTGGCTGTACTTTTGGGTGGTGCCCGTGAAATACGGTCGTGGTAATTTCTGATACGTCTTGGTTCGCCCCCCGTCCGAACACCCACCCGCTCGGTCGCCAAGGCTGTCGTATCTCCTGGACTTGGACTCCGGGTTTGTGTGGTGTCGGCGCCGAGCCTAGTCTGCTCGGTACTGTAAAACACGAGTGCATCCTGTCAGAATCGGGGTTGGTAACGTCCGGGCGTTCCCGCTCGGCGCAAGTGTCTGTTGTCGGTGGTTCATCCTTCGAGTGTCCCGAGGGTCTGTCTATACTAGTATGTGTAGAACGGATGATGCTAGACACGGACGGATGAGCAAGTGTGCGATGAAAGAAACAGCACTTGACGAGTGTTTCCAGCCGAAGGACCTAATCTGATGACCGCCTCACGGGAACAGGTTTACATCAAACCGTGCGTCAATGCGGAGTGAGTGATGAGCGAGGCAGATGGTACCCTCCTAGGTAGTACAGTCAGGCTGCCGTCAATCTTTTGCCACGAAATCTAGTACCGTAATTCCGACAGCCTGCATATGACAACTCAACATGACGCATTGTGAACCATTGTTTCTCAACAGGCCCAACGGTCATTTTCCAAGATAGACAGCCCGTGGGACCATTACCTGGAGAAATTACAGAATGGTAACACCAACAGACCTATTAGTATTTCCTCGTGCCAGCCCTCCAGATGTCATCCAACATCCATCCAAACCTCGATCTAAACTCACTGGCATAGCCCAAGTACTTTTGCTGTACTGCTGAGCACCGCAAGGTCAAGTGAAAATGCACAAAACACTGAGTACATCACAGGCGGACGTTCTCACACTCCAACACACGCCCTAAGGGCGCTGGACAGCACGCACCGCAAGCCTCAGCCGCCGGACAAGGTTCCGTCTAGCCATCGACGACCGTCTGATCCTGTCGACAGCAGCATCCGCCAGGGTCTCGCTGATCCGGCCGTACAACTTCTCAACCGTGCGGAACTTGCTCATGCGCCGCCGGCACTCCCTCGTGAGCGCGTTCTCGACCCTGCCGATCCCGGCGATCCCGCGCCTGACCTGGGCCCGGGCCCGGTCCTCGTGGTCCGTCAGGCGCGTGGTGTTGGGACGGCTGGTCCGTATCTTGGCTGGTGGGTTGGCGGCGGGCGGCTGGGCGGGCGTGGTGGTGGGCGTGGTGGTGGGCTTTGGCGTCCTCCTCTCCCGGAAGCTCGCTGCCGTGGGGACGACCTTGGTGTTGCTCGGGGATGCCTTTGCCACCGCTGGGTCTTGTCGCTGTGACCGCATCGCATGCCTTGCAAAAATGTTGTCCCCGGCCGGGGACGCTGCTTCGGCTTCTCTCAGGATGGCGTCTATGGAATCAGCCGCCGTCAGCCCGGACGTCTCCATCTCGTCCACTTCCTGGTCGAGGTCGTCGTGGTTCACCCTCTTCGCTGCCTGTGCTGCCTTTGTGCTCAACCTGGCAGCAGGAGACTTGGGCGTTTTCGCAGGCTTCCCACTCTTCGCGTGTGAGCCCCCGCCCCAGGCCCTGCAGACCTCCTGGACCCTGGCCTCGATCCGCTGTCTCGCGTCCTCACGGGCGACACCGCTCCTGAGGAGCTTGTCGTAGTCCGTCTCGCAGTGGCGGACGTGGGCCCGGACGGCGAGGTGCACCTTGCGCTGCACGTCGAGCTTCCCAGTCCTGCCGACCTTGCCCTTGCCCTTCTCCAGCGCGATCCTGGAGACGCTGCGGAGCGAGCTGGGTGGGATCTGGGGGAACGCCTTCACGATGTCCTTCTCGAAGCCCCTGGCCAGGCCTTCGTCTCGTTTGAGGACGTTGGCGGCCCTGTCGGCGCGGGTTTCGGTCTCTCTGAACTGCACGGCCAGATAGATGCTTGTCGGCACGCCGATGCCGATCTGGCGGCCCCTTGCGTCGATGACCGTGAATACTGGGCGGTCTCGCTCTTGCGTCTGCTTGCGGCAGTTGCTTGTGATGTAGACGTTGCCCTTGGGGACGAAGGCGTAGCCCTTGGGCAGGGCGCTCTTGGACACCTTTGCCTCTGACATGTTGGCTAGACGGGCACAGCTGTCAAGCTTTTCAATGATTGAGGGCCAGTTCGCGAAATACTTGTCTTGTGATGAGATTCGTTTATGGCTGAGCAGCGGGTCTGTCCAGAGAGTTGAGGTTCTGATTATTATCGACGTGAGGGCAAGATGCTGGTCTGGGCGCGGCAGATTTTATGAGAGAGCTGGCAAGGTTCTAGAAGTAGTTTGCTACTGCATCAGGTATCTGTTGCGGGCAGCCAGCCACCATTCCTACATATGTAGGCACTGTCCGCCTCTGGCAGCCTCCTGGACAGACAATGCCACCTTCGAGGAAGAAAAGTCATGTCGAACAAAGACATTTCCTGAACCGGCAAAGAGCTCATGCTTGTCATTGGGATTTACTTTTCCTTTTTTAGAATTGCAAGATTTCAGCTATGCTTATCTTTAAGCATTTCAGGTTGAATTAAGAGAAGATTCTACCCCCTTCGTAAAGTAATCCATGGTGAGAGCTGCCTTGCTTGACCCCCAACTCAGATATTGTACTTCTGTCCAGGCGAAGCCAAGCTGATGATCTTGCGCTCAGTAAACTCCTCCACGCCGGCAATTCCACCAAACCTGCCGTAGCCACTGCTCCCGCCAACACCGCCATTGGGCAGCGTCGCCTCGATATACACCGTCGGGCCGTTGACATGACAGCTGCCAGCCCGCACCCGCCTCGCGACGTCCAGCGCGCGCATCGTGTCCCTGCTGAAGATGCTGGCGCAGAGCGAGTAGTCGCTGTCGTTGGCCGACGCGACGGCCTCCTCCTCCGTGTCGAACTCAAACAGGCACAGGATCGGGCCGAACGACTCCCTGCGGAAGACGTCCATCTCGGGCGTGACGCCCTCGAGGACGTGCGGGCACACGATGGTCCTGTTGGGGCCCGAGATGCGCATGTCGCCCGCGAGGACCCTGGCCCCCGCCTCGACGGCCGACTCCATGAGCTGCAGGACGTTCCTTGCCGATGCCGGGGTGAAGAGGCCCGAGATGGAGACGTCCGGGTCGTCGAGGTGGTTGCCCGTCCTCAGCTGGGCGACCCTCTCCAGGAGCCTGGTCCTGAACTCGCCCATGATGCTCCTGTGGACTATGACACGCTCCGTGCTCCTATATCATCTACTTGTAAGCAGCCCTTTCACGACGTGGGGGGATGAAGACACGGCAGAGACCAAGCTGCTCTGAAAAAGGGGGCAAGATCTATACTGACATGCACACCTGGCCCGAGTTGCTCATCGCCCCAAACACAACCGCCTCGACGGCGTCGGCCACGTCCGCGTCCGGGAGCACAACCACGGGCGCCTTGCCGCCCAGCTCGAGGACGCACCGCTTCAGCACCTCGGCCGCCCAGCCGGCGATGATGCGGCCCACGCGGTCCGAGCCCGTGAAGTTGACGCGCTGCACCAGCGGGTGCTTGACCGCGTGCTCGGTCACGGCGGGCGTCCGCGCCGGGCTGGCGGGGAGGTAGTTGAGGCACCCCGCGGGCAGGCCGGCCTCGGCGAGGGCGCGGACGACGAGGTGCTGCGATTTGGGGCTGAACTCGGACGGCTTGAGGACGACTGTGTTGCCGCAGATCAGGGGGCAGGCGATTGCCCTGGCCGTCAGGTTGATCTTGGGCGATATATGGTCAGTGACAGTCCCTGAATCCCGGATACAGTTGTGTTCTCGTGGTGCAAGGCTTGAAGACGAGTAATGGAAGAGTCAAAAGGAAAGTCTCCCTTTTCTCATGAGTCCATTTCTCACGAGTCCAAAATTCAAGGCCTTACCGGCGCATTCCACGGCGCAATCGCAAAGTTCACCCCAACAGCCTGCCTCTCAACCAGAATCGTCGTCCCAGGCCGGTCGGCAGGCACGATCTCGCCCTTGATGTGCGTCGCGAGGCCGGCCACCTCCCGCAGCACATTCACCGTCGACAGGACGTTGAGCCTGACCCACGCCCTGGTCGCCGAGACCTCGCTCGACAGCAGCTGCGGCGCGTCCTTCTCGAGGTACGTCTCGAGGATGTCTGCGGCCCGGAGGAGGACCAGCCGCCGCGCCGAGGGCCCCGTCCTGGACCACGACTGGAACGCGTCGTGCGCCGCCTCGATGGCCCGCGTGTAGTCCTCCGTGGTCGCCGACGCGCACTCGTAGATCCTGGCCCCCGTCATCGGGTTCGTCACCGCGAACGTCGCCCCGTCGGAGCTCCTCACGTACTCGCCGCCGATGAGGAGGAGCTGGTCGTCGCCGAGGGCCGTGTAGCCGCTCTGGCTGCCCTCGCCGGCCGCGGCCTTGTTGTCGTCGCCGGCTGGCATCGCCTGGGTTTCCCTGCCGTGCTTCTTGTCCTGTCTTTCTGCTGGGGTTGGCTTGTGACTTGCCATGCTATGAATCGTGACTAGTATATTTGAAGTCTACAAATATTCATGTCGTGACTTGAGCAGGTGTTGGTGATGCGTAGAAGCCTCGGCACTTGTCGCCATCCTGGAAAAGAGATTCCCCGCCGGCCCCGGGGATCAGCGGCCTCAGAGCCCGCGTGGACGTCATCAGTGGACGACAGACAGGCTCTGGTGCTCTGTTCCGTATACATCATGTCGCTGCTCAGAACACTTTGTCCTTAAAAATTCGCTTGTTGTGAAATTGTTCTTCCGATTCCGGCTCCTTGTTATACTACTGAAACCTGACTCACTTGAGATATCTTCGTGTCTGGTGCCATGATGATGAAGTCAACATAGGAGGTCCGGGTGCGGGGCCGAGGCCTCGGTGCCGGGCCGCCGCTCGGTTTGTCGGGGAAGTTGGCCCACCTTGGATTTGACTTCCAGGTTAGGTGCCTCGCGAGGTTCTGCATCAGGACCCGTGATAAATATTTCTACCCAAGCAAATATAATCTCTATTTAATATTTATCATATGCAGTGAAATAGAATCCTTGTAAGTTAGTGGACACCCTCACACACAACCCCCCTGGCGCACACGTATTTCCTGCTAAAAAGACTAATTTTAAACTTTTATTTAAATAATATAAAGATTTATATAAACTATTTATATTTTTTTAGTTTTACTATTAAATTATAAATAAATTATTAGAGTTTTAAAAAAATAATATATATTTTTAAGATTAATTTAATTAAATTAATTTTATAAAACTTCTTATAATAACTTTATAATTATTTATAATATTATTTATTATTAAAAGATACTTTTTATATTAATATATTAAGTTATATTAGTTTAATTTAATATTATTAACTTATTAAAGTTAAAGTTATTATAAATTATAAGTTAGTTTAAATATTATTAAGTATTATATATAAGATTATTATATAACTTAAATAACTTAAGTTATATAACGATTTTATATATAATACTTAATAACGTTAAGTATAAGTTAATTAAAATAAGTAAAGATAAAGTTAATATTCCCTTAAAGGTTTTAATTTATTTTATAAGTAAATACTTATTTATTTACTTTATAAGTAAAATTACTTAAAAGTAGTCACGGAACTTATTATACTATTAAATTAAAATATAACTTTTAAATAAAGTAATTATATTCTATTATTTAAGTTTATAACTTTAATAGTTTTATTATATAAATAAAGAAATATTTATTAATAATTAAGTTTATAATTATATAAAGGTAAACTTTTACTTTAAAAGATATTATTAATATTTAAAATAGTTAATATATTTTTAAAAAGTTAAAGAATTATAAATTTAATTTTCTTATATAAGAAAAGATTAAATAAACTTATATAAAAGCTTATATTAAATTAAAATTTAATTAATTTAGTATAATAAAATATTTAAATAAAAATTAATTAGAAAATTATAATTATAAGTCTTTTAGTTTTATATTTAAAAGAGATAAAGATTTATATAATTATTTTAATTTAAAATATAATATTAAGTTATAAATTTAATAAATAAAAAGTTTTATAATTTAAGCTCTTCTATTAATTAATAAATAAAGATTTAAAATAAATAAAGTAAATAAAATAAAATAAAATAATTTATTTATTATTTAAACTTAAATATTAAATTTTAAAATAACTTAAAATATAAAGTTTCTTTTAATTTATATTTATTATATTATTTAATATTACTTTATAAAAACGTATTAGTTAAATAATTCTTATATTTTATAATAAAAGAAGTATAAAAGTTATTTAAGTTAATAAAATTAATAAAAAATATAAATGTACTAGTTAGTATTATAAATAATTAACTAATAACTTTAATATTTATATATTTTCACTTATATTAAAACTTATAACTATAATTTAAGGAAGGGGAAGGTATAAAGACTTCTTTATGACTACTTCTACTCTTAACGACCCTCTCTTTTGTGAGACCATTTTGCCATAGGGAAATCATCAAATGGCTAAAAATTACCCACAATATATGGCTACTATTTATTTTGAGGACATTCAAAGTTGGTGTCAGAGGGATGACAGTCAAATAAGTAAATCAGGGTCACAGTGACCATTCCTTATACCCACCAACGCACGGTATGGATATAGTATTAATAATAGTACCAGTGAACACACGACAGGTACATGTGGCCTCAGCCTTGCGGCGTGCAGACAAAGCTAAGGGGCACCGTCTCGACGGCGGCGTTGACTAGAATCGTGGACACAAGTTCTAGATCTTGAAGTTACTCTTTTGGAAGAAAGCCGTGCTCAAGGGGCTCATCACGGCTGTAAGCGCCACGATGGTTGACAAGTGGGGGAGCCGGTGCTGTCACCAAGTCAGCACTTGATATCTGGCACCAGGACGTCTCAATTAACCAGATAAGCTTACGCGAGCCGTGTGAGAACCTCTTTGGTCAGCCCGTCCGTCGAGGGCCCGACTCAGTGTTCCCGTGGCGGGCCAGATGACGCGGAACCGCAGCGGTGGAGCTCGACCATCCGGGTACTCAAACTCGGGACTGACTGGGTCGCAGCCACATGTACACTCTGATGTACCAGTGCAAGTCGAACGGGATTGAATTCTCAAGCTGGGGGATAGAAGATGTACCAAAACCCTGAAAGGAGCTTTTACATTTATAGAGAGACAGATATTGCTTCAAAGTTGTGTTGGCAATACGCAGGACCGAGAAAGAGGCTACGCATGAGACAACTCACCAGGTCACATCTTGAAGTCTCGAGCCTTTGTCACGATCATGCAAAGGACAAGTTTCCGGACCAGCGTGGCCATCAAGGTCCATGTTTCTTAGCAGTGGGGATCTTATTCGTTTGCCTCATAAAGAACACCATATTTATGTGCCTTTCCACTAGGGAAGGGGCTACCTCGCCGTGTGACGTTGTTCTAAACCATACAACTCCTATCTCGAGTGCCCCGAACCAAACCAGTTGACTCCTCTGACACACCACAACATGCCTTTAATACATGATTACGAGTCCGACACTCAATCGATGGCCAACGATGACCTCGACGTTGATCCCGAGATCTTCGACGTGCTGATCGTCGGAGCTGGTCCCTGTGGGCTCGCAGCCGCAGCCCGCATCCGCGAAGATGCCCCGTCCGCCATGTTCACAGATGAGGAGCACAGCCGATTCCACTGGCTAAAGAAGCATGGCACGAGAGTCGCGTTGAAACACTACAAGACGGGAAAGGAGGTTCCTGGCACCCAGCCAAAGGCGGGCAACAAGCCAGAGTACAGAATAGCCGTGCTGGACGCAGATGACGATCGATGGCTCGGACGCTGGAGGAGGCTTTTCTCTACATACGACATCAGTCACCTACGAAGTCCGATGTTGTGGCACGTCGACCCTCAGCATCGTGATGCGATGTTGTCACATGCCCATTTCCACGGGCGCGAGGGCGAACTGGTAGAGATCCGGGGGTGTGTTGGCAAGGAGATGACCAAACATCAGAAGAAAAAGAGGAGCCAGTTCAGCGGCGGGAGGTAAGTTCATTCTGTGTGCTGATCAAGGACTCACATTGACCTGGCTGGCCCTGCAGGCAAGATCTGATCGACATCAATCAGCGTGACCAATGGGACTATTACACACCGTCATTATCCCTCTTCACCGACCACTGTGACTGCGTAGCCGAGCGATATCACCTGATGGATGGTCTCGTCCACAAAGAGCCAGTCACAGACATCCGTTACAGCGCGGTGGAAGACATCCCCAACAACGAGGACAAGCTATTCACCGTGACAACCGACAAAACCGTCCGCTACGCCCGCGCCGTCATCCTCGCCGTCGGCCCGGCCAACGACCCCGTCCTCCCCAGGATCCCATCCCTCTCCTTCCCAGGCCACTCAAACAACACCGACCACACCGCCTGCATGCCGCAGGCGTGCCACAGCATGAGGATAGGCAAGTTCCCCGACCCGATCGTCATGGCCCGCGTGGCCGCCCAGAAGCGGACCAACATCATCGTCGTGGGCGGCGGCCTCACGTCGGCGCAGCTGTCGGACCTGGCGATCCGCCGCGGGGTGACGCGGGTCTGGCACCTCATGCGCGGCACCGTCAAGCTCAAGGCGTTCGACGTCGACCTCCACTGGATGGGCAAGTACAAGACGCTGCACCAGGGTTACTTCCACCAGGCCGACTCGGACGAGGAGAGGCTCGAGATCATCAGGGAGGCGCGGGGCGGCGGGAGCATCACGCCCGCGTTCATGAAGCGGATCAAGCCGCACATGGCGCGCGGGACCCTCAAGATGTTCGAGAGGACCGTCATCACCGGTGCTCACTTCGAGGAGTGCGCCGACGGCCGGGAGGGCGGTGTCTGGAAGGTCAAGACGGAGCCGCCGATCGAGGGCCTGCCGGACATTGATTACATATATTTTGCCACGGGCATCCAGTCGGACTTTACCACTCTCCCCTACCTGCAGAATATGCTCAAGGACTACCCCATCCAGAGCCTCGGGGGGTTCCCATGCCTGAACGAGGATCTGATGTGGAAGGACGAGGTGCCTCTGTTCATGGCTGGAAGGCTGGCGGCACTGAGGCTGGGACCCGCCGCGCCGAATATTGGTGGCGCAAGAGTGGGAGCTGAGCGCATCACTCTTGCTCTCGACCAGATCTTGTCCAACACCGGCAGCGACGAGCCGAAGCGGTACCTGGTCGAGGAGGAGGAATTGTTGGGCGGCCGGCGAGACAGCGGTGTTGGCTTGTTCAACTATGCTTCCGGGACAGGGAGCAAGTTCAGTAGCCTGGAGGAGGTTTCTGACTGATCAGGCTGATCAAGAAGGATCCATTGATGAAAACAACGGAGTTGTGTGTTCCTCAGGTGGAGACGCCCAGGCAGATGTGAACTGGGTGCTCGCATCTTTTGGCAAGGTCGCACAGCGTCTGTACTTTAGCGTTCTAAAATAACTACTGGCTAATTCAATTTCTTTATTCCAGAAACAAGCAAGCCCTCGGGCAGACCTCGTGTTGACATTTTCATGGTCGATAGACACGACTAATTGCTGGTGCTTGTTCCGCGCATTTGAACATTTTCCCCTTGAAGCATTTCAAGGATGGTCGGAAAAAAAGAACCTTGATCGACCTGTCTGCTCGAGAGGCTATACAGCTTTACAATCGATTCCAGATATCGTATATCTAGAAGCGAGTGAGACCATGCCGAGACATCAAGCTTGAGGGAGGGAGAGCCGGCTCTTCCCCGAACTCTAATCGTATTTCGAAGGCCAACCACGGCGCGCAATTAACATTGAAATCAACAGTTCCGGCAGTTCCTACTCTCTTCTCTCTCTTCTCATCCCGTCTCCCCTCCCTCCCTACCTCATCCCATTTCTCTCTTGACAGAGCGGACGGTTATCGCTGTCTACCCCATTCAAGTATGACGGAAGGGCTAGGGTTACAACGCCCCTGTCCTCTAAAGCAGGGTTCTGTGTGGAGCAAGCGCAGCTGAAGGCCTCCGACTCGGGATTGACCGACGATGACGGCTCAAGGGACTCGCCAGAATCTTCGAAAAAAAAAACACGGTGTGGCTATGCAATCACAGGATACATGAACGGCAGAAGCAGCGCGTTATAGAGATCAAAGCTTTCGCACCTGGTTTGAACGTGCGAGTCTGTCGACATCACGCGAGTTTCACAGCCCAAGAAGGCCCAGATCATCACCAAAGTTGGAGGCGTTGAGTCTACATAGCGGCGCTCACTGATCATGGGCCTCCACGACACCTTCGACTTCGACGAGGCTGCCTACCGCGCCAAATGCGCAGAGCGGCCGACCCTCAAGCTCCAGGAGGAGGAGATCAGGAAGCTCCGGCAGCACTTCGCCGCGAGCGCCTCGATGGGCATCGGCCTGAGCCACGCCGTCGCGACGGCCGGGCTCACGCTGGGCGTGTCGGCGTTCGCGCTGCGGCGGTACTACGTGGCCAAGGAGAAGCTGGCCATCATCCGGGAGGAGCTCACGAGGCGCGGCGTGCCCCTGCACGACATGAGCAAGCGCGACGCCTTCATCCCGCTCGGCACGGCGGCGGTGGGCCTGGGCGTCGGCGCGGGCATAGGCCACCTCGTCGGCGGCGCCATCGCCGCGCCCGACGTCCCCGTGCCGGGCCCCCACGGCGGGAGCCTGGCGATGCAGTACATCCAGGGGGACCCCGAGGCGGCGGCCCACGGCTTTGCCGAGGGCATCGCGGCGCAGGCGGACGCCGTCGGCCAGGCCGCCCACGGCGCGCTGCTGGGGCACGGTGTCGAGCAGGTCGTCACCGCGACCAGCGCCGAGGGCGTCACGGGCCATGCTGTTGGCTATGCGGCGGGCATCATGGCGGCCAAGAAGATGGAGGAGATGCTTGCCGAGTGTATCGGCGAGACTGTCTTTGCGTACGCCATGGAGAAGCTGCTGGACCCGGAGATCAAGATCGAGCTGAAGCTCAAGGGGAAGTGCACCAGGTTGCAGGGCCCCCTGGGGCAGTTCTGCCGAGGTTGTGGCGAGTCCATCAGGCACGGGAAATTCGCACGTAAGCCGCTATCTTCCTGCGGGTATCTGACGAGCCTTGTTAACCTAACTCTATGGCAGATTGTTGTAAGGAGACAGACGACTTTGATCTCTGCCTGAAATGTCGCGAGGGAGGCACCTCGTGTGAATGTACGGATCAGCAGATGCAGACAATGCAGAAGTCCGTTGCCGGTGACGTGCTTGCGTCCGAGAAGGGAGACGCGAGGAGGCGGCTTGCAAACGTGGCAGAGCTGCGGTGCGCTCCCTGCCAGAGACTGATCACCCAGGGCCGCTACTATTGTGAGCGCAGACTGCTCCAAGTTGAAGTTATTTCACTGACAGTTTGACTACAGATTGCCCTGAATGTAGCGACGATACAGATCTCGACATGTGTGAAGACTGCTACCGCCAGGGGAAAACATGTCACTCCCCTGACACTCACAGGCTATACGTGTATCTCAGAGCCAATGTCGACAGGCCACATCCGGACTTTGCTACAGATGGAATTTCCTGCACGGGGTGCGAGGTAAAGATAAAGCAGGGGCCCTTTTATTGTGAGTAAAGAGAAGACCATGACGTGGATGAAGACTTGATGGTACTAATCAAGTTTTAGTCTGCGAAAAGTGTGGCGAGAATGCTGGCATTTGCGACCGTTGCTACGAAATGGACAAGAGGTGCAAAGATACAGAGCATGTTTTGACACGTTATGTGATCTACAAGGGTGAAAAGTCCATATCGAAACAGTTCACCGAAAAGGATTGCTGTCAATTCTGCAAGGAGCAACTGGGAGAAGGTGTTTTCTACTGTAAGTCTTGCATCGATACTGGCATCATACCATCCCGTTCTCTGATATTAATCCGGATGTGCCATAGGTTGCTCAAAGTGCAACAAAGGATGTTATGACGTCTGCAGTAAATGCTACATCAGGGGAGCAGGCTGCCAAGACAGGAGTCATGGTCTTCTCAGGTGCACGCCAGCTGGACCGGCAAAACAGCCCAAGGATTACCTGAAGGAATTGTTCAGCGAAAACAGCAAGGAACAGGTCAAAGGCTACCTGAATGACACAAAAGGCTACCTGAATGAGACAAGAAGCAGAATGAATATCCTGCATAGAAAGGCATGAGCAGCGGGAGATATTCATGGCTCCGGATAACAATTGATGTGTGTCCAAGTTTCTGTCCCCGAGTCTGAGCTCCACTTGAGCATTCCATTCCTCTGGTACGCCAAAGGCCACGTTGAATCTTTGAGCAAATATCCCTGAATTCCTCCTACTGTCGAAAACGAAGCCCATGACATAATATGCCCAGCCATGTCGGTCTCACCCTTGAGCACTGACGTAGATGTCCATGTACTTCCAAGCCACGTGACCGGCCAGCTCACCTCTTCCCAGCTTGCAGCTTGCACTGCCTCAGCCTGTGGGGCCAGTCTCCACTTCACAGCGACCTGGACATTATAACCCTCCTGCTTCTAAACAACACGCTCACATCGCATCATTGCATTGCACATCCCTGACTTCAACTCCAGCCATGCCTCTACCCGATGTGTTGGCCAAGCGAGTCGACGAGTATGTCGACTCGCTGGCACCTCAAATCCAACCCCGCATCGCGTCCGAGATCGACATCTTCCAGAACAAGACCATCGACAGCCTCGAGGACCAGGTCGTCGATGCTTTTCGCTCGCTGTTCGACAAAGACAAGGGCCACTCAGAAGGCGGCTCGCGGCATCTGAATGATTCGCCTCCAGACGCCTATGGCGGCCAGTCACTGCCCTTTGCAGATGAGATCGCCAAGCTGACACGAAGCTTCTCACAAATCACTGACGAGGCTGGTGACGACCTGCGTGATATCTTTGACCTGACCGAGGGCCGGGGAGGGGGCTCTGGACAGGACCAGTCTCGCGGTATAGACCACACCGATTCCTTCTCCAGCGGTGCCAAGGGCTTCCTCTCCGCCGCGATGAATGCCGTGCAGGACCACCTTGACAGGGACAGCGGGCCAGGGGGCAAGAAGTTTGAGCTCGACGGACTCCTTGGCGTGCTGAGCGACACTGTCAAGGACGCAGCCCGGAACCCCGAGGAGAAGGCCCGCATGATCAGCCCCGAGATCAAGGAGAAGGTCGGCGCGAAGCTGAGGGAGCAGCACGCACCCATCGCTGAGCAGTTCACCCGCATCGCGCTGGACCACATCAAGCGCTGGCTGAGGGGGAACACCAGTACCCGTGATCTCGGCGATGGTGTCAAGGGGGAGTTCGAGGACCAGGTGAAGGACATCGTCAAGGGCCTAGGGGGTCTCTTCGGCAGCAAGAAGCACAGCGACGAGGGGGCTTCGAGGGGCATCGGCGACCGAGACGGCGAGGGCGGTGAGGGCAGCGGCGGCTTCTCCAAGGTCATCAGCGACAAGCTGAGCACAGGCCTCGCAAAGGTCCACCGCGAGGTCCGGCTCGAGTTCCGCAGCGTGCTGGGCGCCATCGAGAAGCAGCTGTTCGAGCTGCTGCCCGACGAGTTCCAGCGGCCCCTGGAGAAGATCCTGGGCGGGAACCCCTTCGACGAGCAGCTCGACCGCGACGCCGGCTCGCAGGACCGTGGCTTCGGGGACGACATAAAGGTCAAGCTCGTCAACAAGATCCGCGGCCTGGTGCGCAAGGTGCAGGAGACGCTGCGCGAGAGCATCCTGGGCCTGGTCAACGGCGGCCACCGCAAGTTCGAGCGCGAGAGCTGGGTCTTCGTGCAGAACATGGTGGAGCAGAAGGTGCAGAAGTACCTGCCCAAGGTGAAGATCACCGTGCCCGACGATATCGGCAACGAGGGTGTCAGCGTTGGCGCAGTGGCGGCTAGCTCGCAACCTACCGGCGGGCATCAATCCAGCGGTGGTCATCAGCCTCCGCCATCGACACATGAGAACTATCCGCCTCCACCTCCTACTTCCTCCCACGCCCAGTACGGCGGGCATCAGGCTCCTCCACCTCACCAGCCATACAACCCATCGCAGTATCAACCATCTCAGGAGTACAATCCTCAGCAACACCAGGCTCCAGATTACAGACCCCCGCAGTACCAGCCTCAGGAGTACAGACCAGACCAATACCAGTCGCATCAGCAACAAGGCTATGGTCATGGGCAGGGTTATGGAGGGAACCAGAGCTATGGCCATGATCAAAACTACGGAGGCGGTGGCAATCCTCCATACTGAATCGATCAGCCAAATCGAGCAACGGTGGAGGACTTGGCACGCCAAGGCACATGCAAGAGCTTATAGCAAATTGACATTTCTGGGCAACGGCTTATGACGCAAATATGTGGGCCAGACTCAGAAAGTTCGATCTCCCTGCGGGTTAATGAGAGTTCTTCGATTTCCTCATCCGGATCAAATGAAATGTCCGGTTAATTTCGTGCGCAATAGTTCCTCAGTCGTACCTTGCCTCGTCACGGCCGTACTCATAGCTCTCTTCCAGAGTCTCACCGTAGTCCTCAACACTGTCTCCAAAACGCTCCACTTTACCAACACCCTCCCCAATGTCCTCGGCGATGTGCTCGGGGGCGTGCTCGACAGCGTCCACAGTATCATCCCAGCCTTCCTCGATATTCTCCCCCGCCCGGTCCCAGCCCTCTTCCACGGTCTCCTCCGTCCTCTCCCAGCCCTCCTCCACGTTCTCCTCTGCCCTGTCCCACCCCTCTTCCACCCTCTCAGGGACGGCCTCTACCTCCCCGACGGCCTCGCCCGTCCAGCGGGCGGCATCCTCGGGGAACTCCTCGACACGCTCGACGCCGTCGTCGAACCTGCGCTCCATGCGATCCTCCTCGCGGTCCCAGGCCTCAGCTGATGGGGGAGATGGTGTCAGTCAGTCAGTCTCGTAGCCAAGGATGCAGCAGCCTCGTATCACAGCGGGTGGGCGTGCCTACCAGCTTCCTCCAGGACGGGCTTTTCCCAGCTGCGCTCGCCTGTCTCCTCGTTGAGGTAGATCCAGCGGCCGGCCTCGCCGTCCCAGCGTGCCACCCACGGGGGGTGCACGTAGGGCGGGTCGGATGGCGAGTCGTTGCCCCCGTCGACCGAGTTTCCGATTACCTCGGATAGGACATCGCTCAGGAAACCCATGTTCTCACCGTGAAATAAATGCTCAAAGTTGTTGCCCGCCCGTGCTGTTTGGTTTGGTAGGATTGTGACGCAGAGTGGCAAGGCAAGCGAGAGATTTTAAGCGACGAGTGACGAGTGACGAGAGTTCGAGCTACTGATCTACCTGGCGGGTGCAACGTGTCACCTGACAGACCCATACCTAAGTAGTGGCTTCTCATGATACATGTACCTCCCTGGCCGTATGCCAGAATTAAGCGCGCGGCTTCCGCGCTCCGTGGATCCCAGTGATCCGTCATATCCGAGATTATGACACAGGGGCAAAATGCTCGGATAAAGAGAGGGGCAATCTGCTGATTGCAGCAACGACCGATATAGCTGGCTTTGTTACTATTCGGTATACGTCCGAAGCCATGCATAAACTTGATTTTGTGTTTCTATACTGGTGCAATTTTTCTTGTAGTGTTATAACCATAATTACAACTAAACCTCTTTGTATGTTCTTTTGAATCAACATGGAAGTCCTACAGCACAGCATATTTGGCACGTACTGAGACGGACCCGTCAACTGCTGTGCAATAGCTGGCCCGGCCCAAAGGCCACACTTTCGAGTCCCGCGAACTTGAAACACAGCACTCGACTATGGTTAAAAGTGGCTGGATATGCTTCCTGTTGCAAGAAAGAGGCGCAGGGCACGTGGCCCGCGAATGGCTGGTGAAAGAGATATAGCACTCGAGTCTGATGCATCGCCACATGGATTATCTGGATTTGTTCCGAGACAATTGAAGTGCTCTTAAATTATTTGAACGCATTCTAATATTGTATTTCCCCTCAACATCAAAACAGATCAACTCAATCTCGAAGAATTCGCATGTGAAAAGGATGGTTAGCTCGCGCTGTGTGTCTGCGCCCAGATAGCGGCGTGGTAATCTGCTTCGGAGGCGTCGACCACGGAGTCCAAAGTCGCTACAGTCGTTCCGCCAACCTCCGTACGGTTGTTTCTGCGGATGAATGTTCGTATACCGGTGAAGACCGGAGACGGGAGCTTGGGCAGCTTGAGCAGCGAGCCACTTTCAGTTTCGGTGAAAGAGGTCTGCTTCTCGTCAGGCTGTGCCCGAGCTAGCACCTGAAAGCGCCTGATCATCCTGCGGAAGGCGCTGCCAGCAGGGCTTTCTGAGGTGTGCTTGTCGTCCAACGTCTGTCTGACGAAGAGCGTGCGGAATGCGGTGATCGACGCCATCATGATGGCTACGGCGCCTTCTATATGCTGCCAGAAGAATGCCCAGGTGTCATCCTCGACCCCTCTATAACGAAATCCAGCGATCCTGATGATGGCACAAATTGCCATGAAGATGGACAGGCCAAGGAATATGCACAGTCCTATCTTTGTGGACAGTCGGAGAAATGAATGCCTGAGGATGATGATTGGGATAGCGACGACTGGGAAAGTTATGCATGTCAGTTTCAGAATGGATTTGTGGGGAACACAATTGGACATACTCATGAGATCGGAAGATATATCTAGGACCGTGACAAGAGCAGTGAGCCCGAGGGTCTTGTTCCCATCCACAGTTGAGGCAAAACATTGAACTGTGTATAGGTTAGGCCCAGGCTTGCGGATTGAATGTCACTGTGAGTGAGTACTTACTGGCATCGGCCCCGAAATACGGGCAGATAATAAAAGGGTCGACAATGACAAACATCCAGGACACTATGGTAAAGCCCACAACAAACCAGAAATACCATCTTACACGACGTGATATGTGCCAGACAAGCGGGTGCATGAATACTAGGAAGCAACCTTTGACAGCAAAGATTGCCGTCCATAACATAGCCAGTAATGGGTAGACCTTCTTTTGAAGGTTGAGAAGTTCACCAAAATAGGCAAATATCTCACCGAGTGCCTCTGGCGCGAGCAGGGCAGCTGCATGCATGTAGAGGAAATAGGTTATATGATAAAGGATGCCCGTGCTGACACAGAGACAGGCAGTGGCCAAGATGAGGAATGCATCGTCCAGGCGTAGTTGTTTTTGGTATGTGAGCCGGATGGCCATGCGCGCGAGAAAGCAGCAAAGTGCCAAGCCAGTCACAACTCCAACACCCACCTGCGAGAGTTTCGAACTTCAGCACTGCTCAGAATAGTGACAGGAAAGTAAATTAGCTTACTTGAAAATCATACATGTGGATGCGACCACAAGACTCAATGACTTTGCGAGCATGTTGAGAACCCAAAAGAATAACGGTAGACATGATTACTATGTGTACACCTAGACGGTCGGCCACAGAGGAAATGCTCAGTGCTGACGTTGTGAAGGAGCTCCAAGGGCCATGAGTGCTTTATACCTAGATAGCCCCCAGAGTAACTAGGCATATGCAAGAGACCAGTCCGGCTCCCACCATTCACTTGCATTCGTTCTCTCATCTGTCACAGCTTCCAAGATTCCTTCCTCACTCGAAGCGTAAGTCTGCCTACAAACTGGGATCCAAAGGATTTACGCTAAACTACCTTTATCAATGAGGGTTCCACAACACATGCAGTAAGACAAGCAATTGGCCTTTTTTTAGTAGCCGAGGGCAGCCACAGCACGAGTCCACCCCACCCAGAATCGGCTGTTGTGCTTGTCATACAGGAAAAACATGTGCATTTGGGGGCAGGCTGCCGGGTGATGCGAGTGGGACCTGCAGCCACCATGAAAAACCCAAGAACAAACACTGCCACCCGAATCGATAACCCCATTCAGCTGCCAGTGCCACAGCCTACTCTTTCTGAGCCAATGATCGTCTCCACAAAATATTGTGCCTGCGGTCCCCACACAGCTGACGGCGGGGATTGTTACATGTCATATTGCGGCACGAAAGGGGAATAGACCCAGCCGAAATTAGCAGCTTTGGAGCAAACGAGGCAGACGCGTTTGCACGTTCGATTTCCTCAGAAACGTGCCATCTTTTGGTCTGCCCAGTCTGAACCTCACGATGCCTCAATGCTCACAAAGTGGACACGATCAATGATCCCTCTTCCCCGAGCGTCCCAACTAGATTGAAAGAAATCTTCAAACCCGGACAACGGCAACATGCTCGATAGTCTCAATCTCCCCGCCTGGCGCGCGGCCGATTGGGTGAGCCTCGCCGCTACGCTGCTCGCAGTCATCCTCTGGCGCCGATACACCATCAGGTATGACAGCTATGCGCGCCAGAACGAGAGTAAAACCGCCGATGGCACCCCTCCGACTTTCCCTTACGTCTTTCCGCTCCTAGGGACTCTACCAATCTCGTACTTGTGGAAGCCGCGAGATTTTGTCCTGAGCCGAGAGTGAGTACGCTGCCTGGACAGCACACGTGCCATCTTCTGCAGGTGGTGGCGTGAGTTGCGAGATGGACGCCGCTGACTTCCATTCGTCCAAGCAACTTCTTCCAATCTAAGAACCCCGTCCGCGTCAAGATCCTGACACAGGAGTTCTACGCTTTGCGCGGCGCAGACAATATCAAGGCGATGTTCAAGGCCTCCTCGGTCTGCTCGTCCATTCCTTTCGTCAAGTTCGCTCTTGGACACGCCTTTGGTGTCCCAGCCAAGGCGTTGCGCCTATTCGACAAAGACGACTCTGGTGGAGGCCCCGTGCCATACCCGGACAGTACCGTGGAAGCTCGCAACCGGATCGATTATCTGAACCACCAGACTGTCGTACAGTTCCTCGAGGGAAAGGGATTGATGCCTTTCTGGGAAAGGTTTGAAGTTAATATAACAAAACAGCTGTCTGGAGTCTACAAGGGCCTTAATTCGAATGAGTGGGAGCGGCGTGAGGATCTCTTGAGGACAATCGGGGACGAGACTACGGTGGCGATCCTGACTGCTTTGTGTGGTCCGCACTTGTTAAGGCTGAACCCACACTTCCTGCAGGATTTCCGGGACTTTGACAGGAATTTGCAGACTTACCTTCAAGGCATGTGCGAAGTCCTAGCGGAAATGACTGTTTGACAGTGTTACGCATTTGTTGCTAATATCTATCCTAGGTATTCCATGGTTCCTGGCGCCGCGGGCTTACGCCGCTCGGAAACGAGTGCTGGATGCTGTGCAGGTCTGGCAGGAGTATGCCAGAGAGCATTTTGATGATTCAGCTATCGATGAAAACGGCGATGATCCTTTCTGGGGTAGCAGCTTCTTCCGAATGAGGCAAAAGACGTTTCTCGAGATGGACGGTTTTGGTCACGATGCCATAAAGTCAGTGGACTTTGGCGCAATATGGGCGTAAGAGACAGTGTCCCTACCTTGGTAGCAAGACTTGACTGACTTTTCCGGATAGATCACGAAATGCGACTGCCGCAACGTCTTGGGCATTGTATGATGTCTACCGAGACCCGGAACTCCTCGCGAATCTTAGAGCCGAGGTTGATACCTGTTCAGTCCAGGGCAATAACGGTCTCGGCTTCAAAATCGATCAACTACTCCACTTGCCAACGCTTCAAGCCGTCTATGCTGAAACTCTACGTCTCAGGATGCATTTTTATCTTATCAGAATGCCTGATCGGGTAGATATGAAAATACAAGGTTCTATTATCCCGAGGCAAAGGGTTGTCGTGGCGCCGACAACGGTTGCGCATATGGATCCCGAGGCATGGAGTACCGGTTTGAATGGCGAACACCCGTTGGATCAGTTCTGGGTCGGGCGGTTTCTCAATTACCCACCCAAGCCGAATTCTGGGACCATGCCAGAGTTCTCGTCAAAGAACGTCGGAGGATCATGGATTCCGTTCGGAGGCGGTCCCCAACAGTGTCCGGGGCGTCACTTTGCAAAACGGCAGATACTGCTGACCATCGCCATGACGGTGAGCCTCTTCGATTGTGAAGTGCTGGATGAAAGCGTTCGGGAGGACTTTACGTTGTGGGGATTCGGCAGTGGCGTGTCCAATCCAGTGGGCAAAGTCCCCTTCAGGATTCGACGCAGGAGAGCCTAGGTCACATGCAAGGCATGGAAACTTGGCTTCTGCGACATTGTAAATACATATCGTCCATAATGGTCAACGACAAAAGAGGTTTCGATATTTGAACCATCGATCTCTTCCGTTTGGGTCCAGAGCACTCCGGGCTGCAAGCTCTTTAACTTTAATTTTAATATATTTCTTAAGTGGTTTTGTTTCTCATCCACATACTTATATAAAACTATATACATAACGTTCATATAGTAATAAAAGCTTCAAGACCTAGCATTTGAAAATAAGAAATGTTTATAATGTTGGTAAAAATACGATAGGTGTACGTGGCCTCAGCCTCATGACGCACGGATAAGGCTGAGGGGTACCATCTGAATGTAGCCGTTAACTAGAATCGTCGAGACAAGTAGCCCATGACTATATGAGTATATATCGGTCCGGCCAATGGTATTTGGGTAGTGAGGGGTTATATATAGCTTGCTAATGTCGATGTTACGACGGCGTCAAAGCGCCAGTGGGGTTGAGAGGTTGACCACGGGTAAGCCAATGCTTGGTTTTGCCGTCTTGGGAGCGCACGTTGATCCAATGTTGACTGAAAGAGGTTTAGGGCATTCAAGCTAACTTTCGTTAGCCTATTTCCTTAAAGAGATTGAGTTGTGCGTGATGTAACCGGTAGATTAATCCTTATTAATAAAGCTGACGACCCTTCGACCGCTGCTGACATCAAAAGACCACGGCCTTTTCTTCTCCACCATGGGACTACGGCCGAATCATGCGTTTACAGTCAATCCTGTGGGCATCATGGAACCTCGCCTCGCAAATCAGCGCGAGTACCTGCTCCCCTGAAGGTTTTGGCTCACTCCCAGCAGGCGTATCGATTTTGAATACCACGGCATTTCCCGTCTCTTCGCCATCAAATGTCTATGGGCAGTCGGCCGCAGACAGTCCGGGTTACAACCCAGCCTACGCCTGGAACTTTCCTGCGCTCTGCGCTGTCACCGCTAAGATTGTCGAGGGCAACTCGTCCTACAACCTCGGCCTGTTCCTGCCGAGCCAATGGGGAGGGAAATTCCTGGTGGTGGGCGGCTACTCGTTCGCCGGAGGCATCAACTGGCACGACATGGGCCCGGGGCCCTGGTACGGCATGGCGACAGTCACGACCGACACAGGCCATCTCTCGGCAGCTGCCAACCAGTCCTGGGCTGCTGACCCGGGACTGCGGGCAGCATGGGGCTCGGTCGCGATGCACGGCGCCGTGACATATGGCAAGATGCTCACTGAGGCTTACTACAGCTCCAACATCACCGGATCTTACTACAGCGGCTGCTCGACGGGCGGGAGGCAGGGGCTCAAGGAGATCCAGGAGCACCCTGACAGTTTTGACGGGCTCATGATAGGCGCCCCAGCGTGGAACACCAAGAACTACATGCCCTGGCTGACGCAGATCGGCATCTGGAACCATGCGAGCAACGCGACCAGGCTGAATGACACCGACTTTGGCACCCTGGCGGCCTTCGTGCAGGCCCAGTGCGATGCCCAAGACGGGCTCGAGGACGGGATCGTCAGCTCACCCGAGACGTGCCGCATCAGCTGGGACAATATCAAGTGCGGGTCGCCGAGCAACCCGAGCCCGTGTCTCAGCAGCGAGCAAGTCGATATCGCACAGCTCGTCTACGATGACTATTACATAGAAGGGGGTGCCGACTTTGTGCACAATGGCTTCGGGATTAGCTCCGAGGAACAGTGGCCGACCTTTCTCACTGCGTCGAGCACGACCGGCTTCGACGGAGAATATGAGCGGTACTTCCTAAACTATGGATCGGAATGGCAGACCAAAAGCTACAACTCATCGACTGTGCTAGACTCGCGCGCGCGCGAGAACGACGTTGCGACTGCAGATCGTTTTGAGCTGAGACCCAATAGCAAGGGCTTGTACCCCAAGATCTTCATGTATCACGGAATGGCGGACGGTGTCATCCCCTTCAAATCCTCGGAGCTGTATTACAACCGCACTCAGGCCGCCATGCCCGGGGCGAATGTTACGGATTTCTTCCGCTTCTTCGCCGTCCCTGGGATGCAGCATTGCGTAAGTGTCCTCCCTCCCCGACCGCCTTCGAGATGCATACATTAACAGCAGCGCATTTAGTGGGACACATCATCGCCCCTGGCCTTCGCGCCAAGCAAGACCACAGTCGACGCGCCTTGGATGTTTGGCGGGGCAGGACAGGCGGGATATCTCCAGAACTTTAGGCTTGGCAACGGGTGGTCGGTGCCTGGCTTTGAGAACAACTCTCGGTACGACGCGTTTGCTGCTATAGTGGACTGGGTGGAGAAAGACGTCGCCGTCGACAGCGTCGTGGCCACAATGTGGAAACGAGGCAACGGGACGGTCTATACTACTTCAGGCGAGGTTCTCCGGCAGAGGCCAATATGGGCGTGGCCGAAGGAGGCCGTCTTCGTCGGTGGATCTGCGGACCCTAATTTAGAATCTAGTTGGCATTGCAGTTGAAGATGCGATCAATAGTAAACGGAATGCCTTACAGATTTACAGTGGCTTCGAAGCTTATTGCTGCACCTGAGAAGGTACATGGATGTTGAGTTGAAGTCATTTTCAGTGAGCCCAGCTCAGCTCGATCCTAGACATAGGTCTCGGTGTAATACGGCACCTTCGCGGGCATCTATTGAGCCGATGCGTAGATGTCATTCTTCTCCGCACTTGAAAACACCCATGTAGACACACGCGAGGCCAGAACAGCAGTGGTAGCTCTTCCAGCAGGACCCCAGTTGGTGACTTACCTAGGTACTAGCGCACCTCGTCACTTGAGTCGTTCTGTCGCTTTCAAGGTGGTATTATATCGTCAGCACTACCCGCAGAAGCGATGTTACGTTCACTTCGAACCTGTGCCGACCTATCCGGGCTCCGAAAATGGGTATTCCCCATTGTATACAAACTGGGTCTTGGCACCTGTGATTACTGTCACTCACTTATACTCTTTTTGTTTCAAACCTCTCTTAAAATTCCCGCGAAGCGGAAGTCCTGCGGCACGCCAAACCTAGGTCGTTGCTGCTTTATGCAAAGTACGTAGGCACTTTGATATATAGATATCTACGACATCAACATGGCCTCAGACGATGAGAAACGGTCACCGCCACTGGGTAACTCGCCAGAAAGGTACAACGGGTCAGTGAGCCACCATGGTTCTGGCTATATCAGACCGCAAGCCCGTAAGCTGCACGACCCGGACGTCACCTTCGAGGAATACCACTATTACGCACTACAGACCCGTGAAGAGGAGCGTACCACGCCTAAGCCCAAGACCTCGATATGGCGCGAGATCGTCCTGCGCAAGAAACCGGAGGCGAACCATAGCAGCGACCCCGGCGACCCCGCCGTAGGCGATGTCACAGCCACCAGCGTCAACTTTGCCAACCGTGCCAACCGCGCCGATATAACCGACGAAGAGTGGTCCAACGCGTCGCGAGCGTTCCGGACGGCATCTGCCGGCGCGTGCTTCTACCTCATCACCACGGACATCCTGGGGCCCTACGGCGTTGGGTTCGCGATGGGCACGCTGGGCTGGATGCCGGGCATCATACTGTACAGCGTCTTTGGTTTCATGGCGGGCTACAGCGGATACCTGATCTGGCACACGTTCCTGGGGCTGGACTCGCACCAGTTCCCGCTGCGCAACTATGGTGACCTTGGTTTTCGGCTGTTTGGGTCCTGGGCCCGACATGTCCTCAACGTCCTGCAGGCCCTGGCACTGCTGCTCATCCTCGGCCAGGTCACGATCCAGAACGGCCAGGCGCTGTCTCAGGTCTCGAAGTTCCGAATCTGCTACGCCGTTTGTCCCATCATCTTCATCGTGGCGGGCTTTGCCCTTGGCCAGGTCCGCACCCTGCGGCGGTTCGGGCTGATTGCTAACCTCGCGATTTGGCTGAATCTGCTTGTCATCTTCATCACTATGGGCATCATGGCGCATAGCCCGCCTAACTATGCCATCTCTGTGCTGGGTTCGGCTGGTGCGCTTGTTGATCCCGACTCGATTACACCGGATGGTAATGGAAACTACCCACCGGTCATACACTATAGCTACTTACCAGATGCTGGCAGCCTGGTGGGATCTCTGAACGGTCTCATGTCGGGTGTCTTGGCATACGGTGGAGCTCAGCTGTTTGTCGAATTCATGGCCAAGATGCGAAGGCCTTATGATTTTCTGAAGGCCATGTGGGGGGCTCAGTTCTTTATTTACAGTGTTTACAGTAAGCATAAGCTTTCGCCAAGAGACAGCCAAGAGATCGCCAAGAGACAAGCCCACTTCTGCTGGACTAACATCTGAGACTAACATTCTTCACTCCCAGTGATCTACGGCTGCTACGTCTACTACTGGCACCAGATCTCCTATCAAGGCGTATCCCTCTACGGCCTGCAGACCGCTGGCAACATGATCGCGTTCGTCAGCGGCCTCATCGCCGCAGCACTGTACGGGAACATCGGGATCAAGGTTCTTTACAATAATGTCCTGATGGATCTCTTCTCGGCACCACCCCTGACCACCAAGTCGGGAAAGATCGTCTACGCTATCATCGTACCCATCTGGTGGTCCATCGCCTACATCATCGCGGCCGCCATCCCGGACTACTTCGGTTTTGTCTCCGTCATCGCGTCGGCTACCCTCCTGGAGTTCACCTACTGCTTTCCCCCCATGATCGCCCTGGCGTACGATATCCACTTGAATGCCATGACCGATGGAGAGGGATTTGATCCCGTGACTGGCGTTGTGGTGCGCAAGGACCGTGGCGTCAAGCGCTGGGCGAGGGGTTTCTTCCGGGGTAGATGGTATTTAAATATATTGCACGTCCTGTATGCCACCGGCGCATGGGCCACAGCTGGGCTCGGCCTCTACGCTGCGATTGAAGGTGTGTTCAACTCGAGGATATATCCTTTTCCAATTTATCACGCTGACCTTCACCAGGCATGATTGAGGCATTTGAAAACCCCCAAGTCAATTCGTTCACGTGCCAATCCCCGTTGAACTTGGATGCTTGAGCTCGCGAACCTTGCGAGATGATATCCGTGGTCCTCTTGGTGGAGGCTGTGGCAAATGGCATCCCGAGAAAAGCGATTGGTCATTATCGGGCCTATATCATTTTGAAGCGCTCATTCACTATGCGTCGCCGTCTATTGGGCCTTGGGCTACTTGTGTCGCCTTAGAGGGCAGCCTTAACTGCATGGTACAAGGCTAAGGCCACGTAGCTAGTGTTCTTACATCATTAGTACTGATATGTTTATGTTTCATAAATGCTGGGTCTTGAGAATTTACCATTATATGCGCCACATGTGTTTTGTATGTATGGGGATTAAAAAAGCAACCACCGGCGGTGACATATACGCCGTGAGGTCCGGCTACTTCTGGTTAGCCAAATTTCAAGGCACACTAGGGCACTTTCGGTCATGGACCTCAGTCTGTGACTAGTTAGCCATGCCGGCTTTCTGATGGATGAAAAGTTCGCGAACTGAACCCGCTAGTGAATGTTCAACGTCATCGTGGCCGGGACAGCAAGTATCCTGGAATCCTTCAGAAGGACGGGTCATCATTGCTTCGCTGCATAATTACGCGGAAAACACCGACGCAGATGCTGAAACGCCTGGATTTGGCCGGAACTAAGGATGCTGGCGGTGGCTAAACTACTCAAGTCATTAGTGACTACGAGTGTGCCCTACGGGTACTTAAGTAGGTACAGGGATGGTTCGGCCAGGCGGCGAGCCCCAAAGTCCGAGTTACGCCGACCTGGATGGCATCAATCCAAAAGCGTCCCGCGAGCCACGACATTCTTCCTTGAATTACGATGGACTACCCGACCATGGAATTGTGTATAAATCTATTATAAAGAAGCGATATATTCGCCATCCAGGGCATTTCTATGTGAACATCGGACTAATTCACATCCACACAGCATCTATTCGCCTCTTGTCCTCCAGTGATCTCTGCTCCTTAGACACTTTCACACCAGCGAATTACCGGCATCATGGCTATATCAACAACCACGACCCTTCCGATCATCATTTCCGGAACGGGACCGTCTGCACTTCTTCTCGCGCATGCGCTTCTGAAGGCTACGCCGCCCTTGCCATTCCGGCTATACGAGCGAGATCAATCAATGTCCTATCGGACTCAAGGCTACCGCTTCGTCGTCAAGGATCGCGGCGTAAAATCCTGCCGCGATGTTCTCGGTCCCAAGCATTTCGAGCTTCTGCGAGCAACTTGTGGGGATATGCAGAGCATGGCCCCCAGGCGACTCGACGCAATCTCTGGGGCCCAGTTACCTGGATTTGACAAGAAGTTCAAGAGCCAGTTTGAGCAGGAAGAACCTTTGAAGGCTGACCGGACGCTGATGAGACAAGCTCTATTCAGAGGGCTGGAAGACTACACGACGTTTGGCAAGGACATTGTCGGGTATGAGACCATACCCACCAGCGGAGATGAAGCCGGGACAACTAATAATGGTACCGATGGTGCCGCTGCCGGTGCCAACATCCTGGTGCGCTTCTCGGACAATTCGACAGTTCGAGGCTCACTGCTCGTCGGCGCCGACGGTGGCTTTTCAAGAATCCGGGCCCAGCTAGTTCCCGACGTTCAGCTTCTCGACTGCGGGATGAGAATGGTGCTCGGCAAGACGCCGCTGAGCCCGGCCTTCTACGAAGCCCTGGGCGCAACCGGTGAAAACGACCCGCGCGCGGCCATGCTTCTGGAAAGCTTCGCGCTCGTGGCTGATCCCGTTCCCCGGACGTCACCCATGTTCTTCATGTTCGATCCGATGCGCTTCGGCGGCCGCGCCAAGGTCCAGGCCAGCGATCCGGTCCTCGGCGACTCTATCCCACTTGACTACATCTACTGGGCCCTGTCACTACGCAGTGACGAGCCCGAGGCGCAAGGGAGGGACTGGGGCTCAATGGACTCAGACGCCGCCGCGGACTTGGCCGAGGACCTGACCAAGTCTTGGGCCCCGTCTTTGAGCACCCTCGTGAGATACCAAGACCGCACGCAGACCCTGCCTCTCCGCAGTTCCATCATCCCGCCCCCATTGCGTGATTGGCGTCAGTCCGCTGCCACCAATGCGGTGGAAGGCTCTGAGCCGGCGACAGCATCACCAAATCCTAGCCCAATGGTGACCCTCATCGGCGATGCTGCTCACGCACAACCACCCACGGGTGGGATGGGGGCCACGACTGCCCTGACTGATGCGGCAATACTGGGCGCATCGTTGGCCAAGCACGGGATCACGCTCCGTGCACTAGAAATGTATGAGGCCGAGATGCGTGAATATGCTGGCTCAGCCATTGAGGGAAGTCTGAAAGGGGGTAAACTGTTCGCTAATATGAAGGACTTGGAGGAGATGGAGCCGATGAGACACTGAAACTTGGCGGAGAATTTCCGCTTCTGAGGCATAATTTCTTTGCACATGTTGGACATCTGTTGAAGGTGAATTGGCGTTATTGCTTCATATGAGTGGTATATGTACCGAATGAGACGGACTTGCCCATCTCATGCCCCAGGACACAACTTGGGTTCCTTTACATTTCCTCTTTCATTTGTTTACTTCCGTCATACAGGTCTTGCAATCGCCGCTTATCTCAAATTTAATGTTTTTACTTCTATATTTAAACAAAAAAAAAAACACGTAATTCAGTCATCGGTGAGAAAGTCTTAAAATTGGCAAGCTGACTTGAGATTTATCATTAGATATAGGCACCCATTTCCATCGCTTTTCTTTTTCATCACATTGGATAATGAGATGATTCTCAGTAATTGCAAACAAACACCTTTGAGAGATGTCATTATCCGAGAGAGGACTACTTTGAATTGCAATTTACTTAGTTTGAATCGCAAATTTATGTGTCGATGGACAATTAGCGTTGGTAAAGAATGGCGAAAGAGTCACTTCTACATGCACCAACTCGGCACTTTGAAATCTTACTTTACAATTCATGGGAAAATTTTACATATTTCACATGAATTTTCTATAAAACATACGGCCAGGAACGCTTTGACCGTATAGGAGGTCTCGATTTGATGAGATATGCAGTATTGGCTCAACCCTAACGATCTAGATGCGCCCAATGATTCTGGGATTGAGAGAAATGGGAAACAAAGTCCAACGAGTGATTGCCGCGTTCAAGAAAAAAGTTCTTCCGAATATCAGGAGCCACTTTGAGAGACCCTCTAGTAGGGCTTCTGGCCCATCCAGTTGCCAGGCGGAGAGTAACGAGCGACGATGTAGGTCCCGCCCTTGGCAGATTTGGCGCTGGCCATGCCAACCTTGGTGGTCGATCGCCACATGCATTGAGCTGAGCAATACGCATTAGCCTCTGGATTTGAGGTGAGGAAAATGGAATCACGGTTCTAAAATTCTTACTGTAGTGACCGTATTTGCTGAAGTCTCCTTGTCCAATAGGCTCGCCATGATAATCCTTCGCTTCGTTCATCCACATCTGAGCACCACCTGAAAGAGGATTCTGAGGAGAGTTGGAGTACCTGGGGGTTAATGTAAGCGTGAAATCAAATGATACTATAGAGGGGATAAACTAACCAAGCCAAGTTCTCGCCCTCACCGGGACGCTGGTCGCCCTTCGAGTGTTCCATTTTGTCGATCTTAGCCAGATGGTTGGCCCACGTCTGTGCATGCTGGGCCAAAGTGCTGTCCCATTTCAGTGCAGGGCAGCCCTTGGTCTTTCGGCCGTCGTTGTGAATCTTGAGTGCCTTGGTCTGGTCACCGTTGAGCGCCGCGGCGGCGCTCACGCTGAAAGCCTCGACAGAAGCGGCAGCGGCCTCCTCATGAACAGTCTTGTCCTCCTCAGAGTGACAGATAGGGGTTGAAACCCGAGTCTCTTCAGTGGTGTCGGCCATTTTTGTTTGATGTTAGAGTATGTAGTTCAGATGGAAATGCAATGCAGTGACTAGAAGATGATGCATGAGACGACGTATTTCAGACTGGCACTATTGGCGACTATTTATACTCGAAATCATTAATGCTCTTCCATGAAGGCAACCTTAGAACTTCAGCCTTGAGTGAGGCAATGTTGGCGGCCGCGAACGGTCTCGTGACATTGACCGTCGATGAGATGAGACATCCTCCTGACTGGCAGTGCCTTTCCGTGTGGCAGGGCAGTATGCGGAATTACCCCAAAGTGCAAGACCCAATTGTATTTCAAATTGCTATACAGGTATGCAGCGGTACCTCTCGACGATGCGTCAACACACCACCACACTAGTTCAATCCTTTGACGACTTACTTGACGATGAGACAGGTACAGGGTCACAAAATGTGTGGGAAGGAACTTTCAGATCACTACATTGGGACAATACATTAGGTATCTGCCCAGCGAGGACTCAGATTGAAGGATTCGGTGTCCAATCACGCGCCATGCATGGTGTCAGCGGAAAGCTTGAGGCTTGTTGAAAAAGTACTCTATAGCTGATGTAAGATCAGCTCCGCCATAACATTGTTAGGGCGCGTGACAGATCATGGAGGCTGGCTGGCTTCGGATCGACTACCTCACGTCATCAATTGCAAATGGCTTGAGATATGTTTGCTCAAATAAGAAAAGACCCGCTGCTTATGATGAATTCGCTGAGAAGCCACCATGAGGAGAACCTAAGCACTTGCTATGGGTATGGGCTAGGCAATTGATCATTACGCAAGACTGTGTGTCAGAAAGAAACAACTTTTAGTTAACGTCGTCCTACAATGCTATGGCATGTCAAGTTCCGAGTTCCAGCTTGGCAAGACTTTTTGGCTGGTTGCAAGAGACATGCATTGCCACTCAAGTGAACAGCCACATACAGCGAATTTGAGGGACGATGACCAAAATGAATGATAAGCTGCACCAGTGAAACTACGCCACCGGGATTGAAAAGTTTAACGGCAACCTACCTAGGTAATTAATCAACTTGGAAACGGGTCTTTGAGCATGTGCCAGTGTGTGAAGGGGCCATACGCGTTCGGGATGCATGTGTATTAAGAATGAAACCACCTGACGTTGACGATGGTTGTGTCAAGCTGTTCTTATTCAATTCCCGTCGTTTTCTCGAGTACCCAGATCCAAACATCTTGAGGTCTAAATCTCTAATGGTATTTTGGCCGACCTGACATCACATCTGCCCACAAACTTCTTTCCTGGCTGCTTGTTCTTAGCATCGTCATATCTACTAATTGCGCCCACGTGGCGACCAGACGATCCTCAGGAGTGATACCTGTGGACAAGAGAAGCTTTCCCACAACCTCCGCAGCAAGCGCGTCGTACCTCAATGCTGAGGCAATGTATCGTTTGGCAAGGTCGTTGAAAGCGTCCAAGAAAACACTACCGTAAAGGTTACACGCCGACATCTGCCCTGGCTTAGGCACGGAGGCCGATGCGGCTGTAATGATGGCCCTCACAACCCATGCATATCCCAATCGCCGCTCTAACGGGTGTTCACGTCTTCTATTAAGAGGTCGGTACACTTCCGCAACCGGCATAAGCAAGGTTGCTCTGTAAATACAGTGCTCCAGAATAGATTCAGATGAAGGGTATGGGGCCGAGGGCAGGTTCCATTTACATCCTAGCGTTATTAGAGCTTCCGCGGCAAGTATCCCGCGTGCTTCGTAACGTGGGCCCTGTGACGCTATTTCAATGGCTGTCTGTAATGGCGTTGCTTCGAGCCACACTAGTTCTTGGATCTCTGCTTCCAAGTCTGCGCCGCTATCGATGAGAGCGCGCCCAATTTCCAAGTACACGAGCAGTGGGTTACTTTCGTCCTTCGACCTGATCTCGCACAACATATGCAGGGGCGTGCCACGCTTGTTAAAGCGACGTTTCTGGCTCAATCCAGGGTAACGGTCGAGCAGGAGTTTTGTTGCGCGGACATTGCCAGTTGAGACGGCGAGGTGTATCAATGACTTTTCCACACCAAGAAGAGGGTCCAGTCCGCTGTCGAGAAGGCGTTTCAGCATGAATGGCCTTCTATAATACACTGCAAGGTGTCCGACGGTCTGACAATCGTTACGCTTGATGTTGTCCCATCCACAAGAGTCTTCCCCGGGACGAGGGACACATTCCATGTGGATTTTAGCCGTTATCAAGGATTTTAAAGGTTGATAAATGCGTCGTGTTCCCGGAAGTGGTGGGTCTTCGCATTCCCCTGGCTGGAGTAAGTTCACATTACATCCCGCTTGAATCAATGCCTCGAAGAGCCTGGTATTGCCAAATACAACGGACAGGAATGATGGCGGAGGGATCTCTCCAGTCAAAGGATTCCACGACTGCCTCCTTAGTAGGAGGCCGATGCCATCTATGTAGGAAGGCTGGTGGACACTTGCAGCACGGATGGCTTGCAGCCCAGCAGACACTCCATCCGTCCCTCTTGAACAAGCCCAATGCAGGGCTGTCAAGTTGGAGGTCGACACTTGCTCTAGCATCCCGGAGGCCTGAAAGTTCCCTCTAAGCGTCACCTTTTCGATCGCGATCTGCTCCCCACATTCTTCGCAGAGTGTGGTCTTTAATCCGTGTACGCAGCGGGGTTTATCCTCTTCTTCCTGGCTGGTCTGAGACTCGGTCCACCAACCCCTGGGCACATGCTCATCTCCTATGCCGAAGTGGTCTTTCAACCGAGCCTCGTAGGTAACCTCGCATAGGAACAAAGCTGGTCGCAGGTAATACCAACTTTCTTTGTTGACTCGAGCAAGGTTGTAAACCCATTTGGGCCGGGGGAGGGCTTGGGCGATGAGATACAAGATTTGCACAGGGAGAACCGGTGTTCGATTCGGGCTGCAGGGCACAACTCTGACTCTGCGATCATACCGGACTGGGATGGAGTTTTGGATAATATGTGTGGCGCCCTGTGAATCTTTGGCCCCGGCTAGCAAGCCTGAGCTGGGCGAATGAATCCTTTGGGTGGCTTGGATTGGCATAATCGGTGTTGTCTCTTGTTGCGTTGCCGTGCCTGCTGCAAATGGAGTCTCAAATCGAAAAAGAGCAGAAATTGAAGTCCCAGGAGATGATTCTCTTGCAAGGTGTGAACCCAACTGGAAGTTAAATCAAAGAAGCGGCAGGTATTCTCTAAACTCACACAAGTTGTCCCGTAGACCATTTACCCCTGTATCGAAGAACAATGAAGACGGTAGGCATGGGCCTCTCTGCGGGAACTGCACTGCCGTACTGCGAAGTTTAGCTTGTAACCTTCAAACAGTCTTTATCCTGTTTGTAGTCTTGCTCTGGGCCACATGTCTCTTTAATTACCAAATACCGTTAAGCAGCCACAATTTGAAGACAGATAGACTTGCGTACACCGTCGATAAATTCTACAGCGGAAACTTGAGGCTCTGTGACTCGTGACATATACCCCAGTGCCTTTCTACAGAGATATCAGATAACATTCAGGCTGTAAATAGTCAGTCGTATTTGGTCCAAAGCAGGCATTGGGGGTGGACCCTTGGGTACCTAGGTATTCAGAAGATAATGGCATATTGATTATGTACAATACTATAAAATTTGGCTCCGTGCTGTCTATTAGTCTACGTGCAGAGCCACATCCACTCTCTTGGCTTCTTCAATGGACCTTTCGAGTCTTCCCATCTCTTCTTCGGAAAGCTCATGCATGTTCTCTCCCACCATACAGCTCATATCTTCCCTTGTGGCGCCTTTCTGCCACTCGCCGTCGACCATCCACTTGTCTGGGACGGCATAGTCGTGCTTCATCTCAGGAATCTTTTTGTTTTTGAGCAGGCCCCCATTGTACCAGATGAGCCTATTTTCCTCATCCACGTGTGCGATGACGAAACTGCACACTTTCTTGATCAGGGGGTTGACCGGAGGTTCCTCTTGCGACTCCTCGCCTTCCGGGGTCTCCGTCTCGGGCTGTATTTCGGTTTCCCAGCCCACTATAGCACCATAGTGCTTCTCCATCTCGTACGATGACCCAGAAAGCTCAAAACCCATCCACCAGGTCTCCTTGTCGCCATAAGTGATTTTGTAGGTGACCTCTTCCCGAACCTCAAAAGAGTTCTGCCAGCAGATGTGAAGAAGTCCCATAAAAATGTCGGTCCTGCTTTTGTCCACAACCACCACGCCCGAGTCTCCTTCTTCGGCATATTCTTGTGTCCAGACGAGTGAAGTATTCAGTCCCCCACTGGGCCTCCTGATTTGATCGTGCCACCATTCATGTCTGTCAGCGTATGCGTGCTGCCACAGCAATCGGTCTCTGAAAAGCAGTGCCCCTGTACGCAGGAAGCCCGGGTGGTCGAGGAGAGTCTCTGGCTTCTGTATGAACACCGCATCGGCGTCGAGGAGGATGACCTTTTCGAAGCTGCTTCCCAGTACTGCAAATGGCTTGATGGCCCATCCCCCCTCCCGGAGCTTGAGTGTCGAGTCGTCGAACACGGTCAGGATATCCAAGAACCGGAGAGGATGGCCCGTAGAGGCCACGAGCTCCTTGAGAAAATTCCTGTTGGACACGGATAGGTCCGACTCGCCGGCGTACACAATCTCAATTGGTAGTTTCGAGTCCAACACGTGCCGAAGCGAGGTGATCAGGTGAGATGCATATCGTACGTTGTTGTCGCCAACGGGGATCACGATTCCAACTGAGCCAGGAACGATCGACGAGCGGAGATGCGAGAGCCCAGGCCGTTGTAAAAATGGATATAATATACGGGCGGTCTTGTCGACGACGTCAAGCAGGGGCTTTCTCTGGGAAGGTGTAGGGTTGTTGTCTGCTGAAACCAGCAGGTCTCTGAGAATTCGGGTCCGCCGGCCCAGCTCTCCAAAGCGGTCTTTGTAAGGGGGTCCAAGCGGGAAATCCTCGAAGTATTGGACCAGGTCCGCCGCCAATTTTGGTTCTACGCTGCTGATGATCTCCGCTGGAAGACGATTTGGAGGTGTGGTGTTTAAATAGGTATCAGATAGCGAGCCAAGCAATGGCTGGTACAGGTAGATAATTCCCAACAGGAACACCAGGCCAGTGGCGTAAAGGGCACCTCGCGGGAAGTTCGGGATTCGAGAAGCCATATCCGCGGGCGTCGAGCGGTGCGCTTACGAGGTGAGCTCAAGGCTGGCAGATCATTCCAAGACAATTTTCAAGATATTCATGGCTCCGGATCGGTTTTGTGGCATGTTTTGTGGTGAAAGGGAAGTTACGACCGATTTACACTGGCATCGCAGATGCCGCGCTGCACCATAAGAGAGGCCTCGTCAACCGAGTCGCCCTCGCGTGAGACAAGCCCCACCGCCCCATTTAAACCAGTAAGCAACCACACGGGTGGCTTGCTGAACTCGCTTATCTTTGTCATGAGTATTTTCGTTTCAACTCAGGGGCAGTTCGTTGGTGTCTCGGTCGCCGATCCCTTTTCAGCTCCGGAGTGGGTGAGTGGAGATTGTGCCATTAGCACCAACAGCCATTTTATGTCCAATCAAAGATGACCTTGGAATCATCTGTGGCGCGAACGAAATGAGGCAAGCGTTATCGGAAAGTGGTAAAGAAAAAAAAAAAGAAGAAAAAAAACTGGTGGAAGTGTACGGACGTCTGCTATGAAGACGCAGGCATTAGAATCCTCAAGGAAAATCGCCGAGGCCGCCCCCAGAGGCTCAGCACCAGGTCGTTCCGTAGGGCTATTCCTGTGTTGATGAATCAAAGATACCAGGACGATTTGTATATGTCTCACTCCAGCAACCCTTGGGAAAGGAGCCGGGGCGGGCAGCATGTCAGAATCTGGCCAAGCCCCGATCGATTACTGCCAAGTACCGACAGGACAACAGGCGAATACACAACGTCGTGCCAAGCTGTGCAACAACAAAACAAAAGCTTGGTTTAACACCCTCTTCAAGCGCTTTAGCGCCGGCAACCTGGGTGCCAAAAATATTACATACGTAACCTGTCCGAAGGTAGCAGGCGCTTACATACAAGTTTCTTGATCTCCACTTGGAGTGGACTGAAAATTGCTCATGTGCAGTCAGACACCTGGGCACCCAGGCACGTGCTAGGCAGCGTCTGTTGTGGACCGATCATCAGGCTCCCGAGTAACTCTGAGGTCTTTCAGTGAAGAGGGATCAAGTCGTTCGTTTGCACATCTGCGCAATGGACATGGTTCCTCTCGGGTATCTGTCAGCCGTAGCCGAGGGGCATTCTTTTCTCGAGCCGACCAGAATGCGGGAATTCTTTAAACGAGTCTCACATAAATACAGGACACTGTTCCGGACGGCTGCAGTAGCACGCTCACACGAAGTAGAACATGGAACGCATTGAGTTTATCAGACACTCTTTCTCTGCGAATCCGATATTCATCACCTCGGAATTTCCGCGTTGGTTCAAGTCAGTGGTGCCAAGGGTGTCAGGCCAGGGTATTGAATTTGCAATGTCAAGGTCAGGACCGGCGTCGTCTTCCTACAACGACCTGCCTCCACATAAGCTCGTGCTTCTTTCGAGCTTTCTGCGGTTCTACTTGAGCACAATGAGCCATGGGTGCCAAATAAATGGCCTCGGCGGCCTTGTTGATTCCCCACGGCCTCTTTCCGCTCAGTGTTCCTTTCCCACATTTATTTCAGGCCGCACAAATTCAGGCTTGTATTCTCTCTGCACTGTCATTGGCATTTGTTTTTTAAACACTGGGTGTTGAGCGTTTACCACTGTATGAAGGCGCCATGTATGTCCTCGGACGTATACGGAATAGAAGCGAAACCACACACTAGTAGGCGAGATGTCCACGCCCGTTGATTACAGGTAGGCCATTCCGTGCCTACCACACAGTACAGGCTGATTATCCTCAAAGTCTCGAAAGCAATTATCTAAGCCTCATTCATCGGTATCAAGTCCGCCACCTGGGCATGGGGATTCTTGCCTAGGCGTTCACAGTATTTAATATTTCACCACGTAATTAACAATCACAACAACCATGTCAAGATTCCCAGCACTCGAGACGCCATCTAATAGCACAGGCAACACAGCCACCACCAGTCTTGACACACACACCTTCACATCAAGCACAACACAAGGGCCAAAGGCGTAGTAGGTAGTAATTATGCACCATCATCAAGCACCAATTTTGCATTCCACAGTCTCAAATCTCCATGCGAGTGAGAGATCCAAGATACCTAAGTGGGTTACCAACCAAAAGTAGGATGGTACAAGAGATAAATACTAAAAACATTAACTGAATCTGCTGCTGCATTCTAAAAAGCCATGTTGAATGTGCATCGTGCACATAGGGGTATCAGCCCAATCCCAGTCCCGTTGAACGACAACCAAAAAAAAAATAAAAAAAATAACAAGAAACTCCTGTATCCAATGGACCAGTGTCAGAATTTTTGGAGAGATGAATTCCCGGATTTCCCCTCGTCACAATGCTGTGCCATGCCATTCGGCGCTCATGGACTCATCAGGTGAAAAATCAAAAAATACAACGCTATGCCCTCACTCCAAGTGCCCGGTTAAATGGAGAAGGAAAAGAAGAAAAAAAGTGTGGAGGTTCGAAGGAAAAAGAGATCACATTCATGGATGTGCCTCGGCGCTGTTCCTCCTGCTGCTCCCGGCACTGTGGGTGGCACTCCCGCTCGGCCCAGCACCCAGGGCGCCCGCCAGGGGCCGGTGGCCGTCGAGGGTCTCAAAGACCTCCTCGATATCCGGTGGTGGGGCGGGGAAGTTGGGCTCGTCCGAGTAGGCGGGCGGGCTGGGCGGGACGTCCTGGTAGATCGGGGGCGCCTCGTTGTCCCAGGAGATGCCTATTCCCCCGCGCTCGGTGAGGACGGTGCCAAAGTGCATGCGCAGGATGCGGCCGACGCCGGTCTGGGTGACCATGCTGGGCTTGCCGACGGGGGCGCACTCCTGGGAGACGACCATCTCGAGCATGAGCTGGTGGCCGACCTCGGTGCCGTCGCGGGCCTTGAGGTCGCAGCTGTACTTGGCGTGCTTGCTGAGGGAGTAGTCGAGCTCGAGCTCGACGCTCGAGTCGGTGGCGCCGGCGTAGTTTGACTTCCAGCCGGAGAAGAGGGTCTTCTCGCCGATGGTGCGGGTCTCGGTGCGGGCGATGCCCCTCTTGCGGGCCTGCTCCTGCTGCTCCTCGGTGGCGGCGTCGTGCCTGGGCATGTGCTTCTCGCAGGCGGGGGCGACAGTCTTCATGGTCTCCTCGAGGCGCCAGGTGAGCTTCTTAAGCTTCCAGTACTCGATGGTGTTGGTTGCCGAGTTGAGCCTGGCGATGCCGTCGAGGCGCATGGACAGGGTGTTTGTGCCGATGGGGTGGATGACCTGCTGGTAGTGCACGCTGGCCTTGACGTTGGTGGGAGGGAAGACGCGGACGGAGTGGTGTGGGAGCTCGGGCGGAGGGAGCGAGCGCTTGACGTCGAAGAGCTTCTCGAGCTTGATGGGGTGCTGGTTGGGCGCGGATGGGATGGCCTCGGCCTTGAACTCGTAGGAGATGCTGGTGACGGGGTTGTCCATGGTGGCGGGGAGGTGGCCGTCCAGCAGCACGGAGAAGGGGAACTGGTGAGGGCCCTGCTTGAGAGGCGTGGCGTGTGGCAGGAAGACCCATTCCTTGAGGAGGGTGTGCTGGTTGGCACAGTCGCCGCAGTGGACGGTGAAGGGCTTCTTCTGGGTGACGTGGATGTGCAGGGTGGCCTTGAAGGTCTCGATGTCGTAGGACTCGTCCTTGATGTCGAGGAACAGCTGGCCCGAGACGAGGGCGCCCGAGCTGGTCTCGGCGTCGCCATGGAAGATGATGGGGGGCGACTCGATGTTCCAGGACAGGCTGGCGTGGGGGTTTGTGTGGACGTCCTTGCTGGAGCGGCCGAGGTGCAGGGCGTGCAGGCCCGGGAAGGACAGGCGGTGGTGGTCCTTGTCCTTGGCGTGGTCGTGGTGAGCCTCCTTCCTCCACAGGCCCGGTGTCTCTGCCGGCCTCCTCGAGACTGGGGGTGCTGGGGTGTGCTCTCGTGAGCTGGGCATGTCTTCGTCTATTGATGATGCGTAAGGCGACACGACGGCCCTCTCCCGGCTCCTGGGCTCGCGGTCCGAGAGCCCGCTGTTTGTCCTGTGCGGGGACTTTGTCCTGCTCCTGATGGTGTTCTTCTTGATGGCTGTGACCTGGTGTTCAAGGGTGGTGGTGGAGTTGCGGAAGAAGTTTGCTACGCGGTGTGGCATCTTTTCTGCAGGTGGTGGTGGTTGGGAAACCACGGCCGGGTCGATGTTCCTTCCCCCCTGCCCGGTCGGTCTGGCGCGTATAAGTGGGTTGCCCGATATGGCAGTCGCTGTTAGCCGTTTGTGTGTGCTGCAAAACTCGTGCACTGCTTGACTCGTTCCTTGCAGTGCCTGCCTTGGTTGTTGTTGTTGTTGGTAGTAGGTGTTAATTAATCCTGGGTGACGAGATCAGGAAGAAAAAGAATTGGTTGATTGACAGCTTGGCTGGCTGTTTATTTTTATTCTCCTGACGCCCCCAAAAACAAGGCCGGCCCCAAAACGGACGGTGGTGCTCGCGCCTCGGTGGTCGGTGAGCCCAGTTCCACTGCCGGATCTGGCGATGGTGTAGGGATGATTCGATGTGCGGGTGGTCGGCTGACTTGGCTGACTGACGCCCCTTGTGCTGGTCCGCTGCTGGCCGATGGTCGGATCCCCGTGCTGAATCGGGCGTGGTTTTGGATGGTCCAAGTCCCAGGCACAGGCAGGACAGACGCTTGCAGTTCGGCTTCCCCCACTGCCGTTTGCTTTGACGTTTCGAAAGAAAAAAAAAAGAGAAGAAGCAAAGAAGGCGAGACAGAAAAGGTATGTGCACACAGACACAATACTCTTCCTCCTTGAAGACGACGATGGGTGAGTGATTCAGTCGCAATGGGTTTCTGTCTGTGAGACTATGGTTCTCTCTCCTGGGCCCAGCTTGGGTGTGGCGTGATGTTGCCCAACTCGTGCGTATAAGTCGTACTGTTTTCCGCTGCTGGTTATTCCCGTGACTGGGGAAGTGGAGGGCGTGCTGTATGTATGGTGGTAGGCAGATAGGGCACAAGGTGTGTGTGGTAGGGTAGGTAGGTGATAGTGATAAGTGACAGGACAATATAGTATAAACCCAGAACAGACAAGTCTTGGTAGGACTCTGTCGTCAGTCAGAGGTGCAGGCTCTGATGTCTTATTGAAAAGTAGAAAATCCCACAGACCAAGATGCAAAATTTCAAAGGGGATCAGAGCACGGCATCAAACATGATATAATCATCGTGCCCACCACACTAGAAGCGAGCCTCGTGCCAACGATGGTCCTTATGAGAAGACAGGTTCGTCCCGGGGCGGTTTCCATCAAGTAATGAATGACACATTGCTTCAGGGGGGTTCCTGGGCCAGGCGCTGGAAGTCCCCTGTCGGCCCCTGTTCTTTTACCCGTCACAGCGCCTCGCCAGCAGAGACCTAGGTACCTGGGCAGCAGCAGGGCACGGCAGGGCACCTGTGGCCGACACGGCACCTTGGGCGCATCAGCCCACCGCCAGCTTGATTGAGCCTTGGGATGACTCCTCCCGTTGCGCGGCCAAGGTACTTAAGTACCTACTGTGTCCTGCCCTGCCCCACGGTCCAGGTACGAGTCTCAGAGGTATCACCAAGCGCACAAATCGGCGATCTTGTACATGGCCATTCGGGATTTGCTTGTACAGTACGTACCTACATGATTGAACCCGCCCACTTGGATACTTGGTCTTCACCACTGCACTGCACTGCGACCCGTACACGCCAGCTCACGAGGGTTCTCAAACGATGGTCTGTCTGCCAGCATGCCACATCATGTCTTGTTGACGAGGACGCAGGGTCCGAGGTGCAGACCGGACCAGATCAAACATGGCCACGAGCAAGTATTGGCTGGTCTGGCTGGTCTGTGTTGAAGGACATCTCGCACATAACCGTTCAGGGGCGAAGGCCGAGATATATTCTAGGCCTGCCTACTGTGCTTGGGTTGGACAAAGAGTGAGTGAATTATGGTGAATTAGAGGAGTGAGACTTGTGGACTTTATGGTTGTTTTGGGAAGTGACGATGGCCTCATGGCCTCAGGGGAGAGGACCTTCATTTCGGGCTCCCTTCGCCCTGGCCGTTGGGTGCGCTGGATGCGCTGGTGTGCTCGGGCGTTTCTGGTCTCTGGTTTCCAATGTCGTTAGGACGTTCCACAATTAGTTGACGGAATCACCGTGACCATGTATCAATTGCTTGTATATATTGTGAACAGACACCCTGAGCGCGGATATAAGATTGACTGCATGCTCTGGCATCACTGAAGCCATCACGACATTGTCATCATCAATGAGGGATTTGAGTGATCACCTGGCAGGAACGAGTGCAGGGGTATTGGCTGTGTACATTGCATGCACACTACGGGAGGGAGCTTATTAGTGTGAGTAGTAAGTACATCGTCAGGTATCGTCAGGGTGACTGCCTCCGCGAGGAAGAGGACCCTCTTCCCATGGGCCCATGTTTTTTTTTTCTCTTCTTTTTTTTTCCCTCTCCGTCTGGGTCCAGCCGCCAGACTTAGATTCCCCATTTCCAGTTGTGAAAACCCACCTGGGCAGTTCCCGATCCAGCCCTGCGAGGTTGGTGCACGAGGTACCACAGTACGGCGTACATACATGAAGTGGAGGTGCCAGCAGGCAGGAGGTAGGAGGTAGAGGTAGGAACCAGGAGGCATGCACTCACTCACGTCACCTACTGCCAGTGCAGCACAGCAGTAGCTTCCAGCAACCACTGCCCCACCACGGAAGTACTGCCCAGACACAGTCTGACAGGCTGACAGGGCGATCACCAGCTGGGAAGAAGGTTCGACAAGGTGACAAGGTCAGGCACTCGGTGGCAGGGCGCAGAGCCTCCTCGTCTTGTCAATGTGTCAATGTCGGGGGGGGGGGGCCTGAAATGGCCCAACCAAACCCCTCAGCCCCTCCTGCCCCTCCATCCGTTTTTGGGGTAGCTACCAGAATCTGGTCGACGGTGGTTGCGCCTTCCCTCCCCCTCGACGTCAATCGCCGCATGAGTGAGATCAGAGCGAGATCGGTTTCTAATCTTGGCAACAAAACACACAAGACCGCATTACAGTGGACATTGGTACTTGCAGCGTCACCGTCAGCCGCCCGTCATCATTCAATTTCCAAACGTCCTCCCTCGTTCGAGATGTCGCCTTTCATTCATTCATTCCCCTCGCACCAGACTGACTGTGACTGCCCGACTTTCTGACTTACTTCCAGATGGCTCCTCTTTGAAAAGCCTGGACGAGTCGGCATTATGGAGCCATGTACTGGTACCTGCCATGGGAAGTGGGCTGGGCGTGTGCGCCATGCACACGAGGTACCTCGTACAGGGTTGGAACAGAGTTGGCTCCCCCTGAGTCATCCAGCCGTGGCCTGCTCCGTACTTTGGGGGCCCGACTCCGTCACGGATTTGAGTTTTCACGCCATTCTGCAGCCGGCTTCCATCACGGCTTATATGGGCTACCACCAAACCCCCATCCAGTCGAACCCACCCACGATCCATCGGCACTGCATTGGCAAGCCTCTCTGCCCCAGGACGTGCTCCTTTTCGGCTGAGAGCGGTCCTTTTTGTCCACGACTCCTGGACTCCTGGACTCCTGGACTCCAGGCCGTTGCTTGCTGGACCCAACTTGGACCAACTTGGAAATCCCTGCACAGAAATTTTCCCTTCTTTTTTGCCTTCCCTGCCTTCCTTGCCTGCTCCTCAGCTCCTCAGCTCCTCCTGCCAGGGCCCTGGGCCAGAGCACGCGCCAGAGCCACCAACAGAGCTCGCAATTTCTGCCCGGACTTGCGAACTACCGTCGCTTGATTCCGTCACATGGTGCAGGGCCAGCTGCTCTATTGGTTGTCACGGCGCAGAAAATCCCTTGTTGTTTCCTCCATGGCCCCGGCCCCGGCCCCCTGGAAGCTTTTCCCGGAAACACTACTTGCGGTACACGGCACAGTCAGTCAGCTGGCGCATTTTTACCGAGTACTTGTCGCTAGGCCTTGTACTACTGACGAATCCAGCCAGAACCAGCAGAGTTTTCTCAGTTCGCCATCCCACTCGCTCCATCCAGCATGGTTCTTTTAACGAAAACGTCACTGGGTCCAAATCCTATCTGATCGGACCGTACCAACCTGCCAATGAACCTCAGACCTGGCTCCAAAGGCTTTGTTTGACCGCGCCTTGCGAGCCCTTGGCAGGCTTTTCGTCATTCACATGCACCCTCCGCCGGAAAGTCTGCTCCAGTCAATGCCATTACTTGATGCTAATGCTGTCACGTCGCCGGCGGCGAGAACCTGACTCCAGTCTGCGTCCCGGGCGGCGAGATGCTTGGGACAGCCCTTGACATCGCAGTATAAGCCAGTGGCTTACACCACTGGGGAGCCCAAAACGAGGGGCAGTCTACTCCATGGCTGCTGTGGTATCAAGTACTCCGTAGATCTGGCCATCTCCGCGGAGCCGCACTTGTTGTGAGACCGTTGTCACCTCGCTGGGCGAGCGCCAGCCTTAGCACATCACCGGACCACGTAGTCCGGACGCCAGGAACAACTCCCGACGTCGCCCTTATTACCATTCCAAGCTTCGCAGCCGAAGCAGGCCCCCTCGGGGCATCTTCGTGCAGAAGCAAATCCAAAATCCGGGGAAACCTAGACCTCCACCCCATTCTCCGCATTCAGCAAGCAAGAGGACGTCATGCCGCAGTCACGTTCAACATGCAGTGGCAGTAGGCGCTTCTCGACCGGCCATTCCCATCGCCTTGTCAGGCACCACCGGTCTTTCGTGTGGTCATGAACGTTGTTCAACCTTCCGAGGAGAAGCAAACATCATCAGATGTGTTTCGATTTTAAGCTATAGCTTGCAGGCGCCCATATATGAGGTGATGCGCTCCCGCTGCCCTGCCTGCATTGATTTTACATAATAGCCGTCGCCCGCCCGCCGAATAAGACATCTTCCACCATGGCACGTTTCACACCACTGTCATGGCCCAGGCCAGCCACGAGTTCCAGCCCTCCAGGGCTGCTGCAGTGTACCTCTCAAGCTTTCTTTGCCTGTCTTTCGAGTCCCTTGCCGGCCGGCCAGCCGCCCCGTCCCCTCGCCGCCACCACTTGGAGACAGCACGATTCTGACTTGCGAGCAATGTTCCGTTCAGCTGGGCTCGAGTAAGACCTCGTGGCAACCCTTGGCAGTTTGAGCATGGCATCTTCAAGGGATTCGCTCGTTCACCAGCATCCAGCCAGCCAGCCAGCCAGCCCGGCCAGCTCAGTCGAACCCTGCACATCAGGAGTACCTGTTATGGTGTCGCGCTACTGAACATCGGAGTCCTTACTTGATGACTTACTTGATGATTATTTCATAAGTCGTCACTGAAACTCATATAGTTCTTCACGGCATCACTGTCGGCCTATTTTGTCTGGTCCAAGTGGATACCAGTGTGCTTTTCTTTGAGAGGCGTATGAACTTGAGGCCTTGAAACAGAATTTTTGCTGTGTTTTTTTCATATGCCATGGATCTATTACGTACGTTCCCGCGTGCAGATGCCGGAAACAGCATCGTGGGGCCCACGGCTTGGGAACCTCCCAGAAATCCAGAACGGCGGGAGCTCCCATGTTTCGATCCGATTCACCGATCGTCAGGTACGAGACCATTCCGCCGTCGCATAATTGCGCGAGCACAGGCCAGCCTGCCAGCCCAGGTGTCAAGCCCCCCGGGAAAGGGCCTGATTGCGGCGCAGCCCTCACAGCAGTGTGCACCCGGCTTCCGATGACAGCCGCAGCCGGGTTGCGGGAGGAAAAGGAACGACGGATGATTTTTCGGAGCCGGCCGAAGGAGGCTCCCCATCGCACAACCACAGTCTGTACTGCTCATGTCAAATACCCCGTGATGTCAATCAGCTGAGCCGTCATGGTCCCAAAATCAAGGCCAAGGCCGCCCCCTTTTCCCCGTGGTCCTGCCCCGGACGACAAGAAACCTGCGAAATGCGGAGAGGGCGGATCGATGGGGACTGCGAGGCCGGCCCATGGGGTACCACCGCAAAGCAGCACCACCAGACAGCACAGGAATCAGGTGACTATCTGTCGTTCACAAGCTGCCTTACCGCCTGAATCGCCCGCAACCATGCACCGCCCTCGAGGTCAGGCGCGTGGCCCAAAAACAACACACTTGCAAGTTGCAACACATGCCTCACTTACACCCCATAATAAAAGCCCACACACACAACAACAGTGAATGGTGAAAAATGGCCTGCTGTGACGTTACTATGAAGTGGGCGTGTCGTGTGGGTACCCGGACTACCACACGTTCTTCCGCTTTTTCTTTTCCAAGGCAGCCAGCCAGGCGCCCAAGGCCATTTTTTGACATGTTCTCGAACGCGCGCAATGTGGGCGCCCCACAAGGCATTGCTCCCTACGGGGCATTCTTCCTGCCTTCTAGTGTCTAGCTCCTTGCGAGTAACCTTCTCCTTTTGGAGATGGCTGGCGAGGATAGGATTTAATACCTGCGATCAAGGTTACCCAACTAACGGACAGTTGCCGTGATGCCATCCATGACTGTCCTTGTGCGCTGCAGTCGGGCCGGTGCTCTTGGGCGTGCGTTCTTCTTGACTACTAAATTGTCATGAGCGGGCGGGAAAAGCCTGGCAAATACCCACCTTTCTTTGTGCAAGTGGGCCTCTGGATGGAGAGCTAGAGTGACAGGCGGCTCTGCGGCGCTCCCCAGGCCAGGGGTGAACCGGTCCGGTCGAGGCCTGGCGGCTACAGTCGGGAGGCTTCTGGTCTTTTTTGCTGGGTTTCTTACCTACCTACTTGGCATTGAATCCTTTCTTGTTTGGGGGCGGCCTCATGGACCGGAAATTCCTGTCGTGACTTGCTACGCAGTGTCTGAGTAGGGGATTTGATGCGGAGGATGCCATGCGGTGCGGACTAGCTTGTATAGTGGTGATGTTGTCAGCTGAGGAGTCTGCATGTCCATTCGGGACTTTATTTAGGCGCTCTTTGCTGTGGCATCCAAGCGCACACTGGATATATATTTTCGCGACGAGTGCAACTATTAGGAGACACTGATGCCACAATTGCGGGAAGGACATCCGGGCAAGGCGGACGGACATCTGGATCCTGAGTCAGCGCGCAACCGCGCACATGCCTGGCCTCTGGCGACGTCCACGACATCTGTTCATTTAAGAGAAGGACCTACGCAACAGATCATGTCCGTGGCCGGTTAAACTTTCGTGCTGACTAGCTTCCGTTCACGCGGTACACTGAGGGCGTGCCGATCGATCGGTCGACGAACGAACGAACGGCATCCGGGATGGTTTTCTGTCGGCGGCCCCCGGGCCTCGCTCAACCCTCGGCGCTCGGCGCTCGGTGCACCACTCCTCTGTCGAACTCTCTGTCGACCTTGATCAGTCGCCGTGATATCGCGCGAGGCAGGCAAGGCCTGCTGGTGGTTCTTCCACGTTCCTGGCCCTGCATTTTTGACCTTTTGGCTACTTAGCTAAGTAGAGGCACTGTGGCTGCTCCAACCTGTGTGATTCTGCAGTGGATGGTCGAGAGCGAGAGAGGGAGCTTGTGTTGCCTCTGCAAGTAAGTTCGCATAAATGGACTGTTGGTCTGGTGAATGAGAGTCGGAGTCTATGAGGAATGCCCCGAGTAAATACCGGTGCTTATTCTGGCTCCCGCGGCGCTGTGCTTGAGTTCAAAAACTCCCTTGTGGCAATTGGAGGTCTCGAGATGGTCTGCTCGGCTGGTCCGGGTGCTGTCTGTATATGGGTCATCTCTAGCTGTACGTATCATGCCGATCGTTGTGATGGTATCGGTCGTCTAGCTTCGTCTTGGGATCTCTCTGGCATTCCTGAGGGATCGGGTGTAACGATTAGAGCTCTATCCTGCTCTTCCAATTCGTTGGACGAGAATGGTGTCCTGAGATGTAAAAAATAATGTCTTCAAGTGTTTACGCATGTAGGATGTGTCACTTTCATGGATCTCATTATTCGTTTCTCTGCACACAATGACATGCATAACACTATGGCAAACAACACGACTGGGGGTTGTCTCTTGAAGAGCTTCACCACCACAGAGGTTCAGTGCAGGTGATTGAGATTGCCGTTACTTCACTAAGCTAGGGTATAGATTTGAGGTTACAATTGCATTTACCATTCGCACTAAATGAGCTCGAAATACCGGCGGCGCGGAATTGTCCTATTTCAATGTGACGGACGTTCATTTGCAATGTTTTGTTAGCGAACTGAGCATTCGTTTGGAGCCGATACCATTATTCAACGGATTTACGTCAAGGACTTTGACCTGATGGCAGTTTCTAATATGTGTTGGCACATCTGTTCGTGGAAACTTCAGATGCTCAGAAAGTGCGGTGTGGTTACGTAGACCTACCTAGTTGTTCGGTTCCGTTACCCATTTGAAGAACTCAGACCATTCAAGTCGTCTGGTTTCGTCTCTATTCTGTACCTAGTTATACCTCCGAAGCCATATACGCGATTCAAGTTGTTTTCGATGTTCCTGTACCTAGCTTTTGCTCTAGTGATGGTCGAGTCGATGAAGAGATATGGAGACAAACAAGGTATCACTGGGAACTAGAGTCCTTGTCTGGCAGCCATGTATGGAAGTATTCGATTTATGAATGCCTCAAGGAGTTCTTCGATGATTCTATAAGCTATTTCTCCAAGGAGCGGCACTTTAATGCATTCAGCGGTTTATAGTGTAGGAAAAGTCATCAAAAGAAGTCGCCCCATTCAGTCCGAGGTCGTACTGTGTGATGAAAGTGATCGTGTCAAGACCCTTGAACTGGTCCCCCAAATCCACATATCTCATATTTCCCACCAATTGGATGAGAATGGGCTGGAACCGGATCGTCTTTCTCACCTTCTCCTGGAAAGCGTATTCGCCGATGATGGTCAAGTTACACCCGACTGGCAGCGTCAGGACGTATTGCTTGAGACCAGTCTGGCATCCCCACCTGCACGATCAGACGTCAGCCATCACAGCCGATAAAAAAGAAAGTCTGTTTCGCTTGAATATGGGAACCTGGAAGTCAATTTATATGCATACGGGGTTCATGATGAATCCGTGGCCTGGTGAAGCCCTTTACACAGGACAACGAAGATGGGGGATCAAAACTTCCCAAACACAGTTCAAATTTTGTGTGGGAGCTGCTCACCAGAAGGATTTCAAGTCTACAGTTGGTCTCTGAGAAATGACGCGGCTCTCGACGGTGAGCTTGCGTGCGATGTAGGGCGTATTTGTGTCTAGTGACCCAAGCGTATCGTATCCTGCACCGTTGATGCCACTGTTGGGAAGCAGACTACCAATGTATAGAAAGCCCAATATTCCCGGCTGGATGGTATCTTTGGGTGGGAACAATGGTGGTCAGCCGAGTTCATCTCAACACTAATTACATGGTACCTCGGACGAGACCTACAGAATCCCTGCCACCGGAGGCCGTTGTATGAGCCAATTTCTGGCGCATTCACCACGTCGGAAAATATGTCGACAGGGACTTTGTCTTCGAATGTGGCCAGATAGGGAGTGGCCGCTCGAGATTCGAGCTCAGACCCCGTGATGGGGTTGGCAAGTGCCGAACAAGTCAGACAGGCCAATAGGCCTGCAATCCTCACCAGCATTGTGAGTATCTTTAAAGTATAGGTGTGGGTAGCAAACTTTAGGAAGCTGAAGTGGGTGAGGTGTGAGGTATCATATGGCACTACAGAGTGTTTATTCGTCGACCGGCTCTCACTGGCAAACTGGTCCAACGCCCTTTATAGCTTCTTGATCCATAATTTAGAAGTCTGTGAGGACCGCTTACGTCAAATTGATCTATGCTAGCCTATGCGGTCTCGAATCTTGCATCCATCTTGTCAGGCCTGACCTCTGCTCGTGCTCTAAAATTTAGCGAAGGGCCAGTCCGCAGCTCACGGTCTAGCAAATCATCCACACAAAGAAACGTGTGGGGGGCCTGATCAATTTTATCTAACCGAATGTTCTGGGCATGACCTGATTCCTTTGTGAGACATATCCACTGATCAGCCGCAAGGCATAGGGTGCGAAGATCATCATGCCATACATATGTGCTAGGCCCAAATGGCCATTGACACATGCATTGGCAGCTGAATTTGTCTGCAATTGGCACTCTTTTGTCAACTCGCAAGACTGAACTCGCTTCGGCCCGCAATCGACCTAACAAAGCACCAAAAAAGTCGCTCCAAGGTTTGCAAAGAGCAACCAAAATGAACCCCCACACTCCGTTACCGGACAACATCCATACCTGTTGTAATTCATATCCTGTGGTTTGACACATGATTTCCATTAAAGCCAATTACTCGCGCTGCGAGATCAAAGAGGCTGCCAGGGTATTACGGGTTCTGCCGCAGCTAGGGGTGGCTAACGCAAAATTGCGCATGTCATCGCTTACTTAAGTACTTAGTTGAATGACAATATTCGTGACTTGTATTGATCGGGGGCCCGAGCCACGTCTTACGCGTCCTTCCCAAATCGATGTGCCATTTATTTGAGGGGAAGCAAGACTATTATGGCAGCTCGTAAGACACGTGAGTGGGAGGCCGCAAGTCTGTTGATCACTGAGTTGGGAATCCTGGGACGTTGATACCACGGTGACAACGCCAAACTCTGGAGCCCGTGGAAGAATTTATCCTTCAATTCCCATTTTGGCGTGCTCGTGACGAACGTCGCTGACGTTTCCTCGCTTATGTACTCGTGCCCATCATCCGACCCGAGAAAAGGCGAGCCATGTTGGGTCATATCATCCGAGCCTCGAGAACGCAACCCCTTTTGGAGCCCATCTTTTGACCCTCGCTAATTGCGACCCATCTGGCCGTGTCTTCCGCTTGAGAATGAACCACACACTTAGCCCCGCCACGATTACAGCCAGGGGCACTTCTAGGCCGACACCGCATCTGATCTTGGCACCGGAATCATCGTCTCGTCTTCGTCTTGGTTGGAGTCCAAAGCGGCAGCCGTTCCAGTGGCCGTTGAAGCAGAGAAACTTGTAGAAGGCTCATGTGGTGTGACTGAGGACGGAGTGATTGAGATTGAGGTTGTGGGTGTCGTCGAAAGGGCCGCTGTGGAGGGTTGCTGAGACCACGTATGAAATTTCAATTCGGCTGCAGCCAATTTATATATATGCTTTTGTGCAACTGTTCATTTACTTGTCACCTTCTGGGCTGTTAGACTACCTACTAGTAGTCCACGACACCGTATGTTTTTTAAGCGCTTGGTCTTGAGCATTTACCGCCGTACGAAGGCGCCATGTATGTCCTCGGACGTATGTGGAATAGGATCGAAACCAGTAGTAGTGCACACCCTCGAACCTCTCTATACAGGAAGTTACTAGCTTTCTTTATGACTGGTTTGGCTTCCATTCCGTACATATGTATACCATACGGTACGTCCGAAGACATGCACGGCGCCTTCATACCATGTTAAAAAAATATTGTAGGTGATAATGTACCTAGGTAGAGATTTGCAGAGGACTCGCAGGTCTTTGTGTGATATGTACTCGGACAGTGTTAGATGCTGGGATCTAGGGAAAAGCACCATGTGCTTTCAATGTTCTTAAATTGTCATCCAAGTCTCGAGCTGGAAAAATTGCAGATACAGAAACATTGAGATGGAATGAAATCAATAAATATCGAGTAGCTCCGTATACGGATTCCCACATTGAAGACACGATGTCCTTCCCAACCCTTTTGAGACCAGTCTCAATAGGTCGCGTGATCCTCAGGATGCGCGGTATCCTTTGACCGCACCGGAATCTTCAAGACGGCATAGTCAAACCTCCTATCGACGTACTTCAAAAGCCCCGGGTCCATATTATTGGTGTTGATGCCCATCTTGTACTCTTCCCCGTCAGTACTACCAGGGGGAGGAGGCTGCTCCAGCGGCCACCAGTAGCATCTGCACATGCACGGGATTGATCAATCGATGAGCTTCTTCAAACCCCCCCCCCCCAAAAAAAAAAAAGAAATCTCGTGAAGGGAGGGAGGGAGGGAGGGGTGAATGACCAAGGAAGGGCCTGACTGACACGCATCCACAAGAATCACAAAAGTTAAAGGAGATCCCCCGGTCCCCCCAGACGTACTGCCTCGCCACGGCGCCGGGCCTGGTCTCGATCCTCACCTCGTCCGGGCGGTAGTAGGCCCACGCGGCGCCGTAGCGCCTGCATATGGTGCACTGGCAGGCGTTGGTGTACCCGGGCAGCCGGGGCGCCGTGACCGTGATGGCGCCGCAGTGGCAGGTGGAGCGGATCGGGGTGTCTTCGGCTGCCATCTTTTTATCTCCTAGTTATGTGTCGGCTCGCATGCATGAGGTCTGGCCCGACCTATCGGCGCGATGCTGACATCGAAACTGCCAGTGTCAGACTTCGGACATGTCACCCTCGGCGGGACGGCCAGGGATGACTAATCTGGATCAACACCGTTTCAGGCGTCTATCTAGACTAGACAAGTCGCATTTGCGATCCTGACGGTCTCGGCGTTAGTACCAAGGCAGGGAGGGGGAGGCAGAGGCACCTAGTCACAACCTCTCCCTCCAACACATGCTGACATTTGTGGATGTCGACCACCTGAGGCCTGCCTTCCAAGGATGGCTTTTCACATGATTTATGCAGGTTAAGATCCAGGTCAAGGAAGGAAGAATTGTGAACAGCGGGTGTGAACGGCTAGCTGTGGGCAGATCTCTCCCCACGTCGGGGAAAAGGAGGATAGACTAGATGGTGTCTGTCGGCTATTGCCCAACCCCCCCCCCTGTCGTCATAGAACGTCAAGATTCTGGAACCGGGGGTGCACGCTGTAACATCTTGCTCCATCCGCGGGTGGGGAATAGCCTCAGGATTTATAAGAAGGAACTCCTTACATAAGGATAACATAGAAGATCGGCTCTATAACGTCACGTCTTATTGAGCGTTGCTAATATAAACTCTGGACGGGACCGTCATCGACACAACGTGCATCATCATCATCATCATCAGCCCAGAGCCATCTATCTATTCTAGTTGTAAGGAAAGGACCCCATATCGACCGCATGAGCAGTCCACCGCCACCACAACGCTTCGAACCCGTAGTAATCCCGACCATCACCCGGTACACACACATCTACAGCCCCGCAGGCACCGCCATGAGCAGCACGAAGGAGGTCGGCATCTTCCCCGCCGCGGGCGGCCTGGGCGGCAGCACCTACAGGCACCTGCTGCGGCTGGTGCCCGGCGACCGCGTGACGCTCATCAGCCGGCACCCGGACAAGGTCGAGGCCGGGTACCGCGACGCCGGGGTGAGGGCGCGCAGGGCGTCGTACGAGTCGCCGCCGCAGGAGCTGGAGCTCGCCTTCAGCGGGCTGGACGTGCTGTTCCTCGTGTCGTACCCCAGCCACGTCCACGATTACAGGGTGAAGGTGAGTTTTCTACAGACTTTGATTTTTTTCTTTGGGGGGGGGGAGAGATGGTGTCGTCTCCCTCTGCCTGTGAACAGAGCCAGCCCGTGCTGACGCAGGGGGGGGGGGTGTTTCCCGCAAAGGTGCAACTCCCAGCCATAGACGCCGCCAAGCGGGCGGGCGTCAAGCACATCTTCTACAGCAGCCTGGGCTTCGGCAGCGACGCGGCGGGCGGGGCGCTCAAGGCGGAGTCCAAGGCGGTCGTGATGCAGGCGCACCTCGACAGCGAGGCGCACCTGGCCCGGCTCGCGGGGGAGGACCCGGGGTTCACGTACACGTCGATCCGGGAGGGCCTGTACTCGGAGTCGTACCCGATCTACACGGCGTTCCTGGACCCGAGGGCCGCGGCGGACGGGGCCGAGGTGCTGATCCCGCACGACGGGTCGGGCCCCGGCGTGAGCTGGGTCCGGCGGGACGAGCTCGGCGAGGCGAGCGCGCGGCTGGTCGCGCGGTACTGCGGGGTCGGCGGGCAGTTCCCGCAGCGGCTTGTCAACGGCAAGGTGCTGCTCTCCGGGCCGAGGGAGGTCAGCCTCGCGGAGACGGTGGGGATCCTGGGGAGGGCCGTGGGCAAGACGTTCAGGATCCGGGAGGTCGGGGTCGACGAGTATGTGAGGCTGCCGCAGGTGCTGCGGGTGTTTGGGTCCGAGGACAAGTGCAGGAGCTGGGCGACCGCGTGGGAGGGCATCAAGGACGGCGAGGCCGCGCTAGTGACGGGGGACCTGGAGGAGATACTCGGGCGGAAGCCGCAGGGGTACGAGGAGACCATCAAGGACTTGTTGGCATGACTGACGTGGACAAGTAGCGTCTTGTTTGGATTTTCCGGTTGGTTGATTATCAGAGCACGCCAGTTGGGTTTCGGGATGGGTGCCACATGCGAATTCATACAGGTTGGGTGCCTCCAATACAGCCTTTTCAGAGTCCACATCGATCCTCGGACGAGTCTATCCGGCGTGTTGTCCTTATTCCCTGGCCTCGTGCGTGGACTGCAGAGCGGACCCGGTAGCTATGAGCAGGCATATTGCTGAGACGACCGTGCCTGCTCAGCTAATAGTATAGCCGCCCTGCCAGAAGAAGGCGCCCGACGCGGCAAGACTGGCCACGGCCAGGGCGAGGCGGAGCTCGATGACGGACCAGACCCAGAGGCAGCCGAGGGGAGGGGCCTGCTTGAGGACGGCGATGTAGCCGAACTTGTTTGTGATGTGGATCAGGTAGCAGCCGGCGGCGGTGCCCATGGCCAGGAATATGGCCTGCCTGGCATGGTCCTGGAGGCGCAGGGGCAGGCCGGGCACGACCGTGGTGGCTGCGGCGTGGGGGTGGAGGGCGTAGACGAGAGCGGTAAAGGCCATCAGAGCCTGCAGGGCCCTCTGTGCGATCTTGAACCACTCCATGTCCATGGCATACTGCTGCTGCACCAGCACGTCGAGGGTCAGGTGCAGCATCGCCAGCGAGACCGAGTAGAGCAGCGTCTCGAGGAGGCGCTCTGCACCGGGGGACAGGCCCTCGTCGTCGTCGTCGTTGTCGTAGTCGTCGTCGTCGTCATCGTCGACAGCCTCGCCGTTCTGGCGCTTGTTCTGGCGCTCCTTGGCGGCGGCCTGCTTGAAGAGGTTCCTCTCGTCGGCAATGTCGAGCAGCGTCTTTTCCGTCGGGCCGGACCGGTCAGGCTGTTTGAGCTTGATGTTCTTGGCTCGTTTTTCCTTGCGCTCGCGGACCATTGTCGCTGGTGTTGCTGGCCTCGTAGCCAATGTCGAGGGGTGAAGGTCAAGGAGGTCGGGTGGGAGGGACACGAGGGTGTCGCGTGGCTGTCGTGCGACTTTGAAATCAATCAATGGCGAGGCTGGCCTTCCAGAAGCTCAAACCCCTGTCAGCCTGGAGCTTGGACCATTTTATTGGACCCGTACCTGGAGCTTACCGCGACAGGGCTGGCGACCCTGCGTCATCTGGGCAAGCGCCAGGGTATGTATCCTCGGCACGGTACAATCCCACGCGTGTCTTGTGGCTTCCCTGGCCTCGCCGAGGGAGCAGCAGCAGCAACAACAACAACAGTTTGGGTCAGCCACCCTGTCTAGATACAGGCTCACAGTCGAACAGGTTAATACAAGCCACCACAAAGAATTCACAACTGGTGCCACACACAACCTCACCACCGACCCTTACGACGACGACGACCACCCCCCACGACCATGACCCCCAACATAAACATAAACACAAACAGCCACATGCTAATCGCCTACCCAGCCCTCACGGCCCTGGGGCTGGTAGCCCTGCTGATCCCGACCCTCTACCTCTACACGGTGGGCGTGGCCACCGCGCGCTTCCCGACCCTGCGCAACAGGCGCGTCTGCCTGCTCATCGCCCACCCCGACGACGAGGCCATGTTCTTCGCCCCGACCGTGCTGGCCCTGACCCGCCCGGGGCTGGGCAACCACGTCAAGATCCTGTGCCTGAGCAGCGGCGACGCCGCGGGGCTGGGCGCGACGCGCAAGCGGGAGCTGGTCGAGAGCGGGCTGCGCCTGGGCCTGCGGCGGGGCGAGGACGTCTACGTGGTCGACGACCCGGACACCTTCCCCGACTCGATGGCGGCGGCGTGGCCTGCGGGGCGGATATCCGACCTCCTGCGCGACGCGTTTGTGCCGGACAGCAGCAGCAGCAGCAACAACAACAACAACAACAACAACAAGAAAGACAAAGACGGGAAGAACGACGGCGAGCCCCCAAGGGCAACGATAGACGTCCTCATAACCTTCGACGGCGCGGGCGTCTCCTCCCACCCGAACCACATCTCCCTCTACCACGGCGCCCGCCGCTTCGCCGCCTCCCTGACCGCCGGCCGCCCGGGGTGGGCCAGCCCCGTCGACATGTACACCCTGACCTCGGTCGGGATCGCGCGCAAGTACGCCGGGATAGCCGACGTCTTCGCCACCCTCCCGGCCACGGCGCTGGACGTCTGGCGGGGCGCGGGCAAGGCCAAGGGGAAGGGGAAGAAGGAGGATGGCAGGAGGGGGGGCCGCCCCGCCGCGCTCGTCTTCATGCACGGCTTCGGCGCCGGCGGCTGGGCCACCGCCAGGGAGGCCATGACCCGCGCCCACGTCAGCCAGATGGTGTGGTTCCGCTGGGGTTGGATCACCATCAGCCGGTACATGTTCATCAACGACCTGAGGCTGGAGAAGGTATAGCCTGGCGGGTGCCTGTCCCTCTCTCAAGACGTCTTTTTTCTTTTCTTCCGAGGACTCGGGTGCCCATAGAGCTGGATATAGAAGCAGAAATACAAATGTTAGAAAGCCCTACGCCTACATTCTCAAATGCCCTCCTCCCTGGGCGGATGATCCTTTTAGCCTTTTGTCTAGGTCTGTCTATACACGTCTATCGCACCCATGTCTTGGAAGATAGATTGTATGCATCCACGCACGCAGCAGCAGGAGAGCAACAACCGGAGACACGCCCACATGCAGAGACAAAATGCCACCCCTCAAACAAACAGCCGTCCGCCATGTCACGTCACGTCCTCATCCGCATCACCTCCTCCACCATCTTGGTCCGGCGCGACTTGTGCCCTCCCCCCGGCCCCCCAGCCCAGTCCAGGTCAACCGGCACCGCCCCCACCCGGCTCGTGGTCCGTATCACCCTGTACGCCGCAAACCGCCTCCGCGCCGGGTCGTCATGGTACCCCGTGAACTCGCCGCCGTCGCGCCGCAGCGAGAGTATGGTCTGCTGGTCAGCCGGCCCGCTGAACCGCGGCCTGAACATGTATGCCGGCTTCTCCACCTCCCACTTGTCCCTGCGCCGCCCGGTCGGGGGGCGATACCCAGGGCTCTGTTCGTCATAGGACACGGGCATGTCTTGTTCGGCGTCTTCGCTCTTCTCCGATGCGCCCGTGCCCTCGGCGTGGCCATCCTTGTCCACCCCACCACCCATCTCAACCTTGGGGGTCGACAGCCGGTCGTGCTTGGTAGGCCACATTGGTTCCGCCAGCAATTGGCTCACCTTCACCTTGGGTCCCTGAATCGACGCGCCAGTGTTAAACTCCACCAGCCCGGTCGCGATACGGTACGAGACACCACCACTGGGGATGAACGGCGCAAAGTCGCCGATGAGCTTCGGGACGGCCCTGACGGCGCTCTCGTCGTCGATGCGGCCCGGCCGCAGCCCCTTGAGTATCAGGTGGATGCTGTACTGGAACATGAACCACACGTGGCTCCTCCGCGCCTGGAGCAGCTTGTAGCGGCGGAAGGCGCCGTGGTTGGGCACGCCCTGCGCCGTGGTCTGCACCAGCTCGCACCAGGCCTGCTCGCACGCGCCGACGGCCTCGTCGTAGAGCGGCTTGATCTGCCGGAGCGCCTCGACCGCGTGCAGCACCGGCTGGCCCCTGTCGATGAGGGACTTGATCAGGTTGTAGTAGTCCGCCGCGCCCGGCTGGAAGCTGTACGGCTCCTGCGTGCAGAGCTTCCATATCTCCATCACGTGCTGGCGCCTGGCGCCCTTGGTCGCCAGGTTTGCGATGGCCCACTCGGTCGAGGCCGGCCTCGTCTGCATGATGCGCGTGTAATCGATCAGGTCCGACCAGACGCGGTCTGGGACCGGGATGCTGAAGTGCTGCGATATGTAGTCGACGAGCCTCACGGCGGTCGTGATCTCCCCGGCACAGCCATAACCGTGGACAACTGCGTCGAGGAGCGCCGCTGTCGGTCTCCGCGGCGAGTCTGGTGGGTAGGTGTGGCCTCCTTCGATTGATATAGCACCTGTCGCCGGGTCCTTGCCGATGGCCAAGCCCCATTTCGCCTTGAGAAGACCTCTGGTGGCTGCCAGGCGACCGACCCGGCCGTTCGCTTTCACCAGGGCACACACGACATCCTCGTTGTTGCTCATGCCACGGAGCACCACCGCGCGCTCGAGCTTGTTCAGGGGGTCCCGTTTGCGAAGCACCCTGGTCAGGGGCTCGTCGTAGAAGCGCTCGTGCATGTTGGATCCGAAGCGGTGCTTCCGGCGGCCCCGGATGCTTGACATGATGTTCTTGAGCCTGAGGACGGAGTGGGGTCTTAGCCTTAAGCTGCTGCGATGCATGTCTAGCGGCCTCAGCCTGAACCTGTTCAAGTCATTGTTTGCATAGATATTTTCGGCTAGGTATCTGGCCCTGAGAAACTCGCTGTATGCCGTCGAGTGCCGGATAGTGACACGGCCGTCCCCCACCATGGCATGCCAAAGATCCTTGGCGGCCCGGATGTTGGAGGCGGCCCCGGCACACCTGATCAGGACGACGTAGTCGTTCATCAGCGGCACGAGGCCAGCGCTCCTTCGGGCAAGCTGGATGTGCAACAGGCGGCGGAGGATGCGGACGTAGAGGGTCTTGACACCCCACTGGTTGACCAGCTCGCCCAGGGGGGTGTAAACAGCCGTGCCGTACGTGATGTTGATGCCAGGGGCGGTGTCGACCTCCTCGGCAACCCTGTGAGGGTCGAGATTCCTCAGGATTTCGGAAAAGGTGGTGGCAGGAATGGTTGCCACGACCTGGGTGAAGGCCTCGCTCCCACCGGCTGTCTCATGACCACGGACCAGGCCCATGAGAGCAAGGTACAGCCTGAATGTGTCGCCCTGCCTGAGGGCGTTGAGAAGAGCCTTGAGAGCGACATGGTAGTAAGGGATGGTGCCGGGGCTGCCAGATGACGGCAGGAGAGGACCGGTGGCATGGACAGATCCGGTTGTTGTCGGCCTGCGGGCGAGGCGGAACCTTTTTTGTCGTGCCTGCTTGTCAGACTTCACGAAGTCATTGTCCCGTGGAACTGCCTTGGGTAGAGGGCGGTCGGGTTTGGGCTCCTCCTCGTTCTCATTGAGACGGGTCCATCCGAAGGGAACACTGGTGTTGATGTGTGCGCATCTCTTCTGGAAGAGGCGGGGGCGGTAGACTGCTGGATCACGGTTGGCATGGTTGTGGTTGAGGTTGAGCAGCCGTGAGTGCAGCCGTGAGTGGAGCTGAAGCTGGAGCTGGAGCTGGCTTGACTTGTGGAGGGCAGAGCGGCTGCGCTCCACCGGGCGAGTCGCGATCATCCGGGGCGGGTCTGCAACAGTTCATCGCCGTGAAGCTGTCATGACATGGGCGTCTCGCAGCAGCAGCAGCAGCAGCATGCGATGAACGTGAGGAGAAACTTGCCTTGCTGTCTCAATTGACCAATTTCCCACGCCCCCTTGCGACTGCCTGCGTGTTTCCCCAATTCCACCACCTGCACCTGCCACATCCCCCTCACTGCAACATCCAGGGCTGGGCTTGGTATTGTTAGTGTTCGTACCGAGGTACCCAGGTACCTGGACAAGCTGGAGAAGGTGCCCACTGCCCAGGCTGGGGTACGTACCACCGTGCACGGGCCTTCAATTTTCTTCGCCCGGCGAAGCTCCCTCTGGCAGGGGGGCAACTGGCCGGCCGTCCTCAACGTCAAGCGCTCAAGAGCATGGGTCAGGTCAAGCTACCTTCATCACATCCGATGCCCACGCCCGCCTGCAACTTTGTGACGCCACACGTTATCCCCGGGGACACCAACTGACCTGCCTCTCTCATCAATCCTCATCCGCCGCCGCCGCCCGCAACTATGGCCGACGCAGGAGACGAGCCCGCCAACGTCTCGGAGCCTCTCGACCTGGTCCGCCTCCTGCTCGACGAGGTCGTCTTTGTCAAGCTCAGGGGCGATCGCGAGCTCAAGGGACGGCTCCACGTACGCACATCTTACCCATCCCCGATGAACTCCGCTGGCTGACACTCGGTACCCGCTCCTAGGCCTACGACAGCCACTGCAACCTGGTGCTCGGCGATGTCGAAGAGACTGTCTACGTGGTTGACGACGAGGCAGAGGACGATGATGTCAAGACCGTCAGCAAAAAGTCGGAAATGCTCTTCGTCCGAGGTGCGTTCCACGTCGTTGGTCCCTCGGTTGGTTCCTGCCGCTCACTGACCCTTACTGTAGGCGACAGCGTCGTCTTAATATCGCCCCTGACCCAGTCATGATCAACGCTCAAGGACGGCTCTCACCGGTCACCGAGGCGCACAGTTGACATAAAGCCCTGTCTGCCTCTGGAATCCAGAGCACTGTGTGTTGGATCTGTCTCTGTGGCCACAAGAGTTCTCGGACTCGCAGGGACCACTGCGAAAGCCCTTTACTGACCGAGGCCTGCACGGCCAAGACAACGCCGTCGTGCCGTCGCAGATCCCGATTACGCAGTGGGGAGGAATCGCGAGAAACGTCTTGACACCCCAAAGGAGGGTGCAGACCGTGTTCGGTGGGGCGCTGGTGGGAAAAACTCTCAGCCATCGACGAGCGGGCTGGATGAAATTCGGCATATTTACACAACAGCACATGCAGACAATGAGATACCATATTCGGGACGCACATGTTCCATATTCACCCCGCCGCTACCTGCCCACACTGGCTTCCTCTTGTCGCGTACGTTCGGTCATTGGTTCAGCGACATCTCGTGAGAAGTGACACGGCAGCGCGCGGTCGAGTTGCAAATGGCAATGATGGAGTGTTATATCCTGGTTCGGGACAATGTTCAACCCCCCCCCCCCTTTCGAGCTGTGACGGTCGTATCGCAACCACGGAAATGCTGTACTCCGCCTTCCGTCCGGTGCCTTGAGTTGAGCCCTCACCAAGCACACCTGTCAGTCCATTGTGCCAGTCCAGCGGATCAAAGAACAGCGGGGGCCGCGATCAGGTCCAGAGCGGGATTTTGAATGAACATGCGCTGCCCATTCTTCTCAAGTCAAGAGAATCCCACGTCCGACATGATCGAGCCCCGTTCGAGGTTCACACCCACTCCGTAGACGTTATACCTCTTAACCCCACTCTCACCAACCCCAGAGGCTCCGGTCCCGGCATCAGAAGGCGCCGTCGACGAGTCCTGGAGGGTTAACTGCCCTCGCACTCAGGATCCCACAACACAGCTCCAAACTATTCCTCACACCCCGGGCGGTGCGCAAACCAACAGGCAGCCCCCGCCTGCCTTGCCTCGACCTGCGCAAGAAAAGAAATCGTGCCCAGGAACATGTGGCTCCTCTTGACATCCGTGCCCTTCAGCCGTACACGCCCCTCCGAACAGCGCCAGCAGGTCGCGCACGGCGCCCGCCCCTGAGCACGTCGGCGTAGGTGGGCTCGGAGTCGAGTTGGCTCAGGAGCTGGACGGTGTGTGGGCGGAGTAGCAGTGATTCAAGGGGTTGAGGCTGGATCGATGTGTCGGCGGATACTTCCTTTGGCGGTGGGGAGGCCACTGCTCTCGACTGGTCTGGGTCTTCGTCGTGCAAGTTCGAAGGAGGCTTGGGTGTCGAGCTCATCGACAGATATTCGGGCTGACATCTCTGATCCCGGAGATGATTGTACCACGAGTTCCAGGATAGTTGCCCACATTCTTCGACGTCCTTCCGCTTGGAGCGGCGTGATGGGTCGGAGACGGCCGGTGTCACCAGGAAGTCCCATCTTCATTACTATCTGAACAAATGAGCCTCCAGGGCTATGGATATCCATGCCAGTTCACCTCTGACTGAGAATCTACCGTACTAGGATGGTGAGACAGTATATTTCAAGGCCACCCATGGTGAGGCGGCCCTTTCCCAGTGGTCCGGGGTTCCATATTTGAAAGACCTCAACAATAGATGCTCCATTAAATGTTGAAGATTATAATTCTCATTTCGATGATGCGCTGGGCTCTAAAATAGAAAATAAATTATAGCCAGTTCTGTGCAGAATGTACCCATCCACGGGTCAGGTCTGCGTTACTGATCGCAACACCCGTGTTTTGGTTGTTGTACAGACTAGAGCCCAAGTCGACCGCAACAGAGATCTTGAGTCGGATCTCCGCTGGAGCACTTTCAGTGCGGTCCCAATACCGCTTGTACTCGGCCCGAAACAAAGGGTCGTAGAATATGCGATGGGTTGACTCAAATGACTAGAATTAGAGATTGATCATCACATCAGGCATTTCTCCAGGCGAAAGACCTATTTCAAAGGGTGATTCGTGACTCCTGCTGGGCCGGCTTCGTTTGGTATTCTTCCAAGTTTGCTGCGGTCTTGCATTTTCGGATCAATTCTCGGTTTAAACCAGGAGTAATGCTGTCTCTGGGCTCTTGTATGGAGCCTTGCCAGAGTCTTTGCCAATGGTCCCGGTGTAGCCACCAATCATGACAGAGAACCCCTGAGGCTTTCCCATCTAACGGCTCTTGCCAAGGTCTCTCGATTTATCCAGCGAGACTCCCAGTAGCCAGTCAGGCGACTTTGTCCTGGCCTCGCTGCGGTAAGGTGAAGACTCTTCGGCCCTTTGATCCTATTCCGCCCCAATAGTTCCGCAAAGTCGCCACCTTGTTGTTTTCCTGCCCCCGTATTGTTTGTTGTTTGGCAGAGACCAGCCAGTCTGGCTTTCGACAGAGTCAAGTGGAGGCTGGGGGGACAGTACAAATGCCCACTTACACCACCGGTAGCCTCGATCACCAATAACCTGCCACTACTAGGTGGTTTCGTTTCTAATCCCCATATATACAAAACGTATGCGGTGCTTTCATACAGTGGTAAACGCTTAAGACCCAGCGTTTAATAAATAGTACCAATACCAGTATAGAGACAATACACTGGCAGTACCTAGGCACGTGGCCTCAGCCTTGTACCGCATAGACAAGGCCAGGAGGCATCGCTCCCGACGGCACCGTTGACTAGAATCGTCGACACAAGTAGCCCAAGTGCTAGTCTGCCACGGTGTTAGAGTCAGTATCGATGCCAACCACCTCAAGATTGAGTGACATACAGGCTAAGGTTTTCTTTGTGTATGTAATATGTCCAGGAGAAAAAAATAATTAGTATTGATCTGCCGGGTAAATTAAGTTTCCTCGAGGCATCCAGCCAACCTTAACAGTGACCTTGAGTGCCTCCATTCAAGCTCGAGAGCGTTCCTTGTTCCTAATTATGAATTCACTTCTTGTAGATCTATGGAATAGGAGAGATAGAAAACTACGAGTTGATATTCTCAGAGGTTCTACCCAGGATTATATGTGATGAAATGATGCCTGCCTCTGATGACCAGAAAGGGCTCGCAGCTCACACCCTGGCAACCTTGGAAGCTTCGTCACCCTGCAGCTGTGGTGGGGGTGCTTGCCTTGAGTGTTGGCTTATCGATAAGAGGATTGCGGGGAACAGCAGGTAGCTCCAGGCCAAAAGGTGGAGAGCGGGAGTTCGCAGCAGCTGGGTTCTCAAATGCGCGGGAACGCTGCGGCTCTATGACTCGACTCGACTCGACCGACGTCGTCACAGGCCAGGCCCGCCCCCGTCTAAGCCCACTCCTTCAAGGCCAACGCCAGCGCCAACACCTGACGCCTTGATTGTATTGCTCATTCGGCGAGCAGGCTGGCCGGCAGACAACAGTCATCACTCCCGCATAAATACTAGTCTAAGCAGATGCCCATTACCCTCCCTGAGATCGTTCTCGCACTACAAGCAACCCATCAATCAATCAACCATTCAACCAATCCACCGGCAGCAACGGCACAGCATCAATGATCACTCGAATACATCGCTGAATCTAACCCAAAGGTACTGAAGTACTTTCACCCTTCATTCTCCGGACGGCATTGACTGACCAGCTCCCACATCACCAGTGCCTCCAAGACACGATGGCCACTACAAAAGCAACAAAACTACCGCAGGAGCGGCGCAAAGGCGAGGCTGCCCTGAGCGACTTTGCCGATTACGTCGAAAAGCAGCAAGCCATCAGATTTCCCAGTGCCAAACACACAGCAATAAGTGCCACGACAACGGCTGTGGCAGCCCACGCCCACGACGACCACGAGGCCGAGCTCGACGACATCCTTGACGCCCTCGACCTCTCCGACCAGGCCCCTCTGGCCCCTCTGCGCGAGCTGCTTCTCGGGACCGACCATGACTCATTACAAAAGCTAGTCGACCTGTTGACCTCTCGCGTCGAGGAGGGCCACGGCGAGGCCCTGTTCGACATCGGCTTCGAGCACAATGGCGAGTCCATGCACCTCGATAAGCAGGCCTGGGACAAGGCATGGTGCCGTCTGCAAGAGGCTGCCGCAGAGATCAGGGCCGACTGCCAATTACTACTGACAAAAAATGTTGGCGGTGACGCCGAGAGCCAGGCCGCAGCTACCGACAAGGGCAAGGACTGCAGCGCCAAGGTCCTCATCCGCCAGGCCCCCGCCACCGTCGAGAACGTCATCGAGACGAGGATAGCAGTAGTAGGCAATGTCGACGCCGGGAAGAGCTCCATGCTGGGCGTCCTCGTCAAGGGCGACCTGGACGACGGACGAGGAAAGGCCCGTGTCAACCTCTTCCGCCACAAGCACGAGATCGAGACCGGTCGGACCAGCTCCGTCGGCATGGAGATCATGGGCTTCGACACCCACGGCGGTGTCATCACCAGCGACACCCCAGGCCGGAAGCTGTCGTGGGAGGAGATCGGGAAGCGCAGCGCAAAGGTCATCACCTTCACCGATCTGGCCGGTCACGAGCGATACCTCCGCACCACCGTCTTCGGCCTGCTGTCCAGCAGCCCCAACTACTGCCTGCTCATGGTCGCCGCCAACAATGGCCTGATAGGGATGAGCAAGGAGCATCTCGGAATCGCCTTGGCGTTGAATGTGCCCGTCATGGTCGTCGTCACCAAGATCGACATTTGCCCGCCTCAGATCCTCGAGCAGACCTTGACCCAGATCACCAAGATTCTCAAGTCTCCCGGCGCGAGGAAGATCCCGATATTCATCAACGACCGCGACGAATGCATCAACACGGCGACGCAGTTTGTGTCTCAGCGTATCACCCCTATATTCCAGGTGTCAAATGTCACAGGCCAGAATCTGGACCTAGTACGGACATTCTTGAACATTCTGCCGCACCATGGAAGGTGAATAACCTGCCTCAGAGGTCTGATCGGTCCATGGTTGCAGTAAACTAACGCCCGCTACAGATACGACGCTGACGCACCTTTCGAGTTCCATGTCAACGATACTTTCTCCGTGCCTTTTGTTGGAACCGTCGTCTCGGGTATCATCAAGTCCGGTGTCGTCCATGCTGGCGACAGCGTCGTCATCGGGCCCGACAGCCTGGGGCAGTTCACCCAGAGCTCCATCCGTTCTATCGAGCGCAAGAGGATCCCCGTGCCAGCCGCGAGCGCCGGCCAGAGCGCTTCCTTCGCCCTGAAGAAGGTCAAGCGGAAAGACGTCCGCAAGGGCATGGTCGTCCTCCCGAAACCAGTCGACGGCGCCCCGGCCCCGAGGGTGTACAACGAGTTCGTCGCCGAGGTGCTGATCCTCAGCCACGCCACGACCATCAAGAAGAAGTACCAGGCCATGCTGCACGTCGGCCCCGTCAGCCAGACATGCTCCATCATCGACGTGGACAGGCCCTTCATCCGCACGGGTGACCGGGCCACCGTGGCGTTCAAGTTCGTCCAACGGCCAGAGTACCTTGCTCCTGGCGACCGTCTCCTGTTCCGCGAGGGTAGGACCAAAGGCCTCGGGATCGTCAAAGCCGTCGGGTACGACAAGAGCTATTTCCCCAGGAGCGAGGATAACGGGCAGGGCAACGGGGACGACAAGACCACGCAGGCTTCTTCCGGCCCGCCAGCCTCGGGCGCGGCAGAGCCGGAGCGCGGTCAGGATGTCAAGGTTGCGGGTTAATTACCCTTTTCTTTCATGCGTTTGGTTGTTTGGCACTGGCGGACTGTAGACACTTGAGCCGGCTGGGACGCGCCAACCGTCCTGACTCACTGCTGGTTCTCGAGTGGTGGTCTTGCATACTGTGCATACAGATTGAGTGCACATACGAGCTGATGAGTGGGTGGATGGGTTTGGATTCACGCATTCGGATTGTGGGCTGGAGTTTCAAGGGAGTTTCTCGGATCGGATCTTGCTTGAGAAAAGCGAATATGCTTGTGCACGTTGTTTTCTTTCTTTCAGCTGTAGCGGACTTGTATAATTGTTTAAGCTGTACACCACAATGCTGTTTCCCCTATCCCAGTTGTTGGCATATGGGCTAACTTATCTACATACCACCAAAGGCCCCGTTGCGACAGGTGTGCAACCCCGAGTTGCTCGACTGTGGCGCTATGTCATGAGATTCGCACAAGTATGGTGGCCAAATCGCAATCTCATCCCCGCGAGCTCATCATTGGTCAAGGTCAGAAAACATCATATAAAATTCATATCATTCCACGTGCAGTAGTTCAAAATTATAATTATTACGAGAATTATCTGAAATATCACTAGTCGATGAATATGCAGAAGCAAGCCTTTGCCAGTCTCCTCGTCCAAATACAGTGGCTCGACTGCCCGCGTCTGAAAGTTACACATCCCTCAAGATGCAGTCTCGTGCCCTTCCGTCTTCGCCTTGTCATCCGCCCCCTCCTTCTTATCCTGCTGCTTCTTCGCCGCCGCCGCCTGCGCCGCCGCCTTCTTCTCCTTGGCCTTCTGCTCCTTGGCCTCCTCGGCCGCCTTCTCCGCCCTGACCTTGTCCTCCCACCAGCGCAGGACATAGGTCGCGAGGACCATCTCCAGCACCTCGCGGCCCCCGTCGCCGCCGTCGTCGAGGTCAACCTCCAGGTCGCCGAGCTTCCCCTGGTAGAACCACGGCTTCGCCATCCTGGCGACTATCTTCCCGTCCCTGTCCGTGATCTTGGACGTCCCCGTCCACGTGTACGTGACGCCCCTGAACGTGACGGTGCGGTTGTTGCTGCCGAACCAGGTGCTCTTGAGCCTGAGCTTCTCCGTCTCGTCAGACTCGGCCTCGTCGGGTGCTGTCTCGGCCGTCCGCGAGGGGTGCACGGCCAGCGTCGCGGTGCTCGAGGTCGGGCTCGGCTCGTCGATCGTGGCGATGCAGATGGCCCCGTCCTTCTCCTTGGCGCCCGCCTTCCCGCGCCAGAGGTGCTTCCTCGTGCTCGTGACCCATCCCGTCTCGGTGGACGTGCTGTAGATGACCGCGTTTGCGCTTGGCTCCTTGAACACCAGCTCGTTGGCGTTCTTGCCGTATATCCGGCCCGGGGCGTTCTCGACCTGGTAGGTGAGCTTGGGCATTGTGATAAATTGTGAGTGGTTGCGAGTTTACAGGCAGGCAGGCTGCGAGCTGGTCAGGACTGAAACGTGGCTGAAAGTGTGGCTCATCTAGGAACGACCTGGATACTGGCCGACATTTATTAAACGCGGTGGGAAGGGCTCTCGGGTGAGCCATTGTACTCCCTGTATGGATGGAAAGTGATGTCATTCGGGTCTGGCGCGATACTAGCTCACACCCTCCAACTCACCCAAACGGCTGCTATTGGTTTTCTTCGACCTTTTGACGCCACAGTCTATGTTTCCCTGATTACCTGGGTAGCTTAGAGTTTATGCACCAAGATAAAACAACGTAATTCTAGTCTAGTTCGCTATGAAATTAGTAGTGTTAGTGGTTGAGGCGTGGCACACGCTGCCTCCTGCCTTCTGACCAGCATGAACAAAGATGAACGACTAATAAGGAATATAGGCTTCAGCCATATTATATTTTTCATTTAACTATTTATTTATTTATTATCTTCTTAACTTTTAAACTAACTATTAACTTATACTTTAAGTATAAAGTTAATAATTACTTAATATATACCTTTAAACTTATTTATATATAATAGAGTTACTAACTTCCTTTATAGAGCTTCTTTTTTTACTATATTTTTTATATATTATATAAAATTAAATAAATTTTTAATAATAAAGTAGTATACTTAAAGGAGGAAGATTTAATTCTCAAATATTTAGACTTTTATTTTCCTTATATAGTATTTATTTAATATATAATAAATAAACTTTATTTAACTTTTTAAAAGGTTTTAATCTTTTATAAAATTTATATAAAAGGTTTTTAAATAAAAATATAATTATAATATTATTATTTTATTAATTATATATTTAGAATAAAGATTATATTAACTTACTTAATAAAGGTAGATTTAAATAGTTATATAATAAGTATATTAATAAAGAAGAGCTAGCTTATTAAGTCTTATATTATAGGATTCTTCTTTTTATAGAGGTTATTTTAAGATTATTTTAATCTTATTATATAACTACTTTATTAACTTTTAATATAATATTATTAGAAATAATACCTTCTAACTTTATTTATATAATATAAGGTTTAATTATATACTTATATACTATATTCTTTTTTTACTATTATTAATACTATATTTCTTTAAACGTTAAGTTTTAAATATTTACTATTATATAAAGATACTATATATATTTTATATATATAGGGATTAAAAATAAAACCACTAATAAGGAATATAGCTTTAAACATAGCCTTTGAACGCATAGATATTAAGCATGCGAAAATTTATTCCTCGGGCTAGATGCGAGAAAAATAGCATGATGAAGTTCAACCATGTATTCACATCATATAACTTCATAGTAGAGAGCACCGTATGAAGGCGCCATGTATGTCCTCGGACGTATACGCAATAGAAGCGAAACCACATTTATTACCGGTGTACCCTCCGTTTTTTCCGGTGCGAATCTCCGATCTCTATAAAATAGGGTATCATCACTGCGCCCTCTGGCTTGGCAGAAAGACATATCAGGCTGCCCTTTCTCTTTGGCAATCCGTCTGGAACGACATGTTTCGTTTCGAGTACTCGCAGCCTGCAGAAGAAGGAGGCCTGTCAAAAGGCAAATATGCATTTGTAGGGCGTTGCGATAGGCGGTGCGCTGCAGATAACTGTAACTGTAACAGTATGCAGCGAGCAGCAGGGACTGTGCTGCAACCAACAGGTTGGTCCCTGGATGCCTTGGCATCCACTTAGATCCACTTGAAATAAAAGCCCCATACCGACCCTAGTATGGGTGTTGGTGTTGCAACGGCATAAGCGTGCGGCGTGGAAACGTTAGAACCAACACACTTGGCTACAGTTGACTTTTTGCAAGAGAAGATTGAGACGAGCCCGTCTGAGAACCTTGGAAGGTTTTACTGACCACTACACCCCCATCCAACATCCACCAAAAGGTCCTTCAACATTTACTGCCCGATCGAGTTCGGAGCTCGCAACATCTGTCACAAGATCTCCAAAGTATTGAAGGTCAAGATGGCTGTGTCGCTGCCGACTTCACCTCTGGCCATCGCTGCCACAGCTCTGCTGGCCACGAGCACCTATCTCCTCTGCACTAAGCTGTACCACAAACGATTCAAGCAGAATGCACACATCCCTCAACACCCTCCCTCATTTTTCTGGGGGCATCTAATCACATTTTATGAGTTCACCAAACGAGGAATCCCGGATCGTCACCCAGGCTAGTGCACTTGACTCTTTCGTTGACGCAGCTCTCGCACAACCTTGGAACATTCACTAACATCAGCACGCGGTAGACGCAATAATCGCCGATATGCATGACGCTTTGGGGAAACCCCCGATAATGCTGCTTGATAACTGGCCCGTGGTTCCTCCCATGGTCGTGATTACCAGTCACGAAGTTGCCGAGCAGATATCCAAACCTTCGAAGTATTTCCCTCAGTACGGCGTACCAAAGGCTCCATCAGTAGACCGTATTGTGAGCTTGATCGGGCCCAATTCAATATTATTCAAACAGGTATATACTCCTTCAGCCGCTGAATCCTAGATTTTTCAAAAACGATGGCTGATCAATCTACAAGAATGAGGAATGGAAGGAGGTTCGCAAGAGGTTCAACCCGGGCTTTGCGCCACAACACCTCATCACGTTGTTGCCTTTGATAATTGAGAAAGCCATGCCTTACTTCGCCGTCTTGGATGGATTCTCCAGGACCGGAGAGGAATTTTCACTTGATGAAGCTACGACGAACCTTACTTTCGACGTGATCGGGGCAGTAACCATGGGCGAGGATATGAATGCTCAAGACTTTGCTTCTTCTGGTCGGGACCAGCTCATCAACATGTTCAAGGAGATGATCAAGAGTATGGAATCCACCAATCACTTAACCCCAGTAACTGCTGACATAAACACAGCACATCAAGACGACAAATTACAGCCTCCCTGGTGGATGGCACCTCTTGTTCATCTGAGGCGACGTCGTCTCGGCGCGCGGATCTCTCAGAAGTTGAGGCAGATTGTCCGCCGCAATTTCGAAGAAATGGGGTCGGCAAAACATGGAAGAGCTTCGTCTGACTCACCTCGCAGCATCCTCGCGCTCAGTCTGCAGGAAACAGACTGTCTGACCCCCCAGATAATGGAGGAGACCTGCGACCAGCTCAAGACCTTCCTCTTTGCCGGCCACGACACGACAAGCACCACAATAATATGGTGCATTTACGAATTGTTCAGGACCCCTCGTGCCCTGAAGGCCGTCCGCGACGAGCTAGACGCCCTCTTCGGTCCAGCGGCGGGCTCTAGCACCACCTCGGTCCAGGAGAAGCTGCTGGCCCCTGAAGGCAGCGAACTCATCCATCGCATGACATACATCTCAGCCGTGATCAAGGAAGTCCTCAGGCTCTACCCCCCGGCCGGTTCGATCCGCACTTCCAGACCAGGGGCCGGTTTTGTGGTCTCCACCCCGCAGGGGGACTACAACCTCGACGGCACCTGGATCTACCTCAACCACACGATCATCCACCGCGACCGTGCGGTATTCGGAGAGACAGCTGACGAGTTTGTGCCTGAGCGCTGGCTGCAGTCTGACGCCAGTGGTGGGGCTGCCTGCCCGCCCAGCGCGTGGAGGCCGTTCGAGCGGGGCCCCCGGAGCTGTATCGGCATAGAGCTGGCGAACATTGAGGCGCGGGTCATCATCGCCATGCTTGTGCGCCGCTATGAGTTCACCAAGGTCGGTCTGGGCGAAAAGGAACTAGACGCTGGCGGTCAGCCAATCGTTGACGGCAAGGGCCAGTTTAAGGTCAAGTCCGAGTTGTACTCTGTATGTGTACGAAGTTTCCTTGCTGTGAGACGAAAATTACAAGTACTGAACTTTAGTTTATAGGCCATTCGAATTACAGCCAAACCTGTCGACGGGATGATGATGAAAGTGAAGAGCTTGGGAATTTGATTGCTTGCTTAGATCCAAACAGGTGCAAGTATCCCGGGGGTGAGTAGACCAGAAGAACCAAAGGGGGCGAGGATGAATGAAGGTGATTGTAATCTTGCGGAAAGTGGCCGGCTACACATTTAGTGTGAGATGTTTCTTGTCTCGAAGTGGGCATCCTGGCTAGATACTGACTGTAGATAGCTAGTTTCGCTTCTATTACATGAATTTTATACATCCAAGGATATATACAGCACCTTTATAATAAACAATTAAGACCCAGTTTTAAAACATATATTAGATTAACAATCAGCAAGCTTTTCGCGATCCTCGGGGAGGCTAGATTCATAGCATCACGACGTTCTCGTCAGGGACTCGGTTGCATGTGTGGATCGTAGATAGATTCTGACAGCGCCTTACTCTTTCCCTGAGCCTAACGGCTGTTGGTTGTGGAGTGGAATGGCTATTGGCTATCTAATGCTTATTGGTTGTGAAACCGCTGACGATTGTGGGTTCCAAGATCTTTGCGTTACATCAAGACACCTAGTCCATTTTTACGAGTGAACCCTAAGACAGTGCCCGCATTTCGACGATGAATCTCAAAAAATGGAAAAAGAAGTGCCTGATCCGACTCGATATTGAATTGGAGAGTCCGGCAAAAGGCGTGGAAACAGCCCGTCAATTTATTCCACAAGCAAGGGAACTGCTCAGGACTCATAGTAGTTGCCGACCCTGCCCAGGTGTGCGGCCGGTAAGCGCCGGTGTAGGCCGAGCTAACACCACGAAAAGGTGGAGATGGAGCCAAAAATATCCGGCGGCTTCTGAGCCACATATCCGGATTCGTACAGAATGCAACATGATTAGTACTGTAGTAGCTGCACTGGGTCCAGCGCAGCTTAATCACGCGGTTACTTCGGTTGGATCGTAATTTAGATCAGGGTCCAGGTGGCCAACGTCCATGCTAGAGAACCTTGTGTGTCTAAGAACAACCACCCACTTCCAGTTTTTTGAAGCTTGGCGAACGAGGTGGCCATCTGTTCCTCTTTTTCATTTGGCTAGCGCCATATCGTCAAATATTCCATTGCCCGCTGAAGCTCCGTACTTGTTGTACCTGGGTGACCAAACATGAGCGGGTACGACCTTTCCAAAATCCCACTTGGGATGCCGCCTCCAGGACAAACAGTGAGTCTTGCGGGGGGGCCTTCGCAGGCTTGGATGCCTCGGCTGGCCATCTACACGACCCTACCAGTGGCAGTGGTGTCACTCGTGCTTCGTATCTATGCTCGTCTGCGGACGAGGGTGCAACTGGGGGTGGATGATTGTGAGCACCAATGTTCTTTTCCGAGCCACTACCAACTTTCTGACCTTTCTAGACCTATGCATACTGTCTGTGGTAGGTGCTGCTGTCCGATTACGATGCAAGATAGTCACCTCTTCCTTAGGGTTACGTTGTCATGCGCCCTCTCTCTTGGCTTCTTCTAATTATTTCAACCTTGATTAGTGTGCAAGTGGGGTGTTCTGCGGCGTGATGCTGTCAAGTGGTCTGTCTCTCTCCGCTGCCCAGGTGTCACCTGTGTGTTTCCCGGCAACTAAACGATTGTCTCAGTTCTGGATGATATGTGGGGACGGCACACATGGAATATACCCCTAAGTGCCATGAATGACAGGTTCCTCAAGGCAAGTCAAATTTGGTTTTCTATCCATTTCCTGAATAGCTTGTTTGACAACCTTGTGGTATGGATCACTTATTCGTCGAAAATAGACCAGTTGCGCGATTACAGCGGCATATTGTTGGGCTTCTGCCCTGATCAAGCTAACTTTGTTGTTTTTCTTCCGTCGGGTCTTCTCCCCGTCACTACGCAGCAGGGTCATGATTTGGACTGGGATTGTCCTTGTGTCTATGTTGTATACTGCATCCTTCATCGCGTGGGTGGTGCTCAACGTGCCGCTACCGGGAGACGGAGGATGGACTGGCACGAGATTTTCCGCCAGATCCAGTACTGCCTCGCCCCGAATAAGTCTTGGCCTGGGCGTTTTGGGGACTTTGACCGACTTTTATATCATCATTATCCCTCTGATGGCCGTCTCAGGACTCCACATGTCGATGGGGAAGAAGGTTGCTTTGTCAGGGCTTTTTGCGACTGGACTACTGTATGCTACGCCCCCCCCCCTTCATTTACGCAACAAGCAACTCGACGATGCTCACCATATGATTTTCTCACAGGGCTTGCAGCTTTTCGGCAGCGGGGCTGGCTTCGCGCCTCGACAGTTACCGCCAGTCAATCGTGTATGGGTATCCTGATCTTTGGACCTCGATGCAACCATACGCCCTGGCGTGAGTCTCACATTCTTCCATGTGTTGTCTGCATTCTACGAATACTAATTGGTTTTCTTTATGAAGAGTTGCCGAAATCAATCTTGGCATATTATGTGCTTGTGTACCCGTGGCCTTCGTCCTTCTCAAGGCCGTGGCTGAGGCGTCCAGCACGAGGTGGAACTCTTGGAAACTCTACCGCTTTAGGTCGGGGACGCCACCAAAAACCAATGGCAGCGCCCCAGAAGCCCAGCAGGGATTGCCTACGGTACCCAGGGTAACCCTCCAGACGCTGCTTTCGTTTGTCAGGGGTCCTCAAAGTCCCCCTCACGAAGACAAGTCAAACTTTGAGGGATCCATTGTTGTGACTCAGGGAACCGATGTCGAAATGAGGCCATGTTCCGAGCTTCATTCTGTGGATATGGAGAACATGTACCACTCACACCTGTACTACCAAGGCTCAAAGGGGAACATTGTTGGCTACCGTACAGAAGTGAGAACCACAAAAACAGCTAGCACTCCCATGGGAGGTCTGGAGTGACCAGAGCAGTAACTGGTTTCGCGGCGCCCTCAAACTGTGGTAAACACCCTGTTTTATACCCGGTGATTTAGTGCCGCTTCCCCTAATAAGCAACGAGAGACCTTTGCTCCCTATATCGGCTTGTAGGTGGTCCTTACGAGAGTACCTAGGTACCTACCTAGTGCTGGCCTGCACCTAACCTGGGAAGCAGCATCTCTCCCAAGCAATCCTACAGGACCAGAGCGTCTCGTGCCAGCCCGACATGATATGGTCGGGCCGACTTGGCTACTGCAAGCTCATTCGAGTTTGGACTTGAGAAGGTGGTCTGCCACGCATAGGAAGGTGTTTCAAGCCGGCTGGAGCTGAACCTCGGGTGCTGTAGTGTCGTTCTTGGAGCCGATATCAAGTCCTGAGGAAAGCGCAGCCACGAGCAGACCTAGAGGCAATGGCCAGGGAGCTACAGGTGTGTAAGTACCTAGGTACCTAGGTATACTTGTTGGGCATGGCGAGTGCTGAAGCCAGGGCAGCTCCTTCCCAGAACTCACACCCCAACACAAGACCTTTTTGTGGCGACTCCAACCTCGCAACTCAACCCAACACCATGCTGTGCCAGCTCCTCGCTTGGTTGCTGCGCAGAATCATGCCGTTCAACATACGGCAGCCTTGTGCAGACCCTCCTCTCAGGGACGGGAGGGAGGACCTCGAGACCCTTCGTGCCCGGCATGCTCCACGACGGCCACTGAACGCGCCCATCCCAACCGACTCGCCAACCGAAGCAGCCTACCTTGCCGGCGCCACTGCGCTTCCTGGCCTCATCAGAGCCGTCCTGGACGAGACCCATCCTTGCATGATCATCGCACGCGCTGCCCAGGCCATCTCCATCGCTGCCTCTACCTCGCAGTCCCACGCCGCCTTGCTTGCTGCTGTCAACACAATGGAGACCCTAGCCATTCTCGCTTACGAGGAAGAATGCGACCCAGAGGCATTTGATCTCGAGAACGAACTGCAGATACTTGGCAATTCCATCGACACTCCTGTGCGCCGAGCCTTGGCCCAGAAGCCGCCTTCCAACTCCTTCATTCCGCACTACGATCCCCTCCCTGCCGGAGCTGGCTCTGCCGACACAGTTCTAGCTGATAGGGCTTTCCTGGAGACCTTCATCCTCAACAAGCACATTATTCGACCGTCGACGTAGACGAGGTATGCTCTCAGTTCCATGCCCAAGCAAGCATTCTTGCCAAGCCATACTAATAAGAGACAGGACAATCCACCCAACTCCTGTCTACATCCTACTGGCACATGGCTGCCGTCTTTGCGCAACAACGCCTCAAGGCACCGTGGCCCTCGTTCAGTGACAGGAATAACATTTCGAATTGCTGTTCAACCTCCACTGTTCCTCGGCCCATCTCGTGATCCACTTCGGACCATGGTCTCTCACAGCCCGTACTCGCCAGCCCGTCTTCCACAATCTGTGACCTCCGAAGCCATCGCCTCACAGATTGCTCGCCATCAACTCCGCGTCCCCACCACGTCTTCGTCCCCAACACCTCTTGGTCTCCAGCTGCTCGTCGTCCCCGGGAACTTGTCGTCACCACCTGCTCAACACCTCCACCCACTGTCAGTCCGTCGCCGCCGTCAGCTCGTGCTCTCCGACCGTCTAGCCGGATTACTCTACAGAGCCTTCGCGTCCGAGTATGAAAAGTTGCTGGTCAGTCCCGAAACCCATAATAATGTTGGTGTGTGTGTTCGTGTGTGTGGCCGCCTACAAGCCTACGTCTTCTCAAAACTCTTCTGCCCATGCTTCGAGCCTGTGGCCTCAATCTCTACAATCCTCATTCTTCTCTGTTCAAACCATACTCCACCTTCCACCTCGAGAACATTCGACCACGTTCTGTACGAATGGAACTGCACTGGCAACCACTAGCAGCTTGATCGCTTGCTGTCCACGCAACAGGATCGACTACCCAGGTACGTGCGCACCTCATTTTTCACGCCCAAGTCTCTTGTGGGTGTTCAAGATCCGCAATCTGGTCGGCCGCTAATCATCAGATCGCTGTTTCAGGAGTGGTTGTCAGATGCCAACACACGAACCACGCTGACTGACACGGTCGGAATCGCCAAGATCAACCTTTTCCCCTGAAATGCACATCCCCCCATATCCAACCACTGTCACCCATTCTCGCCAGGACCACGATGTTGGAGGACCCACCTTCTTGAATCGGCTCCGTTTCTCAATATCCTGCCATGGCATCCCCGGTTCGACTGGATTGTAGCATCGGAGGCAGCGGCCAAGGTCTATGATAGCCCAGAACCAGAGCTGAGGGGAGGTTGTAATGACCACGATCGTTCTACGGATCTCTAAACCACCAAAGTTTTGTCTTTGTTTTCATCTGAGAGGGGAAGAGGCGTGGCGGTAGGAACTGGAGGTTGAAACAACGCGAACAGCGTTCATCTCCGTCCAGGATCGTGGCCGTACCCAGGTACCAGACTGGTATAAGATCTTGGTCAGGTTGTTGTCTAATGCCATGTGCTTGAGCCTATGTCAAATCCATGTCGGAAAGAAGTCGACGTCGCATCCGCACTCCAGCTTTTATGTCGTGGCTTTTAGAAGATAACAACAGACCATGACGTTTCCCTCAGTAGCCGCAGAGAACATCCAGTATTTTCAAGATCCAAATGTCTCCCATCACACGCCAGCCAGTAACTTTCTGACACAGATATTTCCCACCCTCATCAACTGTCCCCCCCCCCCCCCCAAAAAAAAGAAGAGAACGGAAATTCGCACACCCTCAATCAGAAGGCGCACACCCTCCCTACTATTGGCCAATCAGAGCACAGAACCTCAAAGTCTTCACAACTTCAACAAATAAGCCTTCTTCACGATTAAGGGACCACAAACAGGGCGGGTTAGTCCTCTAGGACTCAGGTCGTACCTACCAGCCCTACTCACAGCCCTCCGCTATACTTCGCGCTCCAGGGCTCGCCCCCTTCACCCCAGCCGGCCCTTTCAAGAAGCAGTTATCTTATATAGAATACTTCTTAGTCAGCAAATAGGTACGCGCCTTCCGATTGAGGGTGCGCGAATTTCCGTTCTCAAAAGGAAAACACCGCTTGACTAAGGCTAGAAGAGAAAAAAAGGCAAATTCGGAGGTCCAAGTCTTCCACTCGCTTCCCTGTAGCTCACCCCAGCTCGGAATTCTTGGACGATGCTGTTGCAGTCTCCCGTCTGTTCACATTGGACAGGGTATAACACTCTAAACAGCATCCAGCTCGCTCCGTTGGGCAAGCTGAATCACATACCTGAAGCAGAGATTCGGGATTTGGGAATAGCACTTTCAACAATCACAAAGCAAAGCGATCCACGAATGTACTTGAGAATCGGCTGCGCCAAGGGCGCCTGGCATTTAGTAAATGCTATAAGAGATACTATAAGATACTATCTAAATATTTTTTTTGGCTCAAAAGCCCGCAGACGCCACCCGGCCCGCCACCCACGCCAAACCCCCCGAGATCAGCCCCTGGGGCTGCTGCGGCTGCTGCTGGGGCTGCTGGGGCTGCTGCTGTGGCTGCTGCGGCTGCTGCTGTGGCTGCTGTGGCGTCTTCCTCCTCTTCCTCCTCCTCCTCCTGCTGCTGCTCCTGCTGCTGGTTCTGCTGCGGCTGCTGCTGCTGCGGCCGGGCCGCCGGCGAGCACACAGCAGTGTTAGTTTATTCTTCAACACACAATTCTACAACAAGACTATCACGTTCAAAGATATCACCATTAGCGAACCTATAGACAAGTCAGTAGCTAATTAGCTATATAGATTAAAGGGCGAAAAGCCCACTATAAACAGCTTAATAATCAATATAAGCTTAATTAAGAGAAAGGACGGACATTCTTTCTTCAACATAGTATATATTAACTATATCTTGTAGGTTATAGTCAATCTCCTAACAAATAGTGCTTTTACCCCTACCAAAAAGAACCTAAACACCAACAAGATCCTAATCTTAATTATATATAAGGTATAAAGAAACCTATACTCTAGCTAGTTAAAGCAATACGGAATATACAAGCATATTAGTAATAATAAATTTATGAGGTTTGATAAGTCTCGCATTAAGGTCCAGTCTCACGAAGGAGCTTAAAGATATAAGGTATCCGTCATCATCGTAGATCTAGTTCAAAGCAGTGGCCCAGAATTCACTGGTCACGCAGATCTATTCCCTGTCGTCTTCTCTACACACCAGCATCTGAAGTACAAGCCAAAGCGTGGGTTCAAGAAAGACGTCGATATGGACGCCCTCGCCGTCTCCGTCACCGTCGTCGTCATCGCCGTCATCGTCGCCGTCGCCGCCCTCGCCGCCGCCATCACCGCCGACCTCACCGCCGCCGCCAAGGCCGCCATTGTAGTTGTGGTTGTGGTTGTTGTTGTTGTGGTGGTTGTTTTTTTTTTCTAGAAAAAAAAACGTTAGTGTGTGCGTGTGTGTGTGGCCTGAAGAAGAAGAAGAAAAGATTCAGAGAACTGGGACGGGCGAGGGGATGTTTTTGTTTTGGTATTCCGTGGAGGCATTGCGACTTCCTGTTCTGCCAGATGGAAGGAACCTCGAGGAAGTGCCGGGCCCTGATGGCAGGTAGCCGGGGGAGGCAGGGAGGATGCCGTTGCTTCATGCTCTTGGAGTTGGCTCCTGCCTGTTCGACTTGAAGCTCCCAATGGACAAGGCTGGGCGGCGTCAGGCACGGACAAGTAGGAACCAACGCAGCAGGAACAAGTGTCTATTGGGACCAGGAAACCTGGAAAAGGCCCTGCTGGAGATTCAAAGATTGGCTGGCTTCGTCAGTGTGCCTGCCTCCTCATGGCCGAGTCAAGGCCGGAAGCTGTCCCGTGTCCCGTTGTGCGTATTGTCGGTGCTGGACTCGTGGCTGCCATCTTAGGAGGTGACCTGGTAAGAGAGCTGAAATGGTTTAGGCCCTCTGCTGTGAGAAGTTTGGACCCTCTTGAACCAATGGTTGTTGAATTGCGTGCCGTTTTCTTCCAATAGATGGCAACTGCCCCCCTTCAGCCTCGGAAGTGACGCCTGGGAGGTGAAGGCTACTGACACCAGCAAACTGGTGGAGGCTGCTCATACTGGCCGGGGCAGCTACACGCGAATAATGAAATTCGTCACGAAGTCTTTGAAAACAGCCATATACAGACTCGATGGAGTCTGATCAACGCTGCTTTAATTCTGTGACTATGACTAAGTCATGTATCTTGACTTCTTGCCCCAAGTGACTCGGCAGTGGCTGTGGCTAATTTGAAAGGCACCTCCCGTGTATATAAGAAGACCAGTTGACTCGTAGCTAAGCATCGTCTCTCAAATCGGCCGTCATACCGAGTCCTCTAGCTTCCTTGAAGCCTGAAATGAGTCCAACCCCCAAGGAAAGAGAATGGGCGCTGGTTCGCGCCGCCCCCAAAACCAAACATGATGTGCCGTGTGGGCAAAGGTGAGGATTTATCTTCAGTAGTCCACGTGTGGGAGCCCTGGAGTGTTGAAACTAATAATTACTGGTAGATGTCGCTGGTTTCATTCAGATGGACGACGACGGCGTGACCCTCGAACAGTGCTTCACGTACAAGGGCCGCACAGGGTTCCCGGCCGCCATTCCCACTGCCCAACTGGTAAGCCGGAGCCCTGGAGTTCTGATTCTTCGTGAGGGAGGTGTTCTGATCGATGTAATCTAGTAAATGTGACGGAACCGGATCACAGTTCTATCTCCGAGGATCAAGGTGAACATGGGAACGGAGAAGTTACAGGCGGGGATGATAATGACGAGAGACGCAGTGCCTCACACTCGAACACGATAGGTGACACCGTTTCACGTGATGGAAGCAGCAGAGAAGCCACGAGTGCACACGCGCGTGGTGGCGGCTTAGGGAGCCTTTTGTTACAATGTTTCGGGCTTGGCCCACGCTCACGGCGTGGTCCACGACATCGAGCTCGTGAGCAGCAGATACATCGACCACATCCACGGCGCCACAGATCCCAAAACAGAAGCAACAGATACAGTGGTTCGAACTATCGTCGACGTCGGCCACGTTCTCGCAAGAGAAGTTATTACAGGGGTACCGCGTATGGCCGGTACTACGATAATCGACATGATCGATATAATTCGTCATCTACCCAAAGGCCTCGGTCTCGTTTGCCTCCTCCTCGTCGCCGCCTCGAAACTCAGCCGGCAGCACCCAGCGCAGCAACAGTGCCTAATTATGATGATATGGACAAGGATGATTTATTTGGTGCTCTTCTCGCAGAGGAGAGAGGTTTAGATCCGATGTTGAGGGATGTAGACGACAGGAGGGCCAGGGGAGAGGATGTGTAGTAACTCATAACAGCATTTGATATCCTAGAAATATAGTCATAGTGTGGCACCAAGAATGTATCAGAATTGACAACTGGTCTATTTATTTATCTCTAGACGTGCCTTTCTCAAGTCATGATGGCCGCATAATACAATCATCTAATATTTAGTGGATCGATCGATTGATGGCGTCCCTCGAGATAACGCCGGATGACTGCACTGGCAGGCCAGGTGCTCCTTATGCTGACTGCATAGAGAAGTGTTTTCGCTAAATACTGCCGGATGAGGAAGGTTGTACGTGAATGGCTGCTGGGATTTGAATCCTATAGCTCTGCTTATGACTATTGAAATCAGTGCCTATGAAGGACAACATAGTTCCCTATTAGCTCTCAAATCCTATCCTGCCTGTTGACTTCCTGCCTCGTACATTTCAGCAAAGCTCATCGTATTGAGTTTCATCATGGCGCATCTGCCTTCGGAAAGTCGCCTCTGGCGTAGTGTCCTGCCACTCTTCGCAGTCCTTGGCTTGTGTGCAATGCCGGTTATGACAGATGAGATCCCACCATATTCTGGAAAATACAACGTCGGGGCAGCTAAGCAGGTCATTGCTATCAACGAGCCGGATGTATTTGCTCCAGGGAATATCAGCACATCTTTTCTGGTGACCTTGTTTTATCCGACATTGCAAGAGGCAGATATCCCTGGAAGAACACCCTACCTGACAGAGGTCACCGCAAAGCAGTTTGAAGAGTACTTTCAATTTCCTGACGGTACCCTTGCCAACTTCACGACGCGGGTGCAATGGGGCGCGCCCTTTGCCGAGACATTGCTCCAAGACGAGGGATCCGACTCGCCGACTCTTCTTTTCGGGCCAGGGCTGGGCGGCCCGCCTTGCGAGTGCTATACTCTCCTGCTCTCTGAGCTAGCCTCCAAGGGGTTCACCGTTGCTGCCCTCGACCACACGTACGAGCAGCCATATGTGTTGTATCCAAACGGCAGCGAATACTACGGCCCACCTCTCGAGTACCCCTGGAGCACCGAGGAGGCTCTGACCGCAATCGACCACCGCGTAAACGACTCTTTCGCGTTTGTCGACGCTTGGCCCAGACTGTCCAAGAAGCTTGGTTTTGACTCCACGACCGACAGATTTGGGGTCTTCGGTCATTCTATCGGCGGGGTAGCTGCTCTCACCTTTGCTCAGCTGGTAGACAAGAGTCTTGTTCCTGCTGGTATCAATCTAGACGGACAATTCTTGGGGAACCTGAACAGCTCAGCCGCGGACCTGGCACGCCCGTCTCTGCTGCTCGGCCTCGAAGGGCATTTAAGTGCCGGCATCGACCTGACTTGGGACACGTACAGCGAGGCCCAGTCGGACTGGTGGCGTATCATCGAGGTCAACGGGACTCTGCACCGTGATTGGAGTGACTTGACATTCTGGAAGAATTTGAACCCCCCTTTGCCTACTCATACTGGAAACATCAGCAGCGATAGGATGGTTGAAATCGAGACATCACTTGTTGCTGGATTTTTCAACTGGACGCTCTTGGGGAAGGATGAGGGTGAACTTTTTGACAAGCCTGATCTGTTTTACCCTGAAACAGTCCTCGTTGCAGGTGATCTTGAAATGGTAGAAGAATGAGTAAAATAGAATGAGTAAAATACGCGAATTGTTTTAATCCAGAGCAGGCCGAAAGCCGATAACGCGAGAGACTTCCGAGGGAGAATATCAGAATCAATACGCGAAATAAGAGTCCCAAGCAAAGACTTAGTAAAACTGAACTGACTTTATGCTACACTGGCTCATGATACACCTTCCACTGAACTTCCTTTTTAATAATCATGTCCCTACTGCCACATCTACTAATTTCCCGTCCATCGTCCGCCCCACTGCTCCTATGCTCCGACCTGTTATCTGGGCTATGATGGATGAAAACTTCATGGCGTATTGACCCAGGTCGCAGTCTTGGGGCTTGGCCAAGATGCGAAACATCAGTCTCGTCATGGGCATGTACGAAACTCAATCTTTCATGAACCTTATCCCTTCGTCGCCCAGAATGAGTAGTGAATGCATGTAGGGCATAAGACTCAGATGACGCGTCCCTGTCCTTGTCCATGAAGCCGAAAGATACGCCAAGACCCGTGGAAAAAGACTTCATGAAGCTCTTAAGGTTAGGTATTGTCGCAGAGATCAGTGAGTAGGTGAGCATGACTTGTTGTAGAAGGAGGCTGCCGGATATCTCGAATAGTGGTGAAGCCGAGCTGGTGTATGGTTTGAAGAGGCGGAGATGGCTGGCGGAAAGGGCGATCAATGGCAGGCGAAATGCAAAAGCGAGAAAAACCTGGAACTTGAGGGATAACGACATTGTGTTCGACCACATAAAAATGACGGGCAAAGAGCATATAAGGACTTCAGTAATTATGTCGAACGCTGTGATGATCTGCCACCGGAGAAACTAGGTTGTTTCACGGTCAGACAAGGGCTCTTCGACTCCATCGCTCACATTGGATGTTGCTTACCTGCTCCGGACATTGACGAGCAGATTGAGTCGTCAGTAATATCGTTTCGGGGACGCAATTGACTGCAAGTCCAATTAAAGACCCAAGACCCCAAATGGCGCTCAAGACCAAACCTCCCATGCAGATCACCCATGCTTTGTCGATATCGAACGTGAATACCCGACGGATGAGCGAGGCAACTGAGCATTTGGCCATACAGAGGATTATGATTGAGAGAACCTCACAGGCGAACAGGTCCTACGAGGAATAATATTCAGCGTGAGAAGCGACGGTCTAGCAGATCGTCCGCATATGACCAGTCAGTGGACAACTCACCCTCCCAGCAATAGGCCATTGCTTTTCCACCGTGATCTCCTCTGACTTAGCGATACCATTCTTTAGTCCATGGAATAGTACCCCGGACTGGCCATATAGTAAAAGCTTCAGATCCAAGGTTAGCTAGGTAGTATGGCTCACATTTTACTCGTGATCAGACCTACCGTGGCGAGTCCGATAAAGTAATCGTCAGCACCATAAATACCCCTTTTGATCCGAGCTCTAGCCAATCCTGAAAAGGTGCTGTATATCATGCCCAAGATGGTCACTATCCAGAGGAAGCCCGTGTGGTCATTATCTTCAATTGGCGAAAATGAAATGGTTCCGGCGTTAGAGCTGTGTGAGGTCATGATTGGAGGCCCAGAACATTTGAAAGTGTCAAGAAATCATGTTGCGTTTCCCTGCTTGAATGTGGAGGTCTCCGATCGTATATGACCGCTGGGACAGGCTGGGGCAACAGTGGTCGACTGTGCGAGATGACAAGTTCATGGTGCTCACAATCCAGCAGCGGGTCATGGATCTTGTACCTAGGTAGACCCGTGGACAAGATATGGCCACCTCCTGGGGCTTGGCAACGGCAGCAGGATAAATCAACACGGCTATGTAGCCCGCTAACAGCTTACAGAACGGCTGCAGAGATGTGTCCAAGGGCTATATGAGCTACGATATCAACAAGCCGCGTACATCGAGGGTACCGGGTAGACAATCCCACGGCGACGTCCTCAGACGGCTGCATTTTGCGGCGGATCTCGACTGAACCGGGTCCTCTGCGAACAAGTGTGCCAGGGCCGACAGTGTTACAGGCTCCGAGCGGTCCGTATATGTTTACGCGGCACTTTTCCGAACTTGGCGAGTTATGCTCGCCAATGCAGGCCAGAGGATGATCCCCTTACTTTTATGCGAAGGCAACCACATTGTGACAGGTCACCGCGAAAACTGAGTGGTCGAAGTTGGGGCTTCGAGCGCCACGAGGGAAATGTCTGAGCTCGCGAATAGAATATCTGGTAGGCTAGCCAGGCCTGTACTTGATACCCACACACCAAATTTTGACATGTGGGGGTATCCGTTGCCGATCAGCTTGAATCTGATCGCCCACGTGTGCCCTGTTCTCCATCCACTCGTACTAAAATGGTTGTGTAATTCAAATGAGGGGGCATGGATGGGGTCTGAGTTGTAGATCAAGCTCACGCAAGTAGCGTACCAAAGACACAGCTGGTCTTTGTCCCTTCTTGTTGCAAAAAATGCAAGGACTTGGACTCATTAGTTTCAGGGTGATCATACCCGCAGTCACGAGCCACGGCAAGGTACATTAGCGTCTTACGAGAAGGTATGTCAAAGAATTGATAAGCACGAGTGTGTGGACATGCCTTCCGAGCTGACTCCTCGTGGGCTGAAGTGAGATGGGCCCCGTATCCATGGTTGCTAGCATCACAAGGGTGGGGACGGTGGCGCAAATTTTCCACACATGCCAACGTGGGTATCGGAACCTTCAGAGCGCGCCAGCTTCGCAATTGTGGCAAGTATTGGACGCTATAATTTGTTTTGTGCAGCCCGTATCTTTGCATACCTAGGTGGGCGGATCGAAGTCCTGCCGGCCAATACAACAACAGCAGGTCAACTCTGAGCAGATGATTAGACAAGTATATAAAACAAAGTAACAGGAAAAATGATGTCTTCGGAAACAAGTCTCTTTCTGCCTCGTTTTCAGCGAGGCGTTAACTAAACAGACATGTCTGGCACAAGCTCCCTGTCGAAGCTTGTCCATTCCCCATACCAAAGGTGAAGCCCCTTGAAATGGATTCCGGGCAGCACTATTAGGTGGGTCTTTGTTCAACAGATTCGGTTCTGTTTCCAAACCCTGCATACATAGATGAGCCAGTCCAATTAGAGTGTCACACTCATGTCTGTATCCGCCTCGCCTAGAAGGTGGTGGGTGATACATCACATGCCTCCTGACAATCCCTCTACCTTTTCTCTAATGATCACCCCAGCATCGCATGCTGGCCTGAGTCGTGGTAAACGACTACCAGATATTAAACACAGAAACTTCATTTCAACAAAATGGCTTCAACTATGAAGAGTAGCACCCTGGTCGACAATGATTCCGCCGAATCAAGCCTCCGCCAGGCACTCGGTGGCGGCAGTGCCGTCGACGAGAAGACTGGCACCTCGGATGACCGAGCCAATATGTTTCGGATGGGAAAGAAGCAGGAGCTGAGGGTTCGTAATTTCGACAGAGTTGTGCTCTCCCGTTTTTGCTGATGTTGACAGCTTGCAGAGGAACTTCCAGTTTGTTTCCATGTTTGGCTTCACTATGATTCTCATGGCATCGTGGGAAAGCATCATCAGGTTTGTAGTTCTAACTGCATGAATGTTCAATGAAAATCGGGACTCATTCTGAATTTTCAGTGTTTCAAACATCGGTCTTGTCAACGGCGGGACTGCGGGTTTGATATGGATGTTCTTTATATGCTGGATTGCGTTCATATTCATCAACACTTCAATGTGGGTCCCATTGAGCCTTGTCAAAATCTCCGGTGTTTGTTTTGCTGATCTACGTTTTCAGGGCTGAAATGGGATCGATGATGCCTACCGTGGGCGGCCAGTATGTGTACCACTTCTTGTGAATCATCAACGCGCAGTCACTAATGCATGCCAGATATCACTGGGTGTCTGAGTTCGCCCCAAGAGACTATCAGAAGTTTATCAGCTACCTGATGGGATGGCTTTGCGTCTTAGGTTGGCAAGTTGGCTGTACCTCCGGCGCCTATCTGGTCGGGACACAGATTCAGGGCCTCATTGCGCTGAACAACCCTGATTACTCCTACGAGCGATGGCATGGGACACTTCTCACCATAGCCGTCTCTGCATTTTCAATCCTATTTAACACAGTATGTTTCATTCCAAAAGATTCGGCGCCGGAAGATCTGCTAACTATCAGGGTCCTAGGTTCTGGCCAGAAAACTGCCCCTGATTGAGGGTATCATCCTCGTCATCCATATCTTTGCCTTTTTCGGTATTGTGGTCAGTCTTTGGGTCCTCGCACCTATCAATGCTTCCCCCAAACAAGTCTTCACTCAATTCAGCGACGGCGGCGGTTGGGGAAGCCTGGGCGGTTCTGCTCTGATTGGCATCACAAGCGGTATTTATCCCCTCATCGGAGGCGATGCAGCCGTCCACATGTCCGAGGAGCTTCGAGATGCCGGGAAAACGCTCCCACAGTGTATGATCTGGACAACTGTTGTAAACGGCGGCCTAGCCTGGATCATGGCCATCACATTCTGCTTCTGTGTTGGAGACCTTGAAGAGGCCCTCAACAGCCCAACAGGTGCGTTTTCTGATTTTTTTCCTAGGCTTTATTCTCAAAACCCCCCCCCCCCCCAAAAAAAACCTTCCAATGTTAGAGGTCTAGGTGTTCTCTCTAGTAGTCCTCTTCTGCCGTCATACAACAACATCCCATTCGATTGATCCACCTGACCTCACATGACCATACCACTATTGTTCTATCAAGTTTTGCAGCAGTCCAAGTTGTTGCATTTCCTGGCTAGTTACCGTCTGGACAGACAGTTGCAGTTGTTGACTAACAGGAAACAGGGTACCCCTTTATGCAGGTGTTCTATAACGCGGTCCAGTCAACCAGAGGTGCAACCGCCATGTCCGTCTTTATCACGATAATGTTCTTCTTCGGACTCTTGACTTTCGTCGCTACAAGCTCCCGTCAGCTATATGCCTTTGCGCGAGACAAAGGTCTCCCTTTCAGCGCGTGGTTCGCGACGGTCCGGCCCGGCTGGGACATCCCCTTTAATGCCCTCATCTTCACCTTTGTTTTCACCAGCGCGCTGTCCCTGATCAACCTTGGGTCTGCTACCGCCCTCAACTCTATCACCGGCCTACAGATCAACGCCATGCTCTCCAGCTACATCGTCTCGATCGGGTGTACGATATGGCGCCGGTGCACGGGCCGGCCTCTGCTTCCATCCAAGTTCAGCCTGGGCAGGTGGGGCTTGACTGTGAACATCATATCGATGGCTTTCCTGATCTTCTTCTTCATACTGGCGTTCTTCCCTTCCTCGCCGCAGCCCGACGCGGCTAGTATGAACTGGAACATCTTGATATATTGTGCGGTCGTCCTGCTGTCCACGGTCTATTATCTGTTCTGGGGGAAGAGACACTATGACGGTCCTGTGGCATACGTTAGAAAGATGGAATAAGGACTTGTGAGCTGTTTTTGGGTCTAAATATTCAGTTCAAGTGTATCAAGATACTTGAATACGCGCCTTGAGTGAGATCATAGACTGGCGCACGTCTGAATGCGGCCTCACGAGCAGCATCTCACCCCCTTACCTTCCCCCCTCTTCCCCCCAGAATATTGAATTTCAAGACTTCTCACCATGTCTGAGTGGATTGGTACTCAGCCAGGTGGCCACATGGCCCAACATTCATGCGTCTTTTCCAGGCGGGTTTAGGCATTAAATCGATCCTCCTCAAACCTGCTCAGCCTCCCACATCAGGAACTCGGGTCATGGTAGGACTTCTCGAATACACACTTGAATCACCGTCCCATACTTGCCTACTATTCCCTTAGAATCATGTCTACTAATGCGTGATTCCACCTTAGAAGGCCCAACCCAGGTCTGGGTATGTGAGTGTTTAGGGGAGGTTGACGGCCGCTTTGCAGATCCGTCGAGGCATCCGGAGCGCGAAGAGGTAGGACTGGAAATGTATAATTGAGATTCCTTGGGTGAGCCCATTCACTAAGCGAAGAGGCATGTTGCTGTCATCTTAGTTTCTCCCTCTCATTGTTGAAGACGTGTATCCGGAATTTGATGCCTTATAAAATCCATTTTATGAAATTTATTCAACGGCATTGTTCTGATGGCTCCTACATCTTCAATTGCTTCGGAGCCACGGTTCAAGTCAGCCAGTGAACAACTAGTGAAAGTCTTCATTGCCGCCTTTTTCTTTGCTTCTCTTGTGTGGGCGGTCGTGCTGCTTGTATTGCTTGACGTCCACGGGTGAGCCCGTTGTGGTTATCATAGCCGATTGATCCTGTTTTTGTGTTGCATGCATGATAGCAGCAAATATGACGACCGCATAATACCATATTATGGTACGTTTTGGAGGATTGACTTTCACATGGATAGACCATTTATGGCCGGGTTCCATTGTAAAACAGTCTTTTTCAAGATATAGGAAGTAGAAGTGGGGATGCTAGAGTTAGTTGAGGATTTAGGATTCATTCCATCGGGTGTCTCTCCTGGTGGTACTTAAGTAGACCGAACTGATGCTGTGGATGGGTAGCAGGCACCCAAGCAGACTTGGCAAACTTGAAGCTCGTAGTACCGTATCAAGTGAATCTTCAAAGTCGGTTGCACGATGACACGGCGCGGTTTACGTCTCATGTCTTTTGTCAGATGCTAACCTACATTCTCATGATTGGTGTTATATCCCGAGGTCCGCTTCATCAACAGGGCTAGGTGGCAGTCACCCCGATCGTAGTACTCTAGGGCTTCTAACTTGATGTGATGATCAAAGATTACTGCTGCGTATCTCAATCATAAATCCTAGAAGGGGACGGCAAAGTAATCGATGGGTTGGAAGCTTTTGAGGCAACCGGAGATTACGGCTGGATTGGATAAGGCTCAATTGGTAGTCGTTGGGCCGCAACACCACCTTCACCCGACCCCACACCGGTGCTGCTCACGCATGTAAGATACCATTGGCTTGCATGACGTTGTCTTGTATGTAGTGCATCGGCAAAATGATGACGAGAAACATGCTCGTCACTCGATCCGACCAGCCACTGGTCTGCAAGGCGTGTCGAAGGATGGCAGTGGGTGTTCCGGTCGTCGAGGGCGTCGGGATAGCTTGCTTGTCAGCCACCGGTGACAACTCACAGAGGGGACCACGGTGTACAAAGAAGTAGGGACTCCCTCAAATGGGGACACAAGGGAAAGATTTGGCGCACGCAGGTGGCACAGCAGACAGAGCTGGCCACATGATCTGCGCATCTTGCTATCAAGCATTCTGTGGAGCAAGACGCTCAGCGCTTAGATATCCTCTGCATTGATTTTCCTGTGTCAGTCAGCCCACGTCCACGGGATGCTGCAGGTGCTGATGCAAAATGCACAGGGCAGCATCGAGCTGAATATCCCTCTCAGGCTCGGGGTGATTCGCCACGGCCAACAAGCCGTGCCATAGGGCGATACTGGACTGTGACAAGCACGTAATTCCGACAACCAAAGAAATCAATTAGCGCAGAGTCGACCGAATCACCGCACCGTTGCACCGTTTGCAGTTTCCGTAATTTGCAGCGCGATTTCATGATGCCCGGAAGCCAATCCCGGGCGTGGGAGAGCCTGCAGTAGTTCCGCGCTGCAAGTTGTCGCTGATGGACGAATACGGGGCAAGCAGGAGGCTTGAGACCTGCAGCATTGTCGAATCAGTGGGGGAACGCCCTGGAATTGACGGTGCCCACATGCAAGCCTGTATGCACGTCGCCCCGCCCTGGTTTCTATTCGTTCGCAGCACATACCTGCCCCTCCCGATTCCTCCATTCCCGCGATACCTGGAAGCCGCCGTCGTCATTCCAGGCTTCTCTTAGTGAGAAGCGTTTTGGCAATGACAAGAGCATTGCATCTGGGGTGGCGCACGACTGGCGTGGGACTCGCGTGGAAGGATCTCGGTTCGCCTTGTGTGAGGTGTCACATCATGATTGCTCTGCCGCCGAGGTCGTCCGCGCACGATGTGCAGGTCTACAGGTGGGTAGCACTCCGAGGTGGCTCCTAACTAACACACGTTGTCCGCCGGGCCGCAAGGAAGATAGGATGGCAGGTCCAGGGGGAAAAAGTTAAAAAATGAGCTCAGACCCCGGTCCCTTCCAGGTACAACGGTGTCCATGTGCATTTCTCTCTCCTGTCTCGCTTCTTCCACGCATGCATCATTGTTCTTGGTCGAACCTATTAGTTAGACATGTCGTTTGCGTCCCTACTCGGCATCACCCCGTGGTCAAACCCTCACCGTCTCAGCAAGACTGCTTGAATATAAAATAGACCACCAGGACCAAGAATTGGATGTATATCCCGCTGTACTACCGCCCGCTCACCTCCTCCACCCTGTCGCCCAGGGCCCGGGCCCCCTCGGCATCAGATGCGATCTCCTCCGAGTCGAGCTTGTCACACCTCACGAGGTGGGTGGATGTGTGGAAGCGGGACACCAGCTCGAGTACAAACACTACCATCGGGATCGTAGTCGGCGTCCTCCTCGCAGTCTTCATCATCGCGAGCTTCGTGTTCCTGTACCGGTACAGGTACTCGGTACGATTTAACAACAAACGGCGGCGGCGCCATCGGCGCCACGGCTCAAAAGGCTCCAAGACGTCTTCAGAGAGCTCGGGGGCTCCGCCCCCGCCCGCGCCGGCTCCGGTCGCTGATCCGCCAGCATGAATGAGACTTTTGATGAGAGGCTTGGGGTGTAAGGCGTTGAAGAACGTGATCAAGTTATTTGACTAGGTTTTATTGCGAGCGGTGTGATATTTTGATGTTATATCTGATGATGGACTTCAGGTAGTTATTGTGACCGCCAGGTGTTCCCGGTGGTCGATCACTGTATGACGAAGTTCTGCGAGCCCGAGTCTAGGGGGTGATTTACTCGTGGAGATGCCAATTCGGATACGGGGAAGCGATGGCTGAGCTTTCATGGTCGTTTGCATATTGGATTTGCACTTGAGCTCTGAGCGAGACACTGAAACTTCAGCACAATTATTGATGTGCGGTCTTAAGCTGCGTGGGATACGTATTTTCTTGGGCAATCGTCTGTTTTTATTTTAGCAAATGTAGGATAGAGTTATTAAACACCCTTATGCCATTGAATATATACTTAGTTACACCTTCAACTTGTTGAATCCCCAAGCTCTGCCAGATGATCACATTTTCATGTTGAGCAAACGGAAGGCTCGATGTGTCTGTTGGCAGCGAGTGGTCTCTTTAGAAACTCAAACAGCGGAGGTATTTGTCTCATTCAGAAAGGTTAAATTCAGGCTTGGAAACTATCATAGGTGTTCAACTCGTCTGAAGCCCCAGGCTTGCATCAGGGACATTCATTCGCATCAAGCGTCAACTGGTTTGCACCATGTAGGGAAGTCACGCAAGGTCGGTGTTGCCAGCAAAGGGAGGTACAAACGCCTTAAACAAATACAAATACCTGGACACCTAAACTTGGGGCAGTCGGTTGCAGATTCCTCCACTGAACTTGAATTTGAACTTACTTGGAAAAAGAATCCCCAGTCCCGCGGTGCCTTCAAAGCTGCTCTTTTCTCAACAGTTCTGATCAGCACACTCACCAAAATGAATCTCTTCACTTTCGTCGTGGCTCTGATGCCATTCCTTTCCTTCGCATTGGCTTGGCCAGCCAAACTGGAGGTCCCCAATGACAGACAGGAACTCACGGTGGTCTATCACAGGGTTAACTCCAGAGCCTCAGTCGACGCCCTTTCCCGTGGTGCTCTTGTGGGACGAGACTGCTCGGCAACCCTCAATACAGGCAGCTTCGCAAACCTGCCCATCATCTTCGATGTCGATGAACGTGGCAGCGGCAACCTCACTGTCGGCCCGAATACCTACCAGATCCACGAACGCTTCGATTACTCTGGCGGTATCACGTGTGGTCGCATGTATAACGATGTGGAAGCTGTCACATCCTGCACTGTCACCATACCTTCCGAGTTCGAAATTTCGCCGTTGAGCAGGCTCCATGTTACGGAGTGCATCGCAAAGGATGCTCATACCCTTTCAAAGACCCTGAACCTAGCTACACGCGCGCTCTCGGACCCAAACAGCCGCAACCAGACGGAGAACATTCCGATTCGCCCTCGTCAGGACTGCATCGATGAAGACGCAGACACTATCCGGTGGTCCTGTGGTGATCCTCACCAGAACTTTTACCATCGTCAGTTGAGCGTAAGTACTTGTTTCTTATCTGTGTATCTGGCGGGCTTGACAGGCGCATTTATGCCAAATGTCCCTTGTCCCGTGGAGCCATAAAGTCTTGATAAGATAATATTAATCAACAGTATCCTGACCGCGATATTTCTCTACACACTTATTGAGGAGCAGAAATTAAACAGGGGCTGACACAAGAATCCTCACAGGTCGGAAAAGTCTGTGGAGACCAAGAGACCTGCGTTTCGTCGTTCAATAACCCAGGCGGTGTCTCCGTTTCCTACACTGCAAGTATGCCTCTAGAGAAATGGATCTCGGGCGATTTCTATGTCCAACAGGATTGGAAGACAGGCACCAACTACGAATGCACCGGCCACAAGGGCGAGACTGTGTGTGTTTGGTACAAGTTCGCTCATACCGCATACAGGGTGCAGAATGACTTCCAAAACTCATGTGGGTGGGAACACAAGACCGACCCATTCATTCTCTTCTCCCCGAACAAAGAGGGCATCAACGGCGGTCAATACTGTGTCATAGGCCCGTGCCGGAATGAGGGAGATTGGTATTGGGACTACAATGGCCCTGCTGGCGACGCGAAAGGAAACTATGGATGTTAAAGAGAGCATTCATTGCAATCTCAGCCTGAGACCCATCGTCGCCTCGCGCTTGTCGAGTTCACACAAGCGTCTACCCATAACTAGTGGATCGGTCAAGGTCACTTTGGAGACCATGAGACGATGATTAATGCAAATTGACAAATTTTGATAACATGCTTCCTAAGGTCTGTTCAATCGTGACCGTCAAAAGGTGTGCCATGTGAGAGTACATAATTATTATCTCGGGCTGTACAGAAACTGTCTAGGAATGTAAATGCTAATCACTCTGACACCCATTCCGAAGTACAGTACTAATGATAGTTTACAGTCTGTCGAATCATGCTCAGAAATTGTATTTGTATCCATATAGGTGGCTACGCAAACCCAGGAACTGATCTGCCATGATTGCACGTTGGGCATGGGTCACGAAATATAAATGTTTTCAAGGCTCAATGTTTATACATGGTAAAATGGTCGGTGAGGCTTGAATTCTGAAGTGGTGAAAAAGAGTCGAATCGGAAGCACACAGTCTAGTTATGATACATCAAGAGAAAAGATGAAACCTCAAGTGAATGAACAATGAAGCGAGCAGACGCCGCATATCAATCCCAAATCACACCAGCTACCGAGCATCAGACCCACCCCTGGAAACGGTCGAACCCCTCCTCGTGGCCCTTACACTCCTGGATCCTCGCCTGGTAGCTCGATGATGGTGCCGAACAGACTCTATCCGGGCCAGGCTCCGGGTGATGGCCCGTCGCAGCTCATCGACGTTCGAGATCAGGGGCTCATCGCCCGAGGAGATTTGAGCCGTGGGGGTATGGCTGACGCGCATCAGCGCATCGTACGTCGTCTCCAGCTCGGCCGAGAGCCGGTCTAGCGAGCTCATGAGAACCTCGCCCCGCCTGTGGCGGCGGCGCCGCTGCCTATCCTCGAGCGAGGACTGGGACGGGGACTGCTGTAAGTGAGGCTGTGGCTGCGGCTGCGGCTGCGGCTGCTGTTCGGCTGCCCTTGCTGATGTCGCCGTGGCCGTACCCTTTGCGGCCTCCTCGGATGGCGAGTCCTTCTGGCGCCGGAAGAAGTTGTGACGGACGACGTAGTCGACGACTTCCTCGAGCAACTGGCCAACCAACATGCTCATTGCCGCCTGGCCCAGCCCAGAGCCCCCGTCGCTGTGCTGGCTTCCGCTCCCGCGACCTCCTTGCTGCCCGCCATGCCCGTTCCTGCTGCTGCTTCTCCCGCCATGCGGCTCCCGCTGCTGTGGATACCTGCCTGCTGCGTTCCGCAGTGCATGCTGTCCGAGCCGCCGGGTGACATCGCTCCGCTCGCGAGAAGGTCTCAGGACAGGCCTCGCCTGCCGGGGCCTCGAGCGACGGGATGAGATGTTTGGATATTGAGGTGCCATTGTCTGACTGGACCTCCTGGGAGTTTTGCCGTAATTTGATATATACCAGTCGATACGAATGTTGGGCGTGTAGTATTAGCAGGTGAGACGTGTCTGAGTCTAAGTGTATGCTCTAAAGAAAGGACGATGCTAATTCGATGTAGGAGGAAGCAAAAATGTCGAGGAGTTCTGGTCTTCTTTTCTTCTTAACCTCTGTTTTGATAAGCCGGGTTGGAGATGTGACTGCTGAGCCTGGTCATCTGCCCAGGCTGCGCCCCTTGTGACCTGGCATGGCTGGCTGCCTTGAGCCATGTGAGAGGACTCCAAATGCCTGAGTCACCCTCAACACCACGCCAGCTGCCTCGATGCTGTCCAAAGAATGAGCATCAGGAGGCTTAAAATGAACACGTCTTAAAAAATGCGTTAGATATTCGTCGTTGCCCACATCTTGTAAGGCGTCTGCTGACAACATGCTACATCTCTGGATGAGTGTTGTCAGACGGCGCTGGATGAGTGGTGCCGGCAACATCCGAACAACCTTGGAACTCTTCATGGGCGTCAGGGTCCAACCCTGGATGTCAATCCAAAACATGCCAAAAAAACTAAAATCCATCTGTCATAGTCATGCCAGGCTTTGGCCTCGCGAGACCGCGTCGACCCTGTCGTTTATTCCCACACGGTATGGACCGGCGCCCCTTCGGTCGAACCGTTGTGGCAATATGGCGAGACGCTATCAAGCGTCTAGGGCCTTTCGGGACCCTCGTAAATGTGGACCAGCAGATAAGAATAGGCCGTAGAAGGGCCATGGAAAGAACCCTGGGCAGCCTGGGAAACTCCTTACGTACGGGGGATAATGCAACAGGTACGTAAAGGGTCCGCTCCACAACGCCCACACGAGCGGAAAAAATTCACAACGCACATAGGGTCCAAGCACGAGTGTCGCGTGTCCAGCTTCCGGATTCTTCTCCTTCTCTCTTCCTTCTCTCTCTCTCTCCCTCTCCCTCCCAAGATGGGGGAGACGAGAACACCTGCCTGAGTGAGCAGCCTGATCAGTGATCTCCAACCACCGACGACAACAACACCGGACCACGGCCGCCAGTCAACAAGATGGCTCCAGCTTACGACGAGGAGAAGAAGCTCGACCGGGTCGGGTCGCAGCCCGCCGACTCGGCGTCCGAGTCCGTGGGCAGCGGCAACTCGGGCATGTTGGACAAGCTCATGTCGCTGGAGGCGACGATGGACTCCAAGCTGGGCATCGAGTCGCAGGCGATCCAGCGGATGCGGCCCGAGGACAAGCGGCCGCAGTCGTGGCACGAGCAGGCCACGATGGCGCTGCTGTGGGCGGGCGCGACCATGAACGTCTCGTGCCTGTCGACGGGGTTCCTGGGCTGGGAGTTTGGGCTGGACCTCGGCCAGAGCATCCCCATCACCATCTTCGGCACGCTGCTGGGCGCCTCGGTGGCCGGGTGGTGCGCCACGCTCGGCCCCGGGACGGGCCTGCGGCAGATGTCCATCGCCCGGTACAGCTTCGGCTGGTACCCGTCCAAGATCCTGGCCGCCCTCAATGTCATCTCGCAGATCGGGTGGAGCGCCGTCGGCTCCATCACCGCCGGCTCCGCGCTCTCGGCCGTGTCGGACGGCAGGCTGAGCTCCATCGTCGGCATCGTCATCATCGCCGTCTGCAGCTCGGCCCTCAACTTCTGCGGCCTGCGCGCCATCCTCGAGTACCAGAAGTACGCGTGGGCCGTCTTTTTCGTGCTCTTCATGATCATGTACGGCGAGATGGCCCCCCGTGCCGATGTTGCGACCAAGAGCACCCTGGCCGGCGACGACAAGGCCGGCGCCGTGCTGTCGCTGCTGGCCATCGTCTACGGCTCGTCCGTGTCGTGGGCCACCATTGCTGCAGACTACTACGTCCAGCATCCTATCAACACGTATGTGGCCCCATATTCTTTTGGCGTGGGCTGAGAAAGACTGAGTGAGTGGCTGGGCTGGTTCTGACATGCTCGCCCTGTAGCTCCAAGTTCAAGGTCTTTACGCTCACCACCATGGGTATCGGCATCTCCACCTGCATTGGCATGGTCCTTGGCTGCGTGGGCTCCACCATGGGCGTCGACCAGGAGCTCGCCGATGTGTACGAGCAGCAGGGGGTCGGCTTCCTCCTCCAGACCATGCTGTTCCCGCGCGGCTTCGCCAAGTTCATCCTCGTCGTGCTGGTCCTCGCCGGCATCGGCATGAACTGCATCAACCTCTACTCGTCGGCCCTGTCGGTGCAGCAGTTCGCACGGCCCCTCGCCCGCATCCCCCGTTTCGTCTGGACCGTCGTGCTCTTCGGCATCACCCTGGGCATCGCCGCCGGCGGCAGGGAGAACCTCAACGCGTACCTGCAGAACTTCCTCGCCCTGCTGGGCTACTGGGCCACCTCGTTCTTCGTCATCCTCTGGTGCGAGCACTACGTGTTCCGCAAGGGCAGCTGCGACAACTACGACCTCGAGGCCTGGAATGACCCCGCGAGGCTGCCCCTGGGCCTCGCTGCGCTGGTTGCGTTCCTGGTCGGCGTCGTCGGCTGGGTCCTCGGTATGGTGCAGACCTGGTTCACGGGCCCCATAGGCAAGCTGCTGGGGAGCGCTGGCGGGGATGTCGCAAACGAGCTGACCTTGGTCTTTACCCTGGTCTTGTTCGTTCCCTTGCGGTGGCTGGAGCTGAAGTACATCGGTCGGTAAGCATTTGCGGGGCAACAAGGTGCATTGCACTGGATCGGGAGGTCACTCGCCTGAGGGCAGCATTCTGCCTACATGGATAGCTTGGTTTGAACACAAGTTCAGACTAGATCCAATCACTCAACTCGACAGACGGGAATGATCCACTCGGCAAATTGAGTTGAATAATGTGGTTGGCAATGACGTGACTTCTGTGAGGTGCGTCCACAGGCTGTAAAGGCTGACCTTCGAAGCTACCGTATGTCAGGTAAGTCTGAAAGCGGAGTAGACTTTGCCTTCGTAGACTGGTAAACTGGCGTTGCCGACAATGAGTCGATGCTGTCCACATCGGCTTTGCCGTAAGAGCGATTGAGGTCGGCCTGCTGCGACAGCATGTCCAACTTCATGACCACTGTGCCCACACTGGGACATGCGTACTTGAGTATTCAATGCCGTAGAAACAGCAGAACGAGTGGCCAGCATGGTATACCACAGCTTTCAAGTTAATAGTGCATATATCAAAAATCCAATCAATATTGAAGTTGTTCCAGGAAGACGACAGACATGCGTGTACGTATCCTTTGCTATGTCCAGGTGCCCTTCAACACACTCGCTCTTTTCTAAGACTATCAGCTTCCTTCATCTGAACTTCCTGACCCAAACTACCTTCGATCTTCCACAGCGCCAGCCACTAGCTGGTGCTGGCGTTTTCTTCTTTAGTCAACCACTTTTCACCACTCACCACTTCCTCTCCTCGACTTCACACCATTCTTCTCGTGGTTTCAACTTGGGATTTCAGCTTCAAATTCACATTCCAACTCAAGCGATATCATCACCTTCGTCAAATCAACAGCCCTGGAGGTCAAGACTCTCGAAAGCAAAGTATCTCCGTTTGTCTACGTCTTTGGTGGCCTTGCGTACCCTCGGCCAGCAAAGGAAGGCTCTTTTAACCCCTCTGACAACTTTGCAAAAGTCGTCTGCAACCTCACATCACCACAGGTCCTTCCCCCGAACGGCCTGCCCTCGAGGCGACCGGGGCGCTCGGCTACAACACCCCTTACGCCTGTGCAGCCATCGATATCTCCAGCTTCTTCAGAGAAATATCAGTCACTGGTGAGCTCCTGCCAAAGAAGACACTGCTTTTGATTCATCTATCGCTTACTCAATCATGTACCGTCCTCGTTCGTGTACCACGTTACCTGCAATCATGTCTTGTAGTCGATTTTGCCGTGTTGCTTCTGCGTTGTTGCCTTTCAGCGAGCTTGAGGAGCCCCCTCACTTCGGAATCACTGCGAAACGCAACTGACTTTCCATGGAAGGAATTCGCATCCGCCTCGTCGCAAACATGGCGGAGATGAAGGCTGAGGAAGCCAAGAGCTCGGCCCCGGAACTCGATGGCCTGACGCCTTTGCATCTCGCCGTTTTGAAAGGCAGCTACGCCCATGTTCGCTGGATTGTCCATGAACGGGAGTATGGTGTGAACGCGCTCACTGCAGACAAAATAACACCTCTCATGCTCGCAGCCTTATACGGACGAAGTGACATCTTCCTGCTTCTTTGGGGAAAAAAAGCCTCACCGAATTCAAAAGACAGCCACGGCTACACACTGTTGGACTATGCGGAGCCGCGATTCAAATTTTTCCAAAATCTCCTTCATCAGTGCAACAAGATTGCCAGCCGAAAGCCCGACACGGGGGGGCGGAGAGATATCTACAGAGTACTGAAGGGCTTGCAGGTTACAAGGCGTCGAACCAACATGCGTCGCACCCAAGAACATGCAGCGGCTCAGCAAGAAGCCCGGGCTCAGTCTCGGCCCCAAGCTCCTGCGCACATGAATCAAATCAGCCAGCAGCAATCTGTACACGATTTGCCCAGGCGTGCTGTGTTCCTCCCGTCTTCAGATGGCAAACAGCTAGAGTTTGTGGAAGGGAGATGCGTTGCGGCGAATGAGCGCACTCACCCCGCCAGGAAATGCATCGGCGTGATTCTGGGTGTGGACGGGAGCCACACTGACATGTTCGCTGTCTCCGGCTGGGGTGTTAAGAGAGATGGGACCGTCGCATCAACAAACACCCTCGACAACACAATCTACACGGGGCTTATGATGCGGGCGGCGCCGCTTCTGAATTTCAAGCTTCCCGCCAATGGGTTTGACTATGTTAGTATTGAACACATCCTTTTTGGTGGTTCACCTACTGACTTCCATCCAGCATTTCCCCGGCACGGATTTTGAAAAGAAAGGTGCTTTCTGGGCTTGCCACGCTGAAGTAAGGATCCCCATTACCACTGCGTTTCGTTGCCTTGGAAACAATTATTGACCCTGGCCTCAGAAACAGTTGGCTCTGTTTGTCTTGAAAAGGGCAGTTTTCCATGTGTCCGGTACTGAGGAGCTCACAGAAGATACCGTTGCCCTGCTGAAGGGTCAGCTTGGTATTTTACCACCTGGGCTGCGAGAGACAGTAATCCACCTCAATCATGAGGTTGCGTGTCGAAACTGTCTGCGGGTAAGTGGTGCATGGCGTCAATTGTTTGTGCAAGAACTATAGCTAAACTTACCTCTAGTTCCTTGAAGTCTTGAACCAGAAGACTGGCCTCGTGTTTCGAGTTGAATTCCACAAATGGTACACCGAGGTGAAGAGGAAGAAGACGCCACAGCTCTGGATCCAGCCAGATGGAAGTGCCAGGCCAGTCACAGGAGCTCCGTATGATTCAGGTGCCGACGAAAATGCGGAGCTGATCGACGATGAGCTTGGCCTTCTCGACGGCGGAGACGATACAGCTACCGGCCTCCATGATGATCCTGCGGATCCCCAGCAAGGTGACAATGTGAACACGCGTACTGACCCGACGACCCCTCGGAAACGGACGAGCCATCGGTCAACCAGTGCGCCCGAGCGGGTGTCAGGGCCCGACTACCCGAAGGAAGGGTCAGCAGTCAGCCAGGAGCCTCCGTACGATAGCTATCCGTATCCGAAGCTCTACGTGACGCCGCCCTCGCGCAACGTCCAGGCCTTGCCGACACCACAATCGCTCGCCCGAATCAACGAGCTGTCGCGAAGATCGACCCCTCCCAGCCCAGCCGGCCTTTCCGAGGGCATGGGCTCACAAAATCAGCCAGGCAGCATGTCGCCCTTGCCGTCGCAGGAGTGGGAAGTGGAAGATATCGTGGCGACGGAAGAAAGAGACGGCGCGCGATGGTTCCTCGTGAAATGGAGAGGGTTTCCGGACGAGAACGACACTTGGGAGAGTGAGAGCAACCTGGCCAACGCGCAGGAGGCGGTCAGCAAGTTCATGGAAGAACTTCGCGCCATTCAGTCTTGAGTCCGCTTGAGGATATTCGAGAGCCTGGGGAAAGCAAGCCTGGATGCATGTCACTCGTCCATCACCGTCCGGTGGCTCAGAGTTTGCAGCAGGCTGGTGAGCCCGGTACATTTTTGCATTTTGTCTGACTGCCCGGGTTTTTATCAAGAACGTTGAACAGTTGGAACGGGAGTGACTGCTCAAAGTCCCGTGAATTGGTTGGATGTCAGTCTTCAAAAGTCAAAAGTGAATATTGTTGGTTTTATTATTGTTTTGCGGATTGGTTTTCAGGTTGGACCAAAATGCACGGAATTACTTATTCACTCATCCCGTAGCACATGCAATGTTCATATCCACGAATGCAGTTCAGAGTCCATCAAAATCGTCGTTGTCGCTCCCCCTGGGCGGCGGGTGGACGTCAGTAACATAAAATCAGTGAATGGCTTCGGGTAAGGGTTGAAGGGGGGAGGGTGCACGGACCTTCAGTCGTGAACAGCAGTCCATGGCATCAGCAGGACATGATGCTTACATCACTCTCATTTTCTCTCATTTTGAACATTCCAAAGGCAAAGTGAATGAGATTATTCGATGCCAAAAGATATCCTATAATATTCCCTGGAACTGGCCCAATTGAGAGTCTTCACGACGCCTTGTTGCCGCTGCGAGGGCCGCTGAGCCCTCGCCTTGGACCTCGGGACGACATCACTTGGTCGATGCAAGTGAGAATCAGCCAAGATGCGCGACTTCATAGAGTATCTCCAAGAGGCCTTCATCACAGCCAGCGGCGGCAACACATATGACAACAGTGTAAGGGTTGTATTCCCCATTCCTGTGCCAGGTGGCTGACTCTGGCGGCAGTACTCCAACCTCGACCTCACATCGCGCTCGCTGCTGCACTTTGCCACGCCCACGGGCAGCAGGATCACCCTCTCGTCCTTTGTGCGCCCCAGGTTCGGCACGTCGTACAGCATCGGCATAAAGGACGGCTGGGTCTCGTACCTCTACTCGACCCTGCCCACCGCCGCCACCACCAGCTCCGACCGCATCCCCCTGCCCAACCTCCTGCGGTGCTACCGCCCGCTGTCCACCACCGCCCCGGCCCACGCCGTCGGCCACGGCCTCGTCTACGGCCGCCTGTACCTGCCCCAGAGCAGGCTCGAGGCCCTGCTCGCCGCCCGCGTCACCCCCGAGGTCAACCTGACCATCCGCGCCGTCAGCCAGGAGTCCCTGCGCCACGGCGGCACCGCCCTCGCCCTGGCGTCGTGGGACGACCCCGCGGGCCGCTTCGGCATCGAGACCCTCGCGTCGTCCGACGGCGGCGTCCTGGGCCTGAGGGGGCTGTGGAACGCGAGCAACCCGCCGGTGCGGAGCAGCGCCGCCGAGGTGGGCCCGGGTGCAGCAGCAGCATCACTGCCCCCGAGCACGGCGATACCGACCACCACCGCCTCCCCCGGCGAGGGCAGCCCGTCCAGCACAGCCGCAACGCCCGGAATCAGCAGCAGCAGCAGCAGCAGTCATCATCACAACAACAACAACAACAACGGCAACGGCGGCAGCAGCAACGCCGACAGGGAGCGCGTCAACGGGCGCTTCAGCGTCGGCGGCGAGATCTACTACGGCCTGCTCAACAAGTCGGGCGGGCTCAGCCTGGGCGGGCGGTTCCAGACCCTCCCGACGCACGCGGGCACCCCGCTGACGGCGGCCCTGACCTTCAACCTGCTGGGCCACTTCAGCGCCACCTACGCCGTCATGGCCGGCCGCGGCTGCACGCTGGCCAGCGAGTTCGGCTTCAACGTCTACAGCTACGAGAGCGACTGGGCCGTGGGCGTGGAGCTGTGGCGGGGCGGCGGGGGGCGGAGGGGGGGAGGGGCGGTGGCGTCGTCGGATGCTGGTGCTGGTGCCGGTGCTGGTGGTGATGAAGGTGAAGGTGCTGGCCCGGGCCCGGCTGATATCCCGCAGCAGCAGCGGCGGCAGCAGCAGCAGGAGGCCGAGGCGGTCCTCGCTGCCAGGGCGGGGCTGGACCACGGCATCGACCCGAGCCTGGCCGAGGCCATGCACGCCAGGGAGGCCAGCAACAACCTGATCAAGAACGCCGCGGCGGCCTCGCCCACCACCACCACCACCACAACAACACAAACAACAACAACGAGCACATCACCAGCTACGACGAGGACCCCCATGTACCAGCGCAGCTTCCAGGCGAAGCTGGAGTGGCGGCTCGACAGCGACGGGGCCGACAAGACCACCACGCCCGCGGCAGAGGTCTACGATCCTTCCACAGGGGCGAGGCTGGCCACCGCCACTACAGGAGACGACGGCGGGGACGGCGGGGACGACGGCGCGGGCGAGGACTCGCCGGCCGGCGTGGTCAAGTGCCGCTGCGACCAGCACATGCGGGTCGGGCTCATGTACGAGGGCCGGTACAAGTCGCTCCTGTTCAGCCTGGGCACCGACGTCGACCTCCGCAGGCTGGACGCGCCCTTCCAGGGGGTCGGGCTCGCGGTGCAGTTCTCGTCGTGAGATGGGTGGATGTCTGGGCTTGGGGTGTGGCGGTTGTGGTTGTTCAAGGTCCGACTGTCTATGCACGAGAACAGGGGGGGGGGGGCGGGTGTGAGGTTGCTCATGCTATATAATATGATATACCTATAGGTAGTATTCCAGCCAGGGGAAAGGAGGGGCTGCCTGGTGGCTTCTCGTGACGGCGCACATTTACATGGCTCGTGAGACAAGTTTGGATGAAGGAACCCAGCAGGGGGTATCCCAAAGACATACCTACTTGCGCTTCCATCCTCATCCTCACCATGTACTGCCATGGGCTATCATGTATTCGACATGCGAACAGGACTTCAATGTTGTTTCAAGGAGACAGACACTGTGGTCCTCAGACACGGGCATAGAGCCGATCACATTTATTTGCCACTGCTTGCAAACATCATGTTGGGGTTTGACAGGCGAACTTGGATTTTGGTCTCTGCAATAGCATTTCACCGGCAACAAAGGAGAAGCGGCGGGAAGGGTCGGTCATGTTGACGTGGTATCATTTCCCCAAATCCGAGACGAAAATCCGTTGAATCATTTCCATTGTGATCCATTTTTTTGACGCCGATGACCAAGCAATCCATAGTTAAAAAGTCCAAACCCGACAACGCCACCGCCAGTCATGTTTCCAGACCGACAGTTTACTCGTCGTCCTCCTCCTCGTCCTCAGCGGCGACGGTCTGGGCAGCAATGCCTATAGCAGTACAAGTCAGCACGGCATTCAGAGCCATCAGATGGGACTTGTACAGCCCGGGGAAAGCTCAAGACAGGGGGGCAAGACGTACGGTCCAGATCACGCTGGCCGGCCTGGGTGATGCGGCGGCCGCCCTTCTCCTCGTCGATCTCGACAATGTTGATCTTCTCGAGGGACTGCAGGACCTTGCGGTCGACGGAGCCGGAGGCGTTGACGTGCTTGGAGGGGCGGGCACCACGGTTCTTGGCGGTACCGTGGATCTTGCGGAGGCGGCCGACACCGATGGTCTTGCGCAGGTAGACGGCGCGGGCGACGGCGGCGGCGCGGATGTAGAACCAGTCGATGTCCTGGGGGGGCATCTCCTTGGCGGGGCCGGTCTTGACCGTGTCAACCCAACCTGGATGGGTGGATTCCATGGTCAGCAAGAAAAGTTTTCGGAAGGGTGTTTTATAACAAAGTCAGAGCTGGTGATTAGACATACCGGGGATGGGCAGCTTGCCCTGACGCTTCAGGAACGCAGCGTAGGCGTTGATGAACTTGTGCGACTGCAGATCAAGGAAAGACACCATCAGCAAATATTCCGTCTTCAGAGGTCTTTCGACCCCCTCACGCCTGCTCCATGGTGTGTTTTTATTGTGTCTTCCCCCTTCTCTCTAGGACTTGTAACGGTCGACATCCCGATGCCCTTCCATATTTGTATGCGCAGAGTCGATTGAGTGGGTTGGTTTCTCCCCCCTCACGAAGCAATGGCTATGTATGGGGTGCGACCGGGTGTCGTATCGTCTGTCGTGGTGACTGTCGTCGAGCGGTGTATTTGGTGTGTGGTCGTCTTCTTGTGTGTGCCATTTTGCAGGTCGCGCGGGACGGTCAGACTGGAAGAGTTGGGACACCTACATCAACATCGCGAACAGAGATACCGCCACCCATTTTGACTGGTTTGATGGATTTCCTGGGGAGAGATTGACGTGAGGAAAGGGGGTGGTCGTCGGTGGTGCTGGCGAGGCGTGGATATGGAGTTGGTCGTGGGTGAGGTTCAGAGGGGAGGGTTGGAGATTGGCAAGGTCAGACGTCGAGGATGAAAATCGGCCACCCCGTTGGCTCCACTCTTGCTAGCGTGGGAGCCGAATTTCAAAAATCGACCTTGGTGGGCGGTGTGCACGGGCCACACCTGCGATAAACAAGATAAGAATGCCATCCGGCGGCCAGCTGGGATGAACTCAGACCAGCTGGTCATGCAGCAGCCTGACTGGAGCACCCCGTACTACTCCGTACATATGTATCAGTGGACAGTACCTCGGCATGTAACGGTAATCAATTACCTTTGCCCGGTTCGCAAGCCGAGACCCATTGGGCGTTGGTTCGTGCCTCCTCTTCTCTGCTCAGAGCTCGCTCACCTTCCACTTCCACGCAATCTGGTAAAAGTACCTGCAGGTTGTCGGGGTGTCGGCAGCACTCTCCTCCCATCCTCAATCCACCGCAATGACTCTACTTATTCAGCCGGCTCGTCCTGTCCACTCATTCCTATGGTGGACTCGGCTTGAGCCTGGGCTGCTGTACAGAGGTATGCCGCACAGGTTGGTGATTCCTGGCTGGAGAGTCTGAAAGTTACTTGGGTTACTGGTCAAAGTATCATTCCCATCTCCAGCTCAATCAGGTCGGGATCCCACAAGATGCAGGCATGCATACCTGCACCTGGGCAGGCATATACCGGTATGCAGACATGAAATGCAGATTTGGATTTGGGTTGCAGATACGGATGGACAAGCATTCGTCCTGCCTCCCGTCTGCACCTGCCAGCCCCATCCATCGTGCCATCCCAGTGGACGGCACGGCCTGACGCTCTTTTTTATGTCTCGTCGTTTTCTGTGAAACATGCAGAAGTCATTCTGTGGGTTGCATTTGACCCCTGTCATCCCTCATTTGCCTTGACATCCTCATCTCGCAGGCCAGTCAGTCTACTGTGCTGCTGCTGCTGCTGCTTCTTGTGCTGCTGCCGTGGTATTATTCTGCTGCCGTCAAAGTCTGTCTGTCTATCTCTCGGCTGCCAGCCCTGCTTGCGCACACACTTACGCACACACTCACACGGACAGACAGACAGACAGACAGACAGACAGACAGATCCCTGCCCCCTTGCGCGCATCATGATCCACTGCCTCGCTGCGTGCAGGCTCAAGGGTGCATTCAATGAAACCATAGCCATTCCTCTTCTCCACTTGGCACCCGCGCCCGTCTGGGAATCTGTGCTGGTTCCTGCGAGCCTCGGCTCCCTTCTCGATCCATACTAGCTGCCGCCGGCTGCAGCCCGGGCCTGTTGATGAGCGGGAAGAGCACGCGGGAAATCATCGAGGAAACATGTATCCTCAGTATCCTCAGCACAATCCCAGACCACATCTGCGGTTTCCCCAGCTCAGTTGGGCGTGAGAAATGGGGCAAGAGTGACCAGACAGACAGACGAGGGTGAACAGAGCAGAGTCATTGCCCAAGTAGACACGACCCGGGATTCGAGCAAGACCAATCAATACCTGCTCCGTCTCTCTCCGAGTCACTTGTAGGCACTCACCCACTCACTCGCCCAAGCCCATCCTGCGAGGCCGTTGCAGCTCGTCAACAGCAAAAGCACGTCTCCAGCCAGACCCAAACCAGACTATCGTCACTCTGGCTGCCTGCCAAGCCGACATCACATCACACCAGTCACTCCTCCCTCCCCCCTCCAACCAGAAGAGGACCCGGACGAGGAGCTGGCCATGTCCCTCAGTGAGTCTTTATATTGGTCTCATAAAACCCCCCCAGCAGCCTTACTGATGCCAGCCCCAAACAGTACCCGCCGCCCTCGTGGGCAAGGCCGCAGCTGCCGTGGCAGGCCTCGCCTACCTCAACGCGCGCTTCTCCATTGGTCAGGACCTCAGCTTCCTGCTCAGCCGTAGGGCGGCGTTTGCAGAGTTGGCCAAGACAGGTAAGTCCTCTCGCTCCTCGCTCCTCGCTCCTCGCTCTGGACTGACCTGATGCCACAGTGCCCAAGGGCCGCCTCTCCATCTACTACTGCTTCGAGGACGCGGTCAGGGAGAAGGGCGACGCCGAGGCCATCTGGTCCCACGGCGAGTGCCTCACCTACAACCAGGCCTACGCCCGCGTCAACCAGTACGCGCAGTGGTTCCTCGCCCAGGGCGTGCGCCCCGGCCAGTTCGCCGCCCTGCTCATGGCCAACTCCCCCGACATGGTGTGCGCCTGGCTCGGCCTGCTGGCCATCGGCGCCGCCCCGGCCCTGGTCAACACCAACCTCGCCGCCAAGGCCCTCGTCCACTCCGTCAGCATCGCGAAAGTCAAGCTCGTCCTGGCCGACGGCGACGCCGACCTCCTCGGGCGCCTGGACGCCGTGCGCGGCGACCTCGAGGCCGCCGGCCACCGCATCTGCGTGCTCGGCGGCGGCGGCGGCGTGCGCGCGCAGGTCCTCGGCCTGGAGCCCGTGCGGCCCGGCGACGAGCTGCGCGAGGGCGTCACCACCGACACGCCGCTGGCCCTGGCGTACACGAGCGGCACGACGGGCCTGCCCAAGGCCATCTCGTTCCCCATGGTCGTCGCCTTCCTGTCGGCCACGGTCAAGCGGCGCGGGTTCGGCGAGGTCAGGGGCACCGACCAGAGGTGCTACAACTGCATGCCCTACTACCACATGACGGGCGGCCTCCACGCAATCCTGCAGCTCCTGGTACGTTTGTCGTCTGTCTCTGATGATTCCCTTGCCTGCTTGGCCTCCTCCCACGCCAGCTACTGACAGACAGGCCGGCGTCAGACCCGCGACACCCTCTGCATAGCCCCCAAGTTCCACGCCCGCACCTTCTGGGACGACATCCGCGCCTCGCGCGCGACCTTCTTCATCTACGTGGGCGAGGCCCTGCGGTACCTCCTCGCCCAGCCGCCCTCGCCGCTCGACCGCGCCCACGCCGTCCACACCATCATCGGCAACGGCCTGCGCGGCGACGTGTGGGTCCCCTTCCGCGACCGCTTCGGCATCGGCACCATCCACGAGTTCTACAACTCGACCGAGCTCATGTTCGGCCTCGACAACCCCAGCAGGGGCGACTTCACCGCCCGGTCCCTCGGCGTCCACGGCCTCGTCCTCCGCACCCTCTTCTCGCGCATGCACGCCCCCGCCGCCGTCGACCCCGAGACGGGCGAGCTGCTGCGCGACCCCGTGACGGGCTTCGCGGCCCGCGTCCCCTGGTCGCAGGGCGGCGAGGTCCTCGTCCGCCTCGACCCCGGCAGCAAGCTCCCCGGCCGCACGTTCCGCGGCTACTGGGACAACGAGGGCGCCACGAGCGCCAAGATCGCCCGCGACGTGTTTGTCAGGGGCGACGCCTACTTCCGCACCGGCGACGCCCTCCGCCGCGACGCCGACGGCCGCTGGTTCTTCTGCGACCGGCTCGGCGACACGTTCCGCTGGAAGGGCGAGAACGTCAGCACCGCCGAGGTGAGCGACGTCCTCGGCGCCTACGGGAGGGGCGTCGTCGAGGCCGTCGTCTATGGCGTGCAGCTCCCCGGGCACGAGGGGCGGGCCGGCGCCGTGGCGCTGCTGGTCGACGAGTCGAGGCGCGGGGCCTTTGACTATGCGGATTTCCTGAGGTGAGTTTGTTTGTTTGTTGTTGACCCCATGTTTGACCCCATCACTTGTTCCACCCAGCGTCTCCGTTTCCGTCTCGGTCTCGTCTCGTCTCTTCTCGGGGCATATATGAGTGAGTGGTGCCAACTGACCACAAACAAAAACTGAAATAGATATGCCCGCGCCAACCTCCCGAAATACGCCGTCCCGGTCTTCATCCGCCTCGTCTCGGAGCCGCTCAGCACGGGGAACCACAAGCAGAACAAGGTGCCGCTCAAGGCCGAGGGCGTCGACCCGGACAAGGTGTCGAGCGGCGACGCCATCTACTGGGCCCGCGGCGACACATATGTCCCCTTCACACGCGCCGACTGGGAGGGCCTTTCCCAGGGCAGGGCCAGGCTGTGAGGAGGGAGCCCGCCCCCGTGCGTGGACATTGGTTGGGTACGCCATGCCATCGACGGCCCACACCTCCACGGACCCCCGGGGACCGTCACCTCCTCCGTTGCGGTGGGAGAATCGGTGGGCTGCGACACACACGCGAAATAACCTTCTCGGCGGACAGGGGGGTTCCTTTCTGCTTCTGACACGCGAAAGGGATGGTACCACTGATTCCATCTTTTCTGTCCATCGGGGTGGCGGAGAAGAGAACCAAGCCGGGGAATAATCAGATGTTAACACATCATAACGTGCCATGGCCTCCGAGTCTTTGATGACAGACTAGCATAGCTCCGGCGTTTAATTAGATTTTGCTTCCACCTTGCTTCTCAGGATGTAACCCATCGGTGTTGATGGCACAGTTGTGTCGCCTCTGTGGCCTCGTGCTTGTCCACGTGGAATGTCGATATGGATCCCCGTTCGACGCCAGCTGGCGTGTAAATGCGTAATACGTGAGTGAAGGTGAGTCAGTGAGGACTTCCACATCTCTGGCTCCGTCGGCTTGGATCTCACATTGATTGCCACAAGCCCATGCGGCTTCCTTTCATCCCCAGAGTACGAAGACTAAACCAGCTTTCATCTGATACCAATCGAGAGTAAGATGACGCGTGCGGATATGTGTGAACAAACGCAAATACCGGCAATCTGGATTTCCAACAGCGGGATGGAAAAGGTTTTGTCGGATGGATAGTTACAGGTGACTACAGAAACCGGGGCCCTCACGAATTACTCTTTTGGAAATCTCTGCGTTGAGGACATGGGCTTGCTCCGTGAGCTGCGTTGGTATCCGGAGGCATCGTGTGTCCTTGTGGGCTTCCTGGTAGGCCTTGTTCTCGTTCTTCGATGCTCTACAGCCGCCGCCGCCGCCGATAGTGCCAAGTAGACAATTTGGGAATGCCAAGGTGTGTGGTCCAGAACTTGACCCCTATGTCATTCCTCGCTACTTCACACGCTGGTTTCCTCGATATTGTCCGTTTTGTCTCTTTGCCATCACCGCCAGGCAGTGCACCAAGCGATGCGACCAGTAGATGTGTGACCTTGTATGCTCCTCGGCATCATTAATGAAAGACCGGATTGATTCGCATATACAATTACCGCGCGACCGGCATACAGGTGTAGAAGTTACAAGGTTGCGAAAACCTTGGGGGTAACATTTATTCAAGCGACCGGGATACCTAGGTAGCATGTAACAGTGTCATGAAGACAACACTGACCTTTCAGTCCCAGGCAGGCCCGGTTCGTGCAATTCGTGTCTCGTATGCCGCAACATGAATGAACTGCAAAGGTAATGCTCGTGTTCGGTGTGTAAAAACACTTGGAACGCGCAAGTACTGCGTGACCAGTCGCCATACTCCGGGTCTGGATAGACTTTGCTAATTTCATGAGGCTCTCTTGATATATAATGCGTTGGTATTATGATACAAACGTCAATTGATGGACACCTTTCTTGCGGCCAAACACTGGTATTTGCCAAGGGGCGCTGAGTGTGACGTGGCTGAGTAGTCCAGCAGTACCGGTAATTGTTTGTATAACAAGGGGGGCATATATACCCTACCAACTTAGTCGCCAGTAAGCAACCAAGGAGCACTTATTATGCAGACGCAACTCGGCATTCGAGGATCCAGGATTGCGAACAAGTGCCTAAGCAGACGACGGCTTGGTAAACAGTCTGCCCAGTCAGCGTTCATGCCGCGGACCCTCCAGGGACGCTCCAGGAGCTTAATGATGTCGCCGGCCAACTGCCCCAGGACGGACAGGGCTCGGTCGGCCGAGTGGCGCAGGTGAGGTAGAGGTACATCAGATCTGGTCACCGAGAAGTACCTCTCCCTCTAAGGTCCCCATGGTGGTGGTGAATGGGGCATGCTGCACCTGGCCAGCCGATCAAGCCATCAACCACTACCCACTGACACACAAACATGCAGTGGCCCATCGTTTCCAAAAACATGCAACGGGAGCTACTGCATGCTTGCCGCCGAGATGGGGTCTATGGCGTGAGAAACATGTTAGGGGTATTGGGTTTTCCCTGTCCATGCGTTGGGCTCACTTGAGTTTGGCAGAAAACAAATATGATCTGTCAACATTGATGCCGTTCATGTATCCCAACAAGAGATGAGTTGCTACGTTCGTCTCGGCAGCTTCCGTCTCAAACTAGTGTAGAAGCTTATTCACGGCGGACACGTGTACCCAAGCCGGCGATGAGGCAACAAGGTCGCCTTCAACCACCCCCCCCCCCAAGAAATGGAGAAACAAGAACCCGCGTTTCAACGCGGATGGGTCTCAAGAACCCAAATCTTTTGATTGAGGAAGCCTGACCGTTATGGTGCCACAGGATGAACTACCGGCTTGTGTGACAGGGGTTATGCAAGACCAGGGCGCCACTTGTGCCAGGAACAACTTGATACAGACGGTACTTGATGCCAACCAGGCCTAGGCGCGAACTCGGTGGAGGTAGTCCCATAAGCCGGATCGGGGGCTGGGGCTGGGTTCGGACTCACATTCTATTTCTGCGGGACCCCTCATCTTGGGGCACAAAGGGGTGGTGGGAAAGCTTAAACCCCAAAATAGAAGAATGTCTTGGTTGAGCCGCATGCGTGTGCTAGTAAGCAAGATGCTCTTGGACAACGTCAAGTGTGTTTGGGGGCGGGAATACGCCTCTTCTGACGACATCCAGAGGTCTGGGCATGTTCTCAGCGACTTCCACGATCATAATGGCCGACACAACAGTGGATGGTGATTTCGAAGCGCGTGGGTGGGAGTGATGCTAATCCGAATTGACCTTGCTGGGACTGGGCGATGGTACGACGGCCCGTCCACCAGTGACAAGATTTTGGCTCTCGGTGTTGATTAAACGTCCGGGCCGTTGTTTGACGGGAAGAACTAGGATGTCTGGATGTTTGGTCTGAGGAACTGCGCAGGTGAGAGCGGTGAAGGCGAGCTGCCAAAAGAGTTCCCCCATCCGGACAAAATCTCCGGAGACTGAACGGGCGCAGGAAGAGGCCAACGGGGGTGGACTGGTGTGGCTGTGTGGTGATAATGCCGTACCTTGGGCGGTCTCATTGTGGATAATGCCGCCAATCGCACAGTCATAGCTGTTGCATGACTGCGACAGCGACATGGAATAGAGTGTACAGTACGTGACATGGCAGCATGACAGGACGGAAGCTGGCAGGGGCACAGCAGGCGGTGACAGGCGGCGGCTCAGCGCCACGCTGCACCGACAGACAGACCGACTGAGAGCAATGCCGATACGGAGGAAAGGACGAGGCAGGCGAGCAGCTGGTGAATGCTACTGAGATGGTTCCGGTTGCTAAGACCCGGCAGCCGGGTAGACATGGCTGCATAGGCGGGTGGGAAGGCAAGGTTCAGACTGGCGTCACAGTCGCAGTGAGAGCGATCAGTCACCGGCAGATTGTAAAATCGTCCGTCTGTTGGCAAGCGTGCAGGCCCGCTGGCCCGGCAGATATCGGGGATGAAGTCGATCGAGGTTTCGGGGGTGGGTCCTCAAGGCGGGCCCGAGAGGCAAACAAGGGTGGCGCGGGTCGGCAATAAGAACGGGTGGGAGTGGAGAGCGAGAGACGGAGGGCCAGCAGTGAGCACTGAGCAGCCAAGCAGGCCAAGCAAGCGATCTAGGTCTTGAAAGAAAGCTTGACTGGCTGGGTCGGGTGGTGACACGAGTTGGCGAGGTGGGAGGAGGAGGAGCTTAGAAATGACTGCACTGCGAGACGGACATACGGATTAGGACAGGCCAATGGCAGGGACAGGGGAGGAGAAGGTGGGAAGGACGATGCTGTGATGATTGTTGGGGACATCCGAGTGCTTCTCTGTCTGTCTGTCTGATGGCGCAGCCAGAACTGCCAACCAACATGAGCGTCAAGTGTCAGCAAGACTCGGTTGGAAACTTGTGGCAGCTCGAGATGATATGTGACGATCTCTGGCGGTGGCCAGAGCGTCATCAGGCGATGGGCGGGTTGGTCTGGGTTGGTGTGGTGAGTCTGGGTTGTGAGAGGCACGAGTCCCCGCCAAATAACAGGAATTGGCGACATGATGAATCCACGATGGTCGATGTCGACAATTCAGTCAGACAAGTCTGTCCTGTCTGTCTGTCTGTCTGTCAGCCCCGCAGCGGTCGCAGCGGGAAGGTGGGGACATTTGGGACAAGCGCACCCACCCGAGCTGTGACTTATCAATCAGTCATTTACATGTCACGCCTTTCAGCCCGCTGCCCGTCTGACCTCACCTGTTGAATTTTGATTGCCCCCATCAGCCATTTGCCGAAGCTCCCGGGCTGCAAATGACGACTGAAGAGATTGATGGGCATGTGTGTAATGTATTGATGCACGCCATCATGTGAGGTGCGAGGCAAAGGCAAGGGGACCTGCCCTGCCCAGGTACAGTACCGGTACAACGTGTTTGTACCTTTTGTATGGGGTGAGAACACCAGAAACGGAAAGCCCTCGAGATACGTTCTGCTCACACAGCTTGATGCATCCATCAAATCACAGCAAGGGCCAAAGATTGTCCACGTAGGTGGCTGCCAGGCTGCCAGCGACCGTCTCTTTCCTCGCCTGCTCGCTCGTTCGCTCCCTTGACTATCTCCGCCCAGCCCCTGCTGCAGACCTTCCCATCCATCCCACCACAGACTAACCCTCCCTCTTGCTTCTAGGCAATTCTGCACATGACATGCACACCTAGGCACATACATGCACCTCCCACTGCCGCCGGTCTTGCCTGTTTCATCATCGCGCTCTCCGTCGCTCTCTCCCAGATCCGGCCCGCTCTTTCCTATGGCCGAATCGGACCTGACATGGCTGGGTCTGGCCCTGCCCTCCCTGCCTTGCACCTTCCTTCCCTCACCAGCCGGGCAGGGGCACAGACAGAAGGACAGACAACCCACGCCTTCGGATCTCCCTCGCCTTTTCGTGAGTAAATCCATGCTGGTAGCTTGTTGGTCTGTACCGAGTACGGAGTACCTCTGGCCAAGTACCCCCAAGGTCACTTCTTGTTGGTTGGTAGGTATCTATCTACCTCTTCAGGTATCTATCTACCTCTTCCTGCCCTTGCACCTCGTCGCATCGGTGCTCGGTCCAGTCCAGCCCACTTTCCCATGCCTGCTCCCGCCCTTGCTTGCAGTCCTGGTCTTTTCAAGGTTGTTTGTCTTCTCTACTGTGATACATCCTGCTGCTTCTGCCGCTGCTGCTCCCTGCGACGGTCGACATCGGACCCCGCCAGCACCAGCACACGGTCAAAATCAACATAGATAATCTCGGGGGCATCCCCACCAGTCACGCTGCCTACACCCCGACTTCTTGTCACACCGCACCACCTGTCTCCTCCAATAATCTCGATATCGCCTTTCTCACTCTGCAAGCACTCGGCCTGCCAGTCAGTCAGCTAGCTTGCCAGTCAGTCAGTCACTGCAGTTAGTCACTCGGTATCTCAGTTACTTTCGACCTGGTTGTACATCTCTTGAACACACCCCATCTCGTGTCGTGCCTACATACCTAGGGACCCTTCCTCTTGTCCAACATTTGCCGTCCCTCATCCTTCGCTGGGAAGTCTTGAACACTGCCTCCTCCTCCGACCTTCGACGTCTTCTGCTCCAAGAGAGGCGCCCCCACCTCGGTCAACCAGACTCACTCGACTCAGCGCCCAAGACCTTTGGGTCTTTCTGTGGGCCGCTCCGAAAAGTACCGTCATCTTCTCAGTCTTCTCTCTTTGTTTGGCACCTGGCCCTTCCTTCACTTGTACATTCCCCCTACTGCTTGCCTGTCAAGCTACCCGTCACCACAAGGTCTTGATATCTATCTACGTCCATCCTCAGTCAGTCGACTTGGTCGCCTGTCTACGTAGAGACACAGCAAACAGCATTGCGCCACACTTGGACTAGGCCTAGTCCGTCTCGTCAAACCAGCATCGTTACACTGTCACTGAGTGCATTGCTATCCTTTTTTCCTCGTTCCCTTCGAGCATAGCAGGTTCTTCCTTGCCTCACTCGGTCGAACCACATTCGACATGGCTGCTGCCGCCGTGCTTTCTTCCCCAGCCCCTTCTGGCAACATGCCCGCCAAGCATGTCTCGCCTCAGTCTACGCCGTCGGGCTCCCCAAGCTCCACGGCAATAATCAACCCCAGCCTGACCGACAGCACTCGCACAAGTGCCACCCTAAATGAGAAGGATGCCCAGCAGGTTCCACGTCTCGGTGCAGACGGCAAGGTCGCCGGGGCGGATGACAGCTCCAACGCCAGCAGTCTCAAGAAGACCAGGTCCAAGAGGCTGCGCCAGTCCTTGACCTCCAGGCGCAGTAGCAAGCTGGCCAATGTCCCCGAGGAACAGCCTGACACTGCTGAGCCTGACCGCTCCGTCTCACCAGGTCGCTTCAAGACATTTGTGAGGTCATTCAAGTACCTCTATAAACTAACCCCCAAGGAGGTTGACGATTTTATGGCGTCCTACATCATCTACAACCTCGACTGGGAGAACGAGGCCGAGATTATCGACAGCCTGGGGCCGGATTACCAGCAAAAGGTCGGGGACTGCCTCAAGACGTACTACGGAGTTCTCAACCACCTCTGTGCTCTTGGCGATGTTGAGAAGATGTACATCCCACCCGCCGTGAACATGAAGGTCTCTGTACGAGATAACCAGCTGCTGTACGAGGAGTCCGTCGCCCGGGACCTTGGCCTGAAGCCCGGCATGAGGGTGCTGGACCTGGGCTGCGGCCGAGGTCGCGTTGCAGCCCATATCTCAAAGTATTCTGGGGCCCGGGTGACAGGCCTCAACATCGAGCCAAATTCAATTGCTCAGGCTCAGGCTTTCAATGACGAGTTGGGCCTTGACAACGACTTCATCATCAAGGACTTCAACGACCTGCCGCTCCCCTTTGAGGATGCGACTTTCGATGCTTTTTATAACATTCAGGCATTCAGTCTCTCCAAGGACCACCCGGCACTCGCCAAGGAGATTGTTCGCGTCCTCAAGCCTGGTGGCCGCTTCTCGTCCCTGGATTGGGTCAAGTACCCAGCCTATGATGAAAAGAATCCTCAGCATACCCAGCTAATGCGTCGTGTGAAGCCTCTCATCGGCGCTGTGGGAACGCCGACCCCAGTATCCATGGAGAAGGCATTCACCGATGCCGGGCTGGTCATCACTGTCTCAGACAATGCCAGCATCGCCACAGACGGTCTGCAGAGCCCGCTCATCAGCAAGGTCGATCTTTACTTCCGCACCATGCGCCAGTTGATCCTAGCCATGGTCAAGCTGCATGCCCTGCCGCCGCACTTCAAGACGCTCATCAACCGATTCTGTCTCGACGGGGAGGCGTTTGTCCAAATGGATGAGATGAGGCTCATTACGACCAGCTATCGAATCATTGCCGAGAAGCCATACAAGGAGTAACTGCATCAATAGACGGGGTTCTAACTTTGTGACCACCGGCAAAGCAGGTCAACAGACGAGCATTTCCACGGTATCTACAAAACGATGGCGTCTTTCACACAGGAACCTCTCTATCATAAAACGGAACGGTAATGTCTATTGCTTACGTTCGTACCGCCAGCGCCATCAGCGTCATCATCATTTTCAGCATTTTTTCCAGACTTGCACGGTTGATGTTGCATGGGCAGGGGTTGCGGGTGGGGTCCAGATGTCATTGTCTTGGATTATGACAGATTTGCACCATTTTCTTCATGTCTCAAGTCTGGCACTTGTGGCTTCTCTCAAACCATGTTTCGTTTCATTTAAGCAGGTCAGTGTTTAGTTAGATCGAGTGTTTCTGGGGATGAAGACAAAAACATGATGATTTATATTTCTAGCTAGTGAATAAGCCGTTCGTTCCAAACTTGAATATGCTCGCTCTGGCTGGATCTGTATGCCTCTGTGGAAGCCGGTCTGACCTTCAAGGTCCACGAATAGCAGTCAGTACTCGTAGCACGCATCCTCGCCGGATGGGCAAAGCTTCCCCCATTAGGAGAGCAGAAGGCATGAGAAGCTAAGCGGATAAAGCGGAATTGTGACCATGTTTGATTTACTGCTTTGTGGCCGAATTTCGAAAATATCCCGAGACTATGGGCGTTGACGCCGGCGATCCAGCCAAGACAATTTGACCCAGACTGGGTCCGGCTATCCATCACAAGGCATCAACACCGGATTACAATTTGGGAGAAGTCCGAACCAGAGGCATGGCGGAGGGGGAAAGCCGCTGCAAGATTGGCAAGACTTTAGGGCTCAAGTGGCTTTGTTATGGCCCATACTTCAGACGCGGTGGTTGGATGGCCAGGGCTCTGCTGCCGCCCCGAATCTATCGAGTGCACTTCCGTGATTGAGTTACAATACCTCCTGTCTGAGAATTTACCTGTGTATCCAGTCAGAAGTAAGAGCTACCTCGCCCTCGACGTCAATGGGACTCTCAAAAGGTCCCCCACCAGCTTCCTCGTTGCCTCAGCCGGCTGTTCCAGAGAATCAGCCGCGCGGTGTTTTTGGATTATCTGGCCCAGACGGACCAATGAGGGTCTGTCCAGTGGGTTGTGCTCCATGCACCAGGCAATCGTGTGCCTCAGGTCTGCAGAGTACCGGCGGGAAATCTCGGGGTTGTACGCCCCCAGGAGATTGTGCCCGTATGTCCACCCGCTTAGGGACTGCCGGTCGATGACGAACTCGTAGGGCCTGGCGAAGGGCGGGTCATCGGGCAGGCTCAGTGTTATTAGTTCGAACATCGTCAGGCCGATGTGGTAGAGGTTCGAGTGTGCGCCGTAGTTGCCGGCTACCTCGTGACTGCGGAGGGCGTTGAGGCCTGGGATGAAGTCCCACTCCTCGGTTATTTGCTCCTTTCGCGTTTCAAAATGTTTTCAGTCCCATCTTGGCTTCACACGTGGAGAGGCTGGATATGACAACTCACTGGCAGGTAAGAGTCAAGTTTCCCCCTTGTTCTCAGTCTCCACTGTTGATGTCTATCCATCACAGCCTGGGTCAGCAAATAATGTGTGTATGTGGCGAAGAGTTCTCAAGCCTACTCTTCATCAATTCTGTCCTGGAAGATTTGATATTTAGGCTGAAGACTCAACCCCAAGTCACCTATCTTGGGCATTTTTAAACTCGGCAATTACTATTCGTTCACTAACAAGCAGAATGACGGTACATATGCACGACGCCAACACAACGTACCTTGGTTAACGGCCACAAAGCATGGTCTGGAGCAAAATCCCCGACGAATACTAGAAGACGCAAAAGGTCAGCATGGCGTATCCCAACCGACGGAGAAGCGCACGCAGCACAGGGACCTCGGGAGAAGACCATACTGTTCTGAGGGTCCAAATCGAAGTGAACCAGCGGATCGCTGGCATCCACCGCAGAGCCATCACTCGACTCGGTCATTGGGGGAATCTGCGTGGTCAACGGGTCTTTGCCCTGGTAGAATCCTTTCGGATGTGCCAGAGCGACACAACCCCGCCACAAGCACTCAAAGATAGCCCAGGCCACCTCCTCCGGGAATATAGACTCCCCATCACGGTCGTTCTGCCGTGCCATCTTCGCAATCCACTTGCTCAGATCGCCGAACCTGAGGTATTCCATGCAGATGACATCCTGGCGGCTATCGAGCTCCTGTCTGTTCTGGCGGATGGCGTCGTCGATGCCCACGGCCCTCTGTTCAGGCCCGGCGGGCCAGTCCGGCCATAGTTTGCTCCATTTCCAAGACGCGAGGCTGTTGAGAGGACCTGCTGTTTGATTTGGCTGAGAAAATGCAGGGCCGTTGGATGGATTGTCGGGTGAGTCACGTTCGGGGCTGTCTTGGGCTCCTTGATCATCATCCACCCGGATCATGGTGACTTTCAAGCCCAGCACGGCTTCAGCGAGGAAAAGGACGGCTTGGATCAAAGCGAGCAGGGCGAGGGTGACCACCTTCGCAACGACAATCACAAGCTTTATGATCACTCGTCCTAAGGCCCCAACATAGTCGTATCGCTCTGGAACACTCTTGGGCCACGGGAATCGAGCTAGCAGCGTGCGCTGGACCACGTGTTTGGCCCCGGACATCAGCGTCATGTTCTCCTTCTCCACCTGGATAGTACCATTCCTGGTACTTGACCGTATATCCGCCTTCACGACAACCCTAGTCTCTCTCCCCGTGCTGTCGTGCAGGCCGAACAGCGCGGCAACGCCGTAGCCGCCATAGCCCAGCAGTTTGCGGAACGTGACGTGGGCCGGGGTGAAGTTCCGTTCCAGGCGGAACGCGGTGTTGATTGCGCTCTGGAGCCTCGCGTAGGCCCTCGGGGGTAAGAGCCCCGGGGAGGACGGGATATTGTTTGCGAATCTGAATTTTTTCCTCTGGACCCTGGGTGGTCGTCTTGGGTTGGCGACGTGGGGATCCTGCAGCCCACGCCACCGTCCCTGCCTCGGCAGCACGATGCCGCGGATAATGGCTTCCCTCTTTTTCACGTCCCAGCCGGCGACGCGGCCCTTGCGCAGCTCGCTGATGTAGTCGCTTGTCACCTTCTTTGCGTCGTCTAGCTCTTCTTGACGGCTGTCCCTGCGCGGGATGGGGCGCCGCCTGTTGCGCGGGATCGTCGACATCTTGGGGGTTCTGATACCTGTTGGATGCTTTTCTGTATTACTCAGGTGGAAAAACGTTACATGGGTTCCTTGCTGGATTTTAAAAGCCACAATGAGCTCAAGATGAGGATGCCTGCTATGGCAGACAAGGAGCTCTGAGGCGAGACCATGGGACCTTTCTGCTAATACGCCACATGCGGTCCGAGCCCGGGCCTGGAAACCACGGCCAAGGTACAAAATAGGCATGCCTGGTATATGGGGAAGAACTCAACCACCAAAGAAATCATTGATAGCTATTACAGGAGGTGAGATCTGCTGGATAACACCAACTTCAACCAGCAATAAACAGGTCAAGCCATCATTCACCACTCGGTCGCATGCGCACCCAGACATGCTGCAGGAGTTACTGTACCCTTTTTCAATCCTAGCTCGTGTTAGATTTCATATCCATGTATGATTCAAAACAAGAAAGTATGATAATCAGATCATGAGGAACATACTGTATCCCACCTCTTCATCATGCCAAGCCTCACGGAAACTCTGCTCTCGACTCAAGTGCTGCGATGGTGCATTCCCCTTCTTGGGCATTTCGGATATGAGATTTGCCAGGCCATTGCATATCTTGCCTTCCAAGAATTCCTTGCCTGACAAACATGTGGGCAGCTTTCCGAAGCCCACCGAGAGTATTTTGGATTGGAATAATATGTCATCATCAGTGTATTCGTCTGAACGGTGTCTGCTATAAGTGGTTTCGTTTTTTTAATCCCCATACATGTAAAATGTACGTGGCGCCTTCATACAGTGGTAAACGCTCAAGACCCAGCGTTTGAAGAAATACAGTGCCAATAACAGTGGAAAGAGAATACAGTACGTGGGCACGTGGCTGAGCCCCGTACCGCACAGACAAGGCTGGAAGGCATTGTCTGCTATAACAGTAATCAAGTCTGACACAAACGACCCCGGGGAGCGGCCGTTCACTGTATCCTAGATTGCTGTTTGGTTTTCGAAGCGCCCTTTCAGTGTGGGGTCAACTGGCTGAGCTGAGTTCAGCTGTGTGTGTTTTCATTCTCATTGGATGCAAGTGGCCACCTATCCGATGTGAAACATGGCTTCTCGTGTGTATGGTATTAATCTCATCCTCAATTGCAAAATGATTGGTGGCACAGTGAGTATGCTGACCCCAATCTCTCCAGATGTCCGATGCTGATGTGAGCCGCCATTTAAGTGCTATAGTAAGGGGACATGGTACCTTCATTTACCCGTCGCCCTCGGGTAAACACATGCAGACAGTCTTCCAGTGGAAGTCTGTGTCTGCCTTGCTCAGCTGTCTGACCGCGGCGCGACGAGCCACTGGCACTTCTCCAACCAACTTTTTGCCGCACACTACATAGCCCCCCTGGGAACGCATCTCGTATAGTCTTGCCGTACATACGAATGATTGGCTCACCTATGTGAGGGGTGTCTAAATGTAAAGGCTGTGCAGTAGCTGTCGTGGGGGCCAAAACTTTGAGGATTGGGGGCAAAGTGGTAGCGTGAGTTGCATCAGGCATACACCTGCGCCCAACATGCCGCACCCTCCCCTTTGACTTGAAGCATTGAAACTTGCACTCGAACAACATCGATACCACATACGAACTTATGAAAAAGTTGCAGAGAGTGCAAAAGTCATTAAAGGGAGATAATATTGCAAGCACTGGGTCGTACTGCAGCTTCGCGATCTCATTTCCCTCACCACATGCACCTTATCTTTGAAGCTATATTCGTTCATATTTCAACCCATTTTCTGCTAATATGGACCCATCAACACTAAATTTATCATCTTATGATCCAAGCACATTCCCCGCTTTGCCTCCTCCAGCGGGTGTGCTGCCAGACTTCATTGACCCACCTACGAGAGCTCCGGCAGGAAGGATCGTCATCTGCGTTACATTGTCAGTCATGCTCATATTTGTGATACTACGAGCATACACCAGAATATTTATGACACGCTTGTTCGGTATAGATGATTGTAAGTCATGCCATAGGCGCAGTCGAAGGGCCCAACGAGCAGCCTCAAATTTGCCCAAGATATAGACCTCGGAATCCTTATGCCCTACTAACGCACTCTCATAGACCTTTGCCTAGTATCAGCTGCTAGTGTCACCATTGCCAGCGCATTCCTACTATCCAGTATGATTCTCATCGATTTGATACGCTTAAGATTCTGCCATGCTGATAAGAACTGACAGTTCTCGGCGATCCCCTTGGGCCACATCAGTGGAATGTCCCTTTGACAGCCATTACCCACAGATATGCAGTGGTATGTAGACCACAAGAGCTTTCTTGTCGCCCACGATACCATGTGGTCTTGTCTCATCAGTGCACAGAACTCTATCGTGGCAGTGTGCATGTACGCTGTCAGCTCCATGTTCACCAAATGCACGCTACTCGCATTTTACCTGCGGATGTTTGGACCTAAACAGACGGCAAGAAACATGGCGTGGGCTGGTGTTGTTGTGATTGTCATTTTCTATGTCGTCAGTCTCATTTTCCTACTGATTCAATGTATTCCGGTGGACAAAGGGCTTCCTGGTGTCGACCCAATGAAATGGGAGGAGCGAGCAAGCAACAATCGCTGCGGACGGCGGAGCATCGACGTTTCCGCCGCACAAGGAATATTCGGCGCTGCCGCGGACCTCTACGTTCTTGCAATACCCATAAACTCCGTTCTTGCTCTCAATCTCCCAAAGAAGCGTAAAGTCGGAGTTTTGGGTATTTTTTTGACCGGCCTGCTGTCAGTAGCCGTCGTCCGTCATCCTGTCTTGCGGCATCTATTAGCTAACTAAGTTTCTCTTAACAGGGCTTGCATGTGCTCTGTTGTAGCTGCGTATTATCGCTGGCGGTTGCGAGACACAAATGACTACACGTGGGACTCTGTCCTTCTCTGCTCTCTGGCGTGAGTGGACTACCCTGCGGTCACAAGCAGCTTTCCTAAGAAAAAGTCCAACTGCTATTAGATTCTCTTTTACACCAACTAGCTAACATATCTTGCCACTTTCAGGTCGGCCGAGCTCAACATGGGCATCATCTGTAGCTGCATGCCGATAGTATTTGTGGTATTCAGGGGCTCTACGACTAGCAGCCCATGGAGTTCCCTTATGCGATATCTTAGGACTCGAGGCCGACACAGCGCAGTCACGGACTCCAACGAGCCCAAAGACCTTGGTTTCAGGCTTTCAGACGAGGGGCCAGCACTGCCACAGTTCCAGCACAAAATATCTACGAGCCCTCGTACCCTCGTTCATGAGACTCACCACTCGCAGCCGCTTCAGAGTGTCACTGTGAGGACCGAGGTGTCGACTTACAGAAGCCTCGCCTCCATGGACGATGCATATCATGAGCAGTTGAAACGCACCTACCTGGACAGCTATCAGACCAATCACCGTACTCCCATGGGGTATCCATCACAGGAGCTCTATCTGGCTGGGATTTCTGCGGTTGGCCGAGCGATCTGAAACATTGCACTCACTCACCACAGTACTAAGCCATATCTGGGAAGCAACAAATTTTGAGAACAGGCTGGAATTGAACAGCATCTTGAGATTTTCAGTGAACTATGTACACTTGATTTTCAAATTCCTGGTCACAAGCCGCCAGTATCGATCTCAGCAATGGCAGCCCACTCTAAGGTGACCGGACCTAACAGCCCATACTCATAGGGCCCTTGTGTGGCATAACTGCTCTGCTGGGCCGATGCAACCTGGCCCCAGACCTGGACCTGGTCTGCCACGCTCTTGATCCGGTTGAACAGCGTCGTGGTCACTTCGACCTGGAGCTCATGCTCCTGACCCTCGGCCACGTAGCCCGAGATGTCTACAACCGGCCGCGCCGGGTCGATCGGGGCGAGCTGGACGCCGTCAATACTCGCGCGGATGGTGTTAACCACTGGACCCAGTGAGAGGAGGGCTCCGATCCGCGAAGAAGGGCCGCTGGAGGAGGAGTTACTACTCGGTAGAGAGGGCACGGTGAAGCGCGTGGTGTAGCGCCCCACCCCGCTCACGCTCTCAAACCCGGCGCCGAGCTGCGTCCAGGGCACGAGGGCCTGGTCGGTGAAGTTGTGCAGGGTAATGGCGGTGCCGGCCTCGACGTCGAAGCGGTCTTCTGGGGCATGCCAGTCTTCAATCTCGATGTCCCATGTGGGCAGGTCGAGCGTCGCAGGGAGGGAGACGTCGAATGTGGTGGTCTTTCCGGAGTCGAACGTGATGCTTGCCGAGCCGGAGGTGGTGACTGTTGCGAGGACCGAGGTGTCGCTCGAGTTGCTGCGACTGATGAACGCAACATTTTCACTAGAGGAGGTGACGTACGGCTTGTTGGTACTGTTCGTATCTGAGCCGGACTTGAATACCAGGATGGTTGTCTCGTTTGCTGCTAGATTCACTGGGAGAGTGTACACTGATCCGTCGGTTGTATACTCGACCAGCTCTTCTTGTGCTCCAGTGAAAGCGTTGTATACAAACGGCACGGCGTTGCCTCCAGCAGCGGAAGTGAATGAGACACTGCAGTCGGCAGGAATGTACTGGTCATTGTACAAGAAGACATATTCGGTGCTGTTGTTCACGTCGCCTCGGACGACCGGGTAGACGGGATTAGATGTGCAGTTTAGACCCGCCTTTGGCGAGATCGATAATCCAGACAGAATACCAGATATCTCGCCAATCGACGCGGCAAAATGGACCGATGGGCTGTGTGCTATCTGCGCGGTAATATTGGAAAGTTGATCCACATCCGTTGATGGATAAGTCTGGTTGGGCAGTGCCGAAGCATCGCCGACGACGATGATAGGGAGCCCAGCCTGGGCAAAGTCGAGCACCGCCTGAGCTGCCTCCAAAGTGATGACTTCTTGGCCAGAAAAGATGAGTGCTTTGTACGACGGCCCATCCGCAGCCAAAACTCCGTCTCGAACAATAGCTTGCGGGAGGAGTAGATTCTGCGGGCTGAGGTAATCGTACGTGTATCCCAATGCGCCCAGTCCGTTCACACCACCAAAGGCGTCTTCATCACCAGGTGCCCAAGGAGCTGCGTAGTAGTACACAGCAAGGTCCATTTTGGGAACACCTTGTTGGAGCACCCACTGATTCCTGCCGAACCAGTCCAGCGTGTCCTTGAGATGGCCTGATCCATAAGTCGGTAAGTTTGGCGTCCACATTTCGCTGTAGAGATAGTAGAAGGTCGTATATCCTGGCCAGGTGGTGTTGGGATAGTTCCCAGAGTATGGTGCGCCGTGGAGCACTTGTTGGTTGATGCCACCAGCAAGACCTGCCTTGCCGTGGTACAGAAACTGCGGGATGGTCAGGTTGAAGGCTGGCCCAGAGACAGCACCCATCTCGCTTGAAATAACATTTCGCCCTGCAAGATGGGCGGGCCCGGCGAGTTGGCGGTACGAAGTCACACTGTCCTCGAATCCCAATGATTCGCCTTCGGGAGCGTCGACTGACGGAATATTCCGCAGCATTTCCAGGGGCAGATTGTAGGATGGCTGAGTGGAATACTCTACTCCGCGTGCATGAGACCACTCCTTGAAATGGTCGAGATAGTCCTGGTAACCCGATGTCAAGACTGTGCGATAGTCCAAGTCGTGAACGCTGGTGTTGTCAGTAGTATATTTGCCGTACTGGTAGAGCTCAGGATAAGCGTTGATGCCGCCATTCCAAGTATTTTTGGGGTTGTAGAGCAATGGTAGGTATTTTATGATGCTATAACCCATCTCTTGCTCGAAGCGTGAGATAAAGTCTGGGGTCCAATAGAGAGCTGCCAGGATTTCCATGCTGTCTTCCCATGCTGTGTAAAGGTAGGTCAGTCTGAAAGCTCATGGAGTCTGGGTCGCAGCACGAGGCAGGCAAAATTTAAGGGAATAATAGAAAGTCATTGGGGCGGGTTTTGTTCATACAGTACTTTGCAACTTCTGTGAGCAGTTCAGCAGTCTCAGAGTCACTAAGGATTTGTTGGTCCCAGAAATCCGTGACCTTCACCGCGCCAGCGGTGCTGAAGTGGTCAACTGTCCAGGAGCCATTCCCAATGACCGTGCTTGCGTTGAGTCCTCCCCGGCAAGCCCGCTGGTTGGTGTATCTTTGCCAGTAGCTGAAAAGTTTCCACGTGGAATTGCCGCCATCGGCCGGAGGCGTCCATTCGAGCTGCCCGTTCACCGAGACGTTTGGTGTCAGGTCGATATACGAGTCCTCATCTAGGATGAAGACCGGCATCGCCACTTCGCCTACCCCATATGTGAAAACCGGGCGGGTTGTTTCTATGTAGTACTGTGAGCGTATTGAACTGTGCGCATCCATGGGCGATAAACGTACGGCCAGTGACCTTGAGGGCGAACACAGCGGTGAGATTTGCCTGACCGAATTGCTCTAACTGTCCCTGAAACCCGAGACCACCTTGAAGAATTGGTGGGAGATATGGTGGTGGTACTGGACCCGAGAACCCTGCTGTCACTGTTGCATTTCCTGGTACCTAAATAATGTGAGACTCTTCTTGTCATCATGTCTGGAAATTAAATGGTGGACAAAACTTACTATTTCGTACGATAGACCGTCTGTTCCAGGCTCACTAGGCACGCCAGCGCCCTGATTGGGGCCGAGGGCGAAATCTATGTTGAAGCCGTTACCTTGGTCCTTGATTGCCTTTAATGTCTCTTTGAACAGCTCATTGAAGGCCGTATCTCCAAAGCCATAGATGGACCAGTCTGTAGGTGGCTCAATCGGGCCTTCCGGTACAGGTATAAGCTGTGCATATACAAGGCCGTAGAAGTAGAACGGTAGGTACTCTATGCCGCCGGCGCCGACACCTGCCAAGGACGATATATCCTTGGCTACGATTTCTGCTGACACTGACGCATCGGGAAGCCTGAGTTACGCGGTCAACAAGTAAGTTCTCGGACCGATGAGAGATAATTAAATAGGAACTTACCAGTAACGAAATCGCGGGCGGTACAAATTACCAGGGTCCTTAAAGTCGCCTTCTTGTGCAGCGACAAACAGGACTGACACCGCGGTCGAGACGATGAGAGTAAGGACACCCTTGAGCAGACCAGACCGCACCATTTTGTCGTCTTGGGAGATAGTAGGGCGAATCAAGTGAGGGCATCAATCAGCGAGCCTGGGGGGTAGAGCAAGCGAAATAAAGAGGGCGACTCATCACCTTATAGCCACTGGGATATGTGCCCTCACGGGCTGGCGTCCACTCGGCCCGGGCTTGTAATTATGTGGGGAAGATAGTCATTAGCCCCGAGCATGACGGCGGTTTGGTGTCGCCACATACTGGACATTGAGGAAGAGAGGAGGTCACATGGATGGGGCGAGGCGTCCTCGTTGCAATAGTGTCCGAAAGGGGATCAAGAGCTTGTTATGGCTCCGCACAGCTCAGGGTGCCTGAACGCCCGCACGCACAAGAAATCGCCATCCCATGCCAGTATGGGTGTCCTTGCATTGCACAACATTACACCGAGGTGTGGTTTTCTTATGTCGTATTCGATCCGGGACCGGGGGCCTGGGACACGCAACAAGCTTCTCGTCCGAGAGCATACGCTGGAAGGGACGAACCCTTGCCTCTGATTGGGTTTTCCGGGGACGGTCCGTGGAATGTCCGTGGATTGGGGGGAAAGTGCCGATGCTAATGCGGTCACTTGGCATGGAGAGCGCCGTCCAGAACGCTCAGATTATCATCCCGGGACCACAAATTTTCAATGGCCCCCCGGATATCCCGGGCGCGGGACTCCGCTATTTGGCACCACCCAAAGTCATTTCCCCGCCTGTGATCAGCTTTCCCCACGGGGGTTACGTACCCGTGGTAGCTGACGTTCAGCAGGGCCACGCATTGTGCTATAAAATTGGGTTGCACCACAAGAACTTGGCTCATAATGTTGTACCCTGGTGTATACTAATACGCGTAGTCATGAATGGCTTGATGAGCCAGCAGAAAGGCTCCAATGTTATACTTTCAAATGTAGTACTGTTCCTGAATACCTAGGTAGTGACGGGGAAACATGCAGTGAGGTAGTAAACTTCCGAGGTTGTTACATGGTCATGGTGCGGAAGACTTCAATGAACCCCAGTCCGCCCGGAAACCCTCAGTGGTTTTGTTCTTGACTCCCATACATCTGGAGGAGTGTGCAGTGCCCTCAAACGATAATGAACCCTCAAAGAAGAAAACGCAACTGGTCTGTGGCACTTGGCCAAAGCCTCGTGACAGCCGCACAGACAATGCTAGCAAGATGTACGGATAAAAGAGTTGAACTCTAAGTGATTTCGTTTCTGATCCCCATCTAGACAAATTATTGTAGCGCCTTCATATAATGATGAGCGTTTGCTTGTTCTTGATAGTTTCGGTCTTGACTTGTACACATCCCGAAGGTGTATGGGTCTCTTCACACAGTGATAAACGCTTAAAGACCCAGGCGTTGGAAAAATGCAATCCCAATCAAGTAGGAAGACTCTTCCTCAGCCTCGTGCCGCACAGACAAGGCTGGGAAGCATCGCTCCCGACGGAGCCGTTGATTAAGAGCATGTAGGATCGATGTTCTAGACCCGCCACACTTATACCTGTACATTATCTATTATCTTTCTTCTAGCCCCTCGTCCACCATTGTACAACACAAAACATTACGACCACCACGCCCTCAAATCCTGCTAGGAGTACATATGTAGAGTTCGAAAGGGACGCCTTTACGAACGCTTGGTGAAAACCAATGGACATTCATCCTATATTGAAGTCCAGTTAGCCGAAGTGTATCTAGGTTAGTTAGACTCCTGAACAGTTCGACACACTCACCATGGGAAAAAGAGTTGCGAAAACTTTGATTTCCTCCGACCTCTCGGTAGCATGATGCTTCCAGTCAAGTTCCAACGACGCCTTGCCAATCATGGCAGCCATTGTAAGCGGGACTATGCTCCGATTTGTCAGAATTTGCCATAATTTGCAGTCTTTCGAAGCCGGAACTCCAGATCTTGTCTCTTGACATATGAGGGGAGAAAATTGATCAGTATGCGATCATGTTCCAAGCACCGCGCCCATTGTGTGGGAGCACCATCGACAGCTTTGTAAGAGCATGTACACGGATTTCACATAGAAACGGCTCCAAAGGCGGATTGAATACAAGACAAGAAATAAATTTGCCTGGGAAACTGTTTCCTTACCGTATCTCCTCGCAAGACAGTCATGCGGTCCAGCCCCGAAGACGAGCCAGTTCTTGGTCTTGGACTCGGCATCCCCGGTGATCCATCGATCGGGGTCAAAGACACTGGGGTTCGGATAATCTACCGGGTCGTGGAGAGCAGGGTAGCAGGACGGGATAATCATGGAGCCTTTGGGTACAGTGTAGTCTGGAGTTACTGGAAAGTCCTTGGTCGCGAGGTATGGGACAAAGATGACTGGCGGTCTGTAGCGGAGGAGTTCCTTAATGACAGCATTGGTATACGTGAGCCCCTCCAACATGGGGAGATCAAACGGCTTGCTCCAATCGCCGCCCCGAGCGTCTAAATTCTCCTGACGCAAGCGGCCCAGGATATCGGGGCGTTGAGCGAGAATCTGAAAGAGCCAAGTCGTGGCACTGCTGCCTGCATCCTGAGATGCGAAAAGGAAGGTGAACAAGGTCTCTGAGATTTCGCTGTCGGTGAACTCGCGGATCATATTCGATGGTTTCTCCAGATCCACTTCTCCTGCGGCGACTCTTTCTCGATATCGTTTTGACTCCATCATTTGGAGCATCCAGTAATCCACGGTGCATGTGGGTCTCGCGCCGGTCGCCATATTTGCTCTACAGGCGGCTGCACACTTCGCAAACTCAGCATGGGTGGCATCACAAACTCGCTTCCCACGCCACTGCTTGCTGCCTGGGATGTACATCGTCAAAGGAATATGGACGAGGTCCATGGCGGCGGTGGCGAGGTAGAAGTTGTCGGCGATCTTCTTGACCGCAGCCTGAGATATGTAGTCGCCAAAAAAGGTTCGACAGGACGTTGCGCAATTGATCTCGCGGAATTTGGTCATGAATGGTACTGGTCGCCCCCCATTGTCTTCGCCAATATTCACGAAATCGTCAAAATAGTCAGCCAAGACCTTCTCCTGAACCGTCAGATAAGAGGCCATGGCCCTGTTCGTGAAAAGCGGCGCCAATCCTCTGCGATATTCCGCGTGATCCTTGCCTTGGAGGAAGACCCATGCTTTATGGCCGAGAAGGTCTTTCGCAACCGGTACAAGGCATGGCTCGGCGTAGGAAGGCGACTTGAAGACCTTGTGGGCTAGGTCACGCTCGGAGACGAGAACGACGAACCTGAAGTGGTAGCAAAGAATTAATTTCAGACATCAAGTGGTTTCTTGGGGCACATCGACATTGGGATGAACAGGTATACATACTTGTGGAACACGGAAACACAGCTGAGAGGCCCACTGGCCCATTGTGCGAGATATCCTTCGAACTTGGGATCAATCGCCTGGAAGAACGGGCCCACGAGAGGTATCTTGAACGTTGGACCAGCGATGGATCCTTTTCGCTTGATGTACATGACTGTAAGTGGTCAACTAAACGTCGGAGCGACAGGATTAGCGACTCGGTGATTAAGTCAGTTACCTTGATCGTAGACCACCAATCCCAATACAAAAGTCACCAAATACTGCCAAGCCGACCAGTTTGTGATAAGCATCGGCCAAGCCATGGCATCTTGCCAGTGGGTGGCGTTAGAGGACCACATCTGTGGTAGTTCGGCCTGCTCGCCCGAGGCAACAACCACCTGTGTAGCCATGTTCGAGGTGAAAAAAGGAAATAGAGTTTCCTCAACAGGAGGAGAGGAAATAGAAGCCGGCGTTCGATCTGGTTTGAATTCGAGTTCCTCACAGACCAAAAAGAAAGATGGGAGGAGAGAAAATTTGGAGAAAGGAAGAACCCAGACGTGAACCAGGGCAAATCACAGGTCAGACTATTACTTCCTATTCAGGTCGAAATACTGTCACTCTTGTAACTCGGATGTATGCAGGCTCAGTCGTGGTAAGACATTCTTCGAAAATGCAGGAGTCTCAAAACAGAATGGTCAGCTTGTACCTAAGCATCGCTTGTGGAAACATCTCGATCACCCGGACATGTTGTATCTAAATAATGTGACACCTGATTTGTCAGAAAGCGAACAGCCACAGTTTTGCAGCTTCATGGGTGGTTTCACGGGAAATCGGTCCTTAAATTTGTGGCCCTCACGTCGGATTCCAACGTGCAAGATGGTTGCGTGAATTCTGTGGAAATTATTGCGGCGTCACATCAACACGTTGATTCACCACACTGTGACCTCTTAGAGGTTCAGACCCACAGCTGCAGATATCAAGCTGAATATGCGAGAATTTTCCTCCTCAAGTTCGTCCCCAGTACACAGTATTCGCATATCCTAGGGAAATGCCAGTCGAACTGTTGGAACCGGCGCGTTGCCAATTTCAGATACGTGCATATTTTAATCAGATAAGTTGTGAACAATCCTCAGCTAATATCTCGCTAGGGTTGTGTAGGATGTGAAGACGGAATAAGCCAGGTGGCATTTGATCCCATCACACGGGTGACCTTCCAAATGCAGCTTCTAATGAGTGCCCATACAGCCTGGCTCGTATATTTGGTTGACCTCATCGCGGACATAATGGACAGATGCCCCCTCCTCGCACCACCCCTGCCTGCTACTCTCGGCCTGGCAGCTTGACCGACGTCGCACCAAATTGCAGAATATGACGATATTTCCTTGTGTCGCTTTGATCCTGGTCTTCAAGCGTACGAGTGGTCTAGATTTATTGGAAAAGAGACCTGTAAACTTTCATAGAAGGGTTAAGCATGTGAAGTACTTCACGGAAGTAATTCAACAAAGCGGCCCCACACAGCCTATACCCGGCCAAGCCCACCAACACATGCAGCACACCATTTGTGGAAACGATTGTAATCTATCACACTGCTTTATCAGCGGTAGCGGAGAGCCAACTGCTGATGCAGGAATTTGAAAGCAGAGTCGAATACCCGCTGAATGAAACAGTCCTCCAAGTGCTGATCACGGAGTCGGACTCCGACGGTCTGAACAGCGGCCCAGATCCTGGTGTCGAGACCATCGTTCCCGGCCACAAACAGGCGTTTCACTTCCTTGCTGTTTCTCTTGAAAGCCTCACATCATTTTGTTGTTGAGATAGCACGTGGAAATCGAGTAAGACCGATCTAATGATTGGGATTCCTTTCTATAGTAGCCCAAGACTTGAGAGTTCCTCCTCGCGGCATGCCCGGGTGGCAATCGCTTACGTGCCGTGCCTACAGCCTCATACTGTCGATCTGCGCCACTTGCACTTGGGCGTGACACAGCAGCGCCAAACATCCCAAAGCGCGGATTGATCCGATGCCAGGTACATATGTACAAGCCTCTTGCGGGCCGGCCCAACTGCAAGACAAGACAATTGACATCTCAAAATTGTACCAAAATCTGGAAGGGAACCAACTTCTCATCGTGGCTCAGGAAACTCGTGCCGTGTGGACCGGATCGGTCCAACCCCATCAGCAAGTCCTTTCGATGCCACCCCGCTCTATTTGTTCTTTGTTGCCGCACTACATCCCATCTTGGTCCAGACCGTTTACGATATGACCGCAAATACCACATCCTGTAGGTCTGCTTACAGCCTATGCTGAATATAGTACTGTAAATATCAGTAAGCTACCAGATTGCCCGACTTCGTGTACTGGATGTAATTCGTGAAAAGAGCACCCAGGTATGTGTCGACAAGGCTGACACCCACTCCTACACCTGAAAAGAAAACACAAGCTGCGTGATCGCCACCCACAAGTGGGTAGTGACCCCGAGCGAGTTGTGCGAGGCAAGATTTCGCAGATGCTTTCGCGGATCCTGTCCTGTTATATTGCTTCGATGACAGTCTCGCCTCTGGCATGTTCACTCTGGCACCACATGTGCAGAAAAGAGCAAGCGCTCCGATTTCTGTCCCGCTGTTCCGCCGCGTTGGGACGCTCTCCGATGCGGATTTGGAAGACACTGGCGAGGAACCTCCCGAATCGGGGTGATTCGTGATTCATCAACAGTTCGTGCGGGGATCCGACAGCGCTTATGCGCGAAGAACACTATTGAAATGATCACGGGGAGTGGTGTGTACCACACCGCACAGTAATCGATCCTGCAGGTGGCCTTTTGTGGTGTGGCCAGGAAATCCCACAACCCTGGCGTGAGCCACGTTGACCCCCAATGAGCCGCTTCAGCAGTGACAGCCAGTAAGGGCCATCTTTTGCAATCGGTGTAATCAACTGCTCACTTGGCATGCTTTCTCTCGGCCTACTTGATGGAAGTGAACACCTCTGCTCGCCCTACGGCGAGAAACTTGATGATCACTGCCCGGGCATGTGCATGATTACAAGTCTTGCCGCGTTTCACTTATGAACGCAACTGCCATCAGTCTCTCCCAAATAGCTGGCGCAATGCATTGCTATGGCTTCAATAAATCATGCACTTGAGGCATTGATTGCGGAATACGCGAGTATTTCCAAACTGGCGTTCAGAGTGAGTTATTTTCTTTGTTGAGTGTCGACAATCCGTGTCTTCGGTGAACTGATTTGACATGGTGTACACAGGTAACAGCTGGTGTCTTTTACGGGGTTGCAGTGCTCTCGGTCATTGCAAGAGGTGTGATTCGCATTACCACAAGGCACCAGCTCGCACTCGATGATTACCTCTTGTTTGTCGCGTTCGCGTTCCTCACAGCTGTGATAGGTTTGGTCTACTACCTACTTGACAGCATCTACCTCGCTACTGCTGTGGAGAGGAACCCTGCCATTTTCTTCCAATTCAGCCAAAAGCAAACGCAGCAACTTTTGAGTCAAGCCCTCAACGAGAACATCTTTTTGATTATGGCTTGGACAACTACATTCTTTGTCAAATTTTCTTTTCTTGCTTTCTTCAGACAACTGATACGGAATGTGGGGAAGATTCAACGTTACTACTGGGGAATCGTCATTTTCACATTTATCACGTGGCTGTTTCTCCTTTCAGAGGCGTTCATATTGTGCTCGGATTTTGGCATCAATGCTAGTGAGTATTCAATCCTTAGAAGGCAGCATCTTGTTGTACGCTGAGCTAAATTGATATCAGTCAAGTGTTGGTCGCCGACCAAGAACCTTCTCTATGTCTCCATGACTGGTCTCGTCACAGGATTGGATTGTCTGACGGATCTATTGAGTATGTCAACTTCCAACGCCTTTCATGTCTGCGCACACCAGTCATAACAGCATGGTCCAGTTGTTAGCATTCCTGCCATCGTCCTCTATCGCGCGAGAATGCGCACCTCTCAGAAAATCAGCCTCAGCATTTTCCTCTGCCTATCCCTCGTGATGGTCTGCCTGGCCATCATCCGAGCAAGCAAGATTCATGGAGCTGTTTCGATAGATGTTGTCTGGGTGTTTTTCTGGCAATACATGGAGACAGTCGTTGCTGTGATAATGGGCTCGCTCACCGTCGTGCGCAACCTACTTGTCCACCAGACCAAAAGCAACCATGCTTCACCTGCTGTATCTGGAGATGCTCAGGGTCGACGGGCATACCGTATGCGGCTGCTACAGAGAAAGAAGAACATGAACACCGACGATGTTACCACCCAAGGGCATCTGCCTCAGGTGCCAGGGCCTACCTTGACAGGTCTGCGCACGTTCATCAGGCGCAATCACCGTGATCCCGTGCACGACACTCAAGTTACGCAGGCATCGACGCTAGTTCCGGAGGAATCGTACCATCTGATGTCAAGCGCTGAGCGGTCCAGGACCGACCCACGGGAGCAGGTGCATGGGTGGGACGAACACGTGTACCAGGTGAGACTCATTTTTCCCCCCACAATTCCGGTACCTTCTAGATACTAACATGGTGATACAGAGTCCACCTCGAACTCAACGTCGAGGATGGGGCTCGACGCAGGGGAGCACGATGAATCAACCATCCGTAACGACGACTTGTACGACCGTCAATTGGAATGATCATGAGAACGTTGTGTAAATAATTGGGCCTTTGATCGAACCTTAAGGTAATCTGAATACCAGATAATTCCGAACGAACTATATATAAAAACGATCATGTGTGAATATGTCTCTTCCTGGCGCGGTCTGGCATGGAAATATTGGTGTAATTGTGGTTAAGAGAGATGCCCAAGAAAAATCCATAATAATGTCATCAGATGATGACGTATAGAATGTATCTCTGCTCGCGCCAGCAAAGGAATTAAAATACCAAGGGGCTGAAATTCAACAGATCGATAGACAGCTAAGTACATATGTAGAGAGCAAGTGTATAAATTAACGTTAGCTCAATAGCAAGTGAAACAAATAGTACAAGCAAGGCCTTTATTGGAACGAGGTTCGAATTGTTTGCATTTCCGTCACTGAATACATTCTCATTACTTTATGGTCTGCAGGCCACAATCCAGCCTACCATCATGTGGTATTGATGATATCCGGCGTGAACAATCCGCCTCGGCATCGTCATTTGGTGATGTGAAACCAGCGGTACCAAATTTGTACTCCAACATGATGTTATAACCGGGAAAGCATTCAAAGTTTATCATTGCGCACCCCGTCGTCCCGCCCTAAGAATGTTATATGACGGAGGAAAAAATCAATTAGAGTACATCCTTGAGGGCGATATGTAGAAGCGGTTCCGCCAGTAAGAACGAGGAATTATGCACTTAGGTATACTATGGATCAACGTCATGGCTCGCCAAGCGAGCACGAGATGGACATACCGCTTCGACGTGCTTTTGGGATGTTATGCAGATCCTCACGCTCGCATGATATTTCAACAGACTATATCCAACGAGCATCCAGCAACTGCCGTGTGCCAAATGATGTCAGACGAACTATAAAAAGCTGCTAATGGCATCCACTGCATGAACTCCCAGGGCTGTGTGTTGATCGCACGACTCAGTCACCCCTTTGTCGGGCCCGAGAATTCCTCGAGTTCCACGCCGTCTCCAAATCACGGCTTAGCTCCTGTTTCATCTTCTCTGATATAGAATATGCAGTATGAAGGCGCTACATACGTTTTATATGTATGAGCATTAGAAACGGAATTTCTATATAAGATATAACCCATAGACCCAAAAGTTATCCCAGCCTCCAAGGTGTTCAACATGATAATCTACCAGACACTTTCACTTCTCACATTACCAACAATCAAGACTCCAACCCAAACACCCCGATTCTCATCACCATGAAGCCCACGTCCTTCCTTTTCATCAGCACGCTCGTCTCGGGAGGTCTGGCTTTGACCATCCCTTTCGGAGTCTCAGGCAGCGTTCAAGCTAGAGACCAAGTCGGCAACAGAGCAGTCCAGGAGGCGGCACCGTCACAGCCTCGCGACGTGCGACCACGAGAATGCGAGGAGCCGGCAGAGCCTGAGGAGCCCAGTGAAGAAGAGCGCAGGAAGGGGGCGAAGAGGCCACCACGACCCGCTCGGCCCACCAACTGCTGAACAACGACCACAGATTGAAGCCGCTGGGAGGACTGTGTTTTGTTTAATTTTTATTCACGAAATGGGCCAAAGGGTCTGGCGTCATTAGTACCGTAGCTGCTATGCTAGAGTACTCATAAGATCAAAGCTCGATGGGGTGCCAAGAAAAGCATGTTCCAAGGCGTTCCCATAATATTGATTACTCCCCATATGTGCACCATCATAGTAGTAATAATTTACTTGTTATATTGATAAGTGGAACCGCTTCGCAGATGCACGATACAATTAGTTGCTATGACAATGGTCCATCACCCAGGAATTATGCCCCATTGACTAATAAGTAGGTACATGCCGTGGCGCACGAACATGAGCAATATGTATTCTAAGGGGCTTTAGCCACATTATATTTTTTATTCAACTGTGTATTTATCTATTTATTATCTTCTCGACTTTTAGACTAGCTATCAGCTTATACCTTAAGTATAAAGTCAATAATTACTTAATATATACCCTTAAATTTATTTATATATAGTAGAATTACTAACTTCCCTTATAAAGCTCCCTCTTTTATTATATTCCTTATATATTATATAAAAGTAGATAAATCTTTAATAATAAAATAGTATATTTAAAGGAGAAAGATTTAATTTTTAAATATTTAAACTTTTACTTTCTTTATATAATATTTATTTAATATATAGTAAATAAACTTTATTTAACTTTTAAAAAGTTTTAATCTTTTATAATTTTTATATAAAAGGCTTTTTAAATAAGTTTATTATTATAATATTATTATTTTATTAATTATATATTTAAAATAAAAATTATAATATATTTAATTTATTTAATAAAAGTAGATTTAAATAGCTATATAATAAGTATATTAATAAGGAAAAGTTAGTTTATTAGATTTTATATTATAAGATTATAACTTCTTTTTATAAAGACTATTTTAAGATTATTTTAATCTTACTATATAATTACTTTATTAACTTATTATAATAGATTAACTCTTAGGCTATTTATATTAATAATTCTAGTATAGTATTATTAAGAGTAATACCTTCTAACCTTATTTATATAATATAAAGCTTAGCTATATACCTATATATTATATTCTCTTTCCACTATTATTAATACTATATTTTTTAAAATACTAAGTTTTAAGTATTTATTACTATATAAAGGTATTATATATATTTTATATATATAGGGATTAAAAACGAAACCACCCATGCATTCCAAGGCTATAACACGATCAGTGGTGCGGGTACGAGGATTGAGATTACACCGTGAAGACGGTCATCCATACTGTGAGTGCCGATCACCAGAACTGCCCATTGCGACCCAGGTCGTTTACTTACTGATGAGCGCATGCGCCTCTTGCAAAGGAGTCACCAACATCCAGGGCGATGTGCCACCAACGGGCATCGACACAAAAGGACCAAAATCCAAGCCGATGTGCCACCAATGGGCATCAAGCATGCCTGTTGGTTCTATCCGTCTCATTGAAAGCAGGGAGGGGCGAAACACTGCTGTGCCGTATCCTGGGGTATTAGCTCCATCACTAGGCATCTGCCTGTGTTTTGTTCAGTTCGCACCGGCTCTCTTCCGATGTTGGATCTCATTTTCATGGTTGACCTTTCTTTTCTTGCCATGCAATCTTCCCTAGGCCTCCTCAGTTATTTGACCACCCATTCAAATCGTCTTCACCTCCAGGTTGTACTACAGCCAACGCACATTTGAACTCACAGCCACCAACCACATCATGTCTGTTAGTCCCGAAGCATTCCCGCCGGGCGTGGAATTCCCACCAAGGGCTGATTTGCGCAAAGATGTCTACAAGGCTTTGCCTAGAATTGCCCCAGGGACTGTTGATTCGGCTGCTATGACGGGCAACATACCTCTCACTCACACTCAGGAAGTCCTGGGCACTTTGAACGCAGCTCTGGCCAGCGGTGATACCGAGCAATTGGCCAGTTGCTTTTTCCCCGAACAGGCCTTCTGGAGAGACATCATAGCCTTCACTAGTCATCTGCGTACCTTTATCCAACCTGATGTTGTCGCTGCTGCACTTCTCCAGACGAAGGCCGCTCGGGGCATCGAAGGTGAGATCAAGGCCAGTGGCGATCCCCACTTTGTTGTCATGAGTCCTGTCATGGTGAGTTTGCGGAATGGTAAAGGTACCTTCGCCTCTGGAACTGACAAGCGATTGTTTTCTTCGTTGTAGATGTTCATCGACTGCGGTTTGTCCTTCAGCACCACTTCGCCCCAGCTTAGTTGCGCGGGGAAGATGGTCTTGTTGCCCGTCAAAGTCGATGGAGCCTTAAGTTGGAAAATCTGGATCTTGTCTACCTGGGTTGACCACATCATCCAGCATCCAGAGGATGAAACGCTGCTCTCATCTCCAGGTCGAGGAGATTTGGCCGACACCCAGACGATAGAGACTGATGTTTTCATCATTGGCGCGGGAAGCTCGTGAGTTCATCGTTTCAAGTACAAAGAGCCGTGATCAGAGATTGCTGACTATTAATAAGGGGACTGATGACAGCAGCGAGGCTCAAGGCCCTTGGTGTCGAAAGCGTGATCGCTGACCGTGACGCTCGGGTAGGTGATAGCTGGGCTCTTCGGTACGACTGTCTCAGGTTCCACGTACCAACCTCCAATTGCGAAATGCCATACTACTGTAAGCTTTCCAAAGCTTTGTCTCCAAGTTTGTCCTGAACTGACGCATTCTGCTGGACAGACTATAAAAAGGAGCTGCAAAGTCCCCACCGTCTCACCAAGTCCGACGTTGCAGAACATTTACAGCAATACTCTGAGATTTTCCACCTCAATGTCATGCTGTCTACAATAGTCAAGTCGACTACATATAATCCAGTTGATAAAAGATGGAGCTGTCAACTTGAGACCGCCGGCGGCAACGGAATCAAGACTATTATCAGCAAGCATCTGGTGCAAGCAACTGGCATCGGCTCCAGAACACCGTATCTGCCATCGATTGAGAACGAGGGCCTTTACACAGGCAATAACCTTCATTCGACCCAGTATAGTAATGCGAAGAAGTTAGCTTCACATGGTGTGAAGGTATGGGAAGACCTCAACTTGCTTCGTGATACACCTCTTCAGCTGAACCTAACTTCCTGAAAAATAGTCTGTAGCGGTCATTGGCTCTGCCAACACTGCATTCGACATTACCCAGGACTGTCACAACGTGGGTCTGAAGACGACCATGGTCGCTCGCTCTCCCACTTACGTTTTCCCATACGATTACGTTATGGACCCTCACGGCATTGGAGCATATGACAAGATGCCTCTCGAGGCTGCTGACAGAATGCTAAACACATTCCCGCTGGCCCTTGACGGACAGTTTTCGCATGGACTGTTTGCCCATCTAGCCTCTCTGGAACCGTGAGCATTATTTCTCTGCCTGCCAGCTACTCACACGACTTGCTAACACATCAGCCAGTGACCGCTATCTCGCTCTGTCCCAAGCAGGCTTCCCCGTCCTGGACAGCAGGGATCCATCTGTGGACGTCCAACATCATCTAGTCGAGCGTGGTGGTGGCCACTACATCGACGTCGGCGGCACCAAACTCGTCGCGGAGGGAAAAGTAGCCGTACGCGGCCTCGTCGAGCCGGTGGCCTACACCCCCACGGGACTCCGCCTCAGCGACGGCAGCACTCTTGACGTAGATGCAGTCATCTGGTGCACGGGTTTCGCCGACAAGGATGTCCGGTCGACGGCGGAGGCAGTCCTCGGGGTGGCAGAAGACAATGCGAACACCAAAGGTTTGCTGGGCCCGAAGGAGATTGCGGCGCGTTTGGATGCCACGTGGGGCGTCGACGATGAGGGAGAGGTCCGCGGTATGTGGAAACGCCACTTGCGTATGGACAATTACTGGGTTATTGGTGGAGTGATCCAGCATCAGCGGTGGTGGTCGCGGCCGCTGGCCCAGCAGATCAGGTTGGCGTTGGATGGTTGCTTGCCGCCTGCATATCGTGACACGCCAAGGAGTAAGTGAGGAGAAGTATAATGACCAGTTGATCGGAACATAATCGTTACATAACACTTCCTCGCCACTGAGTAGTATGAGAGTCTTCGCTTACTCACTTGAAAACAAAGATAGTCGTACCAGCCGTTTCCAATAAACGTTTGTTGATTCATTTCCTTCCAAGACATCCAATGTAATATAAGATAGCACTGAAGTATTTAGCCACTATTCTAACTACAATCGAGGTCCGGACCCAGGCGGACCAAGCCAGAGCGTAGTAGTAATGCTGGCAACAGCTGCTGTGACTGATAAACTCCAGGTCATGGTCGGCCAGTCGCTGGCGTCTCTTATCAGGCCTGCAATTATGGGGCCCAAGAGGCAACCTCCAGCGAAAGCAACGTCGAACAGACTGTATGTCTGCGCGTATGCCCCCTTCTTTCCAAATAAACCAGGCCTTTCGCGCTCTATGTCCCGGAGGGCAAACGTTCACTCCACCAAAACAGGGGTCATGATGCCATACACCACCAACCTAAGCCCAAACAGCAAGATGCACAGCACCACAATCTAGAAGGTTGAGTAAAGTAATGTATATAGAATTTCCTTTAAATCTTATATTTCTTTAAGTAAAACTTAGAATATATGTATATTAAAGTAATAATTATAGTAATAATAGTGAACCTATAATATTAATAAGTGGAACCGCTTTACAGATAGACGATATAGTTAGCTGCTATAACCATGGTCCACCACTGTCAGGGGGTTCCGAAATAAGTAAGGGGGTGCATTGGTTTCTTGTTCTGTCTAAGTTCCTGTCTGGTAGGCCAGAGGCCGAGAATTCCTTAAGAGTACTCTGAGGGGGCCCGTGCACCGTCCCGTCACCGTTCCTTCCTGACAACCACCGAGGAATTACGCCCCATTGACTAAATGATGGGCTGAGGCTACGAGCTGTGCCCATGGTTGAGCTGATATTTCAATCAACAATATAGGTAGGACTGAGCCGTGTTCCAGCACATACGGCCATAGACAGTGGAAAATACGGGATCCCGTCCGCTCTCCCATAGTCAAGCCACTGATCGCTGGATTAGTAGTTGGGTCGGTGACGACCAGCGAATACCCGGTGCTGTATGTTTTTTCGCAATTCTATTTCATACTTTTTGCTACTGTGTAAAGGGACCGTATGCCTTCGGGATGTGATGTATCCGGATTCAGAACCAAGTCACTAAAGGCAAGTTGGGGGGCGGGCAGGAGAGGGGGATATCGGATGAAGGACACCTCATCATGTGAGGCTCTCCTCGGAGGCGTCAATCAGAGCTCCACTTCTCGAGATACCGAACTGTGATATGATATTACGGAGCTCAAAAAGAAAAAATACTATGATCAAGGCCACAGGGAGTCATACATAAACAACCAGTCGTCCCAGTAGCGATCATACCGGCCAACAAGCCAGCTCCGCCCGTCCCCCTGCGCATCGCCGACCCTCCAGGGCCGGGTGAGCAAGCCCCTTGAGCCGCCGCCCTGGCCGTCCGCGCCCGCGCCCGCGTCCGCGCCAAGGTGCCTCTTGAGCGCCACGTTCATGCTGAAGGAGCTGGGGCTGACGCCGAGGAAGAAGCCGCACCGCAGCAGCACCACGAAGTCGACGAGCGCCTGCTGGTCCCAGCTGAGGGCGTCCAGCTGGCGCGCCAGCAGGGGGAGCTGCCCGAGGAGCTCGTGCTTGGTGACGACGCGCAGGCCCTGCTGCGACTCGGCCTGCGCCGCCAGCCTCGCCGCCTCGGTCGCGTTCCCCGTCGCGAGGTACGCGTGCCTGGGCGGCGGCGGGTCGAGGCCGGCCACCCGGGCGAGGTACGCGGCCGTCTGGTTGGCGAATGAGGGCCATGCGCCCAGCGCGTCGCTCTCGGTGCGCAGGTGTATCCCCACGAAGGAGCCGCGGCGCCCGTCTCTGTTGTCGTTCTTGTTGTTATTGTTGTCCGGCGAGGAGGATGCCAGCGCCAGCGCCTGCATCGCGTCCGCCGTCTTCATCCCCAGCGAGAGGATGTCAGCCCGGAACCGCAGCAGGCCCCCATAGGACGCCGCGAATTCCGGCCCGTCCTGGAGGACGGGCCAGTTCCACTGCACGCCCCAGTTCATCCTCACCAGCCTGGGCTTCGGGATGGTGCCCGCGAGTCCGGCCAGGCGCTGCTGCCCCTCCTGCTGCGGGTTTGACCCCCCCTCCTGGCTCTGGCTCTCGTCCTTGTCCCTGAGGAAGGCGTGGAACCGTTCCCCGAACAGGGCGCTGTGGCGGTTCAGGTCGCGCATGTCACATCCTCCCCTCAGGCCAAAGTGGTTTGGCGTGATCTGTTCGGGCGCTTCTGCCACGCGCTGCCTCCCCCCTCCCGGCTCCTCGATGTCCAGGCCAAGACCAGGCAGGTCGGCGAGGTCGTCCCTGTAGATGGTGATCTGGGGGCAGGCCTCGGCGAGCCCGCGGCGGAAGTGGGCCTCGTCGAAGAAGTAGGAGAACGGCAGCTTGTCGCCGACAAACAGGTCGTCCAACTTGTCCGCGCTGCGTGACTGGATGGTGGGCAGCGCAAGACCCGTGGCGCCGGCCTCGATGGCATAGCGCAGGCAGGTCAGGATGAAGTTGCGGATGTTGCCGATGCCGCCCGAGTTGTTGTCGCATATGAAGACCAGGCCCGGGGTCCACCTCTTGTTCTCGCCGCACACGCGGGCCAAGGGCCAGGCGACAAAGGGGGCATCCGGGGCCGACAGGTCGAGGTCGCTGCTGCTGCTGTTGCTGTTGCTTTGACGTTGGTAACCTAAAGCGCTGGCGCAAGGGATGACGGATTTAGGCGAGTTGGGGCATTGGTCAAAGATGCACAGGCGGGGGAGGCGGTAGGTCCAGATGGTGACGAGGCTGATGGCGCAGACCAGCATGAGGGCCCTGCCTTGCCGTGGGAGCGACGCGAACATGGCTGGGACGAGGCCGGCGCGGTGACACAAAAAGAGCGCCGTCGTCTCTATGGCATTAGCCACATCAACGCCACTTCGCGACTTGTTTCTCGTGGTTGGTGCCGGGCCCGGGTCTGTCTTTCATAAATCTCATATGTTGTACGCTTCGGGAGGGACGACGGCTTGGTCGGCCGACCTAGCACACGGTGAGCATTTCCATTTGTTGTGCAGACTCATCGAGACCGTCAACAGATGGGACATCGCACGAGGGCCAGTCCATCTTCTTGTGCTGCTGCTGCACCCTGCCAAACCCCTCTCAATCTATCCCACTACTCCCTGCTCTTCCGAGCTTGGAACCAGCAGCACGGAACGTGGGCTCCGTGACGTCTCGAACCGGCACAAAGCCCCCATTCGCCGCACAGCTTAATCATGCCATCCCACGTGATTTCTCGGTCGGTCAGTATCTCGCCAAATATTCAAGTACTCCGTACTGCGGCATGTGTTCGGTGCCCGCAGTCAAGCCTCTTGGAGGTCGAGGTCTCCCACGGGTGGTCGCCAGGCTGTCAGTTCGTGATTCAGATTCATTTGCCAATATGCATTCGTTACAAGTCTATGAGGTATCCGAAAGGCTGCTGTTCATGCAGCAAAAAACTCTAAATCAAGAACTCCGAAACCTTGGGTCATGACATCCAGCATCATACAAAGATGCAATTCTCCGCCCTGAATGCATCGCGAAAGTGTGCGCTCAAAATAGCGAGCCTAGTATTAATTATGTCGCCCCGATGGCCTTGTCTGTGGCCAGATCCTGCTTCACCGGATGGATCAGCGCACCTCTCAAACACATGCGCCCGGACTCCTTCTCGGCCTCGGGCCCACCGGCGCCACCGGACTCACGGCCCAGCCATCGGTGCCACAGTGGTGGGCCAAACTCGGTGTTGTAGTAGTAGCTGGCGGTCAGGAAGTTGGCCTCGCCGGTGCCGGGGGTGAAGGGGAAGTAGTACACGCTCGTCTCTGGCGTCTCTGCCTTGTTGAACACCGAGTCGAGCCTGTCCAGTGGCCAGCGGCGGTCAAAGTAGACGGGGTGCGGGATGTAGACGGCCTTGAGGCCGTGGTGCAGCGCGATGGACCCCGGGAACATCTCGGGGAACATGGTGTGCTTGTTGCGGGAGGATTCCTCGTGCATGGCCTGCAGCAGCCGGCGCGAGAAGCGGCCGATGGTGATGATGGACGTGCGGCGGGGCGGGACCGACTTGTTGTAGCCGGTGATGTCGTAGCGCAGGCACCAGGCGTTCTTCTCGGGGTCGAAGAGCGGGTTGAGGGTGATGAGGTCGGCGGGCTCGCCCACGCCCCACTCGTAGTTGTCCTTGTCCATGGGGTGGGGTGGGAAGGTGGACGTGTCCACGACGCCGTCGTTGAAGATGGGGCCCCAGGGGCTCGGGAAGTTGCTGGCCTTGGTCTCGGCCTCGACGTGCTTGACGAAATCCTCCCAGCTCCCGTGCAGGCCGGGGATCCAGTACCTCTCGTTGCGCTCCCACAGGTACTTGCGCGGCTGCTTGTCAGACCACTTGGCAGCAGCGTCAAAGAACTCAAAGTAGTTGCCCGTGTAGCGCAGGTCCGTCTCCCAGTTCCAGAAGAAGTCGTACTCGGGGTGGTGCTGGGCGAACCACTGGAGGGCAAAGTGAGGGATGCGGTAGACACTGTAGAGCGGCTTGCCGCTGTCGTTCTCGATGGTCATGTCCTCGGTGAAGCCAGGGTAGTACTCGGTCATTGCAGGGACGGACCAGGGGGTGGTGATGTCCCAGAACTCCTCGGGGATGTTCTCCTGGACCATCTTGCGCGCGGTCTCGGGGTTGGAGATGTCGATCGAGTCATCGGTGACGTGCATCAGGATGTGGACATCGTACTGGCCGCCCGTCTTGAGGGACAACTCGGTGATGAGGGACCTGGTGGTGATGATGCGCATGGGCGACCACTCGATGCCTGTCCAGGCGCGCAGGATAAGGGCATTCCGGGACAGCGACTTCTTGCCAGCAATCTTCTCGGCCTGGGACCACAGCCTCGACAGGGCGCCGTCTGGCTTGTTCAGGGCGTCCTTGTCCAGCCCGAAACGCTCTCTGTTCTTCTCGAGACATCTCTTCTGCACCTGGTCCCACTTGATGTTGGCGTAGTTGATCCTGGGTATCATCTTGTCCAGCGCTGGCTCGTCTGATGGGACAGACTCGAGCTCGAAACCGCCCTCTGACTTTGGGTATGAATAACCATAGGGGCCGAGCCTGCCAAAGCGCTCAAAGCACTGGTTTGGGGCCAGACCAAGCTCTTCATAGCCGCCAAAGTAGGGCGCGGGCATGCTGGCAGGGATGCCAGGGTAGGAGACGGTGTCGGGAGCTGGGACGGTATCCAGCTCGTCAAGGAAGCAGGTCTGGACGCCATCGAGATGGGCGTAGGGGTTCGCGACGGTGGGCTGTAGGGGGTTCTTGTCGGCGACCTTGAGGTTGAGGGAATCCTGAAGCTGTTCGGGAACCCATCGCTTGTAGTCGACGAGAGTACGGACGCCGTGGAAGAAGCCTTGGAGGCTGGTGGCAGGTCATGACAGATTTAGTATGTTGCCAGGCGCCTTCGGACAGGTCAATTGGGGGGAGGGAGGGGAGAACTCACGGTTGGTAGTCGTTCCAGTGGTAGGGGACCTGCTGGAAAGGCGTCTGGTGCTCGACCTTTTCGGCGTCTGGCGGTCTTGGGATGGTAGGGTCTGTGGAGGACTGGTCTTGTACGGGGGCGGGGGGTGGTTTTGCCCACTCGTCATGGGTTTGTGATATCGGGACGGCCCATAGTCGTCTGCTGTAGAGGAAGAGGCAGACTGTGAGGACGACAGATATGATGAGGAGCTGCCTGAGGGAGGACGGATGCATGTTCCTACACGCCTTCGCGAGCCAGGGCGGCAGAGGCCGGGAGGAGGGGGGAGGGGGCGAGACGTGTCGGACGGGCTCTGGGTTGTCGTGTTGGCCTGGTAAAGAGAGGTTGGGTATCTTTGATGAGCGGCGTCGGTGGTGGGTGTGGATGTTTTTGTTGTCGTCGAAGGGCAAGACGTCGCCTTCTCTCATGGCGGCGGCGGCGGCGGCGGCAGCAGCAGCAGCAGCAGCAGAGAAATGGCTGACGTTAATCTGACCCCGTCGGTCCTGGTCGGATCCGCCGCCAGCAGTGTGGCGTCCGTCTCCTTTCCGGGACCAAACCGGTCACGTAAGTGTGTTCTCCAGGGCTTCTTTTTCTTGTTCTTCCAGAGCTGACTCCACGTGTGCGGGTCCACCTGTTCCAGCCACGGGAGATGGCCCCACTGTAATGGTCTTGGTTGATCTCGCTTGAGGGGCGAGCTAATCGGGTCGGTGGAGCTGCCCGCAGGAATGCTGGACCTTGGCCGTCGGTCGACTCGTCGGGGGGTCGGCAGCTGCAGCTGACACGGTGTCCTGCCCTTCGATGGGGATCGGGGGCTGGAAAAGAACGATTAGATAGAAGAAGAAGGAGAAGAAGGAGAAGAAGAAGGAGAAGAAGAAGAAGAGAAAAAAAAAAGTACTGTGTAGACAGACGAGACAGACGAGCCTGACGAGACGAGACAAGCTGGCCCGACAAAGAAGCACGCAACACAGACGACGCCTTGGCAGAGCACCACTTTTGTTGAAACGAGTGGACTGGGGCGAGTGCCACTGAGGAGATGTCCCAGTTCCCAGTACTACAACAGGCAAACGATCGCCTGTCGTATATGTCAGTTGTTTATCGCTAATTTGGAGGTGGCAGTGGTGGAATCTGGCTGGCCGGCTGCCCGAATTGACCAGTCTAATCCTTGCTGCACTGCGACAGGAAGAGAAGGAACGGCACCAAAAAAGAAAAGGGGAGGCCTGCGGTTGGCCAGGTGCCTGCCCAGGTGGGTACTAACCTGCCGGGTACTGGGTAGCTTGGCAGCTATGCCATGCAGTCTGGCCCTCCTGGCCCTGCAGCCTGCAGTCTGCAGTCTGCAGGTGGTTACCACATACAGTACCTGAGTACGTGAACGCATCCCCTAAACAACTGCCCCATTTATCTCAAATGTTCAGATGCCCCTTTCCCAAGCGTTTTTTAGTGTGGCGGAAGGTGGCGTTACTAACAAATATTGGGGAAATTTAAAGGAAATATAATTAGCTAAAACTTTACTTATTAAAATAGGTATTTAAACACTTAGAAAGGATATCTAAAACTAAAACATAGAAAATCCAGATTAAAAGGACTAGTTTATATAATAATAAAAAGTACCCTCCTTTAACACTCCTTAATCCCAACACCTTTCTAATTAGTAATCTATATAGAAATAATATATTAATAAAGAAAATTAGTAAAAGCTTTTTTTTAAAGTTTTTTTATTCCTAAAGCCCTTTATTTAATTAAATATAATATACCTAATCGAAAAAACAATTAAAGGGATTTAAATCACCTTTCTAATTACTTATATCGCCTTACCTAAATTCCCTTAAAAATAGAGTGTAACCTAATAGAAGTTAATAAAAATTATCATTTAAAGTTAAGAAGGGTACTTACTTAGAAAAAGAAAAGTTATTAAGGGAGAAATTCAAGTTTAGGGTTAGTTAAGGAAATAGGTGTCCCTTTATCCTTATAAGGGGTGCATTTTGGTTATAAACCTCTATATGTTAAAAGCTAATCTCTTCTCTCTAGTCACACCTTAAGTAAGTAGTAGCCATGAATTAAGCGCAGCTTTCCCAGTATGGATCTGTATGTTAGAGATAATGCCCCATCCCCTATAGCTCAGGCCGAGCGTCTGCCGTCCAGCCCGTCAACCCGTCCTGACAAAATGAGTGGCAGCGCCGCACATGCATCCCCTGACAGGGGTTGTCCAAAATGGCCCAGCCGTCGTACAACCCTGACACTGCTACCACTCAACTCCACCTTCAACCCAGACACTGAATGAAGCCTTTGACAATGAACCACAATTCTCGACAAATATGAGGAGCAAATCTAAACATCTACACATTGCCCGAAACTAACCCCCAAGGCTCGACAAGATTGCCAATGCATCAGTGACATCAACAAGCAATGATTGCGACAATGCGCTGCATCACTTGTCTCTGTTCCCTACCTTTCGTGTCACAAATGACTCGGATTACTTGAGAACCTAATCAAACTTGGCCACCATCTATCCGTCTATCACTGAGTATGGTGGACTAGGGCAGACATGGTCCACTACACAACTTTACCCAGGTAGTCGCTTTGGCCTTGAATCGCAGTCTATTCAAGCCCAACCTTGGGCTACTTGGGGCTACTTGTGTCGACGATTCTAGTCAGCGCCGCCGTCAGGAGCCGTGCCTCCTAGCTCCTAAGTTTGTATGTGCGACACGAGGTTGAGGTCATGTACGTGCCCACAGACGTATTGCATTCCCTCTGTACTGTTGTTATTGGCATTGTGTGCTGGGTCTTGGGTGTTTGCTGTATGAAGGCGCCATATATATTTTATGTGTATGGGGACTAGAAACGAAACCCCTTTAAAGCCCAACTCCCTATCGGCACTACATCAACCAACTCATCAACGTACCCTTTGTTATTCAAAAGACATGAAATGAAAAGAAAGGGGGCGGGCGATAGTAGTTGCGGTTCTCAACTATTACACACCTCATGACTAGGTTTATATGACTTCTTAAACCTAGGTTAAGCAATCATTTTGACGCGCGAGCCTCGAGTTGGACCCGACTGGACACCAAGGCAGGCTACTCAACAACCAATATGGTCGATGGCGCTCGATCTCCAGGGTCTAGAGAGGGAAAGTCAGTAGGAGAGGCTTGGCTGGTTTGAAGACCGGTATGAGGCTGGATAACACGCCAATTGGAAGAGTCTCTCCGCCCATGGATTCAACGCCCAGTGTCTTCATGTTGCTTGCTCTCACGTCTTCAATTGCAGTTCCGGCACAGTCTTTTGTTATTCAATATTGCAATAATGTGCTGGGCGGTAGGTTGGTATGTTCCCACCCGTGATATTCCGGGTCGCGGGCTGTTTCTCTCCTGACTGTCGTTGTCACCATTATCCCGCTATGCTCCACCTCCATCACATCACCAGACGGCATCAGCGCCTTTGGAAGCACCTCGACCACGCTAGTCGTGCCAATCTGCCGTCTTGCCATCTCCTGCTGGCTGCTCTCTCCCACCGGGAATGCCTGGATCTTCTCGATCCACGACACCCGCTCACCAGGCGTCGGCCCCAGAGGCCCCAGGCCCCCGTTCAGCGGCACCGGCTGTCCTGGGTGCGGGTCCAGTGGCGCCAAGAGCTCGTGGGATCCAGTCCCATCGCTGGGCGCCGCGCTTCTATTATTCGACACGTTGCTACTTTGCCTCGTGCGGCTTGACGGCTTGTCCTGGTGGCGCTTTGCCTTGCTCAGTGCCCTGGCAAGGATGAAGAAGGATGGCAAGGTCGAATATAGCACGATGGCGTCCGCCTCGGCTACCGACCACAAAAGTGGCGCTGGGTAATCGTCTCGAGTCGGCTGTCAATACAATACAAGTACCCAAAACTATACCTAGGTATATGGATAGTATGGCTCGGGATCTTACATGTAATGTCGTTACTTATGTTGACAACAACTGCTGCGCGCCCCACCGTTGTTACCAAGACCCTGGCCACAGACAGTCAGTCAGCTTCGCTCAGCCTTGGGCTTGTTGGTCGCCTGTTTCTGGGGCTCCTGGGTCGCAACTAACAAGCTAATGCCGACCAGACTCAGGAACGGGCCAATCTTCTCCGACAGTGACATGCCTCGTGCGTTCCAGATTCCTAAAGCCGGCTGCAGAACCAATACGAGATCGAAAATCAGGTTCAACGTGAACCCGGTAAACCACATCGGCCGCATTTCGAAGCAGATCCCATCGAGTTTCACAATAGCCATGGCCATGCGCGGCTGACATGAGAACAGACTGACAAGCGTCTCTTCAACTCCCTGTACGATAAGTAGTGAGACAAGTGCTCTCTTGAGGAATAGTCGCGGCTGGCTCTTGTTGCTGTCGAGAACTCGGAGATAATGATCCATGATGGCCGCCTTCGCGAGGATCATACTCATGCTGTAGCATATGCCCGCTGTTATCGAAACCTGTCATTGCCATTAGCCACCGTCATGTGAGGCACACGGCCGGGGCTCCTTCTTGCCTTGATGAAGGCGGACAGATGTTCCGGCTCAACATCGCCCAGGTGCCTTCCCAGGCCCAGGACGGTCACTTTGTTACATCGTCAACCACATGCTCATCATGGATCGCCAGCCAAGACGACAGGAGATATCGACGGTACTCACGGAGAGACGTGCTCACGTTGAGCACGAGGGCGAACATCTGCAAGGTCAATTCATGTTCTCGACATCATAGGGGAGGACATCCGGAGTACTGCGTACAAAACTCGTGATTATGAGGCCTGCAATGGTAAGAGTCGTCAGCAGTTTGCGACCAGTAGGTTTTGAAATACATCTGTCGATGGCAAGTCACACAAGATCCGAGTGCCCATGACGATCATATCGCTACTCATTGTGCTCCATCAAGATATCTCTGTGGGTCATATGTATGGAACGTTCGCCCATGATCTGATAATGTTAAAGTGTCCAAGTTGGTGGGGCTGTGGTGCATGTTTCACTTTGTTTGCTTACCATCCTCCAGCTCAAAAGCCCTGGTGACGGCTGCCTTCACCCCGATCCTCGCGACGAGGATCAGGCCCGTTACTGTGAGCAGGCATATCGGTGTGACGAATACCGCCGAGATCATTTTTTGGTTAACATCCTCCATCCGGGCTCTTCAGGCGGCGTGCATGGCGACGAGTGCTGTGGCTCTCGCCAGGCCAGAAAATAGTGCTTGGGGGCAGGTAGGAGGGAGAAGAGAAACTACACAGGTGGGGACATCGCAAAGAAACGCCGTGAGAAGATCGGATAATGCTGGTGGGCATCGGGCACCGGGCACCGCTGTTCTCTTTTCAATGTCAGCAGCCCACTGTTGCACTTTGGCCGGGCTAGAACAAACTCTTTTTTTTGGCGCGGTAACATTCGTCACAACGACTAAATATCGACTTTTAGGATTTCCGCCCTGATACCCATCCCCAATCAGCACACAAGGCCGTACAATTAGAGTTTACGCGACTCAGACACACCTCATGCCAGCACTAGGAACAGGCCGGTTTCAGCTAAAGTCTACCCGGGCTTATCCACGCCTTCTCGCCGTTGTCGAGGACTTGGGCCGTCATTATTTGCTCGGGAGCTTCCGAGCCCTGAGTAGCAGCAGCCAGCCCACCGCCATGGGAGTTTCCTCGGCGGGGTTTGCTCTATTCTGGTCCATGACCGTCCGTGATCGATCGTGCGGGCCCAATCTGCATCGGGGTTTGGCGAGATGATACTCTCAGCTCCAACAGAAGCCCGATCTACGGTCTTCTGTCCGTGTGTGGGATTGGCAGGAAACTTGCAGGACTCGTGCGATCAGGGCCCGAACCCCATATGCCCAATTTTCGGAATAGCGAACCACGCTCAGCCCTATCCGTCCCGCGAAACTACCGTTAAGTTGTTCAACATGTCACAATTTAACGTCACATGTCCAATATGATATCCAGGAAATGAAGCCAGATCGATTCCGATCGGGTAGCTGTCATCGAACCATCTGTGGCTCTCACTCATGTATAATGTCTGGCTTGTCAACCTACCCAGGCTCTTTGATAGCAAACCCCGTCTTACACCTCGAGCACAGACAGACAGACAGACAGGTACCTAGGTAAAGCTGAACCACGGACCTCCTCGAGCCGTGTCAGTGTGGCGGCCCCAGAGAAGATCACTCATCGCCCGGGCCTACCATGGCACTTCCGAACCGTCGAAGGTATAGAACCTTCCATTATCTTCGGACTTCGCGCCGTGCAGGACTTTTAACACGCCAGAGATACTCTCCTCCGGCTCCAGCACCGCGCCATCCCCGCCCATCCGCGTCTTGACCCACCCGGGGTCCACCGCCAGCACCACGGCGCCGGGCAGCCCCGCCGTCCGCAGCTCCTCGGCCTGGTGCACCGTGAGCATGTTGACCCCTGCCTTGGAGATGCTGTAGGGCAGGCACTTGCGGGGCGATATCCCCTCGGACCTGCTCAGGCTCCCGAGCCCGGACGTCATGTTGAGGACCCGCACGCCGGGGCTCAGCAGCCCGCTGCCCACGAGCAGCTGCGTCGTCCTCGCGGGCCCGAAGACGTTGACCTGCAGGTTGGTGTGGAGCGCGTCTGCGGTCACCGACAGGCTGGTCTGCTCCGAGTGGGCGTTCACGCCTGCCACGTGCAGGAGGAAGTCGATCTTGCGGCCGCCTAGGATCGAGGCCGCTTCAGGCGCGAAGGAAGCAATGGAGTCCGGGTCGCTGGTGTCGCAAACCAGGATATGGGTCGAGGGTGAGGCTGCGGATTTGAGGTCGCCTAGGTCCGCGGAATTATTACGGACCGTCGCTATGATAGTGTTGGAACTTGTCGCAGCGATCTGCCGTACGAATTCCAGGCCAAGGCCACGATTGGTGCCGGTGATGCAGTACACTTTACCGCTCATTGTGACGTTATTGCGGTGGCGTGGGCTAGTTGGAGGGTGGGCAGATCTATGACCTGTGCGTTCCAAGGTTCTCGCGATGTGAGGGTGAGTATTGGTAGCGCATCTATCTGACTTGACAACGAGCGCCTGGGCTTTTATGCGTGCCAGGACGCACATTAAACTACGGTCGGTCTATGATTCATAGTACGCCTCCTATAGTGCTGTTCTGGATTTGCAAGGTCGATGCGGTCTGAGACAGAGCAAATACTACGTGATGCTGTGATCGACCAGGCTCATTTAACCGGCAGGACGGGCCGTCCAGACCGCTCACACCTTAAAAGGTACACCATTTGACGCTGCTCTTCCTCTTCTTACTGAAGCCACAAGAAAGCGCTGACTGAGAGACGGAAGGCCTGAGTCACACCGCGAAAGCACTTACACATAATTAGTCCTTCACAGCGTCAAACCACCTAGTAAGCTCACCTCTTCTTGGAAAGATCGGGCTTGGGTGGCTGTGCGACCGCCTCTCTTGATGTGTCCCTAGACACTTTCAATCGGTCCTGAAGTCTTGAGTACATGCTCCTTTATCCCATTATTGTCCAAAGTCGACCTCAGGACAAGAACCAATTCTGAATCTGACAGAAGGCATGTCTCAATGCATAAATGCCTCGAAATTCCAAGTCGTGTCTAACACTGTCTCCTGCTCCTTTGTTCTCGCGTCCTAGCCGCCACTTACAGGATCAGATGTCCTGCCACTTGCTCAAACTGAAAGTCCCATCCTCCAGATCATCCCTCGGACCAACCCATTTGAACGTCACACCGGGGGCCACCTGCCACGTACCGTCGGGCTTGTCCAGCCGCAACTCAAGGTGCCACTCACCGTAGTCCTTCCCCTCATATTCCTCCAGCCTCCGCCTTGGCCCAGCTCCCTCAACCTCGCAGGCCATACCCCTGACCACGTCGTCCCTTCGTCCGTGTAGCAGCACCGGGAAAGGACCCCAGAGCTTGGTCGTGTAGCCGACCACGTGGGCCGGCCTCATCCGGGGCACGGTCCGCAGGCCGGTCACAAGCTGGAGGGTAGCTGGATCCATGAGGGTGCCGTAGAAGAAGTACAGGGCCTTGCCCTCGCCGTCTGTGGGATCTTGCGGCTGTTCCTGGCCTTCAGATTCTTGAGAGACTGTGGCGGTGGCAGCGTGTCTGCCGATGCTGAAGGCTTCCTCTACCAAGGGCTCTTCTACTATCATTGATTCCGGTAATGGTTGCAAGACGACATCGTTTCGTTCCGCATACAATTCTGGGGCAACCAGATCCTCGATCCTCTGCCGCAACTTGTCCTCCCAGATGCCGATGTGGCCAGCGACGGTACGTTGGAGAGAGCAAAGCTCTTTTTGCACCTTCTCGTCCGACATGATCGATGCCAGATCCACGTTGTCCTTGTGCAAGGATTCTGCAGTGCTCTTGATATCGAGCTCGATTTTCTTTCGCAGAAGTCGACTGATGCTCTCAAGTATGTCGTTCTGCGTCTCAGTCTTTAACGGTGCCTCGACGGTCGGAGATCCAGTGGCATCTTCGGAGTCAGCCATGGTGATGGGGTTAGAGGGGCCAGGAAGTGAGTTGAGCCGCAGGCTCGGCATTTCAAAATATGTGCTTAAAACTTGAGGTAAGAACCCGCGGAATTCTTGGGTTGTTAGGTGACAGGCGAGACAGTCCGGTATGGGCGAGGATGCGGCGCTGGTAGGCCAGTGTGGGATGTGACCACTCATTATTTTTGTCCACACCCCCAAAGCTGACCTTGAGGATGTTGGGAATTCTTGGGGGTTAGGGGTGCACAACCCATACATGCCTAGGTATGTAGGATCACAACTCCAAGATAGACGGCAACGAAAATCATTCCATGTGAGTGGGCATAGGAAGAAGGGAGCAGGGCGACGGGTTTAAGGACCGGGTTCTCACCGACGATATCACATCACAAGGTGATGAGAATGCAATGCGTATGACAATGGCCCCGTCATTCTACTCCCCTTTGTGCCTACCTAGGTAGCTGCTCAAACCTTTTATAGACATGATCGAAATTGTCTCACCAATCCTGATGGCAACTCCATCAAGTCAGATATTTGGGGCTCATGATGATGATACGAGAGCAATGTTGTCGTCAAATTTCCGAAAAGTACTATTTGCATTATTGACAGACTTTAGTTTCTTCTCCCGAAGGTAGTACAGTCCTTATTCTGACACTCCTAGGGCTTCGCAACATTTCTCAATGCTGATTGCCTGCTGCTCTTCGTACAAATCCATCTCGTTGATCAACCCCTGTTCACCTAGCACTTCCCTCAGTTGCTTTCTCGATTCGGATAGCGCCTCCTGGGGCGAACCCTCAACCTTTACTGCCGAGTCGTGGTGCAAATTACTCTGAAAGATACCAGCCGCTGACATCGGTAGGAAATCTTCATATTGGATCGGCTGCCAACTGACCAGGCCATCATCGAGAGCTTGTTGCAGGGTCCGGGCACTGCTGGACTTCCCCTGTTGGATTCCCTTCTCTGTGAGACTGTACTCGGCCCATATCAGCCCTGTACGTCTCAGTGCCTCCCAGTCATCTAGTAGCGCCTTGTCGAACAAGGTTCTGAACGTGGGCTCTTTGTCACACACGAGGAGCTTCGACCGTGTTGCCTCAGAAATGACCCCGTCATAGAGCTTTCTCCCTTTGGGAGTTAGGGCAGCACCCCTTTGCTCAATCTCCCCAAAGCGCGCACTGTGGTTGCCTTTCATGCCCTTTTCTGCTGTCATCTGGTCGAACACGATACCTTCGTCAACTGCCAAGAAACTTGTTTGCCTTAGCAGAACATTGCAAGCACGCTCTGGTGGTCCCTCCACACGGTCCTTTGGTTCCAGGCCGACTTCTGGCATACCGCGCTGAACAGCATCAATATTCTTCGTCGCGGGGGTGAGGTGATTCAGATGCGGGTTACGGAAGGCCATGATATCAATCAGTAAATCGCCGTTTTTATCAGCCTTAAGTGTATCGTAATCTTGCTTCGTCAAAGCCACCTGATTCCTCCAGGCAAGCGTTTCACAGCCGCCCTGGATGAACTCATCCGCCTCAGATGCAGTCAGTCCACCTTTTGAGGCGGCAAGGTCAGCAAGGTCGATCGTCCTCTGGCTGAAGACCGAAGAACGCTGGCTAAGGAGGGACTTGGCGAGCGGTTGTAATGACTTTGTGAGAAGCTCCGGCCGCAATACCGACACAAATAGACGGAAAGGTGCCGTTTGGAGGCCTTCCTGAGTGATGGGTCTGAAGGCTGTGGCATGAATTGGCAGACCGGCCCCCGACAGGTCATAGTGACCGACAGAAACCATGCCCAGCACCTTGAAGAATTTGGTGGCCACACTCAATTCAGATAGTGAGGCGAGGCGAACTGCACCATGTCGCGGTATATCCGAGAGGGGAATGTTCGCCGCGCAGCTGTTGTTGACTCTGTCTACCAACGTCTGCAGTGTTGCATACTGTGGTACTTCCTGCCGGTACATCTGCGATAGTGCTTTTGCGAAGTTAAGCCGCAGCTGAGAGGGAGGTATTAATGAGTTCATGGCAGCAACAGATGAAGTGTAGAAAGGAATTATTGAGAAATGTTCCGGTTAACAACCGTCTGTGTAGGGCCGGACCCTGTCGTGGAATGTCAGCAAACTGCCTTCTAGGTGTAATACAGTTGATGTGCATCGATGACCAAACTTACAATTGTTGGATGATGGATCCCCCTTCTCTTTCTGATCAGTGATCTGATGGCGAGGTGTAACGGTGTAGGCGTCGCCGTAATCTTTCGAGGGGCTGGCGCGACGGAGGAAGCTCACATGTGAGGCAATGTGAAGTATCTCAGGAATCGTGTGTGGGACTCATGTCCTTTTCCGCTTATGTTCCTCTACCCGGGCTACTAAAGTGATGAATGAGGGGCCTAATACCTGCCAGCACTTACACCGAGGAAGGAAAGTAAACGAGAGGTCCTACATCCGAAGGCCAGCTTCCGCAGTCCCGATCCGCTTCCGTCCATGGCAGCTCCCCGCGCACATCTCCGACGCTGGCCGATAACCAACCGGGTCAATACCCAGGTGACCCAGCTCCAGATATTCTTCACGAGAAAGCTCGAGCATCCTCTCCCGCAAACGTTCGGCGTTGTTGCCTCCCATGATGCAACACTGCTGCAGCTGAGTGGGAACGGGGACATTGTCCGGGCGTCCCGCTTTCAGGAATGCCGGTTGTAACCGCAGCAGAACCTGTGCACCAAGCCAGCATTCCATGGCTTGTACCTGGAAAAGCTACACATGTGCTCTTTTCTTCTTCACCTTGGTCCATACGTCTCAACTTGGGAGCAGCCCTCAAAACCCTCACTCGCTGGGTTCATCCTTGCGGTCTACATAGCTCCCTCTGACTAGAGAAAAGTTATTTCCTATATAGTTTACCATTCCCTTGTTTAGAGCACATACGGCCATAGATAGTGGAAAATACGGGATCCCGTCCGCTCTCCCATAGTCAAGCCACTAATCGCTGGATTAGTAGTTGGGTCGGTGACGACCAGCGAATACCCGGTGCTGTATGTCTTTTCCATTTTTGGCTCCTTTTTGCAAAGTACATCGAACATGCCAAACAAATTGCTGGATTAGTTATCGTCGCCGTAGTCATCGTCGCCGTTTTGCGCCCCCCCGGCCCCGGAGTACGGCCGGCCGGCCGGCCGCGCCAAGCCCAGCATCCGGGGCCTGACTACCTAGGTATCGTTTCCCTACTGTATATTCCAACCCGCCCTCCAGTGTTCGCAATGCCCGCCTGGTCAGACTGAGTACTCCAATGCTATAGATATGCCCTTATTTAAACGCTTGGTTTTGAGTATTTACCATTGTATGAAGGCGTCACACGCATTCTATACGTATGGGGGATTAGAAGCAAAACCACCTGGAACCGGTGGCATAGAAGAAGTGAAAATTCCGAAGGTGCCGCTCGATGTGGTTGTAATAGCCGGGAAAACCGCGTCTTGCTGGGGCCCCGCCGAGTCTCCCTGAGCTCCTTCGGCCCGCTGCTGGATGGGTACAAGAGCTGCCGGGTCTTCTCTGCCTCTCTCCACACGAGACATGTCGTTATACTTGATGATAGCCAACAGGTCATCGCGCCACTTCATTTCCATCGCGAGCCGCTCATCCCATTCCCGTTGCATCTTTTTGCGGTTCGCTTCACACCACTCAAGCTTTGTACTCAACTCGGCAAGTCTCCTCTCGCACTCGCCGAGCTTGTCAGCCTGTCTCTCGGGAATAGACCCGATTGGAGTCCGCTTAGACCCGAGCTCTGCGGGATGCGGCTGGGGCTGATTTCGGGGCGGCAGCATGTAGTTATTCTCCTCCCACAGCGGGTCATACAGTCTTGAAAGAAATGATCCCTCTCGATCCTCCTGCAAACGCCTCTCCTCCACTTGAAGGCGATTCTTCCTTAGCCGTTTTAAGAATCTCTCCGTTTCATTGAGCGCAGCATTGGCATTGTCATCATTCTGAGAGACGTCGTCTTGTAACGCCGTAATGTTTCCACTGAGTCTGTGTCCCAGGCTTTGCGATATGAAGTCGTCAATCGGTTTAGTCTGAATGTCTGAACTTTTTCTGAGATTGGAGATCTCCTGCTCCGCTTTCTTCTGTAGTTCTTGAGATTCGCTTAACTGCCGGACAAGACCATCGATCTGGATTTCCTGTTGAGTAAGCTGGGCTTTCAGTGCATGATTTTCCCGTTCGAGGCGGTATGCGGTGTGGTAGACATTTGTTCTCCTGTACTCGGGATCACATGGTGGTAGACAGGTTGGGCCAGGAGCTTCGAGAAGGGAGGCCCTGTCGTCTAACGACGCATCGGACGCTTGATCGGGCACTTGCGGCATAGGGAGCCCGGAAGGCCTGGGCAGGTTTTCCTGGGGGCCTTGGGCGGTCTGGATCATGCTGCTGCTGCATGGCACTTGTGAGCGACTTCATAGGATAAACAAGGTGGGCTTCTCATACCCGGGTGTCGGGACATTGGGGTCAAAAACGACCCTGGTGCGACCGCCGAGGGCATACCATTGAGCTACCTCAGGATCATTGGCCTTGGGGGAGGCTCTCGCCACACCTGATGCTGGGGCCCGCTTCGAATCTTTATTTTTTCTAATCCTAGCAACTCTTTCAGCTCGTTGTTGCAGCGGCATGCCGCCGACTTTATGGGCGGATGGAATAGACGGAGGCTCCATAACGATGAGTCAGTGACAAACGATTGTTGTGCGGTATTGTTACGAACCAAGAAAAGTGGCACCCCTTGCGTGGTTTCGTTTTTAGGTTAGTGTTGGTGAGCGTTGGTAGAAGACAACCTTCAGCCCCAGCCACTTCAGAGCGGGGTCAGGAAGCAGTAGCAAGGCAGCAAGTCACGGGACCTGGTTGACTTCAAAAAAGCAAGCCTGCATGCACACAATACCGATGAGTGGGCAAGTAAGTAATTGTTTCCTACGTTGGAGGAGATAGTCTATTTAGCCAGCCAGACCTTGACGAAGCTGTCATCCGAGAAACAGAAACTAAGGTACCCTTATAGATTACCGATTAGGTAGAGTTCTTATATATAATTTTATAAATAAGTAATTATTATTACTTAAAAGCTTTAATATAAGTTTATTATAAGTATTTCTATATAAAATAATTTTAATAAATATATAATATATATTTTACTTAATTTAATTATAGTTTTTAAATTTAATATAAAAATTATTATTATATAATATTTATTATTATATAAATAATAATTTAATATATTAATTATTTAATTAAAAGAATATAATTATAAAATAATTTAATTTTATATAATATTATAAAACTTTATTATAAAGTTTTAAAAATAAAATATAATTTTTAATAAAATATTTTTATTAAAATATCTTTTATTATTAAAATATCTTTTATTATTATTTTATTTTATTTTCTATTTAAATATTATAATTATTAAACTTAATTTTAATTTAATTTAAATTAATAAGTAATTATATATTTTTATTTTTATTTTATATATATTTATATATATATATATATTATTTTATATAATAATAAATATTTAAAATTTAATATTTTAAAAATATATTATTATTAATAATAATTATAAATTATTTATATTATTTTAATTTAATTATTAAAGAAAATAAGGTTTTAAAAATTTAAAATATAATATATTTTTAAAATTAATTTAATTAAACTTATTATATAAAATCTTTTATAATAATTTTATAATTTAAATTTATAATATTATTTATTATTAAAAATACTTTTATATTAATATTTTATTAAAAATTAAAACTATTATTTTTAATAAAACATTTAATTTTATTTATATATTTATTTATTTATTTATTTATTTATATATTTATTTATTTATTTGTTTATTTATTTTATTATATTATAAAACTATAGCGTTAATTATATTATATTTTCTTTTATATTATATAATTATTTATTTTTTTAATAATTTAAATCTTATATATAAAGTTTTTAATAGTTTTATATATATTTTATAATTCTTTTATAAAACTTTAAATCCCTTTTTTATATACTTTTTATATTATTAAAAGTTAATAATTATTAATAATAAAAATATTAACTTAAAAAAATAAGTTTATTATACTCTTTTTTATTTTTATAAATTACATTTAAAATTCTTTTAAAAGTTTTAATATTTTATTATAAAAGTTTTAAAATAATATATTATAAATTATTATTTTATTTTAAATTCTTTTAAAATTAATAATTATATATTTAAATAAAATTATAATATATATTTAATAAAAGTTTTATTAATATATATATATATAAATATATTTAAAAGAATTTTATTAAACTTTTAATATAATTTATTTATATAATAATTATTTTAATTTAATTTTATTATATAACTTTTATAATATTTTAATTAATATTATTATTAAAATAATACTTTTAACTTTATTTATATATTATAAAATTAAAATTATAAATATTTATTATTATAATTATTATTATTAATATTATATTTCTTTAAATATTAAATTTTAAATACTTATTATTATATAAAAGTATTATATATATTTTAAATATATATAAAATAAAAATAAAACTATATTATAAAATAATTTAAAAATAATTATTTAATTTATTATATTATTTAATTAAAATATAACTTTTAAATAAAATAATTATACTTTATTATTTAAGTTTATAATTTTATAACTTTATTTTAATAATTAAAAATAATTATTAATTATTAAATTTATAATTATATAAAATAGATTTTATTTTTAAAAATAATTATTAATATTTAAAATAATTAATATATTATTTTAAAAATATAAAATATTATAAATTTAATTTAAAATATTTTAAAATTTATAATAATTTTAAATTTAAACTTAAAAACGTTTTTAATTTTAATTTTAAAATAAAAATATTAAAGATATATAAAGAAAACTAATTTAAATTAAATTAAATTATAATATAATAAAATAATTAAATAAAATTTAAAAACTATAATTATAATTTTAAAGTTTAATATTTAAAATTATAATTATAAATTATTTATATTTATTTTATTTTATTATTAAATTAAAAGTAATAATAAAGTTTTAAAGAAATATAATATAATATATTTTTAAAAATTAACTTAATTAAATTTATTATATAAAACTTTTATAATAACTTTATAATTATTAATAATATTATTTATTATTAAATAATATTTTTATATTAATATATTAAATTATATTTAATTAATTTAAATTAATATTATTAACTTTAATATAAATTAATTTATTAAAAGTTAAAGTTATTATAAATTATAAATTAATTTGATAATAATAAATAATATATATAAATATTAAATTTATTATATAATTTAAATAGATTAATTAAAATAAATAAAAATAAAATTATTATTCTTTTAATTAAAATTTTAACTTAATTTAAATAAATATTTATTTATTTATTTTATTATATTATAAGTAAAATTATTTAAAAGTAATTACTTAATTTATTATATTATTAAATTAAAATATAATTAAATAAAGTAATTATACTCTATTATTTATATTTATAATTTTAATAGTTTATATAATTAAAGAAATAATTATTAATAATTAAATTTATAATTATTAATAATTAAATTTATAATTATATAAAAGAAAACTTTTAATTTAAAAAGGTTATTAATATTTAAAATAGTGAATATATTTTTAAAGAATTTAAAAGATTATAAACTTAATTTAAAGTGTATTAAAATTTATAAGAATCTTAAATTTAAACTTAAAAGTTTTAATTTAATATTTATATTTATAAAAATAAAAGTATTTATAAAATTTAAAAGATAGTTTAAATTAAATTATAATAAAAGATTAATTAAATAAAATTAATTATAAAATTATAATTATAAATCTTTTAATTTTATATTTAAAAAGAAGAATTATAATAAAAAAGATTTAAAATTCCTTTATAAAAATTATTAAAATATATATAAAGTTATTAAAAACTTTATATATAAACTTTAAGTTAAAAAAGAAATAAATAATTATATAATATAAAGGAAAAATATAATATAATTAAACTTAATTAATAATTATAATTATAAGTTTAACTTTAATAAGTATTATAATAACCTTTAAAACACTTTATTTAACTTCTTTATTTATTTAAATATATTAATGTAATATGTTCTTTTTGTTGCTGCTATAAATGGATCATATAGAGTCTTATCATCTCAGTCAGAGCCAACATCCTCGAGGCTTAAGCCACGTCATAGCCGCACAGACAAGGCTAGCGACAATCGCTCTCGACGGCGCCAAAGACCATCCCGAAAGATCATCACACATTTAGCCCAAGGCCTAATAGCCGGCAAAGCAGTAATATGACGGACACCAAGATAATGTCTTAAAATGGCCCCTATATGAGACTCCCACAAAGGGAGTTCCAGTCACATCCCATTTATCTAAAACTTTTTCTCTTGAACACACCAATTCCACACCTCATCTCAACCATTAACTCAATTTAACCTGAAAGCGGAAAAGGCATCATCATGGGCGCAAGTCAGAGCTCTAAATCTACCAGAGATAGCGTACGGCCGCACCATGATGAAGGAAATCTACCACCACCGTACACACCCACGGCTAGAGAGACGACAACATGGCTTCAGCAAACCAACCTCAAGCGATCTACATCACGATCTTGCACTGAAAGCTTTGGAGAAAAAGATGTGCCCGCCGTAACATCCACACCTGAGTCAAGGAAGACCCATGAGGAGATATCGAAACTGATTTTAATGGCTGAAGCGGATACCCGTAACCTGCAAACTCTGATAGCTGAAAAGGAACAGCAGTTGTCAGAAGTGCGGAGCAGGTTCCAGGAGAGATTTCCTCTCGAGTCCATATCGCCAAGCACCGAAGCTCGACTCAGGTCAGCGGAGGTCAGAGCGGAATCAGCAGAGCATCGATTGGGACTGCGGTCAATAACTGATGCGCACTACGACCGTGATCTGGAAGCTATGGTGGTTCGACTGCGTTCGGTGTTATTGGGAGCGCGGAGCAGGTTCCAGGAGATCAAATTGTCTCTCGAGTCCAGATTGGAAAGCACCGAAGCTCGACTCAGGTCAGCGGATATCAGAGCAGAATCAGCAGAAGATCGATTGAGAGAAGTAGAGGAGGAAGAAAGACAGTTGGCAGCAATGCTTGAGACTGCATGTCAGGGTCTGCGGCAACTCGGATGCTCGTGAGGTAAGCGACGCTCTGCCCCAACAGTTGAGTTTCCACGGGCTGGCCTAGTAGGTGTTCGCCTCAAGCTATAACCGAGTGTTGATGGCTTTCGGGCGGGGCAGCCTGTTGTGGGCATATGGGAGTTCAGTCTGCTGACGTCAGTCTAAGCCAGATTAATCTAGTAACAAGGTTATATCTACTAGGGGGAGGGGGTTTATAATATAAGTAAATTATATTAAAATTTAACACTTAATTAAATTTAGAATACTATATTAAACTATTAAAAAAAGGTTAATAAAATATTATTATAAGTTAAATTTATTAAAAGTTAATATTATAAAAATTATATACTTTTTTATTTTATTATATAATTTACTTTTATTTTATAATTATTTAAAGGTATATATAATACTTTTATATAATAATATATATATAAGATTTAATATTTAAAAATATAAAATTAATTTTATTTTATTATTATATTAAAAGTTTTTAAAAATTCTTAAATTTATTAGCATTAAATTTTATAAGTTAATAAAAAAATAAAATTTATATAATTTTACTTTTATTTTATATATATTTAAAGTTATATATAACGTATTTATATAATAATAAATACTTAAAATTTAATATTTAGAAAGAATATATTATTAATAATAATAGTTATAATATAATAGTATTCTTATATATACTTTAATATAAAATGTAAATTATCTATTTTCGTATATTGCTGCTATACTCGGCTCTAAAATATATCTCTGAACATCACTATTCAGACCTCCTTGTGGTAGTCACTGTCTTATTGGACCCAAAATCAAAGGCAGGACTCTGTTATCTGTGAAAGCCCACAGCAGTGGCGAATAATCAGACGCCCATGCGTTTCCAGTCCAGTAAGTGTTATACCGACCCTGTAACCCATAGAGGCTTTTATAGAAACCTGACCGAATTGAGTCAGTTGGGACGTTCAGGGTCAACGGAGCATGCGCCTGCCAAGCCGCGAATATGTCATCCCCAGGTCCCGCAGAATCGCCAAGATCCAAACTCGCCAATGACTTGCCAATTTTGGCGACAGCATCGTACACGAGGCCTCGTGCCTTTGCAGAATCCGCTTCCCCGATGACCTTGACGGTTTGATACCCTGGCACACCGACCGTCTCTAGACGCCACACAAATGGAACGGACGGCAGGTTGCCAACGGAGAAGGTGTCGACATTGATGAAATTGGTCAGGTCAGGAAGCCCAGTTTGTGTTGTGACACCAACGTAGTATGGAATGTCGGACCACTGCTCGAAGAGATATGTTTCCTCGTCGTCCAGGTCGAAGCCGGCGAGATTGCCCAAGGTAGGCGGGATTGTGACCAATACTTTCTTGGCCGCAATTTTCGCACCATTGGCAAGCGTGATGGTGGTGGTTCCGTCTTGGTTTCGAATGGTATTTGCCACCTTGGTGTTGTAGAAAACTCTGTCACCAAGCCACTCGGCAGCGGCATCATAAACTGCCTGATTGCCCGTTGGTGCGTACATATATCCACTCGCCAGGCCGAGAATGTGAGCTGTTCCAAAGTTCTGGACGACATAGAGAGTGGGGGCTTCGAGGAGATTCCCAACAGCGTTGGCGAACGTGAATATGACCGAAACCACATCACTTATGTTGTACTTGGCAACAAATTGGCCGAACGGCATCAGCAGGTCCTCGGGCACAGGGTCTGGGAGATCGAAGGCGCCTTCGTTGAGGAAGGGGAAGTTCGTAGACATGACTCCCAGATAGTTGGTGAGTGGTCCAATAAGGGTGGTTGGGTCTGGATAGGTGGCGTTTGGGATGACTACCCCAGCCTTGAAGTCGGCCACGTAGGTCTTGAAGGGCGAAAACGCGGATGCATTGAGGGAGACATTGAATCTGGCAAAAAATTCTTGCGTCTGCTCGTTGTTGATATAAGCTTGCACGCCGTAATCGACAGGTCGGCCCGTTGCTGGATCATAGAACGTGTCCACATGACCCCCGAGGCGGTCCGATGCTTCAACAACAGAGACGGAGAGGTTCCCACCCTCGATCGCACGCCATGCTGAGTAAACGCCAGTCGCCCCGCCGCCAATGACGACCAGGTCGCGGTGAATGAGCCCAGCGCCCGCGTTTCCTAACTCCATTAGCATGCTTGATCGGTGAGCAGTTTAATGCAATGGCTGAAATGTGCGCCTACCGGTTTCCGAACCGCTTCCTGGCCCGGAGCCGGCACTTGAGCCTGAACCTGGAAATGATCCAGGCGCGTTACCACCAAGACACTCCTGACGCCTTTGATTTTGGTGTGGAGAGGCTGCGGCCAGTAGGCCAAGTGCCAGCAGGAACCCTGCTTTCTGAGGACCACGGGAGAGCATCGCGCAGAATGCACTGCTGAAGCTACTGAACGACTGAAGAATTTGGAAGGAGACGCAGTGCAACAGTGATGGCCCAGCTCCTAGAACTCTGCAGGGTGAGCGTTGAATGCTACGGTATCTATTAAGTAGCAGGAACCCAACTGCTAGACAAACAGATAGACTCTCAGTGATCAGCATGTGGTATGAAACGCGATCATAGCTAATTGTATACCTAAGTACGAGCGACGGGCATATTCGGTAAGGCCGGGAGTTTACTCGAAGTTCCAAGACAATGAATATTGCCTTAAACGTACAATTCTGAGCTATTTTAACCATAATACATTAAAAACCAAGAAACGTATTTCGTCGAGCTAGCTAAGGCTCAACTTGAGGGGGTGCTAGGATCGAAAAATTAGATTGTGCTCAGATGTAGTCTTCCAATCCGTGCTTGCGTGGAGCTCACATTTGGTCCTCAGAAAGCTTGAAGCCGACACCGAGTCAGCGCATCAGCCTTGGCTTGGTGTGAGGAAAGTTCGCAGCGAAGTTAGGTATCGGTCGCAAAGTTCATCGAAATGCACCAGCACCGATATGGAGGTTTGGTGCCATGGGCTCGCTCAACGTATATACGGAGTACAGTTAGTTTGCACTGTTCCTGAAGGAAGGCCTTCTATCGGTCTACTCAACAAGGCACGGCAAATCAACCAATTAGTGATTGGTGAGCGTCCATACCTAGATAGTATTGTAGCGTTTGCCGAATACTCGGTATGCGGTAAGTGAGTCCCGAGCTTCGAGTGGTTACTTACGTAGACAGGATGGGCGGACCCTGACTTCTTTCTTGTATGGAGCACCAGGACCTCGGGAGTGTAGAATACTCCGAAGCGCGACTCCGGTCCTCGATTTAAGTTACTCCGCCACCGATAGCACGCCTTGTAATTCAGCTGCAGCGTCATTTAGGCGAGGCTGGATCATTTGTTTCGGTGATTTTACCCATATTTGCCCATTTGTTATCTGCTGTTACAGTTGTACCTTCGATGATTATTAAACTTCTTGCACAGGTACTGTCCCTACCTAGCTACACATTAGGGTCAGTTACGGTGTGTCAAAATTCATCTTTTGGCACATGCGTCGTTTCCTTAAGAGAAGAATAGTTTCGACGTAGATCCATTACATTCCTTTGAGAAATAAGGTTTGTGCAATCAGACTTGGTCAGCTACAGTTCACAAGTCAAGATTATAGGTACCCACTGGCATTCTTGGCTGGACAGAGTCTAGGCTGCCTCACCGCTATGGTGCGGGTTGCTTTTTCTGGTTCGAGAGCAAGTAATCACCTCCGCTGTGTTGCTAACTCTGCTTGTAGGCTGTGCTGTCTCTACAGACCACGCATTGCAATACCACCAGTCACCCTTTTCCCTCCGATCTTTCAACACCTTGTGTGTTCCTCGACATAGCACAGTGCCGCTGGATGGCGCAGCGCTGGGACGGATGATTATCTGGTCGCAGCCAGTTCTTCCTCTAACAATCCAACCTGGATACATATGTATTGAGTCACTACGTGGGTGCATTCTACAGGCCTCGACATCAACGTTAGTAGCTCGGCCCTCTGGTCCTTCAGGCCACATGCACTGCTTGTGATTCTCGCTCTTCATCATCCAAATCCTTCCCACCTTGCTCGCCAGCCCGCTGTCCCGATGCTAGATGATGCGCCTGCATCTTCCTTGCGCGGCTAAACCTGGGGATGGTGTCTTTAGTAGCTCCAGCGACGATGTTGTCTTTAAAGAGAAGGTTGATGCTTTCGAGTGGGACACCCTTCGTCTCCGGGACGAAAAAGACGGCGTACAGGAGCATCAGGATACAACAAGACCCGAACAACAGAAACGTCCCGTACGTGATGCGGTCCAGCATGATAGGTGTGAGTTTTGCAATGACGAAATTGAAGAGCCACTGAGTCATCAGAGACGCAGCCATGATAAGAGATCGTACTGGTACGAGATGTTAGCTTCGTCTAATCATCGCCCTATCATCCCCCTGAGATTGGATGTCATTGCTTACCATGATTGGGGGAACACTCCGACGAGAGGACGAAGGGGATAGGACCCCAGCCAAACGAGTAGAACACTACGAACAGGTACACGCAAATGATTGCGAATATGTTGTTCCCTGACAAGCTCGAGTCGTTGGGGTGTACTGCTTGGTTGATGCCGATATAGAACATGGCAAAGGCTTGACCGGCAGCACCGCAGATGAGGGACCACTAGTAGATCAGTTGGGTCAGCACTTGATTCAATCATGAGGATAGATGTCTTGATATTGAAAACTGGGGCCTCGTTGACTTACCTTTCTACCAGCTTGCTCAACACCGAACATCAATCCGAGTGCAGTGAAAACAACCTTGACAACACCGTAAATTCCTGTAGCGAAGAGGCCGGCAGAGCTGCTCGCCAGGCCGACACTCTTGAAAATTTGTGGACTGTAATAATTGATTGAATTCGTCCCGGTCCATTGTTGCCAGAACATCAGTATGACGGCGAGAGAGGACTGGTAGAGCATCTGCTTGCTGGAGAAGGCGAGTCTCAACTGCTGAGTCAAAGACAGCTTCTCCTTGCCCTCGAAGTCGGCGACGATTTCTTGCAGCTCCTCTCGAATGGCCGGGTCGTCAATGGGGCGGGCTCGGACTCGGGACAGGGCTTTCCTGGCCTCTTCAATGCGGAACTTCTCGACGAGCCAGCGTGGCGACTCATTCTCGAAGAGGACCAGGAGAAGGAGAGTACCCGGAAGGATCTGCAGGGCAAAGGGAACGCGCCATTTCGTCGAGTCGGTGGAGCTCGTGATGTGCCTGCTGATACCGTAGTTGACGAAATAGCTAAGCATTATCCCCGTGACGTTGAAGAGTTGCATACTGGATGTGACAAACATCAGCGAGGCTCGAAGTGTGACGACGTGTCACGCGATTCAGGATAAAGATCGAACTCGTCCTGAGCACTTACCACCCAATGCATCGACCTCGGATTTCCCTGTTCGCATTCTCGCCAATATACGTAGGCACAACAGCGCTGATGAGGCCAACGCCAAAACCTCCAATGAACCGGCCAATGTAAAGCTGTGTGAGGTTCGTTGTGCCAAGGCCCGAACAGGTCTGGATGATGGAACCAATGATGAAGATCAGGTCGGCGCTGACGAGAGACCATTTGCGGCCGATCTTGTCACTGAGCCAGAAAGACGCCGCAGCGCCGAAGAAGCAGCCACCTTGCAAGACAGACACGATGTTTCCCTGCAGATTGGCAAAGTCGGAGCTGTTGGGGTCAAGGTTGAAAGAGTGCTGGAAGGCGTCCATTGTCAAGACGCCACCGATGAGACCAGTATCCCAACTGTTGGCGCATGGACAAGTTAGCATACATGCTCGGTCAGACAGAAATCAGTTGTATATGACCGCAACACTAGAGCTAGCGGCACTTTGAATGTAGATGGGTGCAAGGATGCAGATACTCACCCGAAGAGCATTCCACCGAACGACGCGACGGCTGTGAGCCAATAAGCCTGCCGATAAGCCGTGATATCCTCCCATATCGTCGTCTTCCGAGGCACCTCGGATACGGAGTGCACAGACGACATGGCTGTGAAGGTCCGAGGCTTTGGAAAAACTCGACTCAAACAATCAAGCTGCGAGGCGGAGAGTTGAATTACAGCTACAGGGCAGAGCCACTTGTAACGAGGGAGAAGGAAGGTGAAGGTATCGTCGGGACGTAAACAATAGCATCGCCGGTAGAGATAGAGTTTTTCGATCCCACGATACTACCCAACAAGCATACATGTACATCCGGTAGCTATCCGCCATTCGGTCCTTTTCTTGGCCGAGATGCATTAGAGATGGGGCGATCTTCTCCGCGAAACGTCATGGAGGTGCCGAACTGGGCTGACTGGTTCCGACTTGTTCCCCGCGTGAAGCAGACTTGAAGCCCGGCTCCACCAGCTCCCCAGGCTCTCCCACTTCCCCCGTGGAGAGGGCGGCTTGCCCACCTGGGGAACCCTTGAACGCCCCCACCATGCCCCCACGGCGACCACGACGGCAAACCCCTGTCCAGGACTTGTGCGGTGTTCAAGTGAGTCAATACGCTCCACAGGTCATGCAGCCATCGTCCAATGTGACCACAACTAGGCTGCCCCAGGGGTCTGTCGTTCACACTAATTAATTGTGGATTCGTTGACCAAGTCTGAGCCAAGTTCAGAGCCAAGTTTGTTCCGCTCCTACGCGGTGTTGGAGGTGGTCTAAACAGACACAAAGACACGCGGACAGTGTACACATTGATCCGACTTTGCGCGCTCATTGTCCCACTAGGCTACTTCAGGTAATCTCATGCATAATTCGTGCATATGGCCCGTTAGTGCAGCATCCGGAGCAGATATCGGAGAGAACACTCCAGTTTTGGAGGCGCCCGATGCGCTCTCGGCTACATCCGGCAGCGACTTCAGGAGCGGTGAGAGTGGCCACTGGGCACGTGTGAATCGTGAAGGATCTCGCTGCTTGGCTTCCACCCGCTTCCCATCAACGGGTAATTCCCATTAAGGTCTTACATACAGGGAAGTGTCCTCTTTCGCCTTGTCTTTAAGAAAACAGACCAAGACTTGTCATCGATTCGGCTGCGGAAGTTTTGGACAGGCGAATACTGCGATATTTCCGGGTCAACAAGTTCATTATCAACATTTTCTTTGTTCGTCCTTGAAAATGACTGAGACATAGCCGGCCGGATATAAACCTGATGACTTCTGGAAATAGTAATCTTGTTGTGATATATAACAGTCTCGTAATTCCGCAACATTGAAACGCCACGCCACACCAGCGCCCAACTCTCATGCAAACAAAACGCTCAGCTCGTTTTGAGCTGAGTGTTTTTCACCGCGCTAACACATTTATAGCCTTACCCTTCATTAGTTGATATTCAAAGATCAGAAGGTACTCGTGCATGCCATCATGCTGTCCGCCATTCCTCCTTTGCTATTCCGGACTAGACTCGAAGATCCCCAGCTGGCTTGCCTGCTTCACCACCCGGGTACAACCTTAGCTTTGCACCATACTCCGTGCAGCGGCTTACTCGAGAAGCTGCCACCCGAAAGAGGCACTCTGCTCTCGTCCATGTCGCGGGGGTCAGCCAGCTCCCACTGGAAGCGGCCCACCCAGCACGCGATGACGGTCAGCATCTCAGCTTTGGCAAAGTTGCGGCCGAGGCAGTCGCGTCCACCGTGGATGAAGGACAGATGCGCGTACTTTGTGTTTGAGCCGCCAGTGGAGTCGTACCTATCACCAGCCTCGTCATAGAAGCGGCTCGGGTTGAAGCTGGCGCCGTCGGGCCCCCACAGGTCCGGGTTGCGGTTGGTTCCGGTGACAGAGAGGATGACCTTTGTCGTGGCGGCGACATAGTGGCCCATGATGGTGGTATCCACAGCCGCTGTACGCATTATCATGGGAATGGGCGGCCAGTAGCGGATGACCTCGTGGCAGAAGGCGTTCAGGAGGGGCATGTTCTCGATCTCAAGAGACTCCGCGGGGGGCGCGGCGCCATTGGTTGTCGGCGGCGGCAGCTTTGCCCTCACCTCAGCGCGCAGCTTGTCCTGCCACTCCGGGTGCCGACACAGCTCGTACATGGCCCAGGTCATCGCCACAGACACGGTCTCGTGGCCCGCACCCAGCATCGTCATCATCTGTGTCACTACGTCGTCCTCCTCGAGTTCCTTGTTGCGGTCGCGGATCAGCGCCGACACGATGTCCGAGTCGTGGAGATCACCGCGCCTGTATCGCTCACGCTTCTCGCGAAGGGTGGTCCGGCACACTTCCCTCACCACACGGGCGGCGTTGCGCACCTCGGTGTTGTGCTTGACTGGTAGCCTGTTGACAATATTCGGCGGGATGATGAACTTGAGGACGCTGAATATCTGGAACATGCGAGTGGGTTCGAAGACGGTGCGGTAATTCTGGATGAGATGCGAGTCTGGGTTAGCAATTGCCTCGAAGTCGACGCCAAGGGCTGCCTTGGAGATGACGTCCAGCGCAGTGAAGCCTGCCAGCTCGCCAATCTCCGTTTTGTCACTGTATCCATCGGAGTTTGGGCTGGTCGTGCTGGCGGCGAAGCTTGAGAGCCTTTCTGTCGCCTCGACAGCCTTGGACCAGTAGATGGACTGCTGGGCCCGGATGTGCTTCATGGCGAAGGATGGCAGCAAGAGACGGCGTTGACGTTTATGCTCTTCCCCATTTACCAGCACGACACCAGGTCCAAGAATTGACTGAGCGATAAAGGAGAGGTGAATTGGCTGGATGAAGTCGTTCACTCTGATCAAGACTTCAGCCAGACCTTCTGGGGCTGCAACCACGACGCGCTCGCAGTTGAAAAGGCCTAGGAAGCGGAACACACCATCGTGTTTCAATGTGCGGGACCTACACGGCGGCTCCTTGTCAGACAAGACCGTTGACTCTGGAATGATCATGATGGGCTACTCACCACTCGGCCGGACCAGCTCCATTACCTTCGCTGAAGGTGCGCCAACCATAGCCAAACCACCAACTTCTGCCTTCCTATTTCAAGTCTCAGCACTTTATTGCATGCAACATTAAGCCGAGGAGGAAACGACTCACAGTAGGCTCCGGCAGATGTCGCATCTTGGAGAGATACTTGGGCTTCAGTATCAAGCGGTACCACAGCCAACCCCAAAAATGCAGCCACCACGAGGCCCAGAAGAACACCAAGTAGCTATTGAAGTAGCTATCTCGGAGAAAGGCCGGCGTATACGGCACCGTAGGTCCCCATTTACGCCATACGGCAGCCAAAATGAGGGCATCACTGGCCGCAGCCAGCGTGACCAGCTTCATCGGCTTGGAGAAGAAGTCATCCATGTTTGCTGCTGTCACCTGATTGGTCACGCGTCTGGAGCCGTATGGTGAAGGCCTGCAAGGCTGAGACTTTCAGGGATTCGGCCTGGCTAGAAGTTCCGCGCAAGGCTGCCTCTGCCTGGTTCCTTTCTTCCGCTGAAGAAAAGGGTATTGAATTACGTGATGACTGGACTTGATGGCTTGGAAAAGTCAGGCACAGGTTTCTGGGAGTCAGCCTTTCTTTTATACAAGGTGACGCGATGTCATCACATCTGTCAGTCTGACGAGGTTCGCCGTCATGACCAGAGGCTTGTGCATGACAATTGCCACGGTTCGATCCCTTGAGAATTTTCTGTACGATGACATTTCGATCTGAAGGTTGGTCCGGCAATTTGCTTCTCTTTGTCGCCATGATCGGCAGGGGCGGTCTTCCTTCAATGCGCCGGCCCTACATTTGTGGCGATTGAGGCGACTTGCCCGCCCATGCCAGCCAGAAGAAGCATGGTTGATCACAGGAAGACAGTAGAAATGGGCCCATAGATACTTCCTGCCTACTCATTTTAGAAAAACTAGTCGCTACATCCTGGAAATCATTGAAAGGTCCTCGCCTCAGGTGAATGTACCCGTGCAAGCCGCTGACCAGGAGGCGGGAATGCTGACACTATAAAGGACTGCACGCCCCAAAACTTTTGCGAAGTCTTCGGTATCCCTATGGCTGACATTCATCTGGAACTCTCAGCAGGTTGGGACAGGCTCCGGTCTGTCATCGATGCCCAAGATGTCTGGACCATACGCGTGCCTGACAGCCTTTCCCTATGCCTGGCGATATGCTCTGGCCTCAGAATCCAGATTCGAGGGTGAGGTATATCGCAAACATGTGATCTCTAAGTCCGAAAGCATGTCAAACTCCCCTAACCCACCTCAGTCCTCGACCATGCTCCAGTTCACCCCTGGGCGTGTGTCTATCCATTTCTCTGTGCATGCTGACAGTCATCTACGTGAGGCTATCCGCTAAGTAAGGCGAGAAAAAGGACCCCTGTCAGCGAAAAAAGGTACCGTGGCTTACGGTCATGCACCCATAAGCCAGCGTATCGGATTAGAGACATGCTTCCAACATTCGCAGGGAAAGATCACCATAGCCAACGTACCAAGTCCATGAGCTCACATGTCTCCCCCTTCATGTTCACTCACATCAAAACTCAATTTCCATTCTTCCTTCTTTCGGACAGTTTCGGGACGAATGGATAGATTAAAATTGTTGGTTGGCCGGCCTCCAGCGCCCCAATTTTCGGACGTTTTATCACCAATGGCACCATCTGTGCCGCCAGTCTCTATGCCTCATGACAATCGGGGCCATGAGCCCTCAGAACCTTGCAGTGGAAGCCTAGCATAAGAGGGAGGGAGTCGCCTCCTCACCAGGACTGTATGAAAATTCGAATCCTTTCTTGTCGTACCTCCTTGCCTCTTGTGTCCGTCCATCCGTGTTGCCACTGATCACTCCCTGCCTGGCTTACTGCTTGACAGCCTTGGCGAAAGCTTGGTCATACGTTGTTGACAGCTGCCCCATAGGGATCGAATATCACTTGGTCGTCTCCCCTTGTCTCTTTCTTCTCTCCAAAGACTTTGTCCCCACGTCCTAGATTGATCGCTCAGCGCTGCAGCAACCGCGTCCAGAGACCCATCAACATGGCACCCGGCCAGCTCGGAGAGTTCACCTACCGGGATGGAGTGGCCGTGGTTCAGCTCTTCTTCTTCACCGTGTACCTGGGGTGTGCCTTTGTCCTTTGTTCACGGCATGGATGGAGCCGGGGCTCAGGTTGGCTAGTCTTGATTACCTTCTCATTGCTTCGAATCCTCGCCGGGGCGTTTCAACTGGCAACGATCAACAGCCCTTCGAGGACAACCTATGGTGGCGCACTCATCTGCCAGTCGATCGGCTTGTCGCCGTTGACGGTGCTCAACATTGCACTCCTGACGAGGGTGTGAGTATCAGCATGCTACAGTATTGAACAATGATGCAGGACTCGCTAACCTGTTGCCGCCCAACTCGATAGTAACCGCTTCGTTATCCAGGGCATATCCACCAAAATCTTCTCCCTCATCTCTCTCGCCTCCCTTACCGGCCTCAGCCTGGGCATATACGGTGGCACCAAGGCAGCCGAGTCCTCGAACCACATCACCTCCAACAGCATCGTTCAGGCAGCAGTGTGCATATTCCTGGCCATCTACGTGTTCGCCGTCTGCCTATGGGGCTACCTCCTCAGGCAGTGGAAGTACATCCCTGCCGAGGAGAACAAGCTGATGGTATGTTTTGCCGCGTGTGCGCCGTTCATCTCGGTGCGGCTGGTGTACGGGCTCCTCGCCGACTTCAGCGGGATGAAGGAGTTCAACCCGTTCGAGGGGGACGTGACCATCTTCCTGTGCATGGCCGTGCTCATGGAGATCATCGCGGTGGCGTTCTGTGTGTTCACGGGCCTGAGGCTGCGTGTGCTGCCCAAGGGCGGTGGGGGCGGCGGCAATGGTGCCGGCGGGGTGTCGTCGGATGCGTCGAGCGACAGTGAGAGAGCGCTACACGGAGCCAGGACCCCGGGCAAGTTCTGATCGGCGAGTGTGAGTTGGCAAGGGTGCCCCGTTGCAATGTCAGTTGGATGGGTTCTGGACTCGTCCACGGACAATATTGCAGACGCTACTCCCGAGATCCCCCTAGGTGCCGGTCTTCCTTTCTCATCTGTTTCGTAATTCTTATTTCTCACGATCCCACTGTCCACGGACCTGTGGTTGGTTATTGGGGGATCCTTCACCTCACCAGCGACTCACAACAGGGGCATTTAGATGCAGACGACAGACGACAGATGGCTGTGGCTTGCAGGTAGAGACATGATGGAGAGGGCGTGTGATTCAGGTAATCGTGGGTGGCTGCAGTCCGGCTTGGGACTTCTGAGCGCGAAGGATCAGGCGACATGGTATGGTCTATGGGCATCCATGGTTGGCGCCACGATTCTCGAGGAGAGGACCCTGGAGTCTGGACTGGCCGATTATTGTCAAGGTGGATATTTCTTTTCTGAGCCAGATGCTCTTCGCACTACTGCAGGGTGCTCTTTTTCCCTTCTTCATGCTTTATCTCACCGAGCGGCAGGACTGACGACCCACCCGGCCTAACTCCGAGGCAGAGTTTCAGTATCAGTAACAGCGGGACGGATGTGGAGATTTACAGGTGGAAATGACGTTTGAATCCCATGAGTAAGATGGTATATAATGAGGTGGTTGAGTTCAATATGTGAAAAATCGGCCATCCTCGTCTTACAGATCAGAGTATCTTGACATGAATGTGCTGCAGACACAAGTAGAAATCGGGGTCTTTGGTCCACTCTTCCCATGGTTGTGAACGAGCTTATGCACCGACGTCGACCATTTACCCAGGTCCCTTGGATAACATCCAGTATGGCATCTGACGGCGACGAGGGGCGACTCTGGTGGATGGACCCTGCTTTCTCTCCCGGGTAAGGAATGGAAAGGGTCCAACTTGTAGGATCGTGCAACAGGATCGTGCATGCATGCATCCATCCAAACTATCATGGGTATCATGGGTCCCCCAGCCGTCGGAACCGGACTACCTAAAGCTTATGTGTCGCGCTACAATGAGAATTTATCTCCAATTTATCGATCACTTATCCATGGCTTATCTGCACTAGGGTAACCCGGTGGGACTACTTGGGCAAGGATTAGCAGCCCTCCATGGCTTGGCCCCGAGATACTTGCAGCTTTCTCTCTTCTTTCCGCCTTTCCGCCAGACTGCACGCCTAGACTATTACAAGTTCTAGATTTTCACCACAACTTCTGAGTTGTATGTCGGTGGGTTGTGTTCTGTCATTGGAAAGGACTGCACTTTAACAGGTCGCATAGAGGCGGGAACGAAAAGAGGCAAGCCCTAGAGAGACATCTGGAGTGTGCTTCATTTCTCATAATCAACAGTACACGAAAAGCACGCAGAAGTGGGAATTTCGAGGGACGAACTGACACCATAATATATACTCCTTGCTCAAAGGAAATAAGCCGAGCTAGTCTGGCATCGAGCTGGGGTTATCCGTCAGAGTTGCTGACCGGGATGACACATCCTGACCAACCAAGCACGGGTCCAATCCGCCTTATTATGGCAGAGCCATGAGACTGCCTGAATATTATATGACGGAGACCTGACCCCTCTAGTCTTTGAGCAGTTCCAATACCTTGCTCGCCCGCCAGCCAGCTGCCGGCATCCTGACGTGACCTGACCGACTCGGCCATCATTCCAGCTCGTTTTGGCACCGGAAGGATCTGGACTCTCCGCTGCCATGACTGTCAAACAGAGATAGCCATCGCCGAGCTGAATCCCTTTCAGCAATGGGTGTTTATGTTCTCGCCCTTAAATACCCGTTGTCTGGCAAGATGGCAAAAATTGCTGTGTCGACGAGCACTCAACTCTCTCCCCGACGACACACGTGCAGACGCTCTGCAATCTCAACCACGACTGATTCGAGCCCCTTACATACGTAATATCAAACTGACTCGTCTCTCACCTCTCATATCTTGCTGTGGCCATCTATAAGCCGTTCCTCAGCCATGTCCGCCGCCGCCGTGACTTCGGCCCCTGGGCTTCCCAGGACCCAGCGCGCCATCCTGGCCGGCGAAAAGGGAGAGTGGGTCGTCAGCCAGGACGCCCCGGTGCCTGAGCTGGAGGCCGACAACATTATCATCCAGACCGTCGCCGTCGCACTCAACCCCGTCGATACCAAGATGGTCGGCCCCTTCATCGCCGAGGGCGCCATGTTCGGTTTCGACTGCGCAGGCTATGTTGTCGCCATCGGCTCGGATGTAGCCGCTTCTCGCCCCAACCTCAAGGTCGGCGACAGGGTTTGCGGCTGTGCTGACGGCATGAACAAATTCAGGCCAAGGGCTGGTGCCTTTGGGGAGTACGTCGCCCTCGACGGCGACATGGCGCTCAAGATCCCCGAGAGCATGGGATTCGAGGAGGCTGCCGGCATGGGCATGAGGATCGCCACCGCTGGTATGGCCCTTTTCTGGAGCCTTGGAATACCCACAGAGTGGCTGCTCAAGGCTGCCGGGGAACAAATGCCGGTTCTAGTGTATGGTGGCAGCACCAGCACGGGAACGATGGCCATCCAACTTCTCAAGCTGTAAGCCCCACCCTCCTCCTGGATACGCACATAGCTTTCCTCTCAGCCACTCGAAGTCCTCGTTTTCATGCTTCCTTTTCCACTGTAATCATATCTTCATTTACTAACCAAACCTCAGATGCAACGTAAAAGTCATTACGACCTGCTCCCCCCGCAACTTCGACCTCGTCCGCTCGTACGGCGCCGACGCCGTCTTCGACTACAACTCACCCACCTGTGGCGCCGACATCCGTGCCCACACAGCCAACGCCCTCGACTACGCCCTCGACTGCATCACCGAGGAAAGCTCCATGAAGATCTGCTACCAGGCCCTCGGCCGCTGCGGCGGCAAGTACACGGCCCTGGACCCCCACCCAGAGTCCAAGCGCAAGGTCGTCGAGCCAGACTGGATATTGGCCAGCATGCTGGGGGGGAAGCCCTGCTCGTGGCCCGCGCCTTACGGCAACGAGGGTGACCAGCGCGTCAAGGACTTTGCAAAGCCTTTCTTCGAGACCATCCAGAAGCTGTTCGACGAGGGCAGGCTCACGCCGCACCCTACCAAGATCAGCCCCGGTGGGTTCGAGGGGCTCGCAGGGGACGGAGTCACCGCCATTCGGAAGGGCCAGATTAGCGGACAGAAGCTGGTTTATCGTCTGGACGGCGCTGTCAAGGAGTAGATGTTGTTTATTTTGCTGTAATTGGAGTCAACAGACTTTGACTTTGGCGCCTTGGGGCTACTCCCCGGTCAGGATTCATCGTCTGCACATTTATCCTACGGGACGTGATAAACCACCACCCTACCTAGGTAGCAGCCCGTTTTGACTAAAAATTTCGACGAGTTAAACAAACCTTAATACTTTATTCTATGTCCAGGAAAACCAGACATTACACAATATGCGCATCTGGTCAAGATATTTCAACGTTGAAACAGCCTCTGAAAGTGAAAGTATTGAGGCTGTGCAGAAGCGCAATAAAGCGAATGAGTCACGCTACGCATGTAGTATTACGGCTATCGAGAGAGGCATTTGGTGTCTCCATTCATGGCGAGGTTTTTTAGTAAGCAAGTCGCAATTAAAATAGCGGCTTGAATGGTTCCACGTTGGGTCTAAAAAGAGGACATGGAAGATGAATGGTACTTTCATTTCATCTATCCTCAAGATGAGTTCGTAGGCGGAGCTACCTAGGTACTTTCTGTTTCTTTGCGTAATTTGACCATTTCACTCCAGCCCCTGCAGAAACATTACATGGTATCAGCTAGAGCGCGTACTTTTCAGAGACTATGTAGCACATTTCGCCTGTTTGTCGCAATTCAGCAGACAATTCCAGTATTTTATCCCCTCATCCCCAGTGAGCCTTAATTCAGCATCAAAAAGACTGATTCAAATTTGGAGACCCTGGAATCAATGCGTCATTCCAAAATCTGTACGTCGCACCGAAACTCCTGATGTGCTTAAGTGAAGTCCCAGAACATGATAAAATTCGACGGATCTTGAGAGAACGTTTTTTATTTCAGACCCTCGCAAGGTGGTATTTTACTTTGTTTACAGATTCTCCCCCTCTCAAGTCTTCTGAAACCGTCAAAATTGCGCTCCCAAGTCAGTGCAGTCAGTCTCCCGAGGTCCTTTTGTACTGGCGATGCAGGTATGATGGGTCGACGTGGACTTCAAAATCAGTCCGATTCCGCGCAGATGATATACAAATTCCATGATACATGATCCTTATTTCATTTTCAAGGTGCCCATACCCAATGCTGTGATGGTAGCTGCTAAAGCGGGTATCGGTGTGCATGCAATCCGTGCTGTCATCCCGCCCCCAAGGTTCCAGAGTTGAATGTCAGCAACCCGGGCGGGCCCTGTCAGCCACGAGGCAAACCTGCAAGGTACTTACTTAGCTTGCCACGCCTCCTGTACTGCAGTTCGATACTCTGTGGAAGATTTTGGTGGTGGTAGTCTCTGCCATCCTGGCTGACGCAGACTCTCCGCGGCTTCCTGCTCTCGAGGGCGACATGGTTACCACCCCCCTACCGAAAGCTGATGACAGTCGAGTGGCGGTCGTGAACAGAGCTGTCAACTGTGCGGTAATTCGCCTCCCGGCAGCTACGCCTCCAGCTTACGCTCACGAATCCACTATGACACTGGCCCCGAGCTGCAGAGATTCTCGCCGCTGATGGTGCCTTTGTCAAGAAAGGGCAGTAGACAAGCAAGTATTGAAAGGCACCGTAATCCGCGTGCTCATCCAGATGATTCGGAATGATAATCATGCTCTGGAGATACGCAGACCATCTCCGAGCTTGCAATTAGGGCCGGACGGTCAGCTCGCTGTAGGTTGTGACCTGAGCTTGACAGTGTTGACGGCCTCATACATCGCCCTCAGACCCGCCTCTGGGCGATGCTTATACAACACTCGCAACGAGATCTTTCTCGCCTTTGGGCAGCTTCTCCAAAGAAATCGATCAAAACTTTTCATAAATCCTCAGATTTCCGAAACCCCTTCCACTTTTTCTCGCCACCATCATGGAACACGTTTGCATGTCCAGCCATACACTAAGCAGATAAGAACTCCTTCAACACGGCATTCTGATACCAGGGTTCAAGTCTTGCACAAGGAAAATACTGTGGTGTATTCGCATATCTTTGCAAAGCCACATCAATCACCCACTCTAGACACACGCCTTACAAGTCGTTCCACGCAGACCACCACGAAAACGGCACCCTATTGAGATCAAACACGCCCTCAGGGGGGTTGCAGCCAAAACACCTGGTGGCATTCGCAACAAGTGTGAAGACGAGTCACATTCACCACGGAGTATAGATAATATTGAAACACCCCCACCGACTCAGAATGACCCGCCGCAGGACAGAGGCCTTCGGCTCAAAGCCGGTGCTGCTCCTCCTCCACGGCGCGGGCAGCTCTGCCGCCATCTTCCGGATCCAGACACACTTCCTAGCCAAGGCGCTCAGCCCCTACTTCGACCTCGTCTATGTGGACGCTCCGGTCCGGAGCGCCCCAGGGCCGGGCATCCTGCCCTATTTTCAGGGCATGGACGCTTACTACCGGTGGTTTGGCGCCGGGGTTGAGAAGGATATTTCAAGGGGCCGGAATACACATGAAATCCCAGACTCGTTCCTATCACCGGAGACTGCGGCTTCTTCTTCGTCACGGCGCTCACCGCCCAAGCGCCGGGGCTCATCATCCGCCGCCGCCGCCGCCGCCGCCGCCAAGACCCGCGGGACAGGCCGGCGGGGCGTCTCACCAGCGGCGGCCATCAACGCGGCAGCGGCGCTGGGGCTGAATCTCCCCCGGGGCGCCGAGGGCCTGGGCCGGGGCGTCATGGGCCTGCTCGACATCGCCAACCAGAGCATCCCCCAGCAGCTCGAGGCGCAGGGGGTCCGCGGCCGGGATGTCGTCGGCGCGGTCGGCTTCTCGCAGGGCGCCCTGGCCGCTCTTGGTCTCCTGGGCGTCGAGCTGGCCATCGGCTCGCCGCAGTGGAGTAACCTGCGCTTCTGCGTGGTGATGGGCGGCGCGACGGGGGGCGGGGCGGCGCAGGCGGCCGTCGAGGGCATGATGGCTGCCGCGAATATGCTCGGCGGGGACAAGCAGATTCCGCCGCCGTCGCCATCGGAGAGATTGGCTCCAGGAGGGCCGGGTGCGGAGCCTCACCTGTTCCCAGGCCACACCGTCCACGTCATTGGGCGCTGCGACCCGTGGGTCAAGGACAGCCGGCAGATCGCGGGGATGTGTAATCCGCGGCGGTCCAAGGTCGTGGAATTCGAGGGCGGACACTGGGTTCCGCGGGAGAAACAGGAGATCTCGCGTGTAGTAGACCTGATCCTTGAGACGGAGTTGGACAGCCGCCGCGATGCGGATGACTCGTCGAGTTCCTCGTCCGAGGACGAGGTTGAGGTGTTGATGCGCAGGTTGGATGCCGTCTCGGTCAGGTCCTAAGCGACTCTGCAATCTTTTCGAAACCATTAATCTTTTGTATTCTATTTTTTGCTTTGCAGCACTCATGTCCTTCTCTCATAGGTCTCATCACGGCCCGGGTGTCGTTGTATGTGTGTGAGCGTACCAGACATATTCGTTCGCGAGGAACTCCCTTGATCATTCGGATCCCCCTGATTGAACGAAAGTTTTGGTCTTCCTCTTCGGCGTTCTGTGTAGGGTCTACATTGTATGGGTCATAGGCTGGCTGGCGCAAGGCGTGATGGTTGGGATGGTCGGGATGGCTTGAATCAAAGGCATGACAGATCTTGGTCCCATTGTCCCTCCGGCATGTATCCACCATGGTGCCTTTTTTCCTGTCTCATCCGCATGTTGAGTCTAGGAGCCCTCAGCCGGGCAGCTGTAGATTTTACGAGGCTCTGGCTGACACTTATCCACCGATTATTTGCCACCCAGAGAGGCAGCCTCGTCATGAGCCATCGACAGTTCGCGGGCTCATCGACGAGATGATCCTGCCATCCCGCATTGGCAACGAACAGCGTCCTCATGAGCGCCCCCCGCTTTCCCTCCTCCCTCTCCCAATCTTTTGGGCGTGAGATGGATTCGTTGTACGGGCAGGGGCGAGGTGGTGCTGCAGTACAGACGCACGCGAAGGATGAGGTGTAGTTAACGAGGGGCCAATCACATGGCGGCACAGAGGGATCTTTGTGGGCATTGCATTTCGACCCCTGGCTTCAGGGGTGTCCCATGCCATGCAGGCCGATCTTGGCGGGGCGGATCGAAAGCTTACCTGTGGCCCGCCCACCCTGTCTTGCCCGTTGGGAAGAGTTGAAGACCTGTGTCGCCCGTCCCGACAACCCGGGACGTTGTGGGTGCTGAGCTCATCCCAACTGCTGACTGGCGCGGGAATGTCCTATGCGTTGTCGTTTCTGGCGTTTATTATGGCTGAACAAGCGACCCCGACGACAGACGGCGCAGTGCAACCATCCGCATCCGGGTTAAGCTTTCTCCACAATCGCAGACCAGGCGCGATGTCCTCCCGAGAAGAGATGCGATTCGGCAGGCTGAATCCCAAGCGCAGCCGCCACCGAGTCCAGCAGCCGATTAGCCTGGTACATAGCACGCTGCCCCTCTCCAGGCAGCCACGATGTTTCTTTCTGGTAATTTGCCCAAATCCTTCCATGCATGGCCTATGCAACCTCGTGTAAGTCAGGGCTGGCCTGTTCCCCGTGCTACGCTCGAGACGTGAGCTTAGGAACGTTTAGCCGCCCGCAGGGGTTCCAACCCAACTAAGCCGGTCATCGGGGTGGTATCTGGTAACCGGGCAAGCGCTGTTTGATCCCAGCAGCCGCACGCACCTTCGGAACGTGCTCGGTGGTGTGTAGAAGGGTCGCTGTGTCTCGTCCCAGGCGCCGTCTTCCCCGAGGGACCTTTTCTTCGAGGAATTCACCCATGTTTCCCGGCGGCCGCCATCAACGACCTCCATCTCACAGAGGTGAGGGCGTCGTCGCCATTGCGTTGCAACAGGCACAAGGTCCCAGAAACGTGGGCGCAGGGTTGCGGCCAGCCCAAGCGCGACAGCCGAGTCTTAATACCGCGGGTTATTGCTTCCACCCAGGTGGTATTCTCATGTGTCCGTCTCGTTCTCCCACTCAACGCATCCATCTGCTCTTCTGGTAACCCTTGTAGTACTGTATATAATGTGAGGTATTGTGTTGCCAGCCACCGATAACCGAAACCCACGTTTGGGAGGGGCCTGCTTTGTGGGCTCGCCGGCCTTACAGCACATCAACCGGTCCACTCCCGACTCTCCGTCCCCAATTGTCTCATACATTCTGAGTGACACACAAGGTCGCACGAAATAGCCCGGAGGGGTCATGATACCGGGCTGCGGAAGCAGCACGAGGCATGCCTTGGATGTGGATCTGGTGCGTCCCGTTCCAATGGCACGCTGCAAGATCTCGGAGACGACCCTACCATGTGTGCGTGTTGCTTGCCCAGGTGCCTCCAGGGCTTAGACCGCTCGGGTGTGCTCCACCCATAGTAAGCACTTGACCAGGACCGCTGTGCCAGGCAACGAAGAGGACTCGCCCTGACTCGCCCCAGTTTGCTGTCAACCTTACCACCACGTGGCTGACCATGTTGCTTGGGATCTTTTCCAGTAAACCATAACACCCTGCGCTATTACGCTACCAGGGAAACACCCAGGGTCCTGGGACGAAGTGCGAAAACCGCAGTGTTACCCGTGGCGGGGAACATTCTGGGAACCCACGTCCTGGGATGACAACCTTGGAACCCGCGTGCTCTAGCTGCTTGGCTCCACATGTGCTGCACCTCCGCAGCCGGGGTGGCCATAACAGGTCTGTCGATGGGACGGACACTCTTCCAAACGATGCAACCAGAGCTCATCCACCGTCGCATTCCAAAAATAAGTCGTTGCTCCGCAGCTTATCTTATCACATAATCGACAGGTGATGAGAATCGCTTGCACATCTCCGCCGACGCCTCGGGTATATCGGATAGCCCTCCGTAGCCTCCTTCCTCTCACCATGTGAACGCGTACATTGTGCCAGATCCACCACCCCAGGGGAAGTAACATACATACTTGCTTCTATCCCATGTTCTAGGCTCCCCCATAACAATCCCAATTCCGTTGGACGAGAACCCATGCAAACATCAATGAGAATGCAAGGCTATACACTAGCTGAACATTAAGTATGCATCTTTTGCAATGCAACAGAACAATTAGGATTGACGCATCGCGCGCGATACGGGCATTCTATTCTGTTGGTGGGGAATTCACTCGAGGGTGACAAGTGCTCTCGTGTGCAGCGAAAAGGATGGACCATGGATGTTGAGTGGGGTCCGCATGCGACCAGGTGAAATAGGTCAAGGGCCCTGTACGAGAGTATCTGAATTGTGCATTCGGCGAGGAACCACGCGGCCTCGGTCGGGCAAAGGATCTCAAGAACTCCACCGAGGGGAATCGAGGGGAGTGCGGGGCCCGCCTATTTCGCTGGGCTGCCTTTCTGAGCGAATCCAGCCGCAAATCTTCGGCCTGCATTCAGACCATGGCGGCTCCGGCCCAGGCGACGACTCGGGTTGGGCCAGAGTAGGTCGGGGATGACGGGTGTTCGGGGCCAAATGCGCCAGCCAAGCGTTGACCACGTTGATCCCAAGGCTTGGTAAAAGCTTGGATTAACGCCCAGAGGGCTTGCAAGAGCTTGTCCTAATGTCTGACGTTCCATCGCGCGTCCATGTATCTTGTCAGATGTGTAAGCCAAGAGTCGGAGGGGTGTGTGTATGTGTAATAGCTTGGGGGGGGGCGCTACGGGCTGGAGCGCCTGTGTTCGTCTGGACCACGGACTTGTCCATCCTGGCAGGATCGGTCGGTCGCAGGTGTTTGTTCGGATCCGAGCCAGTGCTGCCTCCTCGTGTTACTGCCTCAGAGCACCTTAAAGAGTCGACGATGAACGCTGGGATGCTGAAACGGGCCAATCCTTGGTGCGGGCATCTGCAAGGTGCAGTTCCACGTGCTGTTGTGTGGCTGGAGACAGTCAGGCGGGCAAGTAAGCCCGGATATTCTGGGGCAGCCTCGCTAATCGTTTCTTCCGGTGCCTGGGTCGATTGGGGTCCATCCATGAGGATTAGCGGTCAATGTCCCACAATCCAACAATCCCAGGACGCACGGCATCTGAACAGGTGCCAGTGCGACAAGACCTTTGTGTCCCCACATAGATGGCAATTCCAACTCTCGACGAGGCTCGCAGTGTGTCGACTCTGCCCGCTTGCAGGGTCAATTCAAAGGGATGTCATGAAGGGGCGAGTCAGACTTTGCCATCGGGTCAGCGGTTGGGCTCTGTGCAGCATGACAGCCAAGAATCCGGGGCGTGTGCTTGGCCCAGGTTTGACACTCGGGCATACCAGGAATAAACGGTGATATGCAAGCCAAACAAGCCAAATTGGGAGGAATCTTGAGATGGCTCCCGTGGTGGCTGCTGCAAAGGTTCGAAATGAGCCCCGTTGCGACAAGATGGACGCTGAGGCGCCCCCTGGAAAATGTGGCTGACTGACTGGCTCACGCATTGCATTGTGGGTTACCCTTGCTGTGGTGGCGCGCGCGCATCAGCATCAGCATCTGCGTGTGCAAGCCATGTTGGAATAAGCGGTATGGTGATTCGCACGACAGCTGAACAAAACAAATGAAAAAGCTGCACTGACGATGTGCCTTGATCTGTCTCTTGATGGACGGTGCTCTTTTTCTTTTTCTCTAGGACGGCGGGTCATGTTGAGAAGGAGTGGTCACGCCAGCCAGGGGCGATGCAGCGAGCCAAGAACCATGGCATGGCAAGGTTATTTGATGCCTGGTGTGTGGCCTGGATCGTGATCTGTCGGTCGCTATGCTGCTCCCGAGACGTATGGTGAAGAAAGAGTGTCACCGTGTTGCTGTGATGTTGCCATGATGTTGCCAAACCGTATAGCTGGGCGGTGACGGCTGGGTCATGTCCCCTTGGCTGGTGCATGTGCTCTCAGGCTCTCCCTGTTGGCAGCATTGGTCGAACCTGGTGCTGCAAGTTGCACGACGCAATTGCACGATGCACGACGAGATGTGCGTCGAGTTGGCAGGTTGACGAGGAAGGAGGAAGGAAGAAGCGGCGCTGACGGTGTCATGGCCCGTGTTTGCGCTGGCAACGTCATGGCTGCGGGCGGCTAACAAGCCTCGTGGGCGTAGGGTAGAGTAGGGGCCCGTAAGGCTGGGGTTGGACCCGATGCGTGCATGCGTCAATCATGTGTGGCTGTTGATATATCTCGCCGTGTCCTCGTCTCTGTCTGTCTGTGCCTGCTTGTCGTATCTTGCGATTGCTTCCCTTCCCCTCTCCTCTCCTCTCCTCCCAGCTTGCCTTTGCCAACCCCAATTCAACCCCTGCTGCCAGGGACCTTTTTCTTTTAGTCTGTCCTAGGCACTTATTAGTACCCAAAACGGGAGGCAAGGACGTGGTCTAACCACTTCGAGCCGCCAGCCGCAGGTGCTCCTTCCAAGTGGGCTAAATTGTTCCAAAATTCACCACCATCTCACCCTCACTCTTGACAGGGCCCCCTGTCCCTCGTGGTAAGTCCTGTTCTTTTCGGGGTACTCCGTACCCAGGTACTGCTTCCTGTTCCAATTTCCTGTTACCTAGTCCTCTTGCCCCATACCTTGTTCCGCAAGAGCAGGAAGGAAGGGCAGAAAAAGGCACCACACATTGCATGCATGTCCCATGTTCGCTCCCACGTTCTACTTCAAACCACCCCCCCTTAACCCCAGGAATTGATGCCCACACCCCCACCCACACCATCGTCCACACACGCCCCCATCCATCTTCTATCACATTTACCATACCACTCTTTCAACCTCCCGTCTACTCCCTCCCACCACAAGCGTGTGTGTGTGTGTCTCAAGCATCCTCATCCTTCTTTCAACAGTCAAGCCTCCTTGGCGAGCTTGGCTCCCGGGCTTGGCTGAATGCTTGACACTTAAACAAGCACGCCGCCATCCTTGGGTCCCTGAGATGGACGAAGCTTGAGCTCGTCGATCACAGTCCATCGTCCATCATTATTGATCGATCGATATATTACTGCATTACCTCCCCTTACTCGACTAGACGGTCAACCAGGCCCCACCAACTCTGCAACATTGTCACCAACACCCGCAGCCAGCCCTACCAACATTGACTTTGACTCTGACTTTGACATTGCCACTGTACCCTCTCTATTTCTGCACCAACACACACACCTCTTGTCATCTCCCGACACCGTTGACTCCACACTTGCTGTCACCTCCTGTCTCGTACACAATGCAGGACGAACTAGGTTCCGGCAGCAGTTCTGACACTTCAGTGTCATCTTCTTCTTCAGTCACCTCCACCATCTCCTCCGTCTCTTCCGCCAATATTTCTTCTTCTGTCACAACAGCACCAGACTCTGCCCAGGCCCACCAGGCCCACGACAAGTCTGCTGCTGATACCGCCAACGTGGAATCTGCATCTGTGGCGCCGCCAGTCAACCCCCCACACCCAAAGAAGACGAGGTCTCAGAGCCCCGGTGCCGTTCAGAGGCGCAGAATCCAGAACAGGATAGCACAACGGAATCATCGTGAGTCCAGTCACTCGTGAGGCCCGTCCGTGTCTGGCATGGACTTGCTTGGCTGACATTATTCTCATCCTAGGACAGAAAGTAAAAGAGAGGGTGGCAGAAGAAAAGGATCGCCTGGCACGGGAGCAGGCCGCAGAGCAGGCCGCACATCACGCCCACCACGCCCACCACGCACACCACGCACACCACGCACACCACGCACACTTTGCCCATTCCAGCCGGAGCAGCAGCGCGGGCAGTGTGAGCAGCAACAGCTCCGTCACAAACTACCCCATACATCCCCTGCACCCAGCCGGCGTCTTCCCTCACAGTCAGTCACCAATCCAGGTCCCTGGTGCGCGCTTGCAACCGCCAGGAGCCATGAACACCTTTGGAGACGACATGAGCAAGGGCTGGATCCCAGATCCCACCCTGCTGCCAACCCCGGACGGGGACCTGGCCGCTTTTGCGAATGAGTACCTGAACATGTCCTGCAGTTGCAACAGCATGACAGGCCCCTGCGCCCAACACCGCGAGGAGATGCGCGTCCAGTTCATGAGTTTCATGTCCTCGCCCCAGAACCAGCAGCCCATCCACCACCCCAAGAAAAATTCCTTCGCCGGCATGGAGGATGTCCTCCTGGAGAACCTGATGCAGCCCCCACTGCCCAGTCCTCCGCTGTTCCCAGAGATGCAGACACCAGTAGACCCTTCGAGACAATCCAATGGCCCCTCGGCTTTCCGAAGAGGTACCGTGGGTTCACAAGGCTCCGGCTCCTCCGCCAGCCCCGGAGATGCCGCCAGCTCGGCCGCCTCCGCCACCAATACCTCCCGGTTCAAGGCCATCCTCACTTTTGTCAGGGCAGCTGGGTTTCCTGACTTCGACTCCATGGTCACCAGTTACTACACCTCCACCTTCCAGAAGAACAGTGTCGCCGAGCTGGCCCAGCGCAGCTCGCGTGGCCGCAAGCTAGCCGGTGTGCTCGACAGTCTCCACAAGTCATCCTCCAAGTGGACCGTCTGGGAGAGCCGCGGCTACCGCGAGAAGACTGTCGAGTCCGCTCAGGGGTTTTATACACAGGAGCTCGAGCAGGTCATCCGGAAAGCCCGCAGGCGCCAGCACCAGCAGCAACAGAACGGCATCCAGGGAAGCCAGGATGTCATGATGTATGACGGCGAGATGAACTCGGAGGCATCCTCAGGGTCTGCCGTTGCGCCTGGAAGCATTGCCTCGGTTGGCGCCGTCCCCGAGGAGATGCAATGCGTGTTTCAGGATAACGTAAGTCATCAAGTGTTCTTAGGGGCTCAGGTAGCTTCCCCCCCCCCCCCCAAACCCTTCCCTTCCATCACCTTATTACCCAATACTCTGGGTGTCCCTTGATCCACAGCCCATGCTGACTTATGTTTTCATACAGTTGCCAAACCTCTGGGCCCTGCTCACGGAACTTGCTGGGACCAACAACATGCATTGTGACCGGGTGGCGCTGGCGTCACTGTTGCTGCTTTACAACGCCCGGCAAAATCCAGACGTGGACGTGGACGACCTCCTTCCTGACTGGCGTCACACAGACGGGCTGGTTGACACTACCTAGGTATTTGAGCGTTTCACAGCAAGCAGAAGCAATCTTCATGCTTGCTGGCCGTGGCCATCAAAGGATGCGGTTTGGTTTGTCAACCCAAACACAGCTTAGAGCTGCATCTTGTGGGTAGTTTATACTTGAAGCGTTCTTCCTATCGCATGTACTTCAAAATTTAGATGGTCCAGAATGAATGTGCTAGGAATTTCTTTCTGGTGGCTCATGTTTTGTCTTCAATGGCGCTACGGTGTTGGTGTACCACCGAATGGGTCCAGGTTCTGCACGATACTGGCAAGAATGTCACGGGTTCAATCACGGCTAGTTTGTATATAAGACATTTTTAGGTATTTGCGGCCTTTGAGAGCATTCTCTTGAAGACATCTACAAATTGCACCCGTAAATATGGCTTTGATGGGCCTTCAAGAGCCAGCGAGCTGCTGAGCAGAGGCAAATTGCTCCACTTTATGACTTGCACGTAGATATTTAAACAAAAAAATATTTCGTGTATGGCGATGTGAATCCACTTATATCCATACACTCAGGTCCACGGGTGGCGTCGATGCTTGTGCCAAAGGCCCGTGATGAGAAGAATTTGTACATGACGCGACGTGTGGGAATCCTTGCTCAAGAAGACGGCAAGCAACCATGTTGAGGTGTAAGTTGTAATGGATTTTCAAACTCAATACGCGCTATGCCACCATGATTATCACCATACAAAATCAACTTCAAACTGTTGACTCAACCTATCCGCCAGCCTATGCCTCCTTGACGAGCGCAACCTTGGCCCCGTTCAGGTTAACAGTCGTCAGCCCCAGACCCTCGGTCCACGGGTTTGGATCCCTCGACTCAATCCGATCAAATGTCTGCACCAGCCTGACAACGACATAGCTTGCCTCGGTAAGGGCGAACTGCTGGCCCGGGCAGATGCGTGGGCCCCCGTTGAACGGGAGATATGACCATCCGGGCCTCATGTCGGCTCGTGCCCAGCGTTCGGGCTCGAACTCGTGGGCGTCGTCCCCGAACACGGACTTCCTCCTGTGCATGGCGTAGACCGAGTACGAGACGCCCTCGCCTTTGCCGATGCTCACGGGGGACTGGCCGTCGGGCCCGCCGCCGTGGGGGATCACGGTGTTGCGGCTTGCAATGCGGGAGTTTAGGGGGACGACTGGGTAGAGGCGAAGAGCTGGGGGGGCTTGTTAGCACGATATTCTTAATCCTCTTTTTTCTGTAAACTGGAAGTGAGTGGCAGGATGATTTGAGGTGCTGAAACTCACATTCGTTCAATAGAAACTTGACATATTTCATGCCACGGAGAGTGTCGTAGTCTGGAGCAACACCGCCAAGCACATCGACTTCTTCCTTGAGCTTGGCCCAAATATCTGGGCGCCGGGCCAGGACGAAGAAGGTGTTTGACAGAAGCGAAGCAGTGGTGTCGCGGCCGGCCAGAAGCACGTTTAGCAGCTCGTGTCGCAACTCAATCGGGTCCGACGTCTCCTTGGCCATCTCGTACAGGAATACATACCTCTTCTTGCCGTCCGGCCCCACAATGCAAGAGTCGTCGTCGTCGTCCTCTTCTCCGGCCGCCGCCTTACTGCCCGGGCTGGTAGGCCCCGTGCTCGCGCGTGAACTGGCGCATTTCTTCTGTAAGGCATTCGAGATGTACCTGTCGACAAAGCTGTGCACAGTCACAAGGGCCGCATCCCACTCCGCATCCCGGAAGATGTAGTTGGCCATGAACCAGTTCCTCGGCCGGAAGTGCGCCTTGGACTGGGCCGTGTCGAAGGCCCTCATAAACATGTGCTCCTCCGAGTCCGGTGACTTCTGCAGCGTGTTGAGGCTCCGCCCAAAGAGCACCTCCGTGGCCGCGTCGATCGTCAGCCGGAAGAAGAGAGGCGCCAAGTCCACCGTCGCCCCATTCGAAGGGATCAAGCTGATCAGGTGCGATACATGCTCCTCGTAGGTATCCAGGTTGCTGACCTGCAACTTGGCAAAGGTCGGTCTCACAAGTGCCTGTAAGATGAGGATTTGATCAGCTTCTACTACCCTCAAAAGTCAGGCCTTGTGGGCAGTGAGGCAAGAAATGACGGGGCCGCGGTGGCGGCGGAGGAGTGTAAGCTGCTTTGTGACCAATCAGATAACGCTTGGAATCCGGAAAGGCTGTCAGACATTCCCCGTTTCTGTCGACGATCAGAACGGAGGCCACTCCGGCGCGGACGTATTGAAAAGGATACTACCGAAGTGTCTCAAGGAAAGACCTCGGGATGCCGAGTGTAGCTTCAGAACCGTTGACCGGGCCTTCCGACAATGCAAGGGACTCTTTTCCGGGAAGAAAGGAACGGAGTTGAGTGGATGACAGGTGTATGACAGGCGGGATGTAACTCCACTGCCGAGCAGCCAAGACAACGAGCCGGCCGCCGTTCGTATAAGGCGAGCAAATCGAAAGAGAAGAGCAACAAGTAAATGAACAAGAAATTGGGGACAACTCACCCGGGAATGCTCCCAAGCCGCCCCATCCGTCGTGAAGATCCCCGAGCCAAGCAGCGGTCCGAGTGTGTCTATCCTCTGACCCACGGCGAAATCCTTGAAGTTCGTCGAAAGCACAGTCTTGATATTCTCCGGGTCGATCGTATGCGTAAAAGTCTTGCCCAGCGCCTTGGTCTCGAACGTCTTGCCCATGGCCGTGTACCGCCGCAGCCCCAGCTCGAGGATGCCGTGGTTCTTTGCCGCCCGCAGCATCTCGAGCACGTTCTGGATCCCGACCCATTGCTCCCACTGCGGCAGCTTCCTCGCCGGCTGCGTGCCGTTCTTTTGCGCAAAGGCCTGGGCCTCAAGGTAATTCTGCACCTTGCTTGCCAGAACCAGCAGCACAAGACACCCAACCAAGACGGGGAGATATGCTGAGAGCAGTTGCATGACGGGCGCTTATCTGGCAGTCCGCTGGGGTGTGTTTCCTATATGGGTTGGAAGAGTCCGGCTTGCTGACCGGGTATGTTCTTGCACCCGTCGAACGCGACGCTGTGGAGTTGTGCAGCGTTAGCTAATACGAAGCTATGCACTGTAAGCTTGGGACGACGTGAGAAGTGGTGATCGTACTGAGCGTTGTGAATCGCGCTGCTTACCAAATATCGAGCCAGTGTTGAAGAGCATGATGATGAGAATGACAGGAGTGACAGCGAAGGGCATGTCATGTTCTTAAGTATGGGAAACACAAAAGTCATTCACAAAGCCTCGCCTTGATGACATGCATGAGAAGCCTGTCATTCCCAGCTGGGCGAATGGATTTTGCATCATGGGGCAACTTGTCAGCCAAACGGCCCTGATCATGGAGATGATCGAGGCGATATGTGTGTGGGCTCTGGTCATCATTGCATGCTTCTCACGCCGAGAAGGACGAGGCTCCCTCTGCGTGGCAACTCTCACCGTCAGCCCCGGAGGCTCAGGTTCACCATCCACTTCGTTGTGATTTCTGATTAGATACGACAGTAGAGGTCTATTGACATCATTGTGGCGATGGCAAATCGGACACCAGAGCACAAAATGCCTAAACCATAACAGGTGGTACACTGAAGGCTGCTGGCACCAGAATGGCGTAAAGGGTTCCTGTCAGCCACTGTCATCATGTCAGCCTCATTCCACAAACTACCCCTGTGTGGGTCAATGTTCTCTTAATTACATACAGCATTTAAATCTTTCAATGGGTGCACAAGCTGCTTGAACCCAGAACTTTCCATATTCTCATTCACCAGTCTGTGAGATCTAATGAAGAGGGATTCAGAAAATATCTAAAGCCGTTGTTGGAAGACAGAAGTCCCAGAGTGGACTGAAAGGGGAGATCCATCATCCGTATGAGATGATCATCGCCACTGGACGCGTCGGAAGTCAAATTACAGTCAGCCAGCATGTATCCAGGAGGATGAAGTCGCCTAAAGGCGTCTGATAAATATAGACTATCTATATTGTTGATTGGACATATGCGGAATAGAAACGAAATAACTGCACATGTGATACTTTTTAGTTCCCTTCTTACTTCGGAACTATACTGAATGTACTAGCTATGTATAAGGAAAAGGCATAATTTATGTATTATGAAAAGGATTGCTTCCGTCACCTTCACAGCTAGATTCCACCAAACTAGAACATTCAGTTAATACCGTTTATATGTAGGTACTGATATTACTTAGCATTTTCGGTCTTGATACGGTGTTTTCAAGTTGGTATTTGCATGCACATTGGTGTTATTTGACGCACGTAATAGCATGTCTGGACTGGCTCAATTTGCTTTGCCGCCATGTTTTCGGAAACAATGGTGCAATTTCTTTGATATTACCTTGGTACTTTGCTCTAATCTTTGAGAATTTTGCACAATCAATTAGATTCCCATACTGCCAAATCAAAATTGCGACTACCAAATCCCAGAATACCACTATGAATTACTGATAGACGCCAAGACAAAAGAAATCCCTGGCTGCCCAGGTGAACAGCGCCAGCTTCGACTCCAAAACTACTTCCGGATCCGGATAGCATTCACCGTGTCCATCATGGCCAGCATAGATTCCTGATCCTCCCCGCCAACCACCAAGGAGCCGATGCTGTACCTGAAAATCCCGCCAGGTCCGCCACGACCATGCGTCCAACCAGTGATGACCAGACGTCCCTCTTCCAACTCCCTGGAAAACTTGGCCTCGAAGGCGTTGCGGTCTCCTCTCACGGCAAGAGGCGTCAACAGGGAGGCGCAGTTCAGCCCCCGAGAAGTGAAGTGGTTCCGCATGAGTCCCAATATGTAACTACCTGTCAACCGCACGTTCAAGTCGATGACATGCTGCCTATCGCTCTCGTCGAGCATGATGTCCGCTCCCAAGGGACCGTAGTACCCTTGGTCAAAGACATACTTAGAGATTTGCCTGGCAGTCTCGCCGTAATACTCTTCCCAGTGCTTCTGACGGTTAAAGTCGACAAAGGCACCGCTCCAGTAGTTGCGCTCGTCCAGAATCGGCTCAGTGCAGCTGACCCATACGGAGCGCCCAGCCTTGGTGACAAAGAGGTTGAGGCCGCGGGGAACACCTGGAAGCATGTCCTGAAGGATGAGACAGGCAGGCTTGAGATGCTCGTTCGCGATATTGACACTCTGGATCATGCTGACAGTCTCTTCTTGGAGGCCCTCGAGACAGTCGGTACGATCAGCCTCGTCCTTGAGCACGAAGACACCTTGACCGCCAACTGCCTGAGGGACCTTGACAACGAATGGCAACTCACGCTTCTGGATGGGCGCAAGCATCTTTTCGACCTCGGAAGCTACCAGAAGTGGGTCTTTGGCTTCTTCTGGTGACAGCTGCGAGTCGATGACATCGGACCGAGGGCTTTTCAGAGGTGCAAAAGCCAGGGTCCTCTTGGACAACAGCTTGTAGTGGACATCTGTGTCAACTGTCACGGTACGGCCTTCCAGAATATCCAATGGGGTGTACGAAAAAAGCCGAGTGGGCCCTGCTCGCTTGATATCAGATGGATCGCTGATGAATCTAACATCAGGCCTTTGGGCGGGGTCAAGCTGGGAGTAGACACGCTCGGCATCCTCGCGGTGGCCAGGCACCGCAGTGAGTTTGGCGAAGAAACCACTCTTTGGCGCCTCAACGTCGAAAAGGTAAAGAGGGATAGGTCCAGTCTGAAAGGCGTGGTACTGAGCGGCGGACCCTAGACAAATACGAGCATAGATGTCGTTGTCGAGCTTCGGGTATCTCGGAGACTGATACGCATACTTGACTGGCTTCGGAAAGGACGGCGCAACTTGTGGTCCGGGAGGAGGCACGGCCATGACAAAGCCGACCTCGTCACCGTTTCCTCCATCCAGGTTGTAGAGATCGAACAGAGTTTGGTCGAGAGTGATTATCGGAAGATTAGAAGCCATTTTAGCCAGAGGAATTGGCGTGCCTAGCCTGATATTGAAGGCAACACTCTTCGATTGATCCCAGGAACTGTAGGTCTCGTCTCAGGCAATCGTCGTTGTTGGCCAAACTGTGATGTTAATCATGACAACAAGGTCTGACAGGATCTGCAGTCATTCTTATAAGCAAGCTTTTCTCTACCTTCTTTCTTCTTTCCAGTGAAGCATCTTCCAAGATTGATAAACTGTGGCCCGCCCAGCCCTGTCGTTTCCTAAGCTAGGAATGAGATTATTGGCTCATGGTTCGAAATATCTGTCAACTGCTCTGAAAAAAATGTCGCAATTGTCAGCTCAATCACCTTTCACGTCTATTCGCCCCCAGAATTGCAGGGATTCGTGCCATGCAGTGCGGGATAGACGCGGCGATGCACCGCAGCGCGTCAAGGAAATGACAATGATGCATGGCGCTTGTCTGTACAAGAGGCTCAAAGTTTCAATAGTCTGAGACCGAATATCCTACGCCAAGATCTTCTTCCGCTTCTGGCCGGTAAACATCATTAGAAGCAGCTGAGGTCGGCCCAACTGAGAATAGCAGAAGGCAAAACGGTCACTGTGGCGACATGCTATCGCGAGTGCTGACAGCTACCTGGGTATGGACGCAGGTTCCCCATTTCAATGAAGGAAGAGAGAGGTTAGCATACCTAGGTAAGACCTGTCAAAAATTCTTAGTGCTTGAAGACTAGGCAAGAATGAACCTGTCAGGAAGCGTGGTGAGTGACAGTTTTAGACCCACGCCTGGGGGTGAACAAAGGAGCGAGCTTCTTGTCAGCCACTGTCTATTTCAAGGTGTCATGCACCCATCCGTGGCTGACATTTCTGCTGACATCCTCTTCCGAAGCGGGCCAAAGCCTAGGAATTTAGCCATATCATGGCCGAACTTGACGTGAACGGCGCTCACATGCAGGACCAGTTACGAAATCGTGGCACGCGATGGCAAAATTTCAAAGCGATGACTCCGCTGGCACGTTGTTCTTGCGTTAGTGAGAACGGTGCTTATTCCCTGCATCACGGCAGCAGCGCGATAAAACCATGTGCCCTCCGTTGCCATGGCTTGGCACAAAGATGGCCGATACACCGTCATTCTTTTCACTTTGCTGTCCCAGGTGCCCTATGCCGGGCCGGGGTGCGAGGCCAACTGTGTAGTTAACACCTCCAAGTACGTTAGCCAATAGCTCAACCTGAAGGTCGGGCGTTGATCTCAGCCCTGGCCTTTTATTTGTCGTCCAAGGAAAAGTGTCACCATGGGATCTGGGTCCAAGTTCACAGAGATTGATCTGGGAGATGGTATCGAAGAAGTGTGTCCCCCGAATTCAGATGACGGTGATTCAAGGGACAATAAACAAGCTGAATCATCGTCCGCTGATCCGGCCGGCTCTTTCATGGCGAACACGGGTCTCGACTCGAATTGTTCAAGCCGCAAACACTCGCAGTCATCTCTCCAGTCATCATCCTCGAGAACAATATCACCGTCGACCATCGCAGATGTCGACGAGCACCCACTGAAGCGAGGAAGACGAGAGACATCGCCTCCAGCCTATCAAGACGTGGGGGCAGAAAGGAGAGAAAGCGATTCCACGACGTCCACAATCAGAGCCAGTACGTCGGAGTTGGAGAATGGAAAACAACAGACCCGCGAGGAGAGAGCTGCGGGCAAGGGGTTCTTTTCCTGGCTCACCAGGACAAGGCCTCCTCCTCCATACCCCTCCGAAAGGACCGTCTCACCCGAGTATGCTGCCGGGATCTTCAGCCGGCTGACATTTCAATGGATGTCACCAATGATGTCCGTAAGTGTCGAAGTTCCCATTGCTTTCACCTGACTGTTTTCCCAGAAAGCACCCTTCCAAGTCACACACTCTGTCTTGAATTTGGACCATCGCTTGGACAGATTGGATGAATCAGGTAGCTGAGCCGTTCCAAAGGCGTATAGTACACGTCAAACAGCACAAATTTGCGAGCTCGGGCATATGCCTGACCCAGCCTCCTTGCTCTCCATTGACTGGTGACTGACCAATTTTGCATAGGTGGGTTTCCGGCGGCCTTTGAAAATAAATGACATATGGCTTCTCAATCCTGACCGCTCTGTCGAGGCACACGCCGATCTTGTCAGCGACGCCTTCAAGAAGGGCGTGGAAGCAGGTTACAAAGCACCCCTGTTTTGGGCCTTGTACAGCACCTTCAAAGCCGAGTTTCTCTTTGGAGGCCTGTGCCGGCTGATCTCGGATCTTTTTGTTGTCGGTTCTCCCTACACTCTCCGTTACCTCATCCAGTTCGCCCTGGAGTCATACTATGCCAGCTTCGAGGGCGTTGGGCCACCGCCCGTTTCCCACGGCTACGGTTTAGTGCTGGGAATTGTGTGCATGCAGGTCGTCCAAAGCTTTTGCACAAACCACTTCTTCTACAATGGGCACATGGTCGGCGGTCAGACACGAGCGGTTCTCATCACTGCCATCTTCAACAAGTCACTGAGGATATCGGGGCGGGCCCGGAACGGAATCAAGCCGCCGTCGTTCAGCGAGACACAGGCAACCCTGGTCGGCGATGATGAAGACCCGGCGGGACAGAAACAGGAGGCGGCGGAACCACAGGCGAAGGCGAGGCAGATAAACGACGCAAAGAAGAAGAAGAGCTCTGCTGTTGCAGAAATGGGATGGTCTAATGGGCGAGTTATCGGCCTGATGGCCATTGACTCGGCACGTATCGACGCAGCTGCGGGTTTGATCCATACCGTGTGGACCGCGCCGCTTATCACCGTTATTGCAGTGGCACTCTTGATCGTCAACCTGAGCTACAGTGCTCTGGCGGGCCTGGCGATCCTGATCGTGGCGATGGTCTTCCTCGCCAAGACGGTCGGCAACTTATACGCCCGGCGGAAGAAGATCAACCAGGTCACAGACAAGCGAGTAGGCCTCACTCAGGAAGTCCTGTCGGCAGTCAGACTGGTCAAGTACTTTGGCTGGGAGACTTCGTTCGTCGAGCGCATCGTCGGCATCCGAGCCACAGAGACAACAGCGCTGCAGTTCTTCATGGCCTTTCGCAACATAGTCACTGCTGTATCGCAGACAGTGCCCATTTTTGCAGCCATGCTTTCCTTCGTCACATACGCCACGACCCACAGTGGACTCTCACCAGCTGTGGTCTTTTCGTCTATGGCCATCTTCAACAGTCTCCGAAGCCCTTTGACGTACCTGCCGGTCTGCCTCGGCATGGCCGTCGACGCCTGGGCATCCATGCAACGGATCCAGGAATACCTCCTGGAGGAGGAACAGGAGGTCTTCGAGGTCGATCCCAACTTGGAGGCCGCCATCCATGTGAGTAGTGCTGCTTTCACATGGGAAAATCAGTTCTCAAAGGGGCCAGCACCGGGTGCTGGGGGGAAGACGCCCGGGAGTATGGGAACTGAGAAGCATGGTTCGAGTGCGACACTGGTCGAAGAGGGGCAGCCCTTTGCCCTCAGTCAAATTAACATTGACATCAACCGTGGCGAGCTGGTCGCTGTCATCGGCGGTGTTGGATCCGGGAAGACTTCGTTGCTATCCGCCCTGACAGGCGACATGCGCAAGACGGAGGGCTCGGTGGTCTGGGGAGGTACCAAGGCCGTCTGTGCCCAATACGCGTGGATACAGAACGCTACCGTCAAGGACAACATCATTTTCGGCGGCCAGGTCGACGAGGCATGGTATCAAGTTGTTGTTCACGCATGCTCGCTGACTGCAGACTTCGAGACGCTTCCGCACGGTGATGCAACAGAGATTGGCGAGCGGGGCATCAACCTATCCGGGGGGCAGAAGCAACGCATCAGCCTGGCCCGAGCCGTGTATTCCAAAGCCGACATCCTGCTGTTAGATGATCCCTTGAGCGCGGTTGATCCATTTGTTGGCAAGTTCATATTCGAGACGGCCATATGCGGCCTCCTGAGCCACAAGACACGAGTCCTCGCGACGCACCAGATGCACGTCCTCAGTCAGTGTGACCGCATCATTTGGATGGAGAACGGCTGCGTCAGGGCCGTAGATTCATACCTCAACCTGATGGTCAGCAACAAGGACTTTGCTGCCATGGTCCATGAAAGGGTCGCGGCGGCACAACAGGACAACGAAGCAACCGCCGACTCAGCCATACCGACAGCAGCAGCAGCAGCTAGTCCCGTGGCCAGCGCCCCTAATTCTGCTGCCGCGAAAGCGGCCAAGGCGGCTGCTGGCAAGCTCAAGGACCTCATGTCGACCGAGGACCAGAATACCAAGAGCATCCCCTGGTCAGTGTACGCCTCGTACATTACCTCTGCGGACTCGATGGTGTTAGTCGCTCTCATAATCCCTCTCCTGTGCCTGGCCCAGGGCCTGAACATCCTCTCCAGCCTCTGGCTGGCGTGGTGGAGTCAGGACAAGTATGGCCTCCCGGAGAACACGTACATCGGCATATATGTCATGCTCTGCGTCACCCAGGCTCTCTTCCTGTACGCATTTGGCATCTGCCTTGCCATCACTTGCACCAGCTCCAGCAACCAGATGCTCAACAAGGCGCTGCGGAAAATACTGCACGCGCCCATCGCGTTCTTTGACACGACGCCTCTCGGTCGCATCACGAACCGCTTTTCCAAGGATGTTGATGTGATGGATTATTCTCTGACGGAGGCTCTTCGCCTCTATTGCATCTCGATAGCGATGGTCATCTCCATTTTTGCCTTGATTCTTTCTTATTTCTACTGGGTGAGTGCAACTCATCAATTTCCCCGAGTTTCGGCTCCTGACCTGCGCTGGCTGACCAATGTCTGACGTGTCGGGCGACTAGTTTATATGTGCCCTTGTGCCCGTCATGATAATATTCTTCTTTTCGGCCGCTTACTACCGTGCATCTGCCCGTGAAGTAAAACGGTACGAGGCGGTCCTCCGATCTGTCGTCTTCGCACGCTTCACCGAGGGCCTGAGTGGTGTCTCGTGCATCCGCAGCTACGACTCACAAGACCGCTTCGTGAAGACGATCAAAGTAGCAATAGACAACATGGACAGTGCCAACTATCTAACCTTTTCTAATCAGCGGTGGCTCAACATGCGCCTGGACCTGGTCGGCGTCATCCTCATCCTCACTGTGGGTATTGTCGTTGTCCAGGAGCGCTTCACACAGTCCCCGGCCATTTCTGGGCTGGTCCTGTCGTACATCCTCGGCGCCACCCAGGTCCTCCAGTTCATCGTGAGGCAGTTTGCTGATGTTGAAAACGCGATGAATGCCACCGAGCGGCTCTATTCCTACGGCAAGGACATCCCGCAAGAGGGGGCGACCGTCAACAACGGTGTCGCACCGAGGCCGCCGACCTCGGCGTGGCCATTTGCCGGCGAGATCACCTTTGACAACGTGCGCATGCGGTACAGACCCGACCTTCCCGAAGTGCTGAGAGGTTTCAACCTGCGGGTCAGTGGGAGCGAGCGCATCGGTATTATCGGGCGTACTGGGGCTGGCAAGTCCAGCCTGATCGGGGCCCTGTTCCGGATGCAGGAGCTCAGCGGCGGGTCCATCGCCATTGACGGGGAGGACATCTCAAAACTGCCTCTGGAAGCCCTTCGCTCACGGCTCTCCATCATCCCTCAAGACACGACGCTGTTTCGCGGCACCGTGAGGTCGAATCTTGACCCGTTCAATAACTGTTCCGAGTGGCAGCTGATCCATGCTCTGCAACAAGCCCACCTTGGCGCGCTCAACCTAGACGACAAGGTCGAGGAAGAAGGCCTCAACTTCTCCCTCGGGCAGCGGCAGCTCCTTGCACTCGCCCGGGTGCTGGTCAGGGGAAGCAGGATTGTCGTGTGCGACGAAGCGACGTCCAACGTGGACCTGGAGACGGACGAGAAGATCCAGAGCACAATGCTACAGGCTTTCAAGGGCAAGACGGTGTTGACGATTGCGCACCGGATACGGACCATTATCCGCTACGACCGGATATGCGTCATGCACCAAGGCCAAATCATCGAGCTCGGCACGCCCAGGGAGCTTTGGGAGCTGGGTGGCGTGTTCAAAGGCATGTGTGAGAGGAGCGGCATTGGTGAAGAGGAGTTCACCGAGGTCGTAAGTTGATCCACCAAACGGGCGACGCCCCGTTATCTAGCCCCCGAGTCGCGCAAATCACGTGTCGTACTATCTGTGTTGCCTTTTGCCCTTAACTGACTGATTTCCAGTGGTTTTGATGTTCGCGGGGAAGGAACTTGGCGTAGGGGCACATGCATCGGCATTGGAAAGGCGTTAGGTGTTGTTGAGCTTATGAATTTGCTACAGGGGCGGGGGGATCCGGGTGCACCTGTGGCACATCCTTTGAGCATAATTGGTATTTCTCTGGCCAGGGTAACAATAATGTCAACTGGTATGTACCAGAGGCTGCCGATACGTGGGTATTCTGGTGGAGTCTGAGTAGAGCAGTTGGCGTGTGGAGCGTTCGATGGGGTTCCAAGTTCGGTCGATGCATCACATTCACTGCCCACGATGCTGCTGCGGGATGGTCCACCTAAGCATTCTGTACTGCTAGAGCATATGGGCTTTGCTCTGTGCGATCTTGTCGGGTGCGCTGGTGGGATACTGCAAATAGTGCTTCCAATCGACTGATTTGCGTTGGGAAACGTTGGTGGTCCACAAGACCGAGTGTGGCCTCTCAGGACGTTGATCCCCTGGTGATAAAGCAGCCAAAGTTCCTATCGAATCGACTGCGGGCGTCACTGGCAAGTCGGACGATGGGGTCTTGGGTGGGCTGTCTGAGTTTTGGCCTGGTTCGGCAGTTGGTGGGAGCCACAGCCAGAGTCTACCCTTCCAGACCGCCCAGAGCTGTTTCGTCAGACGCTGCTGGAGTCTTGCCTCCCCGGAGGAACTCATCTCGGAATTTCTGCGCCTTCTTCTCAGTTCCCGGCGCAGGCGTCTCAGAAGTTCAATTTGCTGTGCCAAGACTTTGTCGCAATTTTCATCTGCGCTGTGGGTGGCCAAGTACAAGCCACTAGTTGAAGGGTGATTAGTAGAAATGTTTTTCAGTGTTCTATGTGGGATTGCCCTGAGCACATCACGGTGATGACGCAGCAAAGGAAGCAGCCGCTTGTCGAGGTTGGAGGGGTCATTCGCGACAGCCACTATGAAAGAATTCACTCGTGCCCATTCAGTGTCCCAGGAATACCAGCCAGTGAATGTCCCACCACGGCCGGCAGGACTGTCAGCCGTGGGAGCGCGGCCGCTCTGGACCACCGAGTTCGGGGCGGGCAGAGTGCTGTCGGGCTCAGGGCCAGGATAGGGGGTGGCTGTCTGCTTGTTGGTTGAGGGGACGGCGGCTGAGGCGTGCTGCTCCAGGCCATGATGCTCATGGGCTGTGTCGACAGTGGATTTGGAAGTGAACAAGAGGGATTTGAGGCGTGACCATAGGCCTGGAAGACTGTGGCGGGCTGGGTGGCAGGCTGGGTGGCGGCCGTTGAAGAAGCGGGCGGGCAGGTGCTGGTGTGACCAGGTGGCGGATCCGTCGAGGGTGGGTCTGGCGGTGGTGGGGGAGAGCAGGAGGGGGTGGGTCAAGAGGCCAAAGGTTCGCATGACGGACTCGAGGGCGGCGGCAGGGCCATGATCGGAGTCGAGCCAGACAGCACCCATGACGGCTTCGACGGTGGTGGCCCGGGCCGGGCCGGAATGGATGTGACTAGCGCCGAGGATTCGCAGACGCTGGCCGACATTTGCGAGGTTCGCGTTGCTAAGCAGGTCGTTTTTCAGGCCAGCCCACTGCCTCGGGGCGAGATGGCCAGTTTCGCTGTGTCTGGTGCGATACCAATGAGCAGCCAGTACGAGGTCGGCGGCCTTGTCCCCGGCAAGGGCCAGGCGCTGGTTGGTGGCGCGTTGATGGACCAGGGCCTCCCTGATGAGCGCGCGGTTCTTGAACGTGTAGCCGATGATCTGCTCACACTTTTGGACGCGGGCCTCGAGGAGGGCATCGGCGAGGTCCGACGTCTTGCGCCGCCACGAGGCAGCACATCGAGGCTGGCTGGGCTTCATGGTCACTTGGGCACCGACGGTGAGCCTTGATCAACTTGGAATGCTCATCCCATGCTATAGTCGTGGGCCCGACGTTGCGTGGTGGTGGTGCGTCCAAAGTCAAGGTGTTGCATCAACATTGAAGATGAAATGAAGTTGACCATGTGCTGCGGTCAGGTGACGGCAGTCTAGGTATGATGTCCAGGGTTGGGGTTGCAGCATTATCTCAACGATGGGGGGGGTATACGGAGCACTCCGAGTCCGTACTGTGTACCGTGTAGACTACCTATTGTTACTATTATTGCACAGTCGCGGCCATTGAACCTTCTGCCACGGGAGAATTCATTACAGGACAAGGGTACACATGTAGATCAGTCAGAGACAACTCGTATCAGTCCCGGGTCGTCAGCCCGATGGGGCCGGTTCGATGAGAATACCACCCTGCAGGGGGCCATTGGCCTGTTCCTGACATGCCGAACAAACCTTGGAACGTTATTCTGCTGCTACGAAATGAGGAGTCGGTCACTAGCGCAGGCCAGGGCGGAAACCTACAGAACAGCCAACACAAACATGTCGACAACAACCCGGGCTAAACTCGTTGCAGCAGGTGCAAGGGAGGCTGGAAATCGCATTGCATCCTCGCCCGAGTGATGACTTAATAGATAACTTGATAACCAACCATGTCTCATATCATTGGACAACTGCCATCGCGTCAGTAGTCTTCTGTCGCCTACATGTGCAACGTCACGGCCTGATTACGGTGATAGGTCAGATCGCCGTTGAGGGGCAGATGTATACTTGAAGATATATATAGACTGCTCCACAACCTATGCTCGCACATATGCCAGCCAGCCTTCGTGCCAGCGTTCTGGTCCTGAGGTGGCCGGCTGAACGGAAATTGCCAAGCAAATTTCGCCATTACATCGCTGAAGCAGCCATACCACCACAATGGTAGCCAGCCTCTTGCTTGTGTTGCTGGCGCCCGCAGTCTCGCTGGCTGCGACTATTCACGCTCGCCAGAACTCAACCGAGCCATGTGCTGCCGTCAGCCGCGAGTGGGCCGCTCAGAAGGCAGCCAATGTGTCTGGTAAGTGCTACATATGTAGCTGGCTCTCATGGATCAACTGCAACAGCAGGCTGACCAGCTTCGACGCCCACCAGTGCCGGTCGTGGACGGCCAACTGGCGTACGACTGTCTGAACTCGGTCCCACTACACGCCGACGATGCTGTTCGACTGGTTCGGTCTATCCAACCATACCTGGAGTGGCAGTCAAGTAAGTTGCCCCATCCACCAATGTGGACGCTTCAGGTCTCCAGCATGACTCGACTGGGGCTGAGCCAGGTGTCTGTATAGCCATATCCTATCTAAAGGACCCGCCTGCGGATTATCAATTTCCTGCTTTTGATATTCCCGCCGCCTTTGAAGACCTCATCAACAACGTCAAGGCCGGCTTGTATGCCAATGAGTACGAGTTCCAGGCAGACCTCTACGCCGCCTTCAACCTTGCCAAGGACGGTCACTTCAGGTTTATTCCCGACCTGATTGGCGCAGCCCTTCAGTTCCGACGTCAGGATATTGCTCTGGCCTCGGTGAGCCTCGACGGCACAGCTGTCCCCCAGATCTATGCGGTCTGTAAGTATACAGCATTAATACCATTTTCTTTTCTGTTTTTTTTTTTTTTTTTACCGGCAGTTGGTGAGCAATTCCGTTCTAAAGTTGACCTGCCATTGCCACAGCCGATCTTCGGGCCTACAATAATGGGACGTTTTCAAACCCATCCCCAGTGACTGTGATCAATGGAGAGGATGCCGTTGAAGTGCTGCAGGGTCTGTCCCTCCTGGGTGCGCTACAGGATCGCGACGCTCTCTACAACACCATGTTCTACTCACCCGCTTTTTACGCCTCGAACAAAGGTGACTGGCAGGGATATTTCGGGGGGACTGGCCGCTTTGGTAATATCTATCCTAATGCATCCACCTCTCTAACCTTCGAGAACGGCACCACCATCGACGTCCCGACCGTCGCGCGGGTTGTTGGCGACTTCTCAAACATCACGGATGGTGAATCCTTCTACGCAAAGTACTGCTCCGGCACAGTCCCGGTCACGACCGTAGCCACGCCTACCCCGGTGCCTGCGCCCACGCCTGGTGGCAACTTGACCGGGACTCCACCCCTGGGATATCCGACTCCAGTCGTGATAGCCTCCGATGGGTCCGCAGCCGGCTACTTCCTCCCGGACAGCGATGTTGCTGTCCTGGCAATGCTTACCTATGCACCGGCTATCCCAGCCGAGTTCCAGTTGGCGGTGCAGACGCTCATCGAAGACGCCAAGGCTGCCGGGAAGACAAAGCTGATAGTAGACGTGTCGGCCAACGGTGGAGGTTATATTTTCCAGGGTCATGACACCTTCCGCCAACTCTTCCCGCAGATCCAACAGGACGGCTTCAACCGCTTCCGCTCGAACGATCTCCTGCAGATCGCGGGCAAGCAGTTCTCGGCAGCTATCCCGCCCGGTTTTAATCCCGAGACGAGTGACAACAACACACTGATCAACATCTGGGAGTCTTATCAGAACTTCCGCTTTGACCTGAATCTTACGAACCAATCGTTCGTCTCTGTCGAAGACAAATTCTCTCCAGAGACATTCAACGGTGACGAGTTCACGCCCATCCACCGGTGGAATTTTGACGACCCGCTCTTGACTATCAATGAGACATACGGCATCGGCTTTGACGTGACAGGCTACCGCTCTCGTGCATCCAACTTCACACAACCCTTCGCAGCCGAGGACATCATTCTCCTTTATGACGGCTACTGCGCCTCGACCTGTACCCTGTTCTCCGAATTCCTACGCGTACAGGCCAATGTGCGATCCGTCACGTTCGGTGGACGCCCTGGGCTGGACGACTCTGGCGATATCCCCATCATCCAGAACTACGGCGGGGTGAAGGGGAGCAACAATGTCGGCTATAGCTATTTCAACCAGCTCGCGGGCATCTCCCTGGCGGTCCAGGGCAACCCCGCGAACACGACGTCCGCGCCAGTCGGGCCGCTGTCCGCCGAGGATATCTCCGTGCTGGAGCTGAACCTGGACACGTACGCGGCCAACCGGAGCACCGGCACAAGCATCAATGTCCGTGATAATATCCTCAGGGACCACCTTGATGATGGCCTGCCCGCGCAGTTCGTCTACGAGCCCACGGACTGCAGGCTCTTCTACACGCCCAAGAGCATCATCGACCCCGAGGAGCAGTGGCGACAGGTGGCGGAGGCGGCCTGGGGGGGCGGCGACTGTGTCGCGGGCTCGCTGGGGACCGGCGAGGACAAGCTGAAGAGGAGTGTCGTGCGCACTGGCGAGTGGAAGCGAACTGTCGAGACCAAGGTGATCAGCCTGCCGGACAAGAAGCCCGCGAGGACTTTGTGGTGGGAGGCGCAGTTTGATACAAGTGTCCCCTACTAAATGAGCGACGTTCCCGTCCAGTGCATTTTGCGCAATGGGCAAACAGTAGCCTGGTCGGGTAGTTTTGGTCCATGGGTCTTGGGTTGAGTGCCTAGGAGCCTGGAGAGTCCCTCAATTATAATTTCGTGAATATACATACAAATCTAAGTCTTCATTGCTTAAGTGTCTCTTAGTGAATTGGCCAAAGCCCTCGAGCAGTACTTCATACAGTACCGTTTTATTTTTAACAACACTTCTCAGATCTCTCGTTGTCAAAAAACAACATATACTTTCCCTCGTAACTAGCTAAGTGCCATTCGAATGTTCCCAAAGCAACATAGTAACACAGTACCAACTTGAGTAGCTTTGAAAATGCCCAGCTTTGGGGGTGGGATCACACGGTTTCTCTTGAAACGCCGCAATTTGACGCTTTTCGCAAAAGCCAAAAAATGGCGAACTCTTCAAGTGAAACATCATACAAATTTCCACCTTCGGCCAATGTGATTTATGTGAATTGGTCTGATGCCTTTCCCGGGTTTGGGAGCTTGTTGGCGCTTTGGTGGCGAAGGGCTTCGACTCGAGTAATTCTCGAGAGTGAATGGTTCCGTGCTTAATCCGCATACATAGAGAAGTCATATAGAGACTTTGCACTCACAAGTTCCTATACTTAGGAACTCAAATCATGAAAGCGTTGAAGGTTAGGGGCATATTCCGGGCTGGCGCACCCGAAAGAGATCTTGACCCAGCAAGGCTGCGGAAGAAGATGTAGTATATGTTACAAGATCAACTTATCCTTGAAATACGCTGAAGGCCCAGGAAAGGGTACAGTGAACTCGTAGTCTGCACCATGATCTCGTCATTTATCATTGCCGAGCAGCCTGTTCCTGAGTTTGTCCAGGGAGTCGGTCACCTCGGCGTCCATATCCCTCTCCCACACCCAATCCATCCTCTTCAGCAGCGTCTCTCTAAGCTTATCCTTGTCGGTTCCGAACTCCGGGTGCTCAAGGTCATACAGCTGGCCCGTCTCCCTGGAGTCCTCCACCAGCCGCAGAGTCCTCTCCCGCCGCGTGGCGTCGAAAACCCTAAATGCCGCGGGAATTGCCCTGCCAGCATCCACGTCCTCGCCCGAGAGTGCCTCAGAGACGAGCTGCCCCATCACCAGCGCATCCTCGATAGCCATCCCTGCCCCCGAGCCCTTGTGCGGTGTCGTCGCGTGAGCCGCGTCACCAAGGATACACACGTGCCCGCGCTCAGACACGTACGTTGGTGCCGGGGGGTGGTTGAAGAGCGCCCAGATGTCGTTCTTGCGCATCAGAGAGATGATCTTGGTGACTGTGGGCGACCAGCCTTCAAAGTCGGCTCTCATCTGGTCGGGGTTGGCTTCCACTACCCAACGGTCGTCATTCCATTCATTGGCCGAGGCAAATGCGACAACTGAAATATACCACATTAGCATGTATCCTGAGAACCATAGCGCCGGAAAAAAAGGGCGTGACTTCGCAGACACTCACCGTTCATCAGTTTGCCCTTCTCTATTGCAAAAGTAAGGATGTGGCCATGGCGTCCCAGGTACATCTGAGCATTCTTGGCCATCTCCTCGCCCAACAGAGACACGGCCTCGTCCATGGGGATCAAGCCGCGGTAGCAGAACTTGCCGCTAAACGTCGCGTGTGCATTCTCCGGCTTCGAAGTCCCAGCCAGCAAGGTCTTGCGGATATTGGACTTGATCCCGTCACACCCAATGACAGCGTCATGGATCTCGTCGTCTCCTTCCGTGAAGTGCAGCGTCACTTTGCCGTTGGTGCCTTCGGTGTAATGAGTGACCCTCCGGCCGAACTTGGCGACGCCCTCGGGCACGTGCTTGATCAGCTCGTCCAGGAAGTCGCTCCTCTTGACGCCCCGCTGCCCCCCGGAGCACTTGACCGTGGCGATGAGCTCCCCGTTGGCGTCTGCGCCCTCCTCGCCGCTGACCTTGTACCTGCCGTCGACACTCTCGCCATAGCGGAAGTCGAACCACACGTCCTGCTTGGACTCGAACTGGTTCCTGGTCTGCGTCCTCTCGAACGCGGCATATACCTCGGGCCCGATGGCCTTCATCGCGCGGGAGGCATTGGGCCCAAAGGACACCCCAGCTCCAATCTCGGCAAATGCATTGGCCGCCTCGTAAACTGTGACCGTGTATTTTGGCTGTGAAGATGATGATGACTTGGAGCGGTTGATGAGATTAAGTGCGAGCGTCAGGCCTGCGATGCCACCGCCCACAATGGCCAAGGACGGCACGGGTCTTGCGGCCGACATGTTGACGTGTTGTGGGGATGAATGCGAGATGGACAGGTGTTGCAGGCTCGTCCTGGGATTGAGTGGTTGTGGCAGGCCCAGCAGCAGGTGCAAGTAGAAGTTGAGGGGACAAGTCGATGATGCTAAACTTGGAGTCGAGAAGGTTTCTATCCCAAGACCCCGAATGTCAGGTCAAGTAGCGTCTCCACTTCTGGCAAGGGACCGTTGGTGCCGGGCAACAGTAATGATCCCCTTTTTAGTCAATTGTCGATATGGTCTCCGTGTAATATCCACGATGCTAGCTTTTAGGTCGTGACGGTTGTCGAGGGCCTAGATATTATGAATAGACCAAGGTTACCTAGGTCTGCGCAAGTTGAAACCCACTTCAAATGTTAAGACCATCCTGACTGGAATTTCGCAGGTTGACCCCCGGGTTATTTAAATGGCGACTTGTATTTGACGTCACGAGATCAAATCCGGGGTGCAGCAGCGATCCGCTCGACAAGAGGCGGGGAGCTGGCGGGCCTTGCTGAAGCATTTCCGGCTTCCGAGCAGGCCAGACGATGCTGCTTGCTTACTCACTTGGACCAGTACGCGGGTGCGGGTCCCGTTTTGCGGTTGGAATCAGTAACGCAACGGTTGTGATTGGCGGCCCCTTAATAATATGGCCGAGGTACACGCACAAGCACAGTCCCGAGCTCGGGAGAGGGAGGCAGGACAATATGCTGTCTTCCGCTCTCCGAGCCGGTAAACTCGAATGAGAGCTGTCAGGAAGAGTCGAAAGTCGAGCGTGACAATATCCCGCATCTTGTGCTCGGAAAGTGTGGTATAGTGGTCCACCGCCATTGCGTGACATATGCATTCAAGTCCCCTGGCGCCCAGCTAGTGTCGGCAAATGCACCCGGAAAGCGACGGCAGTTGACCCCGATCAGCATCACCCGCGTTGAACAAAGCACATAACCGTGTTGGATATTGGATTTGTACAAGTAATTACCTAAGCCCGTGGCAATTTCATCTCAAATAATGCAATCATATTGCGCGAATTTGTATGCATGCAGGGGCTTTCTCTTCCTTCTTCTCGTGGTCGCAGCATACTCGACACCGACTTGACGCGCGGAAACCCCTCCTCCGGGTGAACCTTGCCAGCAAACAGTCAAAGGCCCAGCGTTTGAAAATCTGACTGAGCTACTACCTTAGCTTCAGCAGTCTAGACTGTGCACATTATATTGACCGAGTCTCTGCTGTTGTGCTCAGCCTGACGCGAAGTGCATGTGGCGTTCTTCGAGTTCAGATATCTAGGTAGAAATGATGAACAAAGTCAACCTCGGTGGGGGAATGCCTTCACTCCAAACTTTTCTCGAGTTAGCTGTTCGATTATAGTTTGTTTTTAACCAATTTACAAGGCCCTCTCGATGTTTGAACAACAACGCCCCCGAGATATCTGTCCCGATTGTGTCTCAGTGGGGTTGGTCGCTTTATTTAGGTCCGTAGTTATTGTAATAACACTGTAGAGATCATGCCTGACCTTAGCCTAGGTAAAGCAACCACAATCTACAGGTCCTTGAAGCCTTTTTAAGTGTATTTCTCTTGAGAAATAATTGCTAACATCTCTGTTTATAGTGCTTCTTTGCACGCAGCATATGTGTGAACATGATCATACTTGCTAATGAAGGCGGCCAGGTGGCCCATTTGATTTCCCACTCATTGTTTACTGAATATAAACAAGAGATAATACTATAGGACGCTTGTTATCGTGTTACAAGGCATAGTATGGGAAGTTGAATCATATAAATACTCTACAGGATTTAAAGTTGTGGTTGGGTGATATTTACAGCTGCATACCATACCTAGTAAAGTGATGCAACATGAGCCTTGGCATTGGCATGTAGTTGTATGACGGTAATAATAAACAGCCTAGAACGTTAGGAAAGTCATAAAGCTTCCGGTGAGGAAACACAGGTGTGTTTGCTGGAGACCAGCCGTATCTACGCGAAAACCATCAAGCTATCCAAGACTCGTATCAGATGTACATGCGTTGTACTGCTGAATTGCGAATATGCGATACTGAGAAGTAGAAGTATGCCAAAGCCTGAGAGGTATGTACGATTTGCAATTTGGTATCATGCAATACACATGTGCATAGAGCTGCCATGTTGATGTCTATCATCCCATAATATCAGTGTCCAAAGTCCCAGAACTCCATGCTCCTTCAACCATATCAACCAATTTATCCCAGACGCCGAAAAATGCCACTCTGCTTGTGGCATCCACACTTATTTATGTGCAGACACTGGGCCCCTTAGGCTCATGCAGCTGCAGACAAGCCGTCCCAAACAACAGCCTCCTCCAGCACGACATCACCTCCTTCGGCGAAGAACTCCAAGCCGCTGCACCTAGCATCCTCCAGGTAGACCCTCGTGGTGATGACAGCCCTGTTGTTCACAAATACCTCGAGCACGCTGCCGTCATAAAAGATACTCACCGTAAGCCTCTCCTCGACCTCGGCGCCGGTCTGTGCATCGCGCGTTGTGAAGAGTGTAAAGGGTGCTGTCTCGGTCTGCAGCTTCGTGTCTTCCCTGTCGCCCTTGTAGGACGGCGGGGCAAAGAAATCCGGGCGCTCAATGATGAACGTCTCGTCGGCTGGTGTAAAGTACAGCTTGGTCGTCTGAGAGGTACCCGCATGGTGGATGATCAGGCCGGTGCGTTCGGCTGACGAGGCTGACGAGAACGAGGCCTGCCCCTCCCACTGCGCAGTCCGGAGGGCCAGGAAGTTTCGTGCTGTCTGGGCCATGTTCTCGAGATTGCCAGGCTGTGCAGTCCGTTTCGCCGCACCGTTGCGCAGCCTCTGCAGGCGCCGGTCAGGGGCAATTCCGAGGGTCTGCACAGTGAACAGATCGTCTTGTCCAGGAGTCGGAGTCGCCTTGACGTTGGTGATGCTCTTCAGGTCAGACGTGGTTGCTCGGACGACATTGTCGATGGCGGTAAGGGAGACGACCCTGGGTAGTGAGAGACATCCGCTCCAGCCCTGGTTCGTCTGCATCTCAACGGGTATGTCGTCCTCTGTGACCCAGCCAATAACGACCTGCTGCTGGGTCACCGGGTCGAAGAAGCCGTTGGCTGCGTAGTATAGACCGTGGTCGAAGGCCCCGCCGTACGAAAATTCGGTCAAGGCACCATGCTCAGATTCACCCCGGGCTGGGTCAATTCCAATCCATAGTTGCGCCCGGGGGCATCTCTTGGTGCCGGGAATGACACCGCTACCGCCGTGCGGGGGCTGACAACCCTCGGCGCCGAAAATGAGGAAGTCCTGGCTGTGTTTGTTGTTGCGAGAGCTTAGGGACAAGAAGTTGGTCACCTCCCAGTTCACGCCCAGATCGCCTGTCCAGCGCGAAGGTGCAAAGTTGAGGCCCGGCGCTGTTAGTGGGGATATATAGGTCCACTTGGTGAGATCAGTCGGGTCGACCTTGTAGAGGAATGTAGCAGGGGTCTCATGGCGTATGCCTCCTGAGATGATACCAAAAAGGGGCTCCTGTTCCTCTTCCACGCCGGCTCCGATGTGTTGGGGCTTGCGCCGAGCGAGAGTCTCCTTCAGCCCAGCCCAGGTCGCCACAAAAGGGTCCCGCCACCCGGTGATTGCAATGTCTTCTGGTGGGCCGGGCAGGATGGGGTTAGAAGCATGTTTTGCCCACGTACGGCCGCCATCCTTGCTTGTTGCCAGACTCAGTGTCTCACAGCCGCGATGATACTCCTTGGTGTAGTGTATGGGCAGCCTTGAGACGCTGGTATAGATGAAGCTGACCTCGCCTGTGCCGTCAGCACCGGCCTTGTGCTTTCCGTCCAGGCCTGTTGGTCTCCAGCAGCCCGTGAAGACGCCCTCGGAGTCGTAGGGGGCATCTCTCTTCAGACTTGGGGCCTCAGGGACCTCCCATGATACCAGGTCAGATGAGAAGGCCTTTCCCCAAACAATGTCGCCCCATTCGGCCCCGTTTGGATTCCACTGGAAACCCACGTGGTATGTGTTTGTTGAGGGGATGTAGCCTGGGGCACAGGGGTCATTCATCCACCCCCTTGACGCGATGAGATGATATGATGGGCGCCAGCGCGCGTAGTCTTTGAGAGATACCTTGGGGCCATTTATGAAGCTCGGCTCTCGCTCCTCAGGTGGCGTGACTGAGCCCATGGCGGGTGCCTGTGTGTTTATGTGTTTGTGTGTGCTTGCGTGCGTGCGCTTTGTTCGTTGTTCGTCCAAGACGTAATTGAGCAGCTTGGAGATTCACTTGAGCGTACGGGAGAGAGCCTGGTTGATACGGGATTATGTCTAAGAGGGACGTTGGAGAATGACGAGCAAATGTGCGAAGGGGGCCGTAAGGGATCCAGAATAGGTAAAGTCGGAGCTCAGTAAGAGGTAGTCGTTGACTGGCAGACTGGGCTACGATGGTAGAAGTAAAAGGGAAGGGAGCTGCGGGTCCTTAGCGGCCGGTGTTGGGATCTGCACCGGCTGGTTGGCACCGTCGGGAGAATGCCGCTGCGGGCGAAACACCGAGAATTATCCCCCGAGCAAAGCCTCCTGGCGCGCGGCACCGATCAGAAAGCCTGGCTGCCGAGTGGCAGTGTGACACCACAACACTCTATACGTTGTGACGATCCGCCAAGGAACTGTTTTGCGCCCGGAATAGACCCTGTATGTGTTATAGTACAGTGCTGACTCGGATACGTTTGAGCCTGCATAGTCGTTCATATCGGCCGCGGATCCCCCTGAGCTGTACAAAGTCATGTCGCCTTCAGCCGGATGAGAGTGACCTGTCTCCTAGGTCGCCACATTCCATACCGATCCATCAAGACGAGCTCCTCTCAGCTCACGTCACCGTGCCTTCCCTGTCCCAGAGGACGCGGCGGAGGTGGGCAGACTCGGGGAGAAAGGCAAACTAACTACTAGACTAGTCACGAGATAGTGCCAAGGGGGTTTCTCCGAAGATTTGCCTGTGTTTCTCCCAGTCCTCCCCGCCGTAGGATTCGCATGATATTCAATGTCCCGAGTCGAACGTTCTTTCAAGTCTAGCGACCAGGTCTCCCCACGCCCTCTCCGCCTCCTCTCCGCCTCTCCGCAAGATCGACAGCTGGGCAGACACTACAATCGGAGGGTAGGGTTACTCTCGCCCTGGTCGACGAGGGGCCGAGCCTCGTGGCCTGGACCCACAGGCCCGTCATCAATAGAGCAAGATCAAGACACGGTTGGGGACAATTGGGGACCATTGGGGACAATTTCCGAGCCAGCACCCGTGCTGGATGTACTGTGCTGTAGAGTTTGCCCCTCGCATTCTCGTGAAAATTGCACATGTTGTCAATCAGGTATATACATCCGGAAAATGGCCGCTTGCAGGGCCTCCCTTATTCCAGAACCACGCCCAGCTCCTGGCCTACTAGCGCGTTGTACTTGGTCAGGAAAACATGCTCCCCCGCCCGTATGGTTTTGAATAGCTCCAGATAGCCCTTGAGCAGCGGCTTGCGATGGTGGATGTTGTGTGCAAGGCGCTGCTGCAGGCCGCCCGGGGTCCCACGGGCGTCTGTGCCGCCCTGCCCGTCCTCTGCTGCCTCCCAGTACTGTATCGCGGCAATGGCGCTCTCGACGATGGTGTAGAGCTTCTCGATCATGCCGATGCCATGCACCTCGATGCTCGCCAGCGGCGTGTTCTGACATATCCTGAGGGTGTTCTCGGCTATGGCCACGGCGTTGTAGATGGAGAGCGCAGCATGGCCCGACTGCGGGACAAGCAGCTTATGCGAAAGACACAAGTGCCACAGGCGGTTGAGCAGCCATTGCTGGTTCACCAGTATGTCGGCCTGCTGGGAGGAGGTGGCGGCTGCCCCAGAGAGCCACGACGGGACCGGCGGCGGCGGTCGGTCAGCCGCGGCGACGGCAACTGTGGCCGTGGCCGTTGGTGAGGTCTTGCCCTCGAGGTTGTGGCGGTTGATTTGGTCGTAGATCATGGCCGCCACCCGCTCGTTCAGAAAACGGCAGCCGCCCAGGTCGCTCTTACAGTGGCCGTTCCAGCAGCGGAGGAAGTCCTCGTTTATCGGGTCGAAGAGCCTCATGAGGAGTAGAAGTCCCAGCATGCCGGCTGCCTCGGCGTCGTCCTGGATGACGATGCCGGAGGAGTCAGCGCTGTCGGCCACGCCGGAGATGGACTCGAGCAGGGAGTGCGTCAGGGAGCTGGGCTCGCCTACGAATCCGACAGAATGGTGGCGCTGCAGGCCGTATGCCCTGTAGTAGTTGTTAAAGCCATTGTCTTCCCAACGGGTCCCAACGGGGACATATTTAAATATATGTGTGTGTATGCGGTGCATATGTGCATTGGTGGCCTACCTTTCCGTCACGGACAGCAGGTAGTAAACCCGCAGCCGCTGCTGTTTCTGCTCGGGCGAGCAATTCATGTAACAGTCGAACTTGTCGAGGCCGAAAATACAGCCCAGCTCTACAGCCTCGCGCATCCTAAGCCAGGCGGCGTTGTGCTGGCCCTTCTGGAACAAGCAGGCGAACAGAAAGACGGAGGTGAAGATCATGTCCATGGTTGGGGATTGGCCGAAGTCGACGACGGTGCGCATACGCACAGCCTCCATGAGCAGGAGGTCGACCATCTGTTGGCGCGACGAGGACGAGGCGGAGCGCTGCTCACTGACGCGGACGGGCTGGATGAGGCCAAAGGCGGAGAGGGAGAGCAGCATGGCACCAAAGTCCGGGTTGGTGCGGTGCTCCTGGGCCAGGAGGCGGGCGAAGACGGAGGAGCGCTTGAGGATGGGCAGGGTAGGATACAGGCGCTCAAAGTAGATGTCGAGCCAGCGGATGAGGTTCTCGTCGGTGATGACTGCGGGCCAGCCGCTGGTGGGCACGGCAAGGACATTGCTGCTGCTGGCGGGGGAGGCGTGCTGGGGGATCGGAGGGTGGCCGGGGACGTTGGCGAGGGAGTGGTTGTTGTACTGAGACTGGCGGAGGGAGAAGACGAGGTCGTCAAAGGTGTTGGAGGCGGCGCTCCCGGCACGGCCGTCCGGGGAATCAGAGGCGGTCGGACCGGCCAGCGAGGCGGAGGCGGCCCCGAACGAGGCAAGCATGCCGTCCCATGACGGGTTCAGCCCCGAGACCTGGTCGGCAGCACCTGACAAGCCGGAGGAATCGGCGCCAAACATGAACTGGTCTTGATGCTGCTGCTGCTGCTGCTGAAGATTCTGCTGGGGCATGCCACGGGGGTTTCCGGGGCTTGCATCGGCGGCATCATGGTTAGAGGCGGAGAGGACAGGGGCCGAGGGAGAGAAGGACGAGGCCACGGAGGTTGACTCGGCGTTTCGGATTCGCTTCTGTTCGCGCTCCCGGATCTCGTTGAGACGGCTGAGAACGCGAAAAAGAATATTATGAGTGCCCGAATAAGATAGTTGCAGGTATAGGTCGGCGGATAGATTGGGGGGGGGGGGGCAACTAGATAGATGGATAGACAGACAGACAGACAGACAGGGTGGGACGAGTCTCGGACAGGACGCAAGAGGAACGGAGATCTCGGGTCTGGAAAGGTGACGCGAGAAGGGGGAGCAGATAGAGGATGTCACGGTGGTCTCGAGCTATCTGTAATGGATGAGTAGCTTCGTGTTCTCTGTCTGCCTGCCTGCCTGCCTGCCTGCCTGTGTGTCTGTCTGTCTCTCATGGCTTACCGTCCAGCAGGGCCCCTCTTGCGATGGGGGGTGGCATAGGTGCACTCGAAGCCACGCGAGGCACAATTGGTGCATGGGTTGGTCAGGTCACACTACTGGAACTGTCAACATACATCATACATGATACATTATACAGCATACAACGAACGGCACACGGCACAGCACAGCCCAATGACTAGGCCTGGAGCCTGTCACATACACACGGTGCATGTACCGGGAGGATTGGGTCTAGGCGCCAACCATTGTTGACGGGCGGGTGGTGGTATGATGTGCGCGTATATATGTGTATATGTATATATGTGCAAGACATATATATATACATACATACATACATAGTGTGGCGCACACACATAGTTAAAATACGTGTGTGTGTGCTTGTGTGCTCAAGTGATAACAGATAACAGCAAGTTTGAATGGTTTCATACCTTTGTCTTGCGCAGCCGGCAGTTGTCGCAGGCCTTCTTGACCGTCTGCTGCGGCTGTGGCTGTTGGTTCTGCTGCTGCTGGCCCGGCTGGGCCTGACCCTGGCCTTGGTGGTCATGCTGGTGCTGCTGAAGGTGCTGTTGAAGCTGCTGGTGCTGTTGTGGTAGTGCCGGCCTGGCTTCGGAGGTGGTCGGCCGTTGTGGGGATAGAGACGGGGACGGGGATGAGTTTGCCATTCATACCTCAGTCTCACATATCAGACCGGCCAGAGTCTGATTGGGATTTGGGATCGGGGATCTGGATCTGGGCTTCGGATCAATGGGGAGGAGGGTCGTGGAGAATTCGTGTCTCGGCTGCTGTCAGTCGTCATGTCAAACTGGTCCTGGGCCCGGTCCATGACGCCCAAGTCCCCAGCCCAAAGCCAAGGCCAGGCCCCACGAGGAGAACAAAGCATGTGCCTAGGGCCGGCACTGCCCGGAACAGCCGACTAGGCCTTCCCAGACCTTTCCCAGTCCTCTCCCACGCCCTTCCCAGCCCCGGCCGGAGAAACTATGGCTCCACGCCTGCTTCCGAGATTATCCCTCCATTTCCCCTTTGGGACATCCTTTGGCTTTCTGTTTCATGCTGTCCTACACCAACATGCATTTCCACACATACGCTCGAGAGCTTCCTTTTCTTTGGAATTTCTGGGGCCCCGCACGTGCGAAACTGAATCGTGCATGCCCGTTGCCTGTACTCTTGCGCAGCTGCAGTGCTGCTTCTGGTGCTGGCTGTCAGACTATTGCTGCTGTTGTCACGCCGTGCGCCTGTCTAACCGCCCTGTCTGTCCGGTCTAACGTGGTGCGGCCAGCCTCAGCCGTCCCCCCCCTGCAAACCCCCCTGACTACCTAGGTACCCAGTCTCGGGCCCTCTCCAGCAGTCAACGTAGGGCTGGATGTAGGTCCGGAGATACTCTACATACGTACTGTACCTGTACCGTACCGGGCTCAGACTTGACTTACACATACATGATGAACATGTTCGTCGTCTGATCTGCCCCTCGACTCAGGGCTTTGGTTCATATACGTATATATAAACATTCCCATCGCCGCCTCACTACCCCGGATTTTAACTCTGCAAGTGCTCAGACCTCATCTCATCAAGCACGGGCTTCTTTTTTTCTTGTCTCCTTCCCTTCCAGCTTGTCTCTCTCTGTTCCTGTCCAATCTGTGAATTCTAGCCTCACGGCATCTTGCCCTCTCACCCCTCCACCTCAACCACAGTCCGGCAGGCTCTATTGCCTGAACTGTCACCATGAGTCCAGCTATGAGCATAGACACGGACGACCAGAAGAATGGTATCGAGAAGACCGATGTCCTCGGAGTCATGCATCATGAGGAACCTCCGCAACCTGTCATCGCCGAGGGCAACGCCGTCAATCCCTTCCTGTGAGTAGACCCACGGAATTTTGCATGTGGTCATCCTCGACGCCCTTCCTCGCTTCCACCTGCCGTCAGCTTCATTTGGACTGTTTCAAGCGGCTAACCTGGGGCCTTTCGTGCCTCGCTCTTATAGGATCTTCGCTTGTGTAACATTCGCCGCCGCCTCGTTTCTGTTCGGATACGACGACAAGGTCATCTCACCAATCATCGCCCTGAAGCCATTTGTAAGTACACACTCGTGGATGGAACAACGTAGGCGGGCACGGGGCACTGGGCACGGGGCTGACCTTGTCTGTTCTCACCTTCCAGGTCGAGAAATACCAGGGAATAAACGAATCAACAGGAGAGTTCGTCTTCACGGCCCGGAACCAGTCGCTACTACTGTCCATCCCTCTGGTCGGATCCATCATTGGCGCTCTTTTCGCATACCCCCTGAACAACTACCTCGGCCGGAAATGGCCTCTCCTCATTGCCTACGTCGTCTCAGTCGGCGGCACACTCCTACAGATCTTCGCCCCTAACCTGGGCGCCTTCGTCGGCGGCCGTTCTATTGTCGCCATCTCAATGGGTATCGCCAACGCAACCGCGCCCCTGTACCTCTCCGAGGTCGTCCCCGTCGCCATCCGAGGCCGTGTCGTCGCCTGTATCAACATCATGAACCTGCTCTCTGGAGTCGTTGCGACCTGCGTCGTCTTCGCCACGAGCACCCGCACAGATGCGCTGTCCTACGAGGTTCCGCTGGCCGTCCAGTGTGCCCTTCCCGCCCTTCTCATCCCGCCCACCCTCGTCCTGCCCGAGTCCCCCCAGTGGCTCATCGGCAAGGACAAGTTCGACCAGGCCCTCTCCGCCCTCCGCAAGCTCCGTGGCAACTCGGATGCCGAGGTCGCCGACGAGCTCCGCGTCATGAAGCTCTGCCAGGATAACGAGCGCTCCCTTACCGACGACGTGTCATTCTGGAACATCTTTGACCGCCAGAACATCAAGCGCACCATCACCGCCGGCTCCTTCTTCTCCTTCAACCAGATCTCTGGCGTCTTCCTCTCCACCACCTACGCCACCGTCTTCCTTCAGGACATCAACGTCGCCTCGCCCTTCGCCCTTACCATCATCGCCGCCTGCTGCACCCTGGCCGGCTGCTGCATCGCCCCGCTGGTCATTGAGAGGCTCGGCCGTCGCCCCCTCGCCATGGGCGGCATGAGCATGCTCTTCATCCTCGACGTCATCGCCGGTGGCCTCGCATTCCGCATCTCGGAGCCCTCTTTCGCCATCGGTGTTGCCGCTTGCTCCTTCATGTTCAACTTCTTCTGGGGCGCCTCCTTCTACTCCCTGTCCAACGTCATGCCCTCCGAGATCCCCACCACAAAGCTGCGAAGCTACACCATGTCTTACACCATCGCCTGGGCCCAGACCACCGCCGTCATCACGACTGTCGTTGTGCCACAGCTCAGCGCCGCAGATGGAGCCGGTCTTGGTGCCAAGACATATCTCGTAAGTCTGACCCTTCCCTCTTGGGGTTTCCCCTTCCCAGAAAATGGCTTCTGTATGTTGGTTTTCTAACTGAATGATTTTCACAGGTCTTTGCCGGATGTATGGTGGGAGTTATTACCTTTGTCTACTTCCTGCTCCCCGAGACGAGAGGCAGGACCTTCGCCGAGATCGACGAGATGTACGACGCCAAGATCCCAATGTGGAAGTGGAGGAAGTACGAGACATCTACGACGGCAAAGACGGCCAAGAAGATCGAGATTTAGATTTGAGGTGTATGATAATAGAAGAGGAACACTATGTGTTTGTATTATATGTATTTGATGAAGAGACGAGGATACCCAGTCAATCATATGAGGAATGCTCTCATTCCAATGCAGCATCGAGCACGTGAATGCCAGGTCCTGATACGAGTTCAAATGTTGGTTTGTTTCGCCAAGCCAATGCCTGTCATTCTACCTCTCGCAGAATGTTCTTTCTTCGAGTACACCATGCACTCTTCAAAGATGATTACAGGCCTCGAGTCCAATGACTGGGTGATTGCTGAAAGCTGTGGTTGAACAATACAGTTTATGAACCCGAGACATGCACTGGGAGAAGCTGCGTGTATGTGTTTCTGGGAGAGCCGTTGCCGACTCGAGTCATGGTATGACTTTTTTCTTTCTTTTTTACTAAGACCAAACTCTCTGCAATCTGAGAGTCATAGTGTCCTCAATTGTGTGGACATTGTTCTTCCTTTTATCGTTGCATTACAAAATGGCTTCCTCCTGAGCGTGATGCAAAGCAGAATTTGCGAAGCCTCGCTTTGTTAAGACTACCTTGAGTTATTTGATATTAGATTTTATGGTTGCATCCTTTCTGCAGAATGATTAACATTTATTAAAATAGCTGGTCACCAGGACAGAAATATTGCGACCAAGTTTAAATATTGCTTCGGTCATTGATGAAATAAACAGCAAGTCTATCTAGATAATTCAGAGGCTCGTATTCGTTAAGGAAACACAAAGGAAAGCGATCTTTCTTGAGAAAATCAAAAAAGGGGGAATTCCTGGACCCGTTGCCAGATGGGAAAAACCATTACAATAACTGGGCCCTGATCCACCCTTAGCCACATCCTGACGCCACAACGCCACGCTTTCAAAGCAAATACGATCCAGCCAGGCACCTGCTCCGTGTCACTTCAGGAACATCCCCGATACCACCTCATTAACCAACTGGACTACCCTGCCTGACTTGGAAAGAAAGATACAGCCCACCCACCCTCACCACTCGGACCAAGAAAGGTCGTGTAGTAAAAAAGACGGGTGGCTGACTACCTTCTGACCACAACCATCTCTCCCGCATCCTCGTCGCCCACAACGGCGCTATCCTGGCTCGCAATGTGCCATCTCAAGCCTTCCAGTTTGGCGCGTCCAATCCACTTGTGGGCCGGCAGCGTACCAAATTGATCCTTGTAGCCGGACTGCTCGACCATAGGAAGTACGTCCGCCATCTCGACCCTCATCTCGCAGCGGTGGTGAACATAGTTTGCTGAGTTGTCATCTGATCTCTGATCAGAGGGTACGGAGTCAATACTGGCACTGGCGATGCGTTGAGACAGGATTTCCACCTGGATGAGGTCAAAGGCGCCCTCCCAGCCTGATTGCGATGGAAGGAGTTGTAACTTCTTGGTGATCTCCTTGAACTGGCCAACCAGGTCCTCAAACATGGCTTCCGTCGGCTCGGCGTCCTTTCCAGCAGGGACAACGCGGTGGATGGTGACGGGGATCCCGAGCTGGGACGATGCTTTCTCGAGGTGCTTCTCGCTGGCCCACTTGGAGGATACGTAGCCTTCGGACCCATCCTCCGGAGGGTGCGCCACAACAGGCGTCGCGTCGTGGGTCGTTGCATCGTTGTTCCCTTGTTCATCGGCATCGAGGTTAAGGACGCCACCAGAGGATATGAAGTGCACCGGTATCTTGCGCGACGCTGCGAGTCGTACGATGCTGCGCGTGGAAGTGTAGTTGGAGCCCTTCAGGAGCTGGAAATAATCAAAGAAAGACCGATTGGCACCGCTGTGCACTATTATATCGACCTCCTCGGCAAGCTGCTTGAAGTCGGCCTCAGGCATTCCGAAGAGAGGCTCCGACATCTCGCCTGGGTGGACCACAATCTTGGGGCCGCAAGGTGCAGCACGGGTGGGTTTGTCTCGCACGGCAACACAGTGGATCCGAGCGACACGATCATCCGCAGCCAGGCTGTTCAGGATATGCTTGCCCAAGAATCCGGTTGTGCCCGTCATCAATATTGTCGCGCCGTTGCCAGCCTTTCTAGGCGCAAGTTTGATGCTGTCATCCACCTGATCAAGAAGGTCCTGGTCGATGGCAATCTCGTCTTCCCAGTCAATGGTCTGATCCACCTTGTCCGACGAAGTGATCTTCGCAGCCATGGCACCAAGCGTGTTGTTCTCAAACAATTCCACCAGCGATAAGGCGGCGGCGAAGCGCGTGCGGATCATGATTTGCAGTTTCACAAGCAGCAATGAATTGCCGCCAGCCTCGAAAAAGCTGGTCATGTCGCTGATCGAGACCAGATTGATGATGTCCTTGGGCACGATCTCGCTCCAGAGAGACTTGAGAGCCGCCTCCGTCTCAGTCAGAGTGAAAGTCATCTTGTCGCCCGAGGCAGTCGGTAGTGGCATATCGCCGACGGCCCGACGGTCTGTCTTGCCATGAGCGTTGAGCGGGATCGAACTCAGGGGGATAAGCATGTTTGGGATCATGTAGAGTGGCAGGGGCAGTTTGTACCGGAGGTCACGCAGGAACCGACTGCCATCCTCGGGTTCAGCGCCCGGGGCGAACTCGACATGTCCCACCAAGAGCTCATTACGGACGGAGATGACAGACCGGTGTATGACGCCGGAAGCAGCCTGAACGATGGAACTTTCGATATCCTCAAGCTCGATTCGGATGCCACGCAGTTTGATCTGGGTGTCCCCGCTGATTCGTCCTTGGAACATGAGAACTCCATCTTGTCGGAGGCGGCCGAAGTCTCCCGTGCGATAGACCATTCTCCCGTCTTTGGCGGCAAACTCGGCAGGGGCAAAATAATTGGGTAGAAATTTGCTGCTGCTCAACTTCTCGTTGTTCAAGTAACCCTTGGCCACGCTGGGGCCTCCGATGATGATTTCTCCGGAAACACCGACTGGGACGGGATCGAGGTTGCGGTCAACGATGTACACCGAATAGTTTGGAAGCGGTGCGCCGACAGGAATCTCTGGCGAAGTTTTCTGGGTGAGTGAGCCTTCGTATGGTATCTCCATCTTCGTGCAGGTGATGGTCTCTCCAGGGCCATATGAATTGTAAAGCTTGAGACCTGGCAGACGAAGCTCTTCGATTCCTTGTCGCAGGGAATTCGTCATGATTTCACCACCACCCCAGGCGAACCTCCACTGCGAGGACGTCCTGAGATATTCCGACCCATAAGATAGCCAGCTCGTATACTCCGAGGGCGTCGCCCGTGTGTAGGTGATACCTTCGTTCAGAATGATCTTGGCAATCTCAACAGGGTCACCTCGACTGGCCTTGGGGACGATGTAGACAGAGCCACCATTGACCAGCCCGCAGAGGATCTGGTCAAGAGAGAAGTCGAACGTGTATGCACTTTGCTGGAGTACCTTCTCCCGGCCGATATTGTACTGCCGTGTCAGGCCAAATATGGTGTTCCTGAAGGCTGAGTGGCGCAGGACGATGCCTTTCGGCGCGCCAGTCGAGCCACTGGTGTATAAAACGACCGCTTCTGACTCGAGTCGTGCTCTGCTGGCGTTGCTATTGGTGCAGGGGGCGAGTTGGGAGACGTTGATTACTTTCGCCTTCGACTTGAGTTCGGGGACCATTTGCTCAGTCGCGTCGTGGCACAGGATAGCAATCGGCTTAGCAGAGACAGCCACGGCCGCCAGTCGAGACAGGGAGCTTCGCAAGTCCATGGGAACGTAGGTGCCTCCTGCGTGCCAGATCCCGAGCAGAGAGCACACCCATTCACTGGTAGGCTCCTGGAAGACAGCCACTCGAGACCCTGATTTGACACCAGCCTTGGTGAGGGCCTGGCTGACCGTGTTGATGCGCTGATGCATGGCCGCGTAGGTCAAATCATTACCAAGCCCATCATTGACTGCAATGCTGTCTGGGTGTTGAGCTGCCACCGCCGCGATGCGATGAGAAAGAGTCTCGGGCCAATCTGGTGCCAACTCCGGCCCACGCCCAAGGGTCTTGGCGTCTTCGATGGCCTCTGCGCTCCACAATGGCACCTCGTCGACTTTTGTGTCGAAGTTTGTGGCGAATGCTTTGACAAGACGCATATAGCTGTTGAAAAGCATTTCGGTAGCCGTCTTGGAGTAGAGGTATCTTTGCATCCTGAAGGTGACGTGCATCGAGGTGCCAGCGACCTCGTTGACATCAAGAACCAGATCGTAGCCGTTGCGTCCCACCGAGTGCGTCCCCACAGCCTCGCCCCCTAGAAGCTTTGGCTGCTCGGCATTTATTTGACGGTAGTCCATGAATACTTGGAAAAGCGGGCTGTGGCTCGCGGACCGGGGTATATCCAGAGTCTCGAGGAGGACATCGAAGGGCAGCTTGGAGTTCGCCAGCGCAGAATACGCCTTGTTGCGCGCCTCGACGACGGAGTCTTTGAAGACCTCCCCCTTGGCTGACTTGAAGCGAATAGGAAGTAGGTTCAGCAGGAAGCCGACGGTGTCGGTTACACTGGCGTCAGCACGGTTGGCATCGGCAACCCCGATGACGAGGTCGTCCGTGTCGAGATGGCGGAACAGGAAGACCTTGAGTACTGCCAGGAAGAAGTGGAAGGTCGTGATCTTGTGGCGCTTGCACTGCATCTTGATTTGTCGTACGAGGCGAGCATCAAGTTCGCAGTCGGCTGGCTCGAAATTGTAGTTTGTTTGATTACCTATCGCGGTTTGAGTGAGTTGTCAGTGGGAATGCATGATACCGGTGACATCGAGGGTGGTAAGGGTGGCTCCGAACTCACGCCTCTTGCTTCCATGAGCTACCGGGAACAACGGCAACGGCTCTGGGAAATCAGGATACTCTTCTCTCCAAAACCGCATTTCGCCGTCCATCTTACCCTCCTCCACGGCTCGCCTCTGCCTCTCGGCAAAGTCACTGAATTGGCAGGTTACCGGCGGCAGTGCTTCGCCATCGTACATTTTGTTGATCTCTGAAAGTAGAATGTTGAACGAGAACCCGTCGATCGCAATATGATGGAACCCAAAGATGAGATAGTGGGTTGTGTCAGACAGGGACAGCAGCTTGATGCGGATCGACTCGCCGCGCTCAAGCCTGAAGACATACTTCATCAACTCTTCTGTCTCCTTGTCAACCTCGTCTTCGCTTGTGATACGCCGTTTCTCCAACCGCAAAGGGCTATCATCCTCTGCAAGAACTCCTTGCATAGGCTCGTTCAGTCGGCTGGGGTCGGAGAAGAAGGCCGTGCGGAAGGCCTCGTGGCGGCGACCTAAGTTGGCGATGGCCCGCTCGGCGTCAGGCTCTCGGATTCGGCCGGTGAACTGAAGTCGACAGGTGAGATTAAAGGTGGTTGGGTCCTCTAGATACCGCATCAGAAACCAGAATCGAGAAGAGGCATAGGACATCTTTGTAGTCCGGGAAAATACCAACTGTGTTTCAGGAATTTCCACTTTCACCTCTTCTGCTTCATCTGATGCCTTGATGGGCTCCGAGTCAGTCTTCGAGGTTTCTGTGTCATTGTCCATGGCAATTGCCTCATCCTGCAGCTTGGCTTCTTCGCTCTCATCGTCCGACAGGTGAGTCTCCGGGGTCTCAGCACCGGAACTCGAGCCATCACCGCTGGAGACAGGAGACTCGGACCGAGTTGGCTCCTCTAGTGGTGATGGAAGTGGGCTCTCAGCTACTTCTTCGACAGCTGTTGCCTCTGTTGCCTCTGTTGTCTCTGCTGGCAGACCTTGCACGGCAGTCGCCTGCGCAGCTTGCTCCTGTTCTTCTTCCGCTGCTGCCGCCTCATCAGGAGCTTCACTCTCGCTCGCTGTCCCATCGAGCCCGGTAGGTGCCTGGACAGCAACCCAAGAGCCAGCGTCAGAACGATCCGAAGTATCATCCACGCGATTCTCATTAGGAGCCGAGCTATCTTCGGGCCCCAAACTCGCTTCCGTATCGACGGCAGATGTCGCCTGGCTGGGGTCACGAAAGGACTGGTCGGCCTCAGCTGTAGCTGATGCGGGAGCGGCCTCATTAGTCTTCTCTTCGTCGGAAGCCTCGTTCGGGGCTGCCTTGACGACATTGGGTATGAGATCTGGGGATAGACGCTTGACGGCGTCTTCGACCAGGTCAGAGACCGTGGCGCCGCCCAGTATTTTCAGCACCGGCATGTCAAGGTCGAGCTCTTTGGTGAACCAGGTTCGCATGTCGACAGCGAGGAGCGAGTCAACACCAAGCTCGACGATAGTCGTCTCGGGAGTGATTCCCTGCTCCTCGGGTGCCATATTCAGCCTCTGGTACAGTGTCATGAGAAGTCCATCTAATATTCAGATCGGGTCAGTAGGCGCAAGAGTTGTAACCGTGGGTTCACGATGGACCTACCAAGCAAAAGCTCGTAAACATCTTCCTCCTTTGTCAACTCCTTCAACTTATTTCTGACACTGACCGTGCCCTTGCCTGCCCCACCGGCATTCTGCTCCTGGGGTTTGACCAGCCTCAACCACGCGAAACGAGGTATGTTGATCCACGCGGGAGGGCTGTCATTGTTCTCGATGTCGATCTGCTGCAGCCCGGCCGTGATCTCTGGGTTGCGCCCGGATTCGGGGCGACCAGCCATAACAGCCTCGGAGAAGAACTGGTAGAACTCCCATTCATTGATGTTGGCGTAACCGACAGACCGAAGTCTCTCGAGCTTGCTTGGGTCACGGTTGAGGTACCCCAGACCCACAATACCGGGCATGTTGATGACCGAGCCGACGAGGCCACGCTGACGACGTCCTGCGATTAGCGAGCACATGAACGCATTGGCTGCCGCGTACGCAGTCTGACCCATATTACCCGAGACAGACGCAAGCGACGAGAAGCACATGAAAAAGTCAAGATCGTTGTCCGTGAAGATCTCGTCCAAGAATCGAGTACCGTCTACTTTGGGTCTCAGAGTCTCCAGGAACACCTCGTGGCTCTGATTGGCAAACAGACTGTCCTTCAGGATCATGGCACCATTGGCAACCCCACCAATTGGCGGCATTTCCTTCTCGATCTGTTTGACGACAGCTCGGATCGAGTCCCGAGATGTGACATCCATGGCGTATGTCTTGACGATGGCGCCCTCCGCCTCGACGAGTTCCAACCACGCCTGGTCAATCTTGGGGTTTCTTGAGGATAGGGCGAGGTGACGTGCACCGTGCTCGACCATCCAACGTGTGAGAGCAAGACCAACTTCTCCGGTAAGACCAATCATGAAGTATGTGCGGTCGGTGCGGAATTTGATAGACTCCTCAGCAGGAAGGACACGCACGGCTACTGACTCGTCTCTCTTCCAGTCGACGATGCGCAGGCCCTGGCGGTAGATATTTTTGCCCGATATGTCAGACAGCGCGACGCTCTCGGTGAAAAGCTGGCTGTCCCGTCCCTTCACCAGGGTCTGGGCACGTCCCATGGCAAGCTTCAAGGTCTGCTCAACGAGCTCGGATTCATACACCTGGGCCACAAATGCGCGAGCGCTGTATAAGTCCGCGCCACTCCTAGCCGTGCAGCCGAGGGGCAGGTACTTTCTGATACGCGCGCCGACGTCCATAGACTCCTGGCTCTCGGCGACATCGAGGAAGAAGGAAGCATCTTTGGGAAGTGATTGAGACAGTACGCGGTCGGGGATCGAAGGGTGGAAGTATTTAACGCCGGGGCAAGGCCTGGCAAGCGTGGAAGTGAATGTCACCTTCTTGCCGGATGCCTCAGACATCCGCTTAAGAACGTGGGCAACTGCGGGGTTGGGCTCGTGGACGAGGATGGACCGGCTGCTTGGACTCATTGAGAGTATAGAATCCGCCAGTAGCGCTGCGGCGGAAGCGACAAGCATGGCCTCTTCGTTGACTTCCGCATGCTCTGCAGCCCAGGCCACTGGTACAGACACGACCGATTGGTTCTTCTCAGAGAGCGCGATGACTTTCTTCCCAGTCTCTGTGGATCCGGCGATAATGTATAAGCAGCCAAGGCCGGCGACAGACACAGCGCAGAGAAGCGACTTGCTGACTTGGACGGTGATGGTCTCATCAGCTGTGACCTCGGCTGCGACGCAGTCCAGCAGGTCGTAAGAGGTGCCAGAGCTATTGATCCCAATGACGGAACTCGAAGGCGAGACATCTTTCGTGATCAGCCGCCTCTCGGAATTCAAGCGTGTGTTGATGTCGGTGGCTGGAAGATATCGCGGGATGAGCATGGTGCCGTTGTCGAATGATATCTCCCGCTCAAGAGTCCAGAGTGGCTCGTAAGTCTTTGCGAGGCCTTTGCCCCATGAATCTGAGATCTGCAAGCGCAGAAGATGCTCGGCAATGGTCTCGGTATTGGGCTTATCGCTGGCATCGAAATTGAGGAATTGCAGGCGAAGTGAGGGCATCTCACCAACCAAGCAGCGACCTGTGCCGACCATCATGTTCATGTAGGGCTCCTCGCCACGACTGCCGACAGTTACCCACAAAATGTTGCGCGAGTGATCACACAGGCGGACGATCGCTCGAAACTTTTCCAGGCTGAAGTCTTTGAAGAGCAACTCATCAAGCTCCATCAGGCTGAGGATGGTGGGCTGGGCGTTGATGGTATCCTCGTCGATGTCGAGGAGGCTCTCTACATTCTGAATCTCAGAATAGAAGGGCCCAAGAGAAGCAGTCAGGCTCCGCACCAGACGAGAAGTCTGGACCTTTTGGCCGCCAAGGATGAGCAGCTTATCGGTGAAGGTGGTCTTGCCGGTGAAAGCCATGGGCTCTCGGATCATGTCCATCTGCTTGTCAACGGCCTGCGAGACCATAACACTGAAGGGAACAATGTAAACTTTCTCCTCAGGGGTGGCAGTATCGACTCCAGAAAAGCCGCTCCTGCGCAGGACGGTATCCCAATCCTTCTGGCCAATCAAGGGGGAGTAGACACGGCCATCTTCTCGCCCAGCCCACCAGCCGGGGAGACCGCAAAACCCGAAGCCGATCCGGAGTGGCTTGTTGTTGGTGACTTCGAGCAGACACAGGTATCCGCCAGGCCGGAGCAGCTTTCTGACGTTCTTCAGGGTAGTCTCCAGATGGGCTGTGGCATGAATGACGTTACCCGCAATGATCAGATCATAGGTGCCCTCTTCGAAGCCTTGCTCCTTGATATCTTTCTCGGCATCCAGTGTCTTGAAGATCATCTTCTCCGCGGAGGATTTGAACATTCCTTTGGCGTCCTCGAAGAAAGCCGCTGAGATATCGGTGTAAGTGTATGACGCAAAGCCGTCACCGAGGCACTCCAGCGTAGCGGCGGTAGAGGAGCCAGTTCCAGCACCGATCTCCAGGATTTTCATGTTGTGGTGGCGATGCGAGATCTGTTTGACGAGTTTTCCGAGGTACATGTTGTACTCCTTGTATCCGTAGTGGCCGAAGTAGAACTCGCTCAACTTGTCGTCCTTGCGAAACTCATCAAGCATGGACAACTCGCCACGTACGAAAGGCACAAGCATCTCGCCAATGAATACCAGTGTGTGGAAGTGAGGGTGAATCCTGGACCAGTGGTCAAAGTCATCCTTGATATCGGCCCAGGTGTCATCCAGCCACTCTTTCTTGCAGGTTGCGTGCTTGCCGCCCAGCGCGGTCTCATGGACGAACTTTGCCCAGTTGAGGACGCACAGTTGATGCCAGTCACACTTCTCGCGCTGTTCAGGAGTAATTTCTCGGTACAGCTGGTTCAGATAGTAGAAGCACATGCGCTCGCAGAGAGCGGCTCCCTCAAACTCATCCTCGGTGAGAGCCCACTCACTCCAGCCCAGGGCACCGTCGGGCTGTGCAATATCCCACAGGGTCTCCGCGAAGGTTTGTCTGTCGTCGGCGGCAGTGGGCTGTGTGAGAGGCGTGACGTGTAGACCTTCGACGTAGATGGCGGCGTTCTTTTCGTCCTCGGCGTAGATATCCACGTCGCCGGTCATGCCATTATCCGAGAGGGAGAGGGTTGCATCAAAGGGCATGGGGATCTCAAGGCCAGAGGTAGGCTGGCAGATGTCGGGGTTCACAGCAATACGGCTAATGAGAGTTGGGACGTGCAAAGTCCACAATCGCCCGTCACCAGGGGCCCCGATAGCAGCGAAGATGGACTGGAAAGCAACGTCCAGAGTTGCAGGGTGCACAATCCAAGGGTGGTTGACAGAGTCAGGGTCACGGGCAATGGTCATCTCTCCAGAAGCATGACCTGCGGTGCGCTTCATCTCGGTGATGCCGTTGAACATGCCCGTGTAGCCGTATCCAAGCTTAGCAAGTTCCTTGTAGAAGAACTCCGTGTCGACGGGCAAGAGGGGGATCTTGGACTCGGTACGCTCCGGTAGAGCTTCCGGGGACGGTTCACCCGTAGTCAAGCGGATCTGACCACTGGCCATTGATGCAAAGCCGCCTGTCTCCTTATTCTGGCAGGCATGGATGGAGAAGTCTGCGGTGATGGAGTCCTCGAGCTCGCTGACATTCGACATGACGTAGATGGTCTCTACGCCGGTGTTGTCATCCATGAAAGACAAGGCCTTGTGGATGCTAAAGTTTAGCAACTCAACCAGCCTGACCGTCTTTTCGTAATCAGGCACGAGCTGCTTGGATGCTTCGAGCGCCATGACCGCGAAGCCCGCGGCAGGAAAGACGGTCTGGCCCTGGATAGCATGGCCCTTTAGCCAGGGCATCTCATTTGGCTTGATGTAGTTACGCCACCTGAACTCGCCCTCGCCCTCGTCGGTCGCGCGAGCACCGAGAAGCTCGTGTGTTGGGTTTTCACGGAGACGGTGCGCCTTTGACAGGCGGGTCTCGTTCCAGATGATCTTCTCGTGGTCCCAAGCGTAGCAGGGCAAGTCCTTGGATACAGTATACGTGGCATCCCGGACGAAGAGCCCATCATATGCCTTGAAGTCGACGGCAGATGTGCCGAGGACCGTCCACACAGAGCCGATGGTGCCCGAGAGAGCGATCGAGTCGTTGATGCCTCGAGACAGCGTTCCAAAGTATGGGACTGCGGCACCGCCAGCCTCTTCGATTGTAAGGCTGGCAGGACCTTTCAGAGCAGCGTGAGGACCGACTTCCAGGGCCAGGCCCGGGGTTCCAATGTCTTTGACAGCGGCAGTCAAGGCCTGAGAGAACAGCACAGGCTGTAGCATGTTATCCTTCCAGTAGGCGTTGCTGAGCAGGTCCGAGTGCGCCATGGTGACCCTTTCACCGCCAAAGACGGAAGAGTACCACGGGCAGGCCCCCTCGCCAGGGCTCTTGATCTGGATACCACAGGCGCCAAGGGCTTCGAGATAGTACGAGGAGCAGGCCTTCATGTGGCTGGAGTGATAGGCAGTGTCAACCTTCAACTTGCGGGCAAACTTGGACTCGTCCTCGAAGATGAGCTGCACAAAGTCAACCGCATCCTCGTCACCCGAGATGGTGACACTGGCAGAAGAATTGCTGGCGGCCAGCTGCACTCTGCCGTTGAGTTTGGGGAGACCGCACAGGTCATTCGCGTCCTCCATGGAGGTGCCGGCGGCAATCATAGCACCGCTCTTGCCGTTGGGACCCTTGGCGAACTTTGTGTACTTGCCGCGGTAGAAGGCTATGCGGATAGCATCGCGAGCGGACAGGAAACCTGCAGCGTATGCCGCGGCGATCTCGCCCGACGAGTGGCCAACTACGGCGCTGAAGTCGAGGCCGGCGGCGCGGAGCATGTCGACCAACATGACCTGGACGGCAGTGCAGAGGGGCTGTGAGATCTCACCGAGCGCGATGCGCGAGACTTCCTTATCCGCGAGTAGTTCGTCCTTGAGTGACCACTCAGGCGCATCGGGAAGCTCGGCAAGCGACTGCTCCAGCTTATCAATAATGGATTCGGCGGCGAAGGAGGACGCCACCAAGTCACGGCCCATCGTCGCCCACTGGGCACCCTGACCGGTAAAGATGCCCAGAATCTTGCGGCTCGTCTTAGCATTGGCACGAGTCGCGATGGGCTCTTTCTTCTCTTTGCTCTCTGCAAGCCTGGCCTCGATTGTTGAAGCGAGACTTTCGACCGAGAGAGCCGGAAAGGCGGCGCGGAAGTTGAATGCCGTGCGCTTGGAGAGGGACCAGGACAGAGTGCGTGCGTCAAAGTCGGGGTTCTCCTTAAAGAAGGATAGGTAAGAGTTCAGCAGAGACACCAGAGACCGCTCTGATGCAGCGGAGAAGACGAAGGGTGTCGAGACGGCGAGGTCGGTCCCGCTCGTAATCAGCTCCGGCGCATCGTAGCTTTCGATGATGGCATGGGCATTGGCACCACCAAAGCCGAAGCTGTTGACCGAGGCGCGACGCGGGGTGCCTTCTGGGAGCTCCGGCCACTCGATGGCCTCGACAGGGACCTTGAGGTTGCCGTAGTATGGCTCAATATCGGGGTTCAGCCTCATGAAGTGCATGTTGGGCGGAATGGTTCGGTTCTGGATAGCGAGAGAAGCCTTGAGGAGACCAGCGATGCCTGCAGTGCCTTCGGTATGACCGATGACGGTCTTGATGGACCCGACAAAGAGCACGTCGTTGTCATCCTCTTCGGAGCCTCCAGCATCCTCAGTCTTTTCGGGGAAGAATGCACGGAATATAGCGCCAGCTTCCTGGGGGTCACCGGCCTTGGTTCCGGTGCCATGGGCCTCGAAATACTGGCACCGGTCCTCCTTCTTGAGAGGATCCAGACCGGCCCGTGCATACGTGTCGGCGATGAGCATACCCTGAGCAGAGGCACTGGGCATGGTGATGCCGGGGGTACGACCGTCCTAGTTGATGTGTCAGCATTTGCAGGTCCGGCGCCACGTACAGACGGATGAGGACCAACCTGGTTGATACCGGTCTCGCGGATCAAGCACTCAATGTGGTCACCATCGCGAAGTGCAGCAGAGAGCGTCTTCAGGACAACGGCGCCCACGCCTTCGCCGCGAGCGTAGCCATCGGCGCCGGCGTCCCACATGCGGGAACGGCCGGTAGGAGACAACATGTTCAGGTTGCTCTCGGCGATGTACATGGCTGTTGTATGGGTTAGCGAGGTGGGGGGGGGGGAACAGAACTTGAAAGGGCAGCATGGCAGGGCGAGACTCACTTGGCCCAAAGATCAGGTTGGTGCCGGCAGCAATGGCGACAGGGCACTCGCCGCTCCTCAAGACCTGGACGGCCTGGTGGACGGCGATGAGGGAGGAGGAGCAGGCAGTGTCGATAGTCATGGAGGGGCCGTGCCAGTTGAAGAAGTAGGAGATGCGGTTGGAGATGATACTGCGGGCAGAGCCGGTGGCAGCATATGTCGGGACGTTCTCGCCATCACCATAGACAATCTGGGAGAAGTCGTCACACATAACGCCGACATAAGCAGCGGTGTTTGAGCCGGAGAGGGACTCGATGCTTGAGCCAGAGGCCTCGAGGGCCTCGTAGACGGTCTCCATCAGCAGGCGCTGCTGGGGGTCAATGGCCTCGGCCTCGGAGGCGGAGATGCTGAAGAACTGGGCATCAAAGACACGGGTGTCCTCGGCCAGGAGGTACGAATCGAGGACGTTGCTGGCACCGTGGTGGTGGCCATCCTGGTTGTACCAGTTGTCGGCGCGGAAGCGGTCAATCTTGCGGAGGACATCACGGGGGTCGGACAGCAAGTCCCACAGCTTGGAGGGCCGGCTAGAGTCCCCGGGAAAGCGGCATCCGCTGCCGATGATGGCGATGGGCTCGTTCTTGTAGGAAGGCATCTCGACCACGTTGTAGTTTGAGACTGGCGGATGTTGAGTCCGATGTCAGGTTTTGAGTCCAGGGGTAAGCTGCCGTGTGTTGAGGACTGTGTGTTTTGGATGACGGCCAACGAGTATATCGACTTGAGAGACTGTGTCTGTCCAGATCAGCAGAAAAGAGACCTAACTGGGATACCTGGGTTCTTGTGTAGATGGACACGTTAGGTCTATCCTATTGGATAATCTGTCTTGATATGGACGAGCTGGTGGTTGTTTCTTTGGAGGTTGGGTTGTTTTGGACGTCTTCCGAGAGGACAAACACAAGTGGCGAGACTGAAGCAGAGACCGAAGCAAAGGCCTGCGACAATTAACGCGGGAGGTTTGTGGTGAGGGGATTAGAAGACGAGACGATGGTGCTGGATATCACCTTGAGGTCTGGAAGGGAGCGTTGCACGACATGATATACGGAAGGACGAGGAAGGGCAGGCAGGAGGCGTCTTTCCCATTCCGGAATACCTGACGGTTGACAGTCATGGCCTGGGACGCGAAAATGGCATCCATCACCGGATGGGGTGGACTGGCGAGCCGGAACAGCAGGCTGGACGACGACATGGAGCCGCAGCTTACCAGAAGGATTGGTCAGGGCCAGAGCTGGCGAATGGCTACGGGCACGATGCTTACAGCACGGATGGGACTGGCAGCGAAAACAATGTGTCGACAGCATGGTGGAGAGGTCAAAGAGGGCGGTCATATCGACGGGTGAGCACGAAACGGTGACAGATCCTTCGAGAGGCTTGACTGGAGAAGGAAGCAGACGCCAAGAGCCATGACGGGCTATTGATATTGTGTAAGACCACGGCCATCAAGACGTTCTAGAAGAGCCCGACTGGGCGGCCGAGACAAAATTCGGGATGCTGCATTAGGGTGCGACCATGGACGATGAGGCTGGCCATGTGGTTGGGGTCTTGGGGTGATGGCCAGAAGGAGCAATTGACATTGCGAGGTAAGGAGGTCAGCCCGGGTCCAGCCTTGGCCAGCTGATTGGACGGGGCTGACACGGGAGCTGACTACCCAAGTAACCACCTGGGCAGGTACCGAGGTACCCAGGTCCCGTCTTCTCCTTCCCGCAGTCCCAGAATTTGGTCCCGTGCGTTGGCAGCCTAGGCTAGTAGCCCCGATGAATGGTCATACTACAATTGAGAGACAAGACAAGCAGACAGACAGACACATCAGCCACGTGGGAAAGTGTCACCGAGCCCACAGAGATGTGCGAATAAGTAATTCATATACCCCCTTCATATGATGTCTCTCCCTTCCTCCCTGACTTCTCTTGGAGCTGAGTCGGACAGTATGGCAGGATGGTAGTACTTTATTTGATACGGATGACCGACCCTTGACGAGGTCAATGTCAATACTGGACAAGACAATACAAGATAATACCTAACTGGCAGCCAGTGGCAGGTCGCAGGGACGGATCGACACCAGCCCGTCTCTGCGCGAAAGGCGCGAGGCAGGGAAGGTGCCTGGTGGTAGATAAGATAACGGATCTTATCTGCCCCACAGGCAGGCGGCTCTGGTTCCCCCGACTCGGGCTTACAAGATGCATCTTGGCTGATCTCAGCCACAAATCAGCCAGCTCCCTGACCTTGGGAGCCAGCCGGTCCAATTCGTCTCCGACCCTCGATGCCATCCTTCGAGCCCCATCCTTCCTCCTGGATTGCTATCCCTCCAGCCAAGCCAGCCATGGCCACAGTCAATGCTCATCACCAACCTCAGCCACTCCACTCGGAGCAACTCGACGACGGCTGCCTCGTCCAAAGTTGACTCCAATCTGTCCGCCATGGAGCGACGTCGTGCGAGGTCAAACAGGATAAGAAGCCTCGGACCTGCTCGCTCGAGGGGGGCCATGATGATGATGATGATTGTGATATGATGATATACATGTGCTAACAAACAACACAACAACCAAACATTCAAGAAGCATTCCACGCAACTCTCGAGCCACCACCACAATGTCGGCACCCACCAAGACAATCCTCTTCCTCGGCGCCACCGGCGGCTCTGGCTTCTCGGCCCTGCGCAGGAGCATTGCGGCCGGCCACTCGTGTATCGCCCTCTGCCGCACGCCCTCCCGCCTGACCGACAAGCTGCCCGAGTCCCAGCGCAACGCCCCCAACCTGCGCATCGAGCAGGGCAACGCCGTCGACGTCGACGCCCTCGCCAGGTGCCTGGTCCGCAGCGACAGCCCCGACGGCCCGGCCTCCCTCGTCGATGCAGTCGTCTTCACAATCGGAGGCGCCTTTGACCTCAAGAACATGTCCAACGACCAGCCCCACATCTGCGAGCACGGCATGGACGCCCTCGTCACCGCCCTGCGCGCCGCCCGCTCAAAGGCCGCCGCCGCCGCCCCCGCCGCGGGGGGCCCCACCATCATAGCCGTCAGCACCACCGGCATGTCGGACCACGGCCGTGACTACCCCCTCTCGCTGTGGCCCATCTACGGCGTCATGCTCAAGCAGCCGCACAAGGACAAGACCGCCATGGAGGCCCTGGTGTTTGGCAGCGGCGAGGCCTTCACCGTGGTGCGCCCCAGCCTGTTGACCGACGGCGACGAGAGCAGCAAGCCCATCCGCGTCGGCGTCGAGGACCCAAAGGCGCACAAGCTCGAGAGCAAGGAGGTCGGCTACAACATCTCGAGGGAGGACGTCGGCAAGTGGATCTTTGACAACCTGCTCGCCGGCGACGCACGCAGGTGGACCGACAAGGTCGTCTCCATCACCTACTGAGGGCGGTAGGGCGGCAGGGCGGCAGGGTGGCAGGGCGGGTAACACGGTTTGGTCTGCCAGCCCACGTCCATGTGTTTGTTTTGTTTCGCGCGGCTAGATACCTCCCTGCATGCAGGATTTCCTTCCGGGCTCCACTAGATTGTCCCCTGGCGAGTTAGATAGATTGATATTACGACGGTGAGATGAGATAATATATACTGAAGTATCTTCACCTTGAGCGTGCTTTGATCTATAACACATATGAAATGACATGCCTGCTCTGTGTGTGTCTCGCTGTTGTCGGCGGCAGGTTGCGTCCCCTGTCAGTGCCCCAGCCACAGCCCCAGCCCCAGCCTCAGCCCACCCCAGGCGCCAAGAACAAAGCGCGGCTGTGAAATGTGGTGCTCCGTACTCCGTGCCGGCAGGGTGGGCTGCTGTGAGACAGAGCAGCCTGGCAGCCAGGGCAGCTCGAACCGCCAGGAACGATCGGCCGTAATAATTATGTTGTTGGTGTTACACTGCTACCTGACCTCTGCCGGGCCTGGTGGGCCAACTCCAAACACCAACAACCGCCTCTCCAAAAGTCTGGCACCGTCACATCACCACCAGTTGTTTTCTTTGTCCCGCACCAACTGCCCATCTGCTGCAGGGGGGTGCCCGCCAGACCCTGTATTGCCATTGGGTCGTGAGCTTCGAGACCCGGAACGGACCCATAGGCAGCCACCAACAGGTCCCCAGGTCCCCTCCAGCGCGCGCTGAGGACCAGCAGTTCTGCCATGACTGCCGCCACCAAGACCAAGGTGAGTGAGCAAGTGAGGAGCAGGCGGGCGAGTGGCCTCGGACCGTTCCTCTCCACGCTGCAGCATGTTTGTTGGTTGTACCCTGCACGGCATGCAGTCATGTTTCAAGACAGAGCGAATGGCAGAGCTCCCGACAGGCTGACTCGTCGCATCTCCCAAACCCTATTCTAGAATCAGGAGGGAGTGACTGACGGGTGTTGGTTACCTCGTCTTGTTCACTGCGCTCGCCACAGCCTCGTTTGTCTATGCCTGTATATATATATATATATATATATATATAAATGGCAGGCTGCTCTCTCCTGTCTGTCTGTTCCCTCCTTGCGCCTTGATCGACTTCATCTCCAGCACACGCAGCCCAGTCCTTTCTGATTCCTACCAGTCTCTCTCGTTTTTCTTTTGATTCGCTTCCCCGTTCGTTTCCCGCAGTCGCCACTTTGCATACACCCCTTTTCGGCCATGATGCTGCCATCCATGTCCCCTCGGGCTCTCCTTACCGTGGCGCTGGCCGCCACGGCTGCTGCTGCTGCCACCACCACTTCTGGCGGCCCCAGCCTGAAATACCGGCGACAGAACAGCTCGGCGACTGACGGTGCCAAGAAGCTGTTTGTAGGGGGTGGGCCCTCGGGCATCGTTGCAGCCGCCGACTTCGATGGCGCCGCCTTCAACATCGTCGCCAACGACTCCACTGCCGGCACCTCGGCCAGCTGGATGGTGTTCAAGGAGCCAAACCTCCTCTATGCTGTCGAGGAGAACAGCAACGACACCAGGCTCTTCAACGTTTGTCTCTTTTCCTCTCCCTCAAGAGCCCGCCCGCCTGCTGACCTCGTTGTCCAGTTTGATGCTGCCACCAACGACCTGAAGCTGGTCCAGACTGCCGAGGGATCTTCCGGGGTCGTCTCCCTGGAGTTCAACCAGGACAAGACCGTGTTGGTTGGTGCAGCCTTTGGTCAGGGGCAGATCGACGTGTGGGATGTCTCGGCTCCCGACGGAACCCTCAAGGTAATATTGCAACGAGCCCACCTATATCACACTCCGTGGACGGTCCGCAATATCACGACCACTTTCTGACAAGTTACACAGCTCCTCAAGCAGATTCCCGCAGGTGGCACTCCCGGTCCGGTCTCAGGACGCCAGGACAGTCCTCGTAAGGCCCTTCCCGCCCACTTACTTGATGTGTGCATGAGTGAGTCCTCGTTTCACCGGCTGACAACAGCACACTTAGACCCTCATCAGGCCCTTCTTGACCCCAGTGGCCGCTTTTTCGTCGTCAACGACCTTGGAACCGACTCCATCCTCGTCCTCGACAGTCAGAACGACTTCAACATCTCCAACCGTGTCACCGTCGAGGCCGGCAGCGGCCCCCGCCACGGCGCATTCATCCCTGCTGGCGCCGACAGGGCCACCCACTACTTCCTGGCCTGCGAGATCACCTCGGTGGTCAAGGCCTTCGAGCTGACCTACACGGGGGACAACCTGGAGCTCAGGGAGGTGCAGTCCCTCTCGTCGTTCGGCGCCGACTTCCCACCTGCCGACGCCAAGGCGGCGGCGGCGGGCGAGCTGATGGCCAGCTCGTGTGGGAAGCACCTCTACGTGTCGAACCGGCTGACGGGCAACGCCACGGACAGCATCTCGCACTTCTCCATCGACACGGGCAACGCGGGCGCCCCGCTGGCGTTTGTGGACCAGGTCAGCTCGGGCGGCCTCGTCCCGCGCATGTTCTCGCTGGCCGCCGACGAGAGCGTGCTGTTCTCGACGAACCAGGACGGGGACAACGGCCTGCTGGCGCTGGCCAGGGACCCATGCACGGGCAGCCTGACCGAGGCCCCCGTCGCCAGCCTCACCGTGGACAAGTTCGGAGGCCCCAGCTTCGGGCCTCAGTTTGTGATGGAGCTCGGCGCGACGGGGAGCAACTCTTAGGTTGCCTCTTAGGTTGCTGTTTGTGCCGCCCCTATGATGTTTTGTTTTTTTGGTAGCGTAGACAAGAAATGAATGCGCAAGCTCATGCATACACATGCATATACATACATACACACACATACGCACCCCCGGGAAGACGGATTAGGAAATGCCGTAGATGGGCATGGTGGAGAGTCAGGCGTGCCAGCCGCAGTGATGGGTTCCCATGTATCGTCGCCTAGCACCACGGCTTTGCACATATCAGACCCACTCTCTACTAGTAGTGTGCTTTGATTCTCAAGATTACACATTAATAGGTTTTCAAGTGACACCGGTCGCTGCCGGATAAGCTGGTACCCCCGGCGTATTTGTCCCCCGAATTACCAAGCCGTGCCGATTGGGTAGCCGATCACGGAGCCGGCCCGGAGTCTGGATATGTACTTGGCCAAGCCGGCCGACCTTGATTCAATGTTAAACACATGCACGGCGCGTCCTCTCACATCTCACTCACCAAATAACCACATCTGCATCACTCGTTTCACTCCTCCAACACAAACAAAACAAGATGTCGGCCTACGCCCCAAAGGTGGGCGACGCCGTCTCGGCCCTCGACACCCCGTCCATGATCGTCGACCTCGACCTGATGGAGGCCAACATCTCCAAGCTCATGTCCCAGCTGCTGCCCACCGGCGTCGACATCCGCCCCCACCTCAAGACCACAAAGTCCGCCGCCCTCGCCCGCCGCCTCAACGCCGCCGGCGCAAAGGGCGGCTGCGTCGCCAAGCTCTCCGAGGCCGAGGTCATGTGCGCCCTGGGCTTCGACGACCTGCTGATCACCTGCGAGATCGTCGGCCCCCAGAAGGTCCGGAGGCTGGTCGACCTGTTCTCTCGCCACCGCAGCCTGAGGATCGTCGTTGACGACGCCGCCGCCGCCACCGCGATCGACGATGCCCTCCGCGAGGCAGGCTTCACCCACGACGACGCCATCATGACCCTCATCGACCTCGACGTCGGCCTGCACCGCACCGGCGTCAAGCCCGACGGCGCCGCTGCCCTGGCGAGCCACGTCGCCGGCCTGAAGAACCTGCGCCTCATCGGCGTCCAGGGCTACGAGGGCCACCTGCAGCACGTCCACGGGCTCGACGAGAGGAGGCGCCTGTGTCTCGAGAGCATGGCCGTCCTGACCGCCACGGCCGAGGAGCTGCGCGCCCAGGGCCACAAGATCGACGTGGTCACGACCGGGGGCACCGGCACCGCCGAGTTCTGTGTCACCGTCCCCGGCATCACCGAGGTGCAGCCCGGGAGTTTCCTGTTCATGGACACCGACTACCGCAACGCCGTCGGCTCCTTCTACGGCAACAGCCTGACCATCCTGTCCACCGTCCTGAGCAGGCAGGGGCCCCGCGCCGTGACCATCGATGCTGGGCTCAAGTCCCTGACCACCGACAGCGGCCTCGCCGAGGCCAAGGACAAGCGCTACGCGTACGGCGTCCTCGGCGACGAGCACGGCAGCCTGAGCTGGGAGGCCAGCACCCCCGACCTGAACGTTGGCGACCGCGTCGAGATGATCCCCAGCCACATCGACCCCACTGTCAACCTGCATGACGCCTACTATGCCTACAGGAAGGGCGTCGTGGAGGAGATCTGGGCCGTCGACTCCCGAGGCAAGGTCCAGTGATTTCTGTCTGATTCGGGAACAACTACCGAACATAGCCCTTGGCCTGATCAGAGCCATCACGGTGACGCAAAACGGCAACACGTGGGTTAGTTGTGGCTTGATCGTTCCACGGCTCTATCGGTATCCAAGAGCCATGTCCGCCGGGTCAGGCCAGACTGTGCCAGCGACGATGATCACGGTTGCGTCGATTGGGCTCTCAGCACAGAGAAGCTTCGTCGCACGTTGAATTATCAAAACCCCATAGCATGTGCTTACAACCAAGCCTTGGATCGGAATTAACTGGGTAGTGTGCCTGGTTTCTCCAACAGGTTTGGGTTCGTCAGCAGAAAGAAGCCTTCACCACCTCGCTCCTGATTTCCCACCGCGGTTGCAGTTACGGGGTGGGAGTAGTCTGAAGTATCCGAAGAACATCTGAAATGAGATTCAGGTGGTCTTTTGGGGGGGGGTAGGGAAGAGAAGGCTACCATGCCCAAGTACCTAGGTAATTGATGAATCAGTTCACAATACAAGTTCGTGACACAGGCTTCCAATGGGTAATTGCCTATAATTCTCTTTGAAAAATCACACACTGCTGTGTGGCAGTACCTGCCCATCAATCTCCCAGTAATGCAGTAACCCCTAATGAGACGGATCTAGTAAAATAAATACTCCGCGACAGACGCCCAGCTAAAAGACTATAGCTCTAAGTTACTTGAGTTTAGAACTAGGGATTTATAAGTCCCTTTGCTATTACTTTGCTTAAAATCGAGGGCTTGAGTACCATATGGATACTATCTGGTCAAGATAAAGGGCCAATAGGGCTGACCCATGCGCCGAGACGAATCCTTCAGGCAAAACCGAGCGCGTCCAGGGCTGGCTCTTGTCCTACGTGCCGCGCACAAATGTCCCAATAGCCGTTGGCCGACAGTAGAACCTGCGCCTCATTGCCCAGCCCAGTTTCGCACGTTGGTTGACAAGTAACCGACCTTGTTGGTCGGGCAAGCACCACCACACAAATACCACACTTGTCTGACAGCCGGAGATCCCAGCTCAGAAAAGACCTGGTTCCAAACTTTATTCTTTTTCGCCGCCAACTAGATTGGCTGTACCTGGACGTGTTGGCAAGCAAGTCTCGGGGCATTTCCTCTCCGTGCGTGACCCTGGCATGAAAAGGGGAGTTGGTAGGTTGTTAGAGTGCTGCATGTTGGGGCTGAGACAACCGAGCATCTTGAGTGCAAGACATGACGAGCACACCGGTCTCAAGATCCCAGAACTGTTGGTGGGTGGATATTCGGCCTCCCGCACCCCAGGACGTACGACTTTCGCATATCATCCACCCAGTAGTACTCTCCACCGCCGGGACGTGAAAGGAGACCTGACAGTTCAGTGTTGTGTTCATAGCCAAGCTGCGAATGTCTTTGCTGACAGAGCCCCAGTTTGCGAAGCTGACCAGCTCGAGAAGCGACTGGTCTGACAACAGGGCCATCGAGGGCAGGTGAGCAGTACCATTCTGCGTTGAGAACCGGACGAAGCCGTGGGCGCGAATTTGTGAGAGATCGTCATTCGGGGGCTTGAAAGGTAGTAACCTCCAATCAAAGGGGGTTTCACCATGCATGTTGGCTGGTAGTTGGTCGCTGTTGATCTGAAAACCAACCTGTTGGAGGTCGAATCGGGCTGCATCGTAGGGGCGTAATCCTCCGAGTTCTGGTGGGCGATCGGCATACCTTGGCGTTGCGTCCTGTGCAGTGCTCCGCCTCTGGAACGAGATGATGGCGACGTAAAGACAGGGGCCAGAGTCGCCCTGGGTAGCTCGCACAAGGCGAGTTGCGAAAGTGCGGCCGTCGGCGGCCCGGTCAACGTGATATGTCACCTTCGCGGTGGCCTTGACGGGCCTCAGAAACGAAGACTGGGATGAGTAGGCGTCAAAGCCTGCTGCAACGGTGGCCAAGGCTGCTGACAGGGCCTGGCTGATGATGGAACCGCCAAAGGCAGCGTCGCCGACAGGCTGCTGGAGCAGAGGCCTTGTATAAGAAGTTTCAGTGATTCAGTGGCACACTGCTGACTGGAAATGAGAGTGGGTAGGGTACATACCCTTCGTTGGTGTACGCGTCAGAGTTCGACTTAGGCACCTTGGTGACGGAGGTAAGCACGTCTAACAGAGATCTCTGAGCCATGGTGAATACTTGTTGGGTGCTGGCAATCTCAACTTCTGACGAGGGCTCCAGGTCGTGTTGGTTCCCGCGCTCCGGCTTATATGCTAGGGATCAGCTGAATACGATTTGCTTTTCCCCGCTGCAACCCGGGGGCCCTACTCTAGGGCCAACATGAAGATCGTTGCACGGTACCAGTACAGACACCTGCGCGAGTACAGATAAGATGTCATACCCAAACTTTGAAATAGATACGTACCTCTTCCATCCTTGGGTACATCCATAGGTACGTAATATTGCCTAGACATAAGAATATGTGCTGCCAGCACTTCAGCATTCCAAGGCAAAAAACTACACACCAAACATGCTCTAAATGCTGCCAGGTCTACGAGCGTCGCTTCTGCGCAGAAGGCAAGGTGTTTGTTTTCGTGAAGACCTAAACGACACTCCTTGTCCCTCGAAATAATTGAAGTTTTTCTGCCCTAGAGTACAATAATGGCTGAGAAAATTGACACAGCCGATGAGGCCGCGTCGCAGGCGGTGGACATGGCCAACCCAAGAACCTCGCAAGCACCCACCACGAGCAAGTCATACTCTTTCTATGTCTCAATGTTCGGCCTCGCGCTGGTCGCGTTGATTACCGCATGGGATGCAACTTCCCTCGCGATTGCACTTCCGGTAAGCTGGACGATCCACACTGGCATGTAAGCTCTCTAACCCCTGGATAATTACATATGTACCAGGCCGTTACGCAACAGCTGCAAGGGACCACTCTACAGTCCTTTTGGGCCAGCATCTCCTTCATCCTCGGAGTTGCAGTAACTCAGCCTATTTACGTGAGCTTGTCTGATGTGCTGGGCCGCAAAGTACCGCTGTATGCGGCGACGGTCATCTTCACCGTCGGCACCATTATCTTTGCCCTCGCGAACCATATGATTACTCTAATCGTGGGCCGGCTCATCCAAGGCCTGGGCGGAGGCGGGCTATATGTGCTTCAGGACATCATATTAACAGACATGACGAGTCTAAAAGAGCGACCGCTGTATCTGGGTTTGATATCTCTCGCCATGGCCACGGGAACTATCACAGGCCCTGTTATTGGGGCTCTATTCAGCAACTTCAACTGGAGATGGATCGGCTGGGTCAACCTCCCCATCATCGGGGTGGGCTTCTTCATATTTGTATCCTTCCTCCATCTCCGAGCTGTGCCCCTTTCGCTCCGCACCAGACTACGCCGACTCGACCTCCTCGGCATGGCTCTATTCTCTGTAGGTGCTGCTGCTGTAGCAGCACCCCTGAGCTGGGCAGGGGCATTGTATCCTTGGTCTGCGTGGAACACCATTGTTCCTCTTACCATCGGCATAATAGTGCTCGCTGTGTTTGGATATTATGAGCGGCACCTTTCTTCAAATTCGTTGTTACCTTTTCGCATCTTCACAAACAGCACGGCAATATCTTCATTATCGAGTGGGTTTGTGCACGGATGCATTTTGTATACCGTACTGCTCTATATCCCTCTGTACTTCCAAGCAGTACTCCTGGAGGTGCCTCTCGAGGCTGGAAAGTCAACGCTACCGGTTTGCTGCCTGACTGTGGCCTTCAGCTTCATCGCACCCATCATTATAGAGGTCACGCGGCGATATCAGGTACTCATCTGGCTTGGTTGGATCATCATTACACTGTCACTGGGACTCTGGTGTCTTGTGGACCAGAACACACCGCGAGCTGAGATCTATGTGTTTCAGGCTTTGCTCGGCGTCGGTTTAGGTACCGTGTTCACTGCATCACAAGTCCCGATGCAGGCAAGCATGGACCACGTCGATGACACCGGTCTGGCAGTTGGAACGCTCATCGTGGTCCGGCTCTTTGGGGCGTTGATCGGCCTAGCGACTGGCTCCGCCGTTTTCAGCTCTGTCTTTCAGAAATCCATCGCTCAGCTGGGACCATTGCCGGAGGATGTCAAGGTGTTGGAGGATTCCAGCCAGGCAATCAATTTCATACCCCAATTGAGAATGGTGGACATACAGAACAAGTCTGCGCTTGTTGATGCCTATCGGATTGCCTTCAGAGCCATCTGGATTGTGTTGACGTCCTTGTCTGGGCTTGGTTTCGTTGCCTCACTTTACATCAAGGATTTCACTTTAGAGAAAGAAGAGCTTAGCAGGCAAGGTTTCAAACATTAATCTACTTCACACTAAAATAACATCATTAATAGATATTTATATTATATAAATACTTTAAACCTTATTAATAAATAGAGGTAGATTTCTAATAATATTATTATAGGGATAAAATACTAATATTAATCTATTATATACTATAGTGATTTTATTATATAATTAGGACTTACATTCTTTTTAATAACCTTCTTTTAAAGTTAAACCTTCTCTTTTAACTTTTTTAATTTAATTAAAACTACTTTAAAATTAAAATATTAAAGTATATATATTAATATATAGTTACTTAATATATAAATTATAACTTTTTAATATAAATTAATTAAAATAATATAAATATATTTAAAATTAATTTATTTTAATTAAAAATAAATTAATAATTAAATAGAAATTTTAATTTTTTAATTTTAATTTTTTAATTTTAATTTTTAAAAATAATTTTAATAATATTATTTAAAAATAAATATATTATATTATTTATTATTTTAATTAAAATTAATATTTATATTACTTTTATAATAAATAATATTTTTAAATTTATTAAATTTATAAGTTAAATATTTATAAAGCTAATTAATAGGTTTATATATTTTATTTATTTTATAAATTTAAATAGCCTTTATACCTCTTATAATATATAATTATAGCTTTATTACTTCCTTATATTATTTTTGTTACTTTAATTTTAAATTAATAATTTTTATAAATAATTTAAACCTTCTTTTATTATAAATTATAAAATTATTTTATTATTAATTTAATACTTTTAAAATATTTATTTTTATTATTAAATTTATATTTTATTTAATTTTTAATTTTAATATTTTTAAAATATATAATAATAATAATTTTATTTTAAATTAAAAATATATTATTTTAAATTATTTTATAATAAAATATAAATTTTATAAATTTATTATTATTTTTATATATATTTTATTTTAAAATAAAAATAATATAAATAAATTTTAATAAATTTATAATAATAATAATAATTCTTTTATAAATATCTATTAAAAGTATATAGTTTTATTTTATTTTATATATATTTAAAATATATATAATATCTTTATATAATATTATTAAAGATATATATAAATAAATTTTAATTTAATTAATAATTTAATTAATAAATTTTAAACTTAAAGTTAAAAGTTTTATTTTAATTTATTTATAACTAACTTAATAACTAATTAACTTAATATATTTAATTTTAATCTAACTATTTACCTTTTATTTTTATTATAAATAATAATTATAAATAATATTTAATTAATAAAATACCTTTTATTATAAGAATTCTAATAATATTAATTTTATTAAAATTAATAAATTATAAATATTATAATTAAATATTAATTTATTTATAATTATAAATATAATTAACTTTTTTATAAAGTTAAAAATATATAATTATAATTTTTAATTAATTTTATTTAATTAATCTTTTATTATAATTTAATTTAATTTAATTTAAATCTTTTAAAATTATATAAAAGCTTTTATTTTTATAAATATAAACTTTTAATTAAAAATTTTAAATTTAAGTTTAAAATTTTTATAGATTTTAATTTTTTAAAATTAAGTTTATAATTCTTTAAATCTTTTAAAAATATATTAATTATTTTAAATATTTATAATTTTTAAAATAAAGATTTATTTTATATAATTATAAATTTAATTATTAATAATTAATTTTATTTATTTATAAATTATTAAAATTAAAACTTAAATAATAAAATATAATTATTTTATTTAATTATCTTTTAATTTAATAATATAATAAATTAAATAATTATTTTTAAATAGTTTTATTTATAATATAATAAAGTTAATAAATAAATATTTATTTAAATAAAATTAAAACTTTTAAAGGAATAATAATTTTATTTTTATTTATTTTAATTAATTTAAAAGCTTAAATTATATAATAACTTTATATATAATATTTAATAATATTAAAATTAGTTTATAATTTATAATAACTTTAATTTTTAATATATTAATTTAAATTAATTAAATATAATTTAATATATTAATATAAAAATAGTTTTTAATAATAAATAATATTATAAATAATTATAAAATTATTATAAAAGTTTAATATAATAAATTTAATTAAATTAATCTTTAAAAATATATTATATTTTATTAAACTAATATCTATACACCTAGTAAGTTAATTTATATATCTAATATTTTCTTTTTATATACTTAATACCTATTTTTTATATATAAAGCTTATAAAAAACTATATGCTTAACTAAAATTCTCTAAATTTTTAATACTTAAAGTATAAACCCCTTCTAAACCCCTTTTAACACCCCTTTTAACACCCCTTTACCTTCACCTTCTAACACCCCTTTACCTTCACCTTCTAACAACCCTTTACCTTTACCTTTTAACAGCCCTTCTAATAGCCCTTCTAGTATACCTTCTAACTTATATACCTTTAAGTATATTTAAATACTAACTAAAAATTTAAATACTAATTAAATATTAAAAAATTAAATAAATATTTAGTTAATATCTAAATATACTTAAAGATATATAAGCTAAAAGGTATACTAAAAGAGCTATTAAAAAGTATATTAAAAGGGCTACTAAAAGGTAAAAATAAAAAGATATTAGAAAAATTATCCTATAAAGTCTCTTAATATTAACTTAAAAGTACTTATAAATATAGGAAAGTTATTAAAAGTAAATATTAAGTAAATAAAAAAGAATATTAAATATATAAACTAACTTACTAGATATATAAATATTAACTTTATTTTATTATTTTAAAACTTTATTTATTTTTAATTTAATAATAAAATTAAAAAATATATAAATAATTTATAAATATAATTAAACTATTTTTATATTTATTGATTATTATATTTATTTAAAAATATAATTATAATTATTAAATTAAAAGGAATACTTTAATTAATTTAATTTTCTTTTTTTATAATAATAACTTAACTTTATTAGAAAGTTATATTTTAAAAGTTATATCTTTAAATAAAATAATTAATTTAATATAAATATTAAAATAATTAAGTAATAAAAATAATAAATATTAAAACTTTATAATTAATTTAAATAAAATAATTAATTATATAAATAACTTTAATTAATGAATTTTAATAATAAAATTAAATTTTTAATAATAAATTAATAATTTTAAGTTATATAATTAAACTTTTAAAAATAATTATAATATTTTTAAAAATAAATTAAAAGTATATTTTAATTAAAATTATTTTTATATAATTTTTAATTTTTATTAAATTATAATAATATTAATAATTATAAAGTCTTTATTAAATAATTTTTAAATTTATAAAAGTATAATATAATTTATAATAATATAAATTAATAAATATTAAAATTTAAATTAAAAATAATTTAAAATTATATTTTTAATTAAAATATATTTATTATATATTTATAAATTTATTTTAATTTTAAGTTAATTAAATTTATAAATTTAAACTTTTATAATTTAAAAAATTATTAATTAATTTCTAATTAATTTAAAATAAATATATAATATTTAAAGTAAAATATTATTTATTAATAAATATTTTAAAATAATATTAAAATAATTAATATTATATATTAAAGTAAATTAAATTAATAAAAATTAATTATATTTTATTTAATTTAATTAAAATTTTATTATTTATTAATAATTTATTAAAATATATATAAATAAATTTTATTAATTATTATTTATATATATAATTAAATTCCTTTTAAATATAAAGTTTAAAAATTTATAATTATAAAATTTTAATTAATTTTATTTAATTATTTTATTATATTATAATTTAATTTAACTTTTAATTTTATTTAAATTCTTTTAAATTTTATTAATTTTTTATTTTAAAAAAGTTAAAGTTTTATAATTTTATAAATTTTAATATATTTTAAATTAAGTTTATAATTTTCTAATTTTTAAAATATATTAACTATTTTAAATATTAATAACTTTTTAAAATAAAATCTATTTTATATAATTATAAATTTAATTATTAATAATTATTTTTATAAAATTATTAAAATTATAATTTTAAATATTATATATAATAATAAAATATAATTATTTTATTTAATTATATTTTAATTTATATAATAAATTAAATAATTAGTTTTTAATAGTTTTACTTATAAAATTAATAAATAAATATTTATTTAAATAAAGTTAAAATTTTAATTAAAATTAATAACTTTATTTTATTATTTTAATTAATTTATATTATATATAATTTAAAATTATATAATAAATTTAATTCCTTTTAAATATAAAGTTAAAAATTTATAATTATAATTTTTAATTAATTTTATTTAATTATTTTATTATATTATAACTTAATTTAATTTAATTTAAACCTTTTTAAATCTATATAGTATTTTTCTTTTAAATAAGTTAAATTTAAATTAAAACCTTTAAATTTAAATTTAAAATTTTTATAAATTTTAATTTACTTTAAATTAAATTTATAATCATAACTTTTAAAAATATATTAATTATTTTAAATAATAATAACTTTTAAAGTAAAAATCTATTTTATATAATTATAAATTTAATTATTAATAATTATTCTTTTTTTCTGTTTATAATAAATTTATTAAAACTATAAATTTAAATACTATATATAATAATAAAGTATAATTATTTTATTTAGTTATATTTTAATTTATATAATAGGTTAAGTAACTATTTTTAAGTAATCTTACTTATAAAGTAGATAGATAGATATTTATTTAAATAGAGTTAGAACTTTTAAGGAATAATAGCTTTATCTTTATCTATTTTAATTAACTTATTTAATTATATAATAACATATATAGTATTTAATAATATTAAAACTAAATAATTTATAATTTATAATAACTTTAATTTTAATAAATTAATAATATTAATTTAAATTAATTAAATATAATTTAATATATTAATATAAAAGTATCTTTTAATAATAAATAATATTATAAATATAAATTATAAAGTTATTATA